ACGGAAAGTGGTGAGTTCTTCAGCCTTCGGAGTTAGACGAATCCGGTGGAAACCTTGCTAAATATCGAGTTTTATGAAAATCTTGGCTTTACTGGTTCGCTATAGTACCTCATCGATCAAAGGTAAGGGATAACAGTCTTTCTTCGTGATTGCGTTTAACCTTCTGAAATCCACGTAGAAGCGAAGTCCTCCACCCGGTTTCTTAGCTATTAAGATCGGCGATGCATAGGGAGCTGAGCTAGGGACGATAAAGCCTTTTTTCAAATTGTCGAGTATGTATTTTTTCGCTGCCTTCAACTCGTCGAGAGAGAGTTTGTAAAGAGGACAATACCTAGGTGTAGCTTCTGCCTTAAGAATGATATCGTGATCTACTCTAGGTCTATAGGGTGGTAGTTCGTCGGATTTCTTCTTCGAGAAGACTTCGGCCAAATCGTGGTACTCTTCTGGAAGAGCCTATAGGATTTCTTCGATTTCGGGATCCTTAATCGGGGTGCTCTTCATATCAATGATATGGTCAATCTCGTAAAGTGAAGTGGCAAAGATTTCGACTTCTTTATCTATCTTTCCTTTTTCTTAGAGACGGTTGAACCCCGCACGTCTAATGGCACTTATATCGATTGGAGGAAGCTCCTCATTTGACTCCCTATCTCTAGAAGTTGTCACCTTGACTTCATCGTTTAAGTTTCGAACCATTTTCCTCTATTCCTCCGTTTGCTAATGTCCGTACTAACGCTCTCTAGCATGTCGAAATTCGCTCTTCTCAACTATTTTTTGGTCTTTCTGTTCAAAGAGACGATCTTATCGATCTGCGTCTGCTTGGTGAAAGCTATCATGCTTAGGCTTCTGAAGTATAGCAGTTGGTATTAGAACTGCTAACTTACTCGCTATATCATCGAAAAGAGTCTTCTCATCCGGCCAAATCATTCGGTGTCGACGACAATCAAGTAGGATATCATGTTCTGCGAACCATTTTCGACCGAGGATCATATCGTATCTTCCTAAGTCTATAAGGAGCATAGGAACCTATCGTTATATTCGTCCGTCCACACAAATAGTGAGAAATGTGATATAGGTAATCGGTTCGCTAGGGGTTCCGTCGAAGCCCCGGACCGGACATTCTTGATCGAGTCGTTCTACTCGGATTCTAAATCGCTTTCTAAGTAGTAAAATCGTTGCTAAGTTTATGAAGATATAACCATTTGCTCTGGTGTCACCAAGTGCTAAAATAGAAAAAGAGCGTCTATTATGCATTAGTTGAGTGTTAAAAACTAAACTATCTCTAGGACCTCCGATTAACTTTTATAAATCCAGCGAGTAAAGTGAGACCTTACGACCACCTAGGTAGGAGACTTCGCCTAGGCACTAGCTTTTCCCTAGTCGTCTTCGAGTTCTTGAATTTCGACGACACGTGGAGTTGGAGTGATAGCCGCGACCAAGGTATTCGACTTCTTCTTTGGGCATTCACGAGTCATATATCCTTGTTCTTTACAGTTAAAGCATCGACCTTCCTTTATAAGAGTCTCTCGTTCGGTAGCGGATAAACTGGTAGATATAGCGCTTCCTTCACGCTTCACATAGGGAGTGTATTGACTAGTGGCTATTCCGGTTCCACTACCACTCCTAGTTGGAACGGTAGAACGAGAACGGGAGGTGTTCTTCGATTCTTGCTATAGGTTGATTTCGTGAGACATACTCTAACAATTCTAAGTGAAGGTTTTAAAGGGAACGGAGTCCTGGTTCACGGCCCATATCACTTGGCTTTGAAGCAGGTATGGAAGTTTTAAGTATAGGTCGCGCTTTCGGTTTTCTTCGACGATAACAGCCTCCTCGGCAAGCTGTATAAATTCAGCGAGGAAATCAGTGAAGCTGTCCTTCGGTTTCATCTTCAGTTTGTGGTACGTAGTGTAGGCTTCGGCACGACGATTCGGGTTCGCGAAAACGGTTTTCAGATGAGCGATCATATCGTTAGCATTAGCGTATAGGGCACTCGACTTAGCACTCAGACGAGGTGCGATATATAACTGAGCTTTTCCTTCATAACGACTCTGTATATAGAGCTTGCGATGAACTGGCAATGGGTAATGATCTACATTTGCCTCGAGCTTCTATCGGACGACGGTTTCCCATGTTTTAAAACGAACTTCTTTACCATCGCTAAGCATTAGAGCGTCAGGCATCTTAGTGGATTTGTGGGTAGCAACGGCCTCCACAATCGGTGCGCCGGAGCTAGTCTGGTTCGAGTTCTGCTACAGACTCAAGAGTTAAAATGTAAGACGATCCCTCTCACAAGCCGTATGATCACGATGAGTAACTACTTCCTCTCTCTCTTAAGTGAGCTGAGTGATCAGGATTTCGGTTTCAACTTTATCGGCTTGGAGGACAGTCACTTCGTCCTCGAGATCTCGGTTTCTCTCTTTCAGCTTAGTGTATTCACGAGCAAGTTCATAGAATCGCTCTTTGGTCGGAGTCTTATATAGTCGTTCGCGCATAGAAGAACCTTCTCCAGCATTGTCATCTTTATCAAGTTCACCAGTGTCAACTAGTCTCGGGGTTTCGGGATCTTGAGCAACTGCTTCCTGCTCAATACTATCTTCTTCATCTGGCACAGCAACAACGGGTTGCTTACCACGGTTCGTGGGTGGGTTTCGTTTCGGTCCGACCATTTTGATTGGTGGATTTTGAGTTCGAGGTCGAGTCAAGTCTTGGCTGTACGATGCCAAGGAACGAAAGTGGAGATGAAGCGGGACCGAGACCAATCACAATGATGGTCCGTACGGTCGTGCTGCTTTGTTTGGAAATGGAAGTGGTACTTAGTATTATGTTACGAGCTAGTTCTTTGAACAGAAAGAGTGCATTCAACGAAAATACTAAGTACAGAGAGAGAGAAGAGAAAGAAAAAGGGGATTGGTTGGCCCAAGGCCTTTTGTGGGGCCTTGGTGCAAAACTTGCAAACACCATCCTCCAAGTGGCTCAACCTGGCAGGCGGTCAGCAACGGCAGAACTACAGTCGTCAACTCTAGATCGTGACAAGGTCAACTTTTTTTATATAAATGAGGGCCGATGAGGGCCGCTCGAGGGCGGCCCTCAGAGGGCGGAGGGTCGGGCGAGGGCAGGCAAGTATCAGCCCTCCGCCCGCGAGGGTCGGGCGGAGGGCGGGAGATGCCGGCCCTCTAAATGTTTTTAATGAGGTCTAATTATCATAATAAGGAATGGGAAATATTTGGAAATTCTGGTGAATTAAGGTTTATCTTAGATATCTTAGTATGAAAACTAAGCTTTATAACGCGTAAACTTATAAGGTAGTATCGTCGCGATAACGCTAGCCTTTTATAAATTCGGGATTAATTATCACCTAACGTATTAAGCATCCCCTTTCCTTACTCTATTTAAGATAAAATGAAAGGTGCTAATAATTATTAGTTAGTTTTAATATAATTAGGAATAATATTCATTAAGATATAAACCCTATAATATAAGCATTTATTTGACTTATAATAAGCACTTAATTCGATGATAGCCCCTACTCTTACACCCGAGCTAGTAAATAAAGAGAGAGAACTTCCGGTCTACACGCGTACTCTCTTATATATATAATCGTGATAGTTATCTATAAATAGGTGTTAAAGTAGGTAATCTATATCCTTTCCGTTAACTAGGAAGCGCTCTCTAGGTTTTATAGGGAGCTTATATTTCACTATTAGTTCGGTTCTAATAAACTATTGTTTTTTTAATTAGCTACGAGCTCTAGAAAAGGATAATTATTACCCCTTACGTTAAGAACGTCGTCCTTAACTTCCTTAGGAAGGGATTAAGAAGTTTCTCGCTCCCACTTTAACGTAAAGCTAGTGAAGTGACTATAAGCCGAAGTTTAAGACGGAACTTTTTTATATGATTTAATATACAACTCTACGAAAAGTTTTAGAAGCTTAGGAGTCGGAATAGGTAGGTTAGGAAAATCTAGGTTAGTAGACTCATTACGAGAAATCCTCTATCTACTAATAATTAGGAACTAAGATCGGTAAAATATAAGTCAAACGTATAGAGCCTAATTACTAACTATATAGTCGTATTTCTCTAGTGTAGTAGGCGCTAGCTTAGGGTGGCATATAGTATTACCCTCTTTTTCCTTCTCGTCTTAGTATTCACGTATAAAGCCACGTGATATAGAACGTGTAAGACGCTGTCGAATACTAAGATTGAATACATGGTGGAAACAAGGTATAATACCCAGAAAATCATGTGACAACTGGTACCACCCATACCATACAAAAGTGCATATTACAGTTAGTCATCTATGTCCGCCCAGATTGTTGAAAACGCGGGTTTTGTCATTTTAGTTAGTTAGAGATTCCAATATATCTGATTTTGCCCATACGTTGTCATACAGCCAGATTTCTGTCAGACGCTCCTAGAGTGCTTTCGGGATATTCTATTCGGAGAACATATTTTGAGTGGTAAAGAAAATCAAAGAAAATCATGGCAGAGTAACAAAAGGGCCTTTAGGCTTGTATTATATATTGCTCTTAGAGCGGGTATAGGCTTGGAGTGAGTTGGCCCCTATCACCCTTAGGGTGAGAATTGTCACCCCGTTCTCACCTCTCTCACCCTAGTCTTAAGACTTCTCACCCATATCACCCGCACTCACCCTAGAGTGCCGCTGAGGTGCTAAGGGCGCATTGAGTATTGACTGTGCAGAATAATGGGCTTAAGTACGGCTGAGCGGACGGGAAGCCCTGTTTTCCACACCCTATGGTCGTATGTAACATATAACGTGTAAGAGAGAATTATAGTATGTAACTGGTGATTGGGATGACGTTTGACCTTGGAGCCCTAAATAACTCTTGAGGCTTACCTAGGTGAGAAGAGTCTAGCATCAGCCCTCCATATTCTACCGCACAGCATAGAACACTCGAATGTCGTAGAACACGAAAGTGACGTGGTGCGGATGGCTCTTAAGCTTCACCTCGGGAATTTTGTATGGGCAGTGTGAATAGTCAACTTTAAGACTCCTCTGTTGGCACAGCGTGCATCTCCATCCATTCGGTTAACTTATTGAATCGGCGACATTTGTGGTGGGTCGAGAAATCTGCCTCGGCCCCTAGCGGCTTCGACTCATCCAGCCTCACCAGCACGGGCGTCACATCACCTGCACACATGAGATGAATACGCAGCGTCTCGATGCAGTGGTCGACATGTATTCTTGACATCTCCGGCGATCTCTGAAATCCTTCCGGTGGCACTTCGTAGGAGTCTAGGTACGTGTATTGTCGAATCAAGTTCTAACACGAAAAATCAAAATCAGTCACCCAAATCAGATACATAGGTAGGTCATTATCCACATACCAGACAATGTAGCTGATGGAACACTTCTACGTTAGCTTCGGCGCCTCCGCCATATTGCATGGGTGTTTGCTTCCAATTCGTATCCACCGACCGATTGAGCGAGGATAACTTGTTTAAAGGAACGTTGATGTCGTTATCTAGGCATCTTTAGCGGGTTGACCGGAGGCTAAAATCTACTGTAATACTTACGTCTCCAAAGACGATCCCATGCGATTTCTAACTTTGGAGTCGGCGATCCCCGATAGATAGACTCCTGAAGGAACTCGTTCGCCCAGTCGACCTCGTAATATTCCACTGCCTCTAGCATTGGGGCTAAAATGGTTGCAATTAGTAAATCTTTCAAGGGGGTTCGGATCACTCGACCAGGCAACTTAGAACCCACAGTAAGATGATAACTGTATCGCACATTTATGATCACTGGGTGCAAGAATGATGAGCGATGCAGCAAATAGCAAGCAGGCCCCTCCAAACAATGCAATAGAAATGGCCGTTAGGAGCGGGGCCTGGCAGCAACATCGATGGATGTGGGATTTCTTTATCCTGCTAAGAGCCAAGTTCTGTTGCTCTCCACGTTCTTCCACTGAGAGGTCTTTTTGAGATTGCGATACCCTCATATAAGACGATGCGGCCACCATTTCGCTTTTTGTTCAAATATTAGATGCCTTTTCCTCTTAAGAGTAAACCTGTGGGGTGTTAGGAAGTAACTATAACAGAGTGAAAGAAGGAGCTGGCAGCTTCGGCCGATTATCTACCACGACTCCCAAAGCCTGAAGTAAGTGAGAATCCTCGAGATGCTTATTGAAAGCCTTACAAGGGTCTGCCATTCTGAATTTGGCTAGATATCCCGCTACAAATAAGTTATCTATCTTTCCGCATGAGGCATGCATAATTTCTCCTCTCCAGTGGAATCCGTATCTACCACTAGTCATACAACCGAAGGACGTGTGGCCGTATCACACAACTGCGTACGGAGTATTTGTTTTTATTTAGCGCTTGTGGGCCATGCAGGTTTACTGGCATTGATGTTCATGCATTGTAACCCTGATTATCGTACTAGAAATCATGCCCAAGAGAACATCCCCGTAATGGTGTTGCCAACCCTGCAATTGACGCCAAACGCTGCATGTTGGTATCAAGATAGCAAAAATATGGTGACACCGGCTTCCCTGCTAGCCTCGTATTTCTCAATCATAAAGAGAGCATTGGTGGAACATGTACTTCTGTCTAGTTAGGTATTGATAGGTCACTCCAGTAAGTGCATTTGCTTCTGGACTTCAGAGACGCGACTATAAAGAGCGGCTATTTCCTATGCTCTTTCACGCCCAATCTGCTTTTTCATTCTATCCAATATACACACATATCAAAGCCTAGATTTTCTCTCTCATATTGTCAAAATGAGATTCTCGTCTGCTTTGCTTGTTATGCTCTCTGCTTCTTTTGTAGTTGCAGTCCCTGTTAGCTCACCCAAGGAAGAAGCCGCTGCGGCTTATTGGTTCAACAATGCCTACGTGGAGACAAGCTCTCCTGAGGAGGACGCCGCTGGCGCTGAGCGGTTCGGCAAGGCCTACGTGGAGGCGTCGAAATAAGCCACAGCAAAGGTTGGCTTATTGTCTATTACCTTTTACTGGAATTGGTTGCTGACTGGAGCACTAGAGCTCAGCCTGTTGGTACACCTATTGTGCGATCATGCCGAGTAATTTAACGTGACGATCGATGTATGACAACGGGCTTTTATGAGAGTTTGAGGGCCTTCCTTTCATGAATATGAGTTCTCATTTACGTTGCAGTACAAAGCCATTCATTTGATTTGAAATTTCTCGTTTTTATCTACAAGTCGTTCACAGGTGCTATTTAGTTATTCAAATAGCTGCAGATAAATTTCAACCCATATCTCGAGGTACACGAAACTCGATATTGATGGCGACAGACAGAAAGGCCCATTGCAATGTTATTTGGCTATCTCAAAGTGTATTTCTTCCGGCACTCCAATTCATCCGTAATTGCATCGTTGCGTTGTAGCTTCGTCCCTTATGGTGGGACAGGGGGAAAAAATACAAAAAAGAAGACCGAGTGTGGAACACGACAACCTGATTTGCAACCAGACATTCGAACACTAAATTATCGGTGCAGCAGCAACCTAAAACGCTAGGCTATCGGGGCTGATTAGTATTTATTTTAAGGTCTAGAAAATAGAGCATAAATATAGCTAGCGTCACATCCTAAGCTATATATCGTCTAGGGTAAATTGGCGCAGCACGAGATAAAGGATGTCTCTTAGAGGTACAGTGACGGTCCATAGTATCAATGTTATGCGGGGTAATCCGGTTTCGAATATGCCAGTACAGTGGTATCTGTGGTGTCCCCAGGCACCAATCTCCGCAAGAACCTTAATATTTTTCTACTTGGACATTACCATGTAAAATATTTTCGAGTCTACAGGGTAGATAAGATCATGAAAAGCACAATGTAATGTATTGTGGAGTTGTGTGTTAAACTACGAAAGTGAGATAGGAGGAAAGGAGATGGTAATCTACCATGGGATCATGTGATCAGAGATTCGAACAAAATAACAATTAAATCCTCGGCTTTTAATATTTTCTGCCGGAGCGGTGTGGTGAAAGCCTAGTTAAGGGAGAAAGCCCCCCTATTATGCCCATCTCATATATCAATTCGAGGTAGAATTTCATACTATCAACCCTTTAGTTCCTAGCTATCTTGTGCGCTCTGGGACAACCAGATAGAACAAGAATGGTGGGCGTACCTCATAGTAAAGGATGTTTGCAGTGTATAAGCCGCAAGGTCAAGGTTAGTGTTGATATATTGCAGTACCATGTCATTCCGAACCTCTCATCCGTTTTCTCTGCAAGAGGAATCTTAACAGAAAGTCCGGTAACATGAACTAAAGCATACATAGTGCGATAACAGTCGTCCGGAATGTCTGCGGTGTATCAACTGGGGTTCGGAATGCCCGGGCTATGATCGTGGTCACAAATTCAAGGACCAGACGCGATATATAACCCTAAAACACGGTCGACCAACAATGGACGAGGCCTTTGCTCCAAATTTGACCTACGAGGCGATCAATGTCCAAACGCAGGAATCATTCGAAGTATGGTTGGACTACCATTTTCCAAGTTACCTCGCTTCCTTCAACTCCCGCGTGGAGATGAATTGGATGAGGTTTATACGAAGCAGGTGGTCCACATTTCCCCAGGAACTGATCTGGGCAGTCCGCGCCTTAACTTCTTTGCGCATGGGGGCGGCACGAGGCAATGAAGAAGCCATAGTGTGCGCTCGTCATATGTATGGTCGGGGTATAAACCATCTGGCCTCTCTCCTACATACTCGGGCCGCACTAGCAGATGAGACACTTGCAGCTGCGATTTTGCTAGGGGGCTATGAGGTTCTAGATGGTAGTAGTGATCGCTCGTGGATCATTCATTCACATGGCATCCGTCAGCTGTTCTGCGCCCGTGGCCCTTCAGCACATACACATGGCATGGGTCGGACTCTTCTCATTTCTTGGCGGCCTTACCTAGTCGCAGATGCCTTTATCCATGCGGAGCCTTGTTTCTTGGGTGGTTTGGAGTGGACGTGCGTATCAACTATCCAGGAGATTCCCAGGGCAGAAGACCGGTGGCAGGAAAGTAGTCTACTGGGTCAGACGATGGACTATGCATTTAATGAAGTCGCCAAATGCCCTGGATACTATGCAATGACAAAATACTTTACGACGTCGGACACATATATCGATCAATCCATACTGACTGGCCTGGTGAGCTGTATTCTCAAATCAAGAGAAAGTCTTGTTCAGTTTCACGGCATGCTCATGGAAACGGATCCCCCAGCGTCCTTTGTTGGAGTGATTCCATCGACTTACGCAACAACCCTGGTACAGGGAACTCGCGATGGAATCAATTCTGCTGTCGCACTACTCGACCAATTAATGACGTTGCTTAAGTCTCATCTAAATAGGAGAACCAAACCTATATTAATGGCAGACTTCGATGATAAGCGCCAGGAAGACCCATGGCGTCTTTTTGCGGGAGTTCAGGCTCCCAGAACCAATACGAATCAATCACTCCTTTCTCGAGATCAAAACGACCCGAGTTTAAGTATCTATGCTATCAGGGATCAGTTGGATAAATTTTCGTTAACAATGGGCATGGGTAGTCTGGTACCAGATGCATGCGGTTGCCCACAATTCTCAGCGCATATCTGACGGAACATCATTCCAGACCCTTTCTTCTCATTGGCCCTGGTGCCTTCTCTTTGCAAATAATCTGGTTCGGATCGACCTCACCTCATAAGTACGACATAAGTACGACATGGATAGTCGAGTCAATGGAACATAGCGAAAAGAAATCTACAAAGACACTTCGTGTTACCCTTCAGATACTGAGCCCCACAACTTAGGTTTCAAGGGGCATAGAATGTAGCGCCATGATAGACATACCAATCAATTTTTGTACAAAAAGACAAAAACATACAACAGTGAGGATTCGCTGGTGGTCACCCACCCAACTACTAACTCACCGGCGTGTGGCTTAAGTACGGCTGAGCGGACGGGAAGCCCTGTTTTCCACACCCTATGGTCGTATGTATTAGGTTACCTGTGGGAGAGAATTATAGCATACAAGACTAGAAGTAATTGGTTGGCTTGTAAATCTTGGTCAGAGAAGGTTGTTGGGTGTGTGAGCGTAGTACTTTGTAGCTGGAGTGGACAGTTTCTAATGTCACTTACCAAAGACTGGTCTCTATACAATGTAGGGGGCCGATTAGTCCTTACCCTTGTCTGAGAGCTGGCTCAGTTGCACGTCATGAATCTCAGAACCAAGCAAGGGCGTAGCCTCCTCGACCTCGGCCTGGCCCTTGAGTAGGAGGTTTGGGGAGGAAGCATCGGCGCCTTTGCCGTAGTCGTAGTGCTTACCATGCTCAAGAGGATGGTATTTGAAGGGCGTTAGTTGTGATAGCCATGGGGCATTCGAGCCTTATTCATGAGAACCCTGTGCTTCAGTGCCAGTTGATTTGCCCTAAAATTCTATAATTTATAGACTAAAGGATTGATTTATAAATTTTTTCATTTTCGCATGTCTAGGGGAATAGACAATTGAATTTTACTTCCATATTCATACTTTCTAGACAGCCTTTACGTGCTGGATTCCTTTAGTTCCACTGCATTAACTTAACTAGCGCATCTTGCTTTTCAAGACAACGCGATTTGCCGACCTCGCTGTCGTCATTAAAGCGAAGACTATGCAAATGTTTCGAGTAGTAGACAGCATGTAAATTGTGAATGAATCAATCCTCCGGCAAGCTAGGTAGAGAAAGTCAAGAAATATGAACTTATCCAGCAGGATTATGTACAAGATCTTTGTATTTGATAAACGACCTATTAAAAATATATAATAATGAATGGGCTCACAACCGTCAGACCAAACATATTTCCATCCACAAGAACCAAAAAGCTCCAAACTTGGTGTATATGCGTACATCTAAATCAATTAAGAGCTAGCCTCAAGCTCGCTCAGAATCTCATCAGCAGCCTTCTCGGCAACCATGTAAGTAGACACAGCGGTGAAAGTACCGGGGATCTTGGGGTAAACGGAAGCATCAACGACACGAAGACCAGAGACACCGCGTACACGGAATTTGGAGTCCAAGACAGCTCTTGGGTCATCGTTGGCACCAATGGGGCAAGTGCAAGAGGCATGGTGGCCCCAAGCGCCATCCTTGATGTAGTCCTTGATATCTTCCTCGGATTGGACATCAGCACCGGGGAGAACCTCGGTGACGTTGACGAGCTGGCGCTTGAACGCGTCACGGGCAAGCTCGATGGCTTCGTAGAGCGCAGTGAGATCAGCATCGTAGTCGCCGACACCGGTGTCGAAGTAGTTGAAGGTGATCTTAGGCATGTCGAGGGGATTAGCGGACTGGAGAGCGACGGTACCGGCGGAGTTGCGGGGGTGAGCCTTGAGAATAGCCCAGGTGAACCAGTTGTGCTCGTCAGTCGCGTTGATGCTGTAGTCGGGGAAGTAACCACGGAAGTTGACGGGGCCACCGAATTCGAAGATGTCGAAGTCATCGCCGGCCGTGGAACTTTTGTACAGCATAGTGGCGGCGAGACCGGGGGATGAGTAGATGCCGTGGTCGCCAAGAATAGGAGTCTCCCAGTCCTTGATACAAGGGTCGTCCTGGCCGCGAATGCTAAAGGTGCACTTGTCCAAGCAGGAGAAGTCCTCCTCAACCTTGCCCTGGACGGAGATCTCATAGTGGTCTTGGAGGTTGGTGCCGACACCGGGGAGATCCTTGATAACCTTGATGCCAAACTTCTTGAGTTCTTCGGCGGGTCCGACACCACTCAGCTTGAGGATCTGGGGAGAGTTGTATACTCCGCCGGAAACGATGACTTCACGAGAAGCGGTGGCGGAACCGGGGGTACCGGGAAGAGCGGATTTCGACATGGGGCTGGCCTTGTAGAGGTGCTCGCCGTCGAGGAACTCCACACCTGTGGCGCGCGGTGGGGTTTCGCTCTCGTCGAAGGTCACCTTAGTGACGTGGGTGTTCATCCGGACATCAAGAGGGTACTTCTTGGAGCCATCGAAGTTCTTGGCATCGCGTACAGCGATGATGAACTCGCGGGGACCATTACGGTGGGCATCATCGGTGGCAATAGGGATCTGGTAGTAGCCGGGCTCGGTGTCACGGGTCTTCTCATCAGCATTAGCATCGCCAAGGAGCAGAGTGCCAATGTTCATAAGGTGATCGGTGAAGTTACCAAGCGCAAAGGCACCACCGGTGAGCATGCTCAGTAGCTGGGTATCCTTCAACACAATGCTGAGGGGAGCGGTTTCAGTCGATAACCAGCCGTCGTAACCGTGGCCCTTGGCTGCCGGAAGCGAGTAGCCGTTGTTCTCCAGCTTAGTGAAATATTTGCGCATGTTGTCGGGTGTCCAAGAGTTATCGCCGGTGATAGTCTCAATGTATTCAAAGTCAGACTGGTGGGGGTAGACTGCAATTAAGGCGTTGTGGGCAGTGCAACCACCGAGGGTACCTGTACGAGGGTAGAGAGTTCCCTTCAAGGTCGAGCCCTCGGGAGGGCTCAGACCGGTGTATATCCCGCCATCAGGCGTATCGTAGCTAGCTTTCCAATCGCGAGCCTGACGCTCTTCGTCTTCGTAGTGGTGAACGAAAAAGTTCCACGCAAGCTTCTCGTCCTCGGAGGCTCTGGCGGAGTAGGCAGGGATGGTGTAGTTGTAAGTTTCACCCTGGTCATCACCAGCCTCAAGGAGCAGTGTCTTGTGCCCGGCTAAAGCGAGGCGGGCGGCCAGAGGACCACCACCAGCACCAGAACCGACAACGACATATTCATAACCGGTGATGTTAACGGCCTTGGCCAGGCCGGACGTGGCGACCAGCAGGCCAAAGATATAAGAAAGAATCATATTGATAAAGAATGACTATGAGTGAGTTGGCCTTCCAAAAGAGGGATCATCCGGCTTTTATGCACCGTTTTCCCCCTAAACAACGGGGATGTTCGCATCGTTCTCCATTTTTACCAAAGCCGTTGAAGACTTGGCCAGCGTGCCGCGGCCGCCACTAGCCCATGGCGATCAACACGCAGGTAGCTCAGCCTAGTACTTTTCCAGGATCAATTCCCGAACGATCATCGGTAGTTTAATTCGCACTTCGTACATTACTGCTGATCATCAAACCGTATCCACAATTTTCGGGGGTTTCTCCTTTCCTGAACAAAGCCTGGCCGGCAGTTCGCTCTGCCAAGACATTGCGGATAATTTTTTTTAAAGGAGATTCATTGCAATCCCTGTCATCCATAGGCTCAATATGTTATATGCCAGGTCCTAATCAAAAGAGTGCAGTCAATTTAAGATACTATAGTTAGGGAGCGAAGGAAGAGAAGTGGAGGGAGGGCTAACCCAGAAGGGCAAAGGTAGCAAACCCTACTTCTGCAAACCATGCAAACATTCCATAAACGAGCAAACAAGCCCTGGAGTGGACAAATAAAGAAAGATCATCTGCCATGTGACAGGGGTACGACAGGGGTGACATGTGTCACGGCCCTTACCGAGCCCACCACGGCCAACTCCACCCGAACCAGCAGAACTGCCAGGCTATACATGTCAGACTCCATTTTCACTATCCCTGAAGAAGACTATTTTCAACGGAGAAAGAAAGCGGGTATCTGATATTGGCCAGCGTCTGTACTGCGCAGAAGCAGAGCTCAGCCACGTGGGCAGCCTTGGCTGCTTCCTGCTAGATTCAATATGAGTGTCGCTCTGCAAACGTCTGGTGGATATTGTGAAAAGAGGATCGCGTATCAACTGTAAGATGTGCGACACACGTTCAATTGACAGAAATGGGAGTAGTTCCCCAGGAAGAAATCAAAAAAAGCTTACGAGGAGAGGGGCGGTGCCTTTCAACTACGTGACCTTGTCTCAATGCAATCACCTGCCCGTAAGACTTCACCTTGAAAGATTCATAAGGTCCATGATCTACCAATCAACAAAACTGTTAAACGTTCACTGGTAGGCTCTCCTTTTCAAGTAAATGTAGCTTATAACTGAACTTAATCTGAGCATTCAATAAAAGCTTTCTAGAGGCAGTCTCTTTATGTTATGTAGCCAGTGAGTCTGCATGACAGACAAAATTTATCAGAGGCGAGATAGGTCTCGGTCAACCTAAAGCTCGCAATTTATTTTACCAAGGAACATTCGAAGCTATCAAATTAAACCTCGAAGAGTGGTCAATATCTGCCATTGGGAGAGGTAAGAGCGTAACCGATGTAGCAAAGCAGCCCGCCTAGTGAGTAGTCGGACGAAGATCAGCAGACCACAAAGACGACACGGGTTGGGAAAGATTAGACAAGCTTAACTTTGTTTGACCTATCGTCAAAATAGATGGTTATCCATGGGAAGGTTCCAAGGTTGCTATAGACTTCAAGCCATTTGCGGTCGTGACCTCATGACATTGGGACATAAATCTCGAGTCTCGATTAATCTGCAGGTACCCCTGAATACGGTCGAATACCACTATTTATGACATTGCGGCGTTGTGTCATTCGAACTCTCTGCTGTGCGGGCGGGCTGTCAAATCCTGTCAACGTGTGGGTGTCCGACTTCCTATGGAAATACGGAAGATCATCACATGCATGAAGTAGAGTTTGTAAAGCATAGATATTAGGCTGGAAGTCCCTTACTGGGAAAGGAAATAAATCACCAACTAAATATCGAAGAGGATGGGGACCGCAGGAGATGGCTACTGAAGCCGGGAGGGTACGACAACGTATCTCCAAGCAATGCGAGGTTATGGAAGTGACACCGTTCCCACGTTCATAGGGTGATTATGATAGGATTTCAGTACCCAACGGGATGTCCCGTCTGAGAGGTTGGGGTATGGATTTGTTTTCTTATTTTGTTTTTGTCTCTTTTTGTTGATACTGACGAGTGGATCTTCAGATAATGGTACAATGGTTTTGCCGTGTCTAAACTCACTACGGAGTACCAGGAACTGACACACTTGTGGAACTGACACACTTGTGGAATGTGACCACACTCCCATCCAGGACGATCATTTTGACATTCAGTTTTGCAACTGCAAAACCAAATATTTATTTGACACAAGTAATTGCTTGGAGGATGACCTTGGAAACAAAACCGAAAGAACACTAGTAGCTACACGCCTACAGTATTTACCGAGTCCGCCTTGGCCTGAGTTATGAGTGAATTTATTCTCAAAAGACTAAAGTAGTAAAGTAGCAAAGTAAGAGCAACCCTTTGAAGTACATGCGGAATCCATACTAAACTATTCTGGACAAAGGCTTCCATGGTAAACCCTAAATTTTAGTTGTGGCGGATTTAACCTTCCATGAATCAAGTACATACCAGTATATTTTGGGAAGGTGAAAGTCAAATATTATGTTTTCTTTTACTGGTAATTGGACTCGATCACATGGGCATGGTTGAATAGGGCATAGTAGCAATCCATTGCCAAAGGCCGCAAAGGCAACATATAATGGACCCATCCTTCCCTTTCTTTCTCCGAATTTTCCTTCCTGCAACCATCCTGTCCAGCTATCCAATACCCCTACCATCGTTACCCATCTGCTTTATCATGACTCTTCCATGACTTGAAGATAATAACGTCCTTTCACTGAGTTTGAGGGTGAAGAACGCAAGGCACTCAATGCCTTGAGCATATTGTATTTATAGTGCAGACCAACCCGAGCCTGAGACTATCAGAGTCGGAATCGCACGAGCAAACTGACTGGGTTCCGGTAAGAGTACCTCGTCTGTCTTAATCTGACCAGTCCCTATCCAGATAGGTTGTTCCCTGCCGCCCTCGGATTATGAAGCCTATTCGCCAGCATCCATAGGGGACTTCGACAAATCTGGCGGCACAGAAGAACCAGGACATCCGACCGGGGGGTCGGTTTGAGGTAGCTGCAAAGATTCTGAGGTGACAGCCGAGTGGCCGAGTGAAAACTTCAAATCGTCGACGGAGACGTGATGGACATCGAGCGAGTCTGAAACTTGATCACACTCAGCATACAGGTTCGCCAATCCGTCACAGGTCCTGGATTTGCAACGAAGGCTAACTCGCGTTACTACAATCCAGAGAGCTATTGGCTACAAAGACCACTAGAGACCACGACCCCAACTGAGATTCTGCAAGACGTGTGTCTGCAGTGCCCGACACGCAGCGACCGCGACCCCGACCCCGGCGAGAGTGAGACTTGCTAGACGTGTGTCTGCATTGCCCGAATCGCAGCGACCCCGACCCCAGCCCGAGTGGGATATTGCTAGATGTGTGTCTGCATTGAAGCCTGAGTGCACAGCGAGCGAATATCATACGACACCCGGGTTAGCTCTCACAAGGAGTAACTCGGCCGGTCTTCCTAGAAGACCGGGGTCCCCTGGGAAGCAGCAGGCTCTCAGGGGATCCAACAGCCGCGAGCTTGGACCTCTACGTGGTGCTGTTGACTAGTAGCCTTTTGGTGAAGCCAACGAAAGCTCATATTCCTTTCCCCTTTCCATCCCTCTTACAGTATCCTGCCATTTCTAGACTGAAGCATCTCTCGGAATAGACAGGGGAGACTACACAGTTCCTTGGTCCTTATTCTCATGAAATAGACGGAGAATCATGTTCCGTTGCCCGCTAGCCTGCTCGATACATCCAATAAGATGATTGGAACTTACAGGGGTGCTTGGCATTTGGGAGCCTTTTCCCGCGTTGGTAACAATTATTTTCATAACACCAGGATAATGTAGTATGCATGAATGGGGCATCTGGATGCACATTTGGATTATATTGACTGACTATGCATGTATTACGTACGTACCTTCTAGGCGCAAAAAGGGGGTATAACAAAGTCATCAGGGGAAATATTTCGAAAGCCAAACTAGTATTCATGCCAAGATGAATAAAACAACGTCTTCTTTTTACCCCGCAATATCGGTATAATAGAGACCGACAACTAGATGACGCTATAAAGTAACTCGAATTTGAAAATTGACATAGTTTCTGACATCTCAAGGAAATCAGTTGGCACGACATCATCAAGATGCGACTGTTATCGGTTTGTCTGGCCACCCTTCTGGCTGTCTCGGCCAAAAGTAAATACATTGTCCCGGGAGGTAGATGGCGCGACACAAATGGGAACTTCATTAATGCGCACGGTGCCGGAATCACCTTTGACCAGAAGTCCGGCCGCTTCTGGTGGTTCGGCGAATATAAGACAGAAGATGAGCCGGAGGGGGGAGGCGTCTCTGTTTATAGTTCGGAGGATCTGAGTACCTGGAAATCGGGGGGACTGGCCCTAGGTGACTCTCCCTGGCCCTGCTGGAGATATGTTGATATTCTAACACGTACAGCTCCAATCAAGGGACACCCTTATATCGCTCCAGGTGGTGTTATCCAACGACCTAAAGTGGCCTACAGCCCGGAGACTGAGGATTATCATGTATGCATGCAAACTTCTTTTATTTTATTGCATTTTGAGGCTAATTGAACAGATGTGGTGGCATGCAGATAACTCCACCTACGGGATCCTTCTCCAAGGCCACGCGGTGTCCTCCACGATCGCCGGGCCGTACACTTTCGTTGACGCAACAGCGCCCCTTGGAAACTGGTCTCAGGATTTTGGCTTGTTTACCGACTACAAGGACGGCCGATCCTATGCCCTCTACTCGAACGGGGATAGTCAAGATGGACGAGATGTATACATCTCCAGCATGAACAATAACCTCACGGCGCTCGATAAGGTCGTGCATCGATTCCCAAAATTCGATCTTGAGGCTCCTACTATTGTGCAGACAGAGAAGAGCTACTGGGCACTTATGAGCCATAAGACGGGATATAGGCCGAACAGTAAGAGATCCACTTCACGATCATGTATGGATTATTTGACTAACGTTTCAGACGTGGTGGCATTTCGGGCCGACTCGCTAAGCGGTCCCTGGTCGCAGCCGTTTATTGTTGCACCGTTGAATACTAGGACTTTCAACTCGCAGTCTGGATACTCGCTCAGAATCGAGGGGACGAAAAAGACAACGCACCTATACATTGGAGACCAATGGGACTCCAATTCTGTTTGGGACAGTCGTTATATCTGGTTACCAATTCAGACTGATGAGTCTAAGAAGACTCTCGAGTTAGAGTGGCACGATGTTTACGATCTTGATGTGTACGTATCCTTTTTGTGATTTTTCACTATGGCATACATACTAACTGAACACTAGCAAAACTGGGGACTGGAAACCTGTCAAAGGAACAACATACACTGCGAAAAAGGCAAAGACGCACGGTGATACATATAAGCAAGAAGCTGTGAGTATAGTTCTACTATTTCAGACACCAGACTAACTGTGGCTAATATGATATTCTGAAAGAACTTTGCTACCGATGGCATTATTCTCACTGGAATATATGGGAACGACAGCACTGTTACGTTTGAAAATATTGAGGGATCTGGAAAACCCCAATGGGTGTCGTTCTACTATCAAAGTACGTTTGTGATTTTTGATTTCTATCTCCCTATCCAATACTAACATTATTATTAGACACTGACGATTTGGGTTTCGGCGACCAACGTAATTAAACTTCCCTTGATGTCTAGAGCTAAGTCATGGTTCTGATATTCTAACACGTTCAATAGCAGGAGGTACCCCAGACAGAATCGGCGGTTCATGGCAACTACGTCGGATTAGCAGTGTGGTGGTCAACGGAGACCCTTCGAGCATACAAACTCTATACCAACGAGATACCCACAAAGGTGTCATCCTCTCCACTCCGCTGCAGCTGACACTGAAAAGGGGGAAGAAGAACACCATTACAGTCGGGGGGCTATATAATGGGTTTGATTACAAGGGTGCGGATTTGGATCGGATAATTGTGTATCCTACTGAGAGGTAATATTGGGGAGATCTACGTGAGAACGTTAGTTAGGAAAGGTAATTAGCAATCTCTAGACCTATAGTCGCAAAAGGGTGTTTGACCACAGTCGTTTTTTTTGTCTCTAAGACTGGGGTATATATATCGGCTAGCCTCAGTATGTTCTCTGACGATTCAATCATTCATTTCCCCGCTCGGTCGCTCGCTCTCCCGGGCGCGGGACACCTCATATGTTCGGTGTCCGCCAGGCAAGTCAATAATGGGATCGCGACTTAGTTCTCGACCTGTCTATTGCGAACTTACCTTTCTTACGCGTGATGCTAAACTTACTAGTTGATTCTCAATCACTTTCATTATATGATTTCTTCCTTCACATAATATGGTACATACGACCATAGGGTGTGGAAAACAAGGCTTCCCGTCTGCTCCGCCGCACTTAAGCCACGTATTTAGTCTTAGGTCACTAATATAATCAACCCTACCATAAATAATAGCCTCCAGGCTAGCCTTCGCCCTACTGTATAAGAGAACTTCACTATAAAGGGAATCGATATTAATATATTAACATGTATGTCTAAGTTGGTAGCTCTAGCATGTCTAGTCTCTACCGTTATATCGGCCGAGATATATAACTAAGGTATTAACTCTCTCGCCCTAATTTTAGCTCGATGTACTATAAAGGCTATAGATCTACTAGGATATATAAGTGCCTACTATATATATATCTCATACTAGGGTGTCGAGACCTGGGTAAACTATATCCGATTCCTTTCAACACTCCGTATAAAGATAGAGGACTCCTTCTCGCCGATTTGGGTAATCGCCTAATTTGGGACTTTGAGGTTAGGCAGAGTAGCAACCTCAGCATGTAATTGCTAACTACAGCACAAAAGCTGGTAAATCCGTAGGAAATTATACAACGGAGAGAAAGTTGTAACAAGAAGAAGAGAGAAATGAGAGGGAGAAAAGAGACAGAAAATAGTAGGTACACAAAATGTAAACAGAACTAAGAGTAATAAAATCATGAGGTCCGAATTGCAGCCATCAACTTCTTCCAAATGTGCCAATATCGGAATGCCCAAATGTGCTGCTTGATCCCCATAGCAAGTAGATAGATCAATTGACCACTGGCTTAGGCACAGTATCTTCGAGGTTTGCACCCTCCCCTTGGGCAATACCTGTCTGGTCACTAGGCTTTGGCACATTGTCATCGTACTTTGCATCATCTCCGCTGGCGATTCCGTTTTCTGCCACTGGAGGTATAGAGTTCCCAAGTGCTGGATCCTTGCCATTGGCAATTCCATTTTGGACAGCGGGGGTGGGCAGATTTTGATCGAAATTTGCGCCATTCCCATCGGCAATTCCGTTGCCGCTCGTAGGAGGTACAGTCTCTTGAAACTTTGCACCATCTCCTTTGGCGATTCCTCCAGGATGTAGGCCTTGATCTTTCCCTGAATCTGGCTTTGCACACCCTGAAGTACAAGGGAGCCCAACAGGGCCCTGTTTTCCATCAGCACCAGGGGGACCCCTGACACCCTGATCACCCTGCTTCCCTTGAGGCCCTTGCTGCCCCTGAGCACCCACTTGTCCCTGCGGCCCTGGAGACCCCTGTGGCCCTTGTGGACCAGCAGGTCCCTGAGGACAAATACTACAAACCTGTGGCTGTACAGGTTGAGGCAGAATAACTGGCTGTATAGGTTGAGGCTGAGTGACTGGCTGTATAGGTTGAGGCTGAGTGACTGGCTGAGTGACTGGCTGTACAGGCTGAGGCTGAATGACTGGCTGTATAGGTTGAGGCTGAGTGACTGGCTGTATAGGTTGAGGCTGAGTGACTGGCTGAGTGACTGGCTGTACAGGCTGAGGCTGAGTGACTGGCTGTATAGGTTGAGGCTGAGTGACTGGCTGAGTGACTGGCTGTACAGGCTGAGGCTGAGTGACTGGCTGTATAGGTTGAGGCTGAATGACTATATGTACAGGTTGAAGCTGAATAAATTGCCCACCGGGAATAACCTGGGGTGGGTACAGCATATGATGTTGCTCAAGTCCAAATAGCGGTCCTTGACCGCCCATATTCAGCATACCGATGAATGAAGGTTGCTGGGGTGGGAGGAAATTTGGCAGGCTAGGACCGCCGAGTGAACATATGCAGGGTCCACCTTGGCCATTTCCAAATTGAGGGAAGGGATTTTGCATGCCGACTATTGGTTGCTGCATTGAGTTGAGGCATGGTTGTTGGCCTGGTTGAGATAGAGAGACGGGCGTGCATAGTGTGTTAGATGTGCAGATGTAGGCGACTTGAGCCAAGGAGAAATCAATGAATATGAGGAATGCGATTGAAGTCGTTGAAGTGTCTATAATCTTCATTTCCTCCTTGATATGAAATGTTAGATAATGGGTGAAAATGTGCTGGATTAGGGCTTGGTGAGTTTGTATTGACAGGAATGAGTAGCTCAATATTCGCAGTTAAGATGTATCTATCTAAAGTATGTAGCAGATAAGTAGAAACGAATAATAATCTTATAATCTTAACGGATGGTTACAAGCCGGAAACGGGCATACGAAAGTTATGGGGACCAGTTGTTGACACGACGAGACGGCCATTTCCGTGTCCGAGAGGCCACATACCACGTTGCATGCACGTCGCACAGAGCATCGGAGTGTGGAGGCATTACAACGCTAGGGGCAGATGAAGACGGATTTAGTGAAAAATACTCCGCCAAAATATTCATATGAGCATTCGTGAATGTAAGAAACTGCGTAGTAGAAGTCCAATAGTATGATTCTTGCTCAGTTTCCGTCGAGATCCTCCTTAAGAAAGCGATCCTAACTAGTGCTGTGTAAGATATAACCATACTTGTCCTGCACAGGAATGACAGGCAGCTGCATAGTCTTCTCATCAACTGGGTTGAAGAACAACTTGTTGGCATAGTCCTTGTATCTATTGACTCGCTCCAAATCGTCCGGCCCGACACCATGAGGGAAAATGAAGATCTGTGGATGAGGACCTGTTTCAAGTCAGATAGAGGAAAGGTATAGTATGAAGAAAGGTAAATTTTGCATACGTGGATCCTTGGAGTTCTCTCTGCTCTTTTTGTAATACTCCTGATAGTCTTGCATCACCTGGCCGAAATATGCATGGGCAGTGAATGCATTCTCGAAGATCAGAACCCATTTGGGACGAACCTTCTGCCCGACACTCTGCATGCCATATGCATAGAATGCATTGAGGCGACCTGCTATCAGGTCTTCTTCCGCCTTTTGCTTTGTATTCTTGTCGTTCTTTTGATTATCCTTGATCTTTTGCTTCTCCTCCTCAACTGTACTGTTGTTCTCTCTAGCACGCCTTGCGGCCAGAACGTCGATCTTTGCTTCACCCTGCTGGCCTCCTACACCAACGAGTTTCTGTCCGTAGTCATTTAATTAGCCTTCTTTTATCGAGATCTTTGAGTCATATAGTCATGCATCTCTCAGTATAGCGTACCTTTTGATTGTCTAGGTCAAGATTGAGAATTTGATCAATACCAAGACCCTGAACTGTCTCTCCCAAGCCCCCTGCCGACAGGTTAATACGTCTTTTATCCATTCATCGGTATAGGGATGGGAGACCTCACCTGTTGCACCAAGTCCAGGTAGAGCCTTACCAAGCCCTCCACCACCTGCGCTGTCCGCTCCCGGCACATCCAGGCCACTCACTACTCCAAATAGATATGCTAGAAGAAGGCCAAGGGCCGTGAGTTTTAGGCTGGAAAGAACAGGCATTTTACCTATAAATAGCTCTTTTTCCGTGATATAAAAGGCAAAATCCGAGGGGGGAGCTCGGGATATCTGTAGTTCAACAGCCTTAGGATAGAAAGCGGCTTATAATAAGGAGAAAGACAGCAGCACGGTAAATTCTAAAAATGGGGGTAAGTCTACTGCCTATCTACAGACTCACACTGTAGATTGTCATGAATCATAGAATATAAATAAATGGGTCACGTCATACAACTCTGTGAGCGTTAGAATTTGACAAGACGGTAAATTAACTATATGTACTATTGCCTTCCCCTTCCAATCACATAGGTGAGTTAGCCGGTAGGCTTATAGGGCTTTTAAAGAGGTCGTAGCTGAGTGGGTTTGGAGCCCTAAAACGTCCTTCCCACTTCCACACCACCTTGCATCCGTCATTCTGAGTCTGTTTTCGGCAGTATGGGCCGTCTTTAGAGTTGAAGAAACATAGACTCGTATGAATGGATGTTGAAAAAGGGTCTTGGACCGAGCCGAAAGTCATACTTAATCCTGGGTCCGTGCGCAGCCCTTAATGATAGGGATGGGTATAACGTAGGGAACGAATGCGGCTGTGACAGCTTGTGACAGCTCATCTAGACCTGGTAAGTTAAACTTTGGCAACGGATATGCCGGATACTTACGTGGGACCAAGGGAAGAAAAGTATAAATCACCGCATTTATGTCAATGGACAACCTTTCTTTCCTCAGCCACAAGGGTGTTCCTATCACTTCATTTCCCCATCACTTCCCGTGCAGAAATGCAGGCCAATTTCCTTTTACTATGGGCTTTTATTTTTAATATGCATAGTGCCACTGCGCAATTCTATACTGGATGTATTGCTCCCCCTTGCTACCCACCAGGGTACGCCTCTTACTGCAGTGTTGTTCCCAATACACCGTTATGTCTTAGTCCTGGGAATTTGGGGGGGCTCCCCTTCCTCTTGGATGGAATGGAAATGGAATGGGCTACCAAGAATATCATAATCAGCATCTGTATCCTCATCATCAAATACGGCCACCGCCACCACCTCCGCCGCCGCCGCCTGGATACCAACATCCTTATCCTGTGCAACAACCCTATCCACCACCACCACCACCACCGCCGCCGCCGCCGCCGCCTGGATACCAACATCCTTATCCTATGCCTCCTTATTATCCTATGCCTGCTCCTTATCCCCTTTACCCACAACCACCCCGAGAACCAGATCGTCCGCCAGCTCCTAAACCTGATTCATGCCCTGTGAGCTCTGAGTGCAAGAGGGGGGACAAGGGCGAGAAAGGAGAAAAGGGAGAAAAGGGAGAAAAGGGAGAAAAGGGGGATAGAGGTGAAAAAGGGGAATGTGACTGTAAAATAAACAAATGAGGGATTGTGGAAAGCACTTAGAGCTACATATGAATCTCCCACAAAGATATTGTATCAAACAATCACATGTTTCTTCTTTAGACTGAGAGAACACCAAGTGCTCTCAATAAGCTGTTTGAAAGGCAACTGAAGAATGGCCGTTTGATATTGGGTAATTGTCCAAACAAAAACTGCCTTTATCTCTTTACAATAGCATAGTGACACCTATATGATATCCGCTATGCATAATTTCTACTTCCAAATGTTCTATGGCTTGTGGGTGAGGTTATGCACTCCGTTTGCAGATTGAACGCTGTAAAGCGCCTTTCAGGTGCTACAATGCTGATATGACTATGATAAGTGGATGATTTCATAGAAGGTGGGGTTAAACCGTACTTGTATGCCCAGTTATAGGATAATGTTCACTAGGAAAGCAATGTGGCTTCCTAATTACATGTGTCTTTATTCCCTCACTATATCAACAGTACCTCATACTTCTTCCACCGAAGAAGCTGGGTATAGGGACATTACATGCAGAACAGAACGTCTTGATTAATGCTTCTATAGTGGTATGAAACGTTTGGATAGGCATGCCATGCTATGTTATATTATGCATACATTACATTCGAAAACAAGCCCCCCCCCCCCCCCCCCCGGGACTAAAGCTTGTGGCATATGAATGGCAATAAGAATGGGGTGCGAGAACATGCAGATATGCCATAAATCAAATTTTAAATTACAATAATATTTCCGAAACTGGCACCTGCAACATTCCCCGGTATGCGTTAGTCCGGTCCGGGCCATGCTGATTTACAACGCGTTCACTGCCAACGAACATTTCTGGCAAGTCACCCCCGACTATCAGCCACGGGCCATTAAAAATGAATTTCAGATTCAGCTGAAGCTTGAAACGTTGTTTACGAGAGGGTCCCCATGGCTGGACTGAGCTGCATGCATCACTGGCAGCAACCGTCATTGATTCGCCGAGGATGTGGAACTAGGCTCTAAGCTAAAGTCTATTAACTTTTGATTCCGGCCATAATATAGCATTCCTCGGTACATGTTTGTACATGGCGCTGGTGGAATGCAAATGTGGCACAAGTCTTCAACGATTTAGAATTTTCTAGCTAAGTTACTGCATGAGAATGAAGGACATGACCTATACCAATACTCAGCTAGTATTTTCAAAGCCAATTAGCCCCTATTCATAGCACGAGCGACCCAATAGATCCTACTCTCTCCTCTATCGTTTTCAAACCCTGACTCCTGCCTGTCAGAAATTGAGCACTTCTGTGTAGGCCCTGTTGGTGCAATAACTCTGCAGGTTGACACTGAAGAGCATAGTGCAAGACATTCAAAAAGATTTTTCTCCGCACTCATTGTTTTCACGGGGTTTTTGAGCGTGTCCCTCTTGCTTGTGCAGAAGATTTCATATTTGACGCCACCCACATCCAATGTTGATTCATGGATATCTGGGCATTCGCTCTCTCGCGCCTTCTTGATGTTTTGTGGGATATCTTTCGATGGTCGAGCCTGCATTGCGACAGCAACAATTCCTTCAGGTGATGGGGCTGTTTCGACATCACGATTGGGGTTCCATGTGACGATGGAGCTGCCGCTAGCGCCAACTGCTTCACAGCCGGGCAAGGTTGAACAAATGACCATAGCCTCTTCAAGATGATGAGTGTTGAATACACTGTACTTTTCCCCAGCAATGACTCGCCGACAGGTTATCTTATATGTTACGCCACCAACCTTGACTTCTTTGCCATCGGTATTTGACTTAGGCTGGCAAAGCCGAAGGGTTTCGAGCTCCAAGAGTGACAAGTCTTGTTGAGTTGTGCTATTATTAGGACGTTGGTTGCCACCTTTGTCGTCCTTGTCATCTTTGTCGCCCTTGTCACCTTTGTCACCTTTGTCACCTTTGTCGCCTTTTTCGCCTTTGTCGCCGTTATCACCCTTGTCGCCTTTATCACCCCTGTCACCCTTGTCGCCTTTGTCGCCGTCATCTCCCTTTGGTCCATATTCACCTTGTTTCCCCTCTGGGCCCTGTTCACCTCTCGGCCCTGAATCACCCCTGTCCCCTTTAGGCCCAGGAGGACATTTCTTGCAATTGTCATTTGGTGGCCGAGGCCAATTGGGATTTGGCTGGGGAGATCCCTGTCCTTGATGTGTAAGGAAATGAAACCATGCATCATAGTAGCTCCGATCGGGGTATCCCGATCCTAGATGATTGAGTTAGTTCCCTGCACCTGGTGGTGGATGGAGAAGGACTCTCAGTACCAAAGGGATGTTCAAACCCGGGAGGGTAGAAAGGGGGCCTTAAGCCAGAAGGGCCGAATCCATTCACAGGCCCTGATAGTGGATGGAAATGGTAGCCAGGTTGAAGAGGGTTCCGATAGCCGGATGGATAATGGTAAAAAGGGTTCTCTGTCCCAGAATAGTACCCGGGTGGATATATTTGACTCCCGCATGGCTGAAATCCAGTGCCACCCCCGTAAGGATAATGCGGACAGTGTGCAGCACCATCGTTGCTTGTATGACAAGTGTTACCTGCACATAGCTGTACATGGATGGTGGAAATAAATGATATCAAGATCAGCAGGGATCTCATGGCTCAATAGATGTGGTTTGGGGTAGGGAGAAATACAAAAAGGAAAAGTCAAAGATCAACAATTGGGGAAGCACAATGATAGATTTGAGGTATTTTATTTGTTATTGAAGTAACAGCAGGATTTCAAGCAGCCATTGACTAGTAATAAGTCAAGGGCTAAAGGACGACCTGCCTCTCATTTTAGGCGCAGAATGCATCATTGGGAAGATTGATCATGATTCATCGAGTTTGTTAGAAGCTGCAAACAACATTAAATACCTTCATATTTTCTTGAATGAAATTCCTTTGATTGACCCCACCTAACAATGAAACCATAAAGGTTTTGAAGAAGCTCTGATTTAACTTTGTCCCAGAAAAGGCTTTCTGAACATGCATGTCCTTATGACACTAACACTTTACAACCATCACTCGCTATACCTACTTTCTGCTGCAGTCGTACCATGGGGATATCCAGGTGGAAGTCCTAGCTTTACGCATGATGTCAGTGTACCCTAAAGCTCGCTAATCAGTTGTCTTTTGATATTTCCACTGGTTGGGCCTACGCCAGAATATTTAAACCCGTCCTTTTTCCAGACAATAGACAGGCAGATTAACACTCTAGCAGCACATAACATTACCAACAACTCCTTCATCCAACCAGTCCCCAATCCTACCAAGTGGTCATTACGTCAATATGCCTCAACTATCTCTATACCTCAACTTCCTCCTAGCATTTTTCCTCATTCATCCTGTCCACAGTGCTCCATCAACCCCAATTCTACCCCTCCCGGGCCTCCACAACCTCTTCACCCCATGCCATGATTCTCCCATGGCACCAATCCAACCACAAAAGGACGAGCTAGGCCTCTATTATGGCAAATGCTACCGACTTGAAAACAACAAAAAGCAGAAGCTAGGCTACCAACAAGGCGCATACTACCAGTATGACGCAGACGATAACCGGCGCCCATTCCGCATCTGCCGCTCCACCCGAGGATCTTGCAAGCGTGAGCAAGACGACCAAAATGTGTACAAAAACGACCGGTTTTATCTCTGGGATGGGCACGGCTCGGCTTGGTCCAAGGGTCCGACCTGGATTGGTTTCAGTGGAGTGTTTTTGTATCCGAATATTTACCGCGACATCGAGAACTATATTGCGCCATTCAAGGCGCATCAGAGTTGTGATCGCGATAATTTTATTCAGGGGGATGATTTGGATGAGCAGAAGAACAAGTGTTTGCTTTGTGTTAATTTGAAAAACAGCTACAATAACTACAATGGGCTGGCGACATACCCAACAGGATATATTTACCAGACCGCGAATCCAACTGATTGTGTTTATTGGGTGTTTAAAGAGGTGGATTGTCCGGATGATGATTATATGGTGGAGGATGAGGAAGAGCTGTGAAGGAACTTCGGTTGGTTCTATCCGGTGCGGGAAAGGCTATTTATGAGGGAGATACGTTCAGGCAAATGTTGTTCACATTGATTGATTATATGACATTTTTTTTCTAGTTAAAGTTTGTCAGGCTGATTAGTAGTGCTTTCAAAATGGGTTGATTAAGCTTCTATTGTTCTTTATCAAGTCTTTTGTATATAGCATGGACAGATTAGATTATGTCGTGGATTTAGAGTAGGTCACCATCCCTCTATCTGCTAAGAAGGCTATTAATACCACACGTTTTAAATGACCCTCGAATGTTTAGAGCGTTTCGCCAGTATTAAGGTTCTAGAGTGTGATCGAATTATTCTTATAGTCGGAAAATAATAGGTTTTGACTTTATAGGTAGAAGTTTATAGAGGTTAATATATCTATATTAGGCTTCCGCACGACCCAATTTGGGTCGAAGGTCTTGACCCAAACCCTCTGGGTCTGGGTCGAAAGCTTATAACCCATACCCAACCCAGAACCAGTGACTAGGGCCCCAGAAAACCCAGTTTAGGTCCAGTTCGAACCAGTTTTTACATAAATAGGCGTCTTGGCTGTCATAAACCTGCAAATCAGCAGAATTATACACATAATTAGCGTGCTTGTTTAGTTTGTAACCCAATTTGGGGTCCCAGACCCAGTACTGGGTTACCTTGTCCGACCCAGACCCATTACTAGGTCGAAGGGCTCGACCCAAAACCCAACCCAGACTGGGTTGGGTCTGGGTTGGGTCTGGGTTTTACTGGGTCGTGCGGAAGACTAATCTATATTACCTTCGAGAATTTTGAGCTCTTCACCTATATTAGTATATAAAGCGATATAGCGCAATATCAGCTAGGAACAAGGCGCTTATATCCTTATCACTATCCTTATTATGTGTAGACCTTGACTTTATTTCCGTTAAAGGTAATAGTTATAAGCTTCACCAAGGAATTCCCGTACTATAAAGCGTTTGATCCTTTGAAATACTTCTACAATTTATTTCATGACTAACTAGTATACTAGCTTGGACAAACTCCCTAAATTATTCTAGAAAAAGTTCCTATTATAGATATGGTTGTATAAAGCAACGCCTTGGCGTCGCGCGACCTGGGGCGATTCTCACCCTAATTCTCACCCTGTCTATAGCGCACTTACCCTTCTCAACCCCGGTCGCGCGACGCTAAAGCGGGGCTCACCCATTTCTCACCCGGGCAACACCCACCCAACTATTGACCGCACATAAACCACACGCCGGTGAGTTAGTAGTTGGGTGGGTGACCACCAGCGAATCCTCACTGTTTTTGTTTTTTTGTTTTTTATAAATTGTTCTGTTACCACTACTCACTCTCTGTGCATGGAAACTATCAATGCGCCCTCGCCAAGCGGCACTCTATCTAAGCTGCTAAGCACAACATATAGATTTAAGCTCCGGGGCACTTGTTTTACTGTACTATAATTTACTATAATTTACTCTATTCTTGAAAAATATCGAGAAAGATCTCGAGGAACGTATAATATATACTACATTATGTATACTTATAGGTAAGTATTAAAGTAAGAAGGGACACGAAGATAAATATTCTCTACTACCGCGAGCTAGTGCCTACTAGACTAGAAAATTAGGATTATATAGCACTTAACTAGACTCTATTAGTTTCAATCTTATATTTTACCTTATATTCTTAATTATTAGTAGATAGAGGTCTAGGGGGGTTTAGGAATCTGTTTGGTACTAAGCATCATGACTGCTAACGATACATCATTTTTAGATGATCGATGCAATAGAACAAGCATGCAACCAACTAGCTATGTGGAATATCTATGGCACAAAGTATAGATAGTGGCTGCGAGAATATGTTATGAGCCTACAGATGAAACTTACTTGAACTAAGCTTAGTCAATTGGAGCAAAGATAGCAGTAACTAAAGAGCGTGAGGATATAGAAAAGATTGTGCACGATCTTAACATATATCCCAAACATCGACTGGCACGCAAGGCCTCTCTTTCCGGCCCAACTTCCTCCAATATAAAAGTGCCACGTAGAGCGATGGTTAATTCTACCAAAGCTTCCTCAGATTTAGATGCAGCACTTCCAGGCTCCACTAGGGCATCCGAAGTCCCAGAAGACACTTCTTCTGTTGGACGGGCAGTTGCCCTTGTAGCACATAGCCGGCTTGCTGGATGTACCTTGCTGGTAGCAACCGAGGTCTCGAGCCTGGACGGCTTCGGATCTCTCGATGAGAGGCTCAACTGCCTCAATGGATTCGGCGGCCAAAGTTTCTGTGATTGTCAGCAGGATGCGAGGAATGAATAGTAGGGGTGAACTGACGCTGGGCGGTGAAACTGGGAAAATTCGTGTTAGTCTTACATCTCTCCCCTGTTCATATCAGAATAAAGAATGACATACCCGAGGATGGCAAGAGCGACAGTGGAACTGAACTTCATTTTGGTAGTGGATAGTGTCTGGCTTCTCACTGATATGACTTGAATTGTAGGATTTGCGATTTTGGATGATGAATGATTATGAGCAAGATTCGTGGAGAGGACGTGTAGTATTTATACCTGACAGTTGGACATCCTGCTCTGCTAATTGAATACAATCAAACGTAAATGTCCGGCCACATAGAATGTGAATACGATTATTTTCATCACGAGAGCCAATCCGGATCCTACGTAGGGTGCCCGATGTTGAAACTATGCAAGTAACCACCCACTTCTCGTATCCGACTTCGCCGCCGGTGTTTAGACTGGCTTTTTTACCTGTCTGAGTATTATCTTGCGAAATTCACGAAGCCCAGTGTAACCTTTGGCTCGTTTTACAATGCATTGGGCTCGCACATTCGTTTTCTTGGCCATTGCACCCACTATAACGACCGTCCCGCAAATGCCATTTCTATATTTGTTATGCTTTTAATGAACCCATACCTCGCTATGCGTCTTTTGTACTTTTTCTTTTACAATGAACATATTCCAGGTTACCCATACAACTGTCAGTGCCGCTAGTTTATGGGCAGACGTGCCTGTTGATCAAGGTGGCTTTGGTTTGCATTGTACGGCTTGCGGGGCGCGAGGACTTGGCTGAAGCGGAGTCAATCTTGGCATCTCAACCTTCCTACAACAGGCCAATCCTATCGTGGCCTGTAAGAATGATCTACATTCCTATTGTCGTACCAGCACTTAACTCGTATTGTCCAACCTATTGGAGAACTAAAGCGAAGCCCTGACTAGACTCAATCAGGTTTAAGGGATGCCAAATAATCACATAGAATAGTTGTTTTCCCCCACCCGATATTCAGCCGTTTGGAGAGAGTTACATCAGGGCTGCAGTATAATACGAGTTCTTGACTAAGAGTTTCCTGCACATTTCCCAGACAGCGATGACAGGTGGACGCGCCACATATCCTCTACATTCCCACATGTGTAGTGGTAGAAATTCTTATCCAACCTGTGTAGCATCGTCTAATTTGTATCTTCCTCAATACAGCCCTCCATTGACTGATGACCGTGTGCTAGTTGCTTATCAATTTAGCCGTTGAGGTCTGGTTCTCGGTTCCTTGTATACTACTCCCTCGTCAACAGAGAGATTACCTGGTCAATCCTCTTCTCCAGCGAGTAGACCCCGATATAAGAGATTCTCGCCGTTCAAAGCAATTCCCATATGCTGGTTCCATATGTCGCAATTTGGTTCCCCTTTTAGACTGGGAACCAGATCGGTGAACTTGGGGTCCGTTGGACCGCGTGATTCAGTCATCTTGACTGAGGTGTAAACGTAGATGTAATCGAATCTTGATTGTGTCAATGAATGGAAGGAGGGGTAGTCAACGTTGACTACGCTAGAAGTGAAGTCGAGATTCACTGTTCAGACTGCGAGCCTCCGATATCGAGGGTTTAAATGATGGAAATCCCAGGTTGAAAATACTTGTCGAGAGATGAAGATCTCAGATTGATCGAGGATACTAAGGGTTAAAGAAAGCCTCAGAAAGGCTTATTCCGGTAAAAAGGAGGCTATTTCCAGATCTTGAGATGCTGACATGATGGCGTTGATGAAATTCGATGAATATCGATGATATTAATCATGAAAAGGATATATGAAGACGGAAGCGATACAAGCTGCTGAGAAGCAGAGATGAGAGAGTTATGTAGAGAAAACTCTGTTGGCGAGGTTGCTAGGTAAACAAGCAAACACCACCCGATTATGGTTTTGCCCCAAGATGGCAACCTCGCCGCCTAGTAGAAATCTCTGTGTAGGGACACTACATGTCACCCTGTCAGGTTCGACATAACAACGTAAATCTGAGACTATTTGGACTACCTAAATAGGTAATTCTCCAGGCTTGGCGAAGGTGCGAATTGGTGCTTGTTGGATGTGGATCCCGAGGTTTCAGCTGGATCGTGTAGGGCTTGGCACGACCCCGTGCACTATACATAGCGCCGAGGATATTGATCAATTGTGATATTGGTTCAATAGCGAGTTCCCCGGGCTCATAACCTGAGCGAGTCTACTAGTTAGTAGGAGAGATCACGAAGAGACAATACGATGATATTGTTATATGTGTGTAGCTGTAAAGCTATGTGCAGTGAGACAGGATGAACGAAACACTGAACTAGTATTATGGAGAGTCATGTGGCCTATGGGAAATTCAAACACTTGAATCAACGGCTATACCTACCTCCATGTAACAGCATTCATGAATGCACGAGGATGAATTGCACGTTCAACCAGACAATAAGGGGAAAAGGTCCTTCTGTCTAGGTGATGTTCATCAGAATAGCCTTAATATTAGAATATGCCTCCAATCCTGCCTGTCCAAGCTCCCTCCCAATTCCACTTTGCTTCACACCCCCAAACGGCACCCGGAAGTCACTATTATTGGTAGCATTAACAGACACCATACCAACCTTGAGTTGTGGCACAATGCGGTGAATCCTTGCATTGTCACGAGTATAGATAGCAGCAGCGAGGCCATAATCTGTATCGTTGGCCATTTTGATAACGTCCTTCTCATCATTGAACTTGATGAAGACACCGAATGGCCCGAATATTTCTTCTCGGTACACGCGCATGCTGGACTTGACATTCCCCACAACAGTCGGCGAGATGAAATACCCTTTGTTATTCGGTCTGTTCTCTGCTACTGTACCCCCTGAAACAATAGTAGCGCCTTCTTCCTTTGCAGCCTGGACATACGCCAGGATCTTGTCGAACTGCTGTTTCGAAACCTGGGCTCCCTGGGACGTGTTATTGTCAAATGGGTCGCCTATAACGTTGACACTAGTGGCATAAGCGACAAATGCGTCCATGAACGAATCGTAGATGTGCTCGTGCACGAAAACTCGAGATGTTGCTGTGCATATCTGGCCCATGTTTCCCATCACGCCAAAGTGAGCGCTTTGACGGCATTTTCGAGCGGGGCGTCGTCGAAGATAAGTAGGGGACTTTTGCCGCCAGTTTCCAGGGTGATATTCTTCAATGTTTTGCTAGCTAACTTCATAATCTGCTTGCCGGTAGCTGTGCTTCCGGTGAAGGCGACCTTATCGACTTCAGGGTGCTGGACGAGTGCGGCGCCGGCTTCGGATCCGTGGCCTTTGATAATGTTAAGAACGCCTGGCGGGAATCCGGCTTCTGCAACCAGGTTGGCGAAATACAGAATCGACAGTGGTGTTTGCTCCGAAGCTTTGATGACAATCGTATTGCCGCAGGCAAGGGCTGGACCAAGCTTCCATGAAGCCATTCCGATGGGATAGTTCCATCTACGTTGCATAGATCAGTCAAATGGATTTCCATCATATCCTGGGAGCGAGGGAACCACATACGGTATAATCTGGCTGCAGACACCGATAGGCTCACGGACTGTGTACGTGAACTTTGCGCGAGACGTCTCGATGGTCTGACCATAGTTCTTGTCGGCCCAACCTGCATAGTAGCGCAAGACACTGCACACTTCTTCTATATCCCCCAGGGCCTTGCTGTAGGGCTTTCCATTATCCAAGGATTCAATGGTTGCAAGAACTGTTTGGTTACGCTGGACAATGTCGGCAAGTTTCATCATAAGCTGCCCGCGCCCAGTGCCGTCTGTGCCATGCCATGCCTCGCTCTCAAACGCTGAACGGGCTGCACGGACTGCTGAATCAACATCCTCTTCCGTCGCGGCATAGACTGAAACGATCTCAGACTCGGTTCTACCCTCAAAAGATTTAGTAGTGATATAGGTGCCCGGTGTTTTTGTAAACTTACGTCGGGTTGATAGAGACAAGCTTCTGGCCGTTGCTTGATGTCATCCATTTGTTGTTGATGAACAACCCGAGGGGTTGCTCATAGGTGACCCCATTCGGAGCGGTGACCTTCTGGAATAGATTTTGATTGCATTTTGACAACAGGGTCGTGTAGGGACTTTCAATGACTGCAGCTTCTCGCACCAGAAAAGAAAATATTTCACAGACACTTGGATGGGAGATGATGCTCCATAAGTCTTGTCACACTTTAAAAAACAAATAATCCTGGTTTGCAAAAGATATGTACCCCCCTTAGTAACAATTCTGTCCATGTGGATCATGTTGATCTTTTTTACTAGTATCTTTCTTGTTTCATAGCAATCGAGTACTGTATTTTATACTAATTACAGATCTCTCTCTCTTCTCTCCTGGCTATCTAGATCAATGATAATACTAAATAGGAAGGCTTGATCTTAATGATTAATAACCTGACCTTCTAGTATGATCTCATTGATTGATTTTATTGCTTGCAAAGTGGTATAAAAGGCATATCCCCCTTCAAAGTAGCAGTGAGGTAATAGTATAGTGGTACATGCAATACACAACGCTAGCAAGGATTAGGGTAGTCTTGGCCGATCCACATGGACAGAATTGTTACTTTTGGGGTGGGGGGGGTACAGTATTCGTAAATACGCCTTCAGTGACGTGGTCTCCTCATGCACGAAAAGGATAGTAAGCAACCCTTGATCTCCAACTTCAGCCCGTGCAGCTGCAAGTAATCGAAAACTCTCCGATTCTTTCCTTGCCATTCATATACGTGTTCTTATTACTAAGTGCATCCCACTTTGACTGTCTATCTGCGAGACACAGGAAGGTCCAGAAAGTTCTAATGAGACGAGAGGATGGAGGAAAACCAGTAATATGTGTGCGACTATGGGAAGAAACTATATCTATAAGCTAGTTAGTTAACTAAGTCAAACACCTAGGTGGTGGCCTAAACCATGAGGCTCTCTCCCTCAACAAGTTCCATTAACTAGACAAGACGAATCTTCGAAATTAATCATGGAAATGCTTCACCGAAAACCCAGCCATCTGTGTTCCCGCATTGGGATCTGTAGGCGATCGTGACCAATTCTTCATGATCCGCGCTCGCGTCCACTCTGGAGCGGGGATATCAATTTCATTATTCTTGCCCTCCTCGTAGTACCCCAAGCGACGTAAGAGGGGACTATCAAAGCTTTTCAAAACCAGTCGATCGCTAGGCCGCACAAAGTACAGAAGTCCTAAACGGTCCTGCGCCTGTTGGTCTTTGGGAGGTACCGTGACGCGATGCACGCCACTTTTCAAGTACCCGTTGGAGAGGATGGACAGCATATCAGCGATGTTGACAGACAAGGTGCCTTCGGGAATCCGAATCCACTCCCAAGGGGAATCATCGTACTTCTTGACTTGGAGGGCTGCAACAGGCTGCTGAAAAAGGAACGTAATTGTGCCGTTGTCAGTGTGACCGCGAGAATAGAGGTGCTTGAACTGCTCGTTCACCTCTGCCGGACGGGCGCGGTACATCATGTAGCGGAGGCCGCTATCACAATTCGACTCGTAAAGATGACCTTTTGAGATCTGGTCTTCGGGGAGCTCCAGGATTATGGCGAGAAGCTGTAGTAATTTGTACCCGACATTCTCGTGGACGTGGTGATGGAAGCGTTCAATCTCGCTCCAGTGCTGACGGAATACTTCTGGATGTTCGCGTTCATACTGCGGCAAGAATTTCATGATGTTGTAGAATTCAATGTTGTCCCATAGCCCCGGGAGGACCTGGATAGATCCCAGTGGCCGGTAGCCATTGTATATGCCCTCTTCGAGAGGTGCTCGATAGGACTTACGCAGGTCCTCCGGGAGGGCGAAGAATTCGCGCCCGATCGCGTATTGACGATTGATTTCGTCTTGACTTAAGCCGAAGTTCGTGACATAGAAGAATCCTTTTTGTGTTAGAACCAATAGAACTCTGCTGGTTGACAGGGGCTTACTTACCTTCGTTGTGCGCCGCATCTTTCAACTGAGCTGCTAGTCTTTCTTTACCTCCAGGTTTATCGAATTCGCCAAGATCTATGATGGTCAAGTCTGCATAGTTCACTATTTCACCATCATATATGAGCCCAAGAAAAGGAAATACCGATTAAATTAGGACTTACAGGGCTCTTCGCTCTCTGGTGGATGGGCATATGGCTGGAGGGAACTGGGTTGAGTCTGGGTTGTTTGCGTAGCCATATCCTTGGAATTGAATGGTCCTGACTGGAAGGGCATGGAAGGGCTGGTAGGAAGTAAAACAGGTATACCTGACAGTAAACTTATATCTACAATATCTAGCAATTACAACATAGGCGTAAAAAGTGGAAAGAGGGAAACACCGATCAGTGCTATGAGAAACTAAGGCGAGTTGCATACATCATGCAGCTCAATGTCATCAATGCCTCCTCAATCAAAAACAATCGACGTAAATTGAGGGATGCTCCAGCTCGTCCCAACAGCTAATCCGTCTATCGACAGTTACTTAAGTAGTCGGTCATGTTTCTTCTCCTCTACAGACACAACAATCATTATTGTTCTGTTGAAATTGACCTCACGGAAGCAGATACCTCGCAGTGCAGGACTCGCACTTTTCTGACTTACAATCCATATTCCACTAGGATAATAACGCAATTGTGGGCCCGTAATAGTTGCTGCAATTGTCTCAGCCAGCCACGAGGACAAGTATGGCCTACGATCTCTGATTCAGCCAGCCACGGGGAAAAGTATGCAATCATTGCCAAGAACCAGGTACTGCATGTGAGGAAAAAAGATCGGCAAAATACATTAGTGGCCTAGAGTGCAGATGGTGCCCGTAACTAAGGCCAATCAAGTCATTGTGCCCTAGATGTTGACCTTTATTTGGGAAGCTCACATGCTTCACGGACCTCAGTGAGGAGGTGGATGCAGGATCAACCCGTCCCTACGTCATGCGCTAATGTACGAAGTAGGCCATAGCCACAAACAGTGGGGATGTGGGTATTTGGGACCTATCCAAGTTTTTATAAATTCTCGATTACCGTACGTGGACGAGACCTATAGTGCATGCGTAATAAATTGGCCGGTCATCAGCATTAGCGCTAGTATTATTACCCAAAGTCTTTTGTCGAGGGCAGAGCGATACGCGGGGTCCAGCCTTTGGCAAACTATTACAAAAACATAATAAGAACACACAGTAACGGAGATTCTTCGAAGTATCAGACTAAATCCATCTTCACCCTCCTCATCGTGTCCATTTGTCCACTACAGCACCCGACTGTTTAGAGTCCATAATGACTATCATTACCGCAGCCCAGTCGCGCGAACCCTCATTCACAAAAGAAACTCTGGGGACTTTCAGCGGCGATGTGTATTTCAATCACCTGCACAAAGACGAGCATGTATCAATTCTCGATGTCAAGTTTTCTCCATGTGCTCGGACACATTGGCATGGTCATGAGAAAGGCCAACTCCTTGAAATAACCACTGGATCTGGGTGGGTATGTGATAAAGGACAGGAGCCCCGGAGAGTCAAAGCTGGCGATACTGTTTGGTGCCCCCCTGGTACGATTCACTGGCATGGGGCGGATGAAGGCAGTTCGATGATCCATCGTGCAATTTCATTTGGGGGCATGGACTGGCAAGATCCAGTTTCAGAAACCGACTTGAAGGGTACCCATTAAGTAGGCACAATTTTCCCATTGTCGTTGTCGTTTCCCCACTGCGTCGGATGCTGACCTGCCCAGCCCTGTCAATCTTGGTACGCCCAAAAATATGTTTGAAGTCAATGTAATCTACACACCGCCCGGAACGATGGGTAATCTGTATGTAAATTTCAAGAAAAGCCAATAAGCGAGGGGACAAAATTAGCATTCTCTACTCAATCCGTGAGCAGTGCTGGTTCAGCTGTGCGATACCTGAACTTCTGCCATTGCAAGAACATAGACTTTATGATTAGAATACACGAAATCATTTCATATTCTCCATAGCCATGATATACATTCCCGATGAGTGGAGATAGACAGAGAGGGGAGCGGAAAAGGGAGCGAGGAAAACATGCCAATAGAACTTGAAGCAGCAACCCGGACAAATTCAAGCTTCACCTTTTATATTGAATCGGTAGGGGGGCTATCGTAGTAAAACGGACTGAACGCCATTTGCAAATAGCAACTTGGCATATATATAATGAAACCATCGGAAAAGCGTTGTTCCCGATGGTCGATTCCTCTGAGGGTTGCAATGGAAGCCTTGTAGCTCGAGCTGCACCAGGGGCTTACCGCTTGTGGGCAGTAGCCGAGTAATTTGGAAACGGTGACAACCCGCAAATTGAAACTCATCTGACCCAAAGCCATAATCAATGTAGCTGGTGTACTGGCCTGATGTTTTCAAGGATATTTGCTTGTCCAGTACTTTAAATGCCCCGAAAAGACAGCTACCCACTGGAGGGAAGTTGAGAGTAGAAAGCTCGGAGGCATTCCAGATCCCTATTGGGCTGGAATCGTCTTTAAAGCCTGTAGATCTATATTAGCAAGTGAACAAGCAAACTCAAAAAATTATCACCTGTATAACGCGCTGGTAACAACCTCCAGCCCCCTATTCGTAGTGCAGTCCTTTCGAACCCGAAGATAAAGCCACCAAAGAACCCACAACTAAATAACGCTAGTACTTCCTCGTCACTGAGTCCGGCTACTACAGACTCCGGAAATACCTGACTGACAGTATCCGTGCCCGTTACATGATGGCGTGGATTGACAAATTGGAAGGAGGAGGATGCGAGGAACTCGGATCGCACAGACAGAGTAGATTGAGAAATGCAAAGAGATCGAAAGAAAGAAAGACGAGGATACCACCGAGAAACCATGTGTAGTTCGAATATGGTATGGATAGGTAGGTGGGTTTAGGCTGTGTTGTCTGCCCGGAATAAGATAACTAATTGATGAGAGAGAGAAAAATTAATATTTATAGAAGAAGGCTTATTGATTCGACCTTTATTAAGTACTCATGCACATAGCTAGGTGTGAGTCAGAAGTGTCTACTCGATAACTAGACGGAAGACTGTAGACCCGGTACTACCCGGAGAGAAGTGGATAGTGTCAGGTAATTGGTCTTTGCCATGAGCTGGAATTTAGACATCAGAGCAAACATAACTTGGTAGTAATATTCTAATTATTCTACGAAGTGGGCTAGGGATGTTATTGATTTTATAATATCCTATTTTAACTGAATATTGTGGAAAATGAAATAGTACATAAATTAACTAAAGCAATTATACACGCCAATTAAATATTTTTCTTTGGTTGTACGTGAATTGTGCTCAAAATCTTCAACATTACCGAATCATTCAGTCTGCTGATTCTCACCCTACCTTCTCAACCCCCCCGGACGCTTGCAAGACAAAGTCACCAATTCATTATAAATTTCTACTGTATATTTAGTTCATTTCAACACGAATTCTGATACATACGACCATAGGGTGTGGAAAACAGGGCTTCCCGTCCGCTCAGCCGTACTTAAGCCACACGCCGGTGAGTTAGTAGTTGGGTGGGTGACCACCAGCGAATCCTCACTGTTGTATGTTTTTCTTTTTTTCCAACAAGAATAGTTGGCCGCATATTCGGCCTTGTCACATCTTTTTGGTAGTCTTTTTGGGGGCTCTTCTTAGTGGTTTTTTTGGTGTCTCCCCTTGTTAGTGCATTGGTCGATCCTAATGGGATATGTTATATAATAGTCAAAGTGAAGGCGTAAGCTGTTGATGAGAAGTCAATAAGCCCTGTGTTAATGTAATAAGGTCTTGAGATCTGGCGTGGATCGCCACAATGCGGCGTATTACAAAGACTGGCGCCGCGGCGAAAAATTGTGAAACCATGATAATAAATTGGTAGGCTCTACCGGCATAGGACATAAGAAGCACAACTGATTAATGGCCTACAGGTGGATCATACTCGCGTAGTACACAACGGATATATATGTCATTGTCGTGGAGGCGCCCAAAGAATACCTGGAGTATATAGCTTAAGGGACCACGCCTAGAAATCTATTAGACCTGAGCTTTCCATATCCGATGACCTAGAGTTCCATGAATAGATTATGTCGACAAAGGTCCGATCACCTACGCTTTCACGACGATAGATTGGAATCACAGCTGTTGAACGCAACAATGGGGAGGGAAAGACGTGAAGACATATCAAATTCCTTGCCACAGTCTGGAGGTTCTTGGTTGTGGGTCTGATCGTGCGGTTTGAGGTGGCAACGGGCTTTCGTCCCAAGCGCTGGGATACGCACAGTCTAGCGGCCGTGGGATCTCCAAATATGCAGTTTGGCAGACTATGTTGGGGCTTGTAGCACGTGGCTCACAGTCATCGAGGTTTGTATCCTGGATCGTGAATGTTAGCCTACAAAATGCCAAGCAAGTCGTGGTGGGAGTGCTACCTAGGTAGATTGATGATTATGGGGTAATCGGACGCCAGCGATATGATGGAACCGGTGGACACAAAGAGGCTGTCAAAGGTCTGTGTTAGGCAATGTCGGTCACCCCATAGATGCCTTTGTCTAGTCATCTCATTGGTGCCTCCATGTGTTTGCAGACTGAGCCTGTCTTTGTTAGATGACAGCCTTTGTTTGGCAGGGTATAAATCCCCTGCTTCAGATAGAATGAATAGATCATGATTCTTCTTCCTCTCTCTCCCCATAGTTAGTAGCCCAACAGGTTATGACGCCCTTTTTCTTCCTCTGAACCCTGAATCATCACTTAGTTTCATCAATATCTCATCACTTCCATCAAGATCATCAGTTATCTTGACATCTTTCATTAGGGTGAGCACTCCAGAGTGCTGTACCATCAATATTTCCACCAAGAATAGCACCGGAGGTGGTATATCTTGTGTTGGAAGCTTCACTTGTCCACTAGGAATAGCACCGGAAGTGCCTTTCATGCAGTATCCCGACAACTGAGCACTGAATGCTCCATTTTCAGATCATTTTTTCAAAGATCTATCACGTTGATTGAGATTATCATTCATCGTCAATATGGCTGACGCTCAACAACAACAACAATCACCGCCGGTCGAAGACGACAACAACGACTGGCACAATGACAGCGAAGCACCCGAGATAACCAACCAATCTGTTGGCTTTCCTGACATGGGAAGCTTCAACCTCTACAAAATCACCCCGCCTCTCAAAGAAAGAGAGGACCTTGACATGTGGATTGACAAGATCGAGAAGATCCTGGAAGGACACAACCTGCACAACTTGATCAATAGCTCGATCCCCAGGCCGATGAAAAGAAACCCCGACGGCCGGAAATGGAAGACTCTATCAAAGCAAGTGAGAAGCTGGTTGTCTAGTAGTATAGATAACGACTTGATGCAGGGAATCAATAGACGCGGCAATACATTGAATTCGCCGACGAACTTTTTGACGAACTGAAGAAGCATATGAAAGGAGAAGGACATAGTGCTTTAAAGAAGGCAACGTTGAAATTCAGATTCATCCCCTCCCCCCTTTCTTTTTCCTCTTCCTCTCTTCCTCTCTCCTCCTCTCTCCAGTTCTATTTGAAACCATGGCAGAGTAATATATATCTAGCTTTCCAACCCCCCAAATTCAACGCGGGGCCATCCAGCTCCCCCCAGGGGACTGGGCCCGGCTTGCCCGAACTCTTTCCCCCTATGACTCCTGAATCATCACGTGAAATACGCCCTTGAACGCACGGCTATTTAACATTCCGATCATTGATCTCCTGATCATCCGTCAAAGGCTGAAAAAGCAGTTCGTCGATGTCCTTGACGCGGAGGTATTCGCACGTATACTGTTTAAACCAACAGAACATATTGGCAAGAGAAATAGAATAGTGAGTGTCACGGAGTTTGAGGGATTGTTCCATCTGAGACGAATACATCACTGACATTCCGACAGTCATGGAAGACCCAGGGCCAGATCATCTCCCAGAGGGGAAGTTGCCTCAAGCGCAATCAAAGAGTCACTACCATGGAGGTTGAAGAATTGGGCTGTTTGAGATCAATTCAAAAGCGATGTTACCAGCGCGAATAACAATATCAACCAGTGGATCTCACAGTTGATAGGATCTGCGTCGCTCGGAATAAACTCTAAGCTGACATTTTAACGGATATAAATATTCCTACATGGAACAAACCAGGCCAGGGGTGAGGCCATCTATAACCCCCGCTCCCGCCCCCGCCCCCCGACGGCAGAATGATGCCTGGTCTGTCAGAAACGAATCCGAAGGTGAGGAGCTCACACACCTCCCTCGACCTGCGTACGGCAATATGAACGACGCCGACTTGGATGTCGGATATTGGGCCCGGCGGGCGAAAGCCTGCCAATAGAGTGTCGCCATCAAGCAGCTTACCGACGACAACAGCCTTCTCAGTAGGATCATCCTTCTGCCTCCGAAGCGCGATGTGGTCCTACAGGGCTAAAAGAACCAGAGAAGAGGGTATTTGCACGGGCCAAAACTGGACGAGTAGCTGGCGCACTATGCCTACAACATTGAGGCTCTGCTCGGCTTTGTGGTAGGGGAGAGGGTCTACGGAAAGGCCGCCTGCAAACATTACAGGCAGTTTGATGGTCGCTTCGCCGCTTACGTGCGAATTACTGGCAAGAAGCAGTGTGCTGGATGTCACTGGGGCTTCTAGTCTCACCGGTGTAGCTTTCTGGAGGACGCACCGCAACAATACCAGTCAAAAGAGGCTAAGCCGTATGGCCAACTTGTCTCCATGAGGAATGACTTTATTGAAACATTGACAAAAGCATGGAGGGGTTGGAAGACGTCAAGAAAGCTCTCGAGGCGAGGTAAACTGCCACAGGATTGCAAATGGTCATGGAGGTGATTCGATATACAACCATGGCGCTTAAGAGTCAAAAGGCGAGACAGAAAATTCACTTCATGCGCTTTGGTTCCTGGGCAATCATACTGCACCAATTGCTTGTGGCCAAATCAAGCGGAGCGCTGCGAGTTTGATACAAGCACCGAATGTATATCAAAACGATCTACGAAGACACCGAAGAGGAACATTGAGGAGAAACCACACGAGGCCAATATGCCGGCGAAGAAACGCGGAGTTTTGGGTGAACTGGACAGCATTATAGCCAGTATGGAGCGGAACGTATGCTGCCAGAGAGAAACATTCGAGGCTGAAAAGGAACAGTTACGCAAGATCAAGGCGCACCGTCAGTAAATCGTGGAAGAGCCAGAGCTTTGAATCTCTTATAATATACCAAAAGCAAAACAGGATAATTCGATACCCTCGTCACCTTGAGGTCCAGCCATACCTGTCCGTAGAATTGTAGTCGTTGTAGCCTAAGCGAACAGTTGAATCTTGGGAAGAGCCGAAGAAGACTTTGTGCAGGCCTGATCGGCGGGAAGCCTTTCCCCCCACAGTGTGGGCTAACAACGCATCGGCGGTATATAAGAACTGTGTAATCTGGCCATTGAAAGCCTCGCCGTCGACGATTTTGCGCTTGTTGTTCTTGGAGTTGCTCTGAAGCATTGGCTCCCTTAACAAAATCATACCCACCATGCGGTGTAGTAGACTGCTTTCTATGTGTAACGCGTTGAAACACCTCCCCTATAGGGCTTCCTACACTTTTTGCCTAGAAAGGTGGACCACTCTCTATATCCCTAAACGCCCCATATACCGGGTCGGGATATTTGATTCCGTTCTTTAGCCCGTCGGGCGGATGTTCGGCGATCGGAGCGGGGGCTTCTAGAGCCTCTTCTAGTTACATTCTACTGTCAAACTGTTAATATCATATTCTTTTTGAGCCACTAAATTCTACAAGTTCATGGGACCCACTACTATGGCTGCTGTGGCCTCAAATATAATCTGTTATATGCTTATTGTGATTGGGCCTCGGATCTTTGAGAGTGAGCCTTTGTTCAAAATATCAGAAGTGCGTTCGTCTTGGGCCATTGACTTCTTGTAACTCCATGAGGCTCTTACCAATGTACCCCGATCTTGATCAAGTGAGTATGAGGTAATATAATCTGAGTTGAGTGTTGGATGTGATGATATATGCATGTTTCCATTGTGTGGTCCATATGGATTATTGCCATTTCTAATATTTGGTTATGTTTCTTTTAGGAAAAGGGCCTTCCCAGGAGCAATTGCACCTATCACGATAATAACGGCGACTCCCATTCCTCGACTCTGCCTCAATAGCCACTTTCAAGTATCCTAAGTAACTTGGAATCAGAATGCATCGCCGTGGACTATCGCATAAATGATCTCAAGCGCGCCAAAGGTCTCATTCCACGCTTGCCAGGTCGACATAATAGTCGCTTGCATCTTCTCCTTACTTCCAGGCGAGTACATCGAAGGCGCAGCATTCAAGTTCTCGTCAGGGTTAATAAGCTCCGGCCAAAGGTACGGGTTCGCTTTGTTGACAATGTCGTACAGTTTGCGAATCTGAGCCTTAACCTTCTCAATTCCAGGCTCAGCTTCAAGACATGTCAGATTGGCAACGTGTGGATTTCTAGCGATTGTCGAATCCTTGAGTTTCATCATCCCATCCATGATCTTGCGGTTCTTTTCTGTTGCTGTTTCATATGATCCATTGGCTCTATGGGTGGCGAGCAAGACGAAATACAGCTTAACTTTGACGAGAACCAGTGCAACGATGTGGGAAAGATCTGGTCTTCCACAGAGGAAAAGGTCGATCGGCTCAAGTGGATTTGCATCCTTGATGTCCAGGTATGGCAGGGTTACATCGCCCCAATCGTACTGGGGGTCATTGGCTGATGTTGCCCACCATTTCAAGAAATCGTAGCATTCCTGATCCTTGTTCAAGCGTGTTTGAATATCTCTCATGTCACATGACTCTTCATAGTACAGGTAGTCCAGCTTCCTACTTTCCTCCTCTTCTTCTAGATAGTTCTCACCACTTACAATATCATCATATTGTGCATTCTCATGCTCTCCTCTACCCTGTAGACTCAAACAAAGCGGATCATTAAGCCAGGAACGAGATCTCTGGATCCAATTCTATCGCCACGGCAGAGTCGCAGGTTCTCCATGAGGGCATCGAGCTGCACTTGAACTGATTTGACATTCCTAACGAATATCAGAGCAGCTCTGTAATCAAGACGAGAGTTCATTAAGGGCGTGTAGGGAGAATTTTCCAAAATCGACCGACATCATATATAAAGTCGTCATCTGGATGATCGCACAAAGCCTGTTCTTTGGCTTCCATGTCAACGCGACACTTTTTGATCCTATTACAATCAGATTTGTGAGCTGCGCGGTGGGCAGTTTGATGCTCAACACTGCAGTATAGCATCACTTTGCAGCCAGAGCAGAGGCGGAACCCATCGTTTTTCCCGTAGAGGCCACAGCCAGAGGGAAGAGCCACTTTCATTTGAGACATCTAAAAGGGTTGAAATAAGGAGGAGTGAGATGATACGGTGATGGGAAGAGGGTGTAGAACGATGATAAATGATGAATTCGAACCTGTAGATCAACCTTCTAAGGTTGTAAGATGAAAAACAATATGATAGTGTAACAGGTGATTGGTGGATGTCGAATACCATGGTAAATGCGGGGTAGTTAATTTACCCGGAAAAACATGAGCCAAATTCGGGATCCACACAGAAGTCCACGGGTCCCCGGGTGCATATATTGTTTACTAAGCATGTCTGTTGGAATTCCTGGAGATTTCCATATAACTATCTGAATTTTACCATACATTGTCGTACTGCCAGATATTTGTCATGTTATTATTCGTTGCTCTATTCAAATACAAACGGTCTGAATTACACATAATACATAGATCGCTTTTCCTAATTTCACAATATAGTATGTATCCTATTTCTAGATGGCTGGTTATGGATATATATAACCCACACCTTCTATACTATAGGACGTTGTTTTTCAACTTCTACCTCGTAATCCGTAAGGGGGTGCCTTAGGCACGGGGAGAGATACTTCTATAAGCACCCCTAGTATTAAAGACTAGATTAAGCTACTCATTCGTTTTGAGGCTCAGAACTACATAATTGTATTTATTATTGTTTACTCTATTGAAACGTAAACGGTATTTCCCTATAGTATTTCAAATATTTAGCTACATAATCCTTATACATAAGCCGGTCGCCATCGACTACGAGACAAACAAAGGTGAGGCTGAGCCCACGAGCATCACCCCTGGGAATATAAGAACAAAGAGCTTAGCGGGTTCCAGGTAATATTGATTCATCAGCCCTTTTTTTTACTTTAACTTGGATAAGGTGCCTCACTTCAATACGCAAGCCTCCAACCATGTATTTCCCACCAGGACCACCACTAGGCGAACTTCGCGTTGCCAAACCATCTGACATCATGCGACTTGGAATTATTGCGGCCGCAGGGTTTCATTATTCGCCCCTTTCCCGATGGGAGAGACCTGATCACGAGGATTTCCCCGAAGACACATTGCTTTTATATCGTACACAGTTCAGCGAGGCTCTCTAGAAAGTAGAAATGATTATCCTGGATGCCGAGGACGCTTTCAAATCCAATGAAGACGGGTCCACAGAAGCCATAATCCCATCCAACAACGGCTGGACGCCTCCTTCTGATGGTAAAAAGGTGATTGTTGGAGTTGCGAGCATCAAGCTAGAGCCGTCGTCGAAGCGTCTCGGCCAATTCAACTCGAATGAAGGTACAGGAAACCCAATAATCAAGACTTATTCACCTGGAAACAATATCTGATAAGTCCCTGTAGGTAAACACCCAGAGCTACCGCCAAACCTAGGCCGTGACCTCAATAAGAAGCATTACAATTCCTGGGGTCATATTTCTAGTGCTACGAAGAAGAGGTTGGTCTTAAATTTTACTTCACCTTGAGCATTTCTAACCATGACTCAGATACTGCCTCGGATTCTTGATAATGGACATGCTCGTCGTGCACCCTGCCTACTGGAAGCGAGGCCATGGGACTAAGCTTGTTAATTAGGGTATCGCCCTTTCCAAGCTCGATAACGTCACTCAAGGAGTGGGCGCCGCCGAGATGGGAGCCAAGCTGTATAAGAATCTTGGATATACTTCCATCTGCGATATGGCGGAGGAGGGCGATGAAGATGATCCTAAGGGAGTTTCTACTGAGCTCCTCGAGTTCGTTCCATAGCTTGCGTTGCCTTAATCAAATGAATCCTGAGTTCCCTCCAGATGCCACGGCAGTTATAACCAGCTGTGTAGGCTGCTTACCATCAATAGTGCAATACATCTGACAGGGTAAGAAACGGTCTCACGAGCGTGTTTCGCACACAAGTCTAGCCCTTTCGGTAATAGCCTCAATATCTGGCAAAATGTTATGGTAAGGTTATGTTATCCTTGCGCATCCTGTAGAGAGAAGGGAAAAAGAAGAGGCTAGATGAGCGACTTTCCCCAATAACGTCATTTTGGATGGAATTTATGTACCCAGAGTGAGCAGGGCGAGTGCATAATAGATAGGGTGAGAGCTGGCACACAGGCCACTCAGCCATTCTGTGGATATGGCAGAGTATTGGACATGTCTGTGGCTCTCAAGCACTGGTGTTTTGACATCTGCAGCCACAGAGGTTTGTTGATTGGTTGACAAACAATTATGTCTCAAAATCTCCTGTGACACATAGTTTTCGATTAAAGTCGGTACACGATAGGACAGAAATCGCGAACGACACTGCATCATCGTGTCTCATCCACAATGAATCTCCTTTCGCAACGATATATTTTCGGCGTGGCCAAAAGGTTGGGGTGCAGATTGATCGGTCCGGGTTCGGCCTCCCCCACAAATATGCGGATGTCGGACCGAAGTTGTGGGGTCCCGGAGAAAGAGCTCGGACACTTGATATTGTTTATAAAGTGATGGACCTGATATTTCCTATAGGCTTATCTGTTTCTTTTGAGACACCATTCCTTGACATATCGCCTCACACTATGGCTGTTACTTTTACCACAGATCCAAATGGCAGAGATGTCTCAGTTCTTCGCAAGCCATTATTTGCAGCAGACCCACCATTGGGCGCAGATGGAAGACCGATGATACAGAAAGTGTTGATCGCCAACCGTGGTGAAATTGCCTGTCGCATTATCCAAACATGCATCAAGTGAATATCGCATCCGTTGCGGTATATATCGATGAGTAGGTGCTCACGCTATCTTGAACTCATGCCGCCGACATATCATCAAGGCCGCTGCTAACATGATTATCCAGAGATGCATCCTCCCGCAATACGTGTGAGGCAGATGAAGCCATCAACATCGGCAGCATTGACCGCAGTACTCGCAACCCGTTTCTCGACATCGAACTACTAGTTCAAACGGCTATTTCAACGTGTGCTCAAGCTGTTCACCCAGGATATGGCTAACTGAGTGAAAATGCAGAGTTTGCCCAGCGCGATCACGATGCAGGTCTTATCTTCATCGGCCCCAGCCCTAGTGCCATGTCTACCCTCGGCGACAAACGATCGTCAAAAGATTATTTGCACGCTGTCCTTGTGATGAATGGAGATATTAGAGGGCTCCAGGATCTATTTGCCTCCAGGAAAGCATCACCCTTCGACCGAGTCGATAGCCCGAATGGGGAATCACTACTTCATGTAAGCACTTTGAGCAAGTAACGCATTGACTTACGACGCACTGACAGATAACCAGGTTTGTCAGCCGCAAAAATAGGACTGAGATGATATCCTTTCTCTTGGACCAAGGAGCTGAATTGAACTCCTCAAAACATCTGCCAATTTGCAGCCAAGCATACGAGTCAGCGTCTACCACACCTGAGTTGGATTCATTGATTCCATCAATGCGTGTCGTGCTCCGCCATATAGATATGAGCCATGAGTTTACGGAAGAATGGGTAATCTATGTCTTCAATACATTTTACGGAACACCAGAGGAGGTTGCTTTCTTATTACAGCACTTTTGTCCTTCTTTTTACCAAGTATCAAAAGAGATCCGTCTCCGAGTGGCCATTTCCCTAGCGAGGTGCTTGACGGAGCGCTGGATGCCCGTTGATTTCACATCAAAGATTATTCAAATGGTCTTAAGAATGGATGCGTTGGAACCTGATGATTTCAAGTTTTGCGAAGGAATAAGTTCAACGCTAATTCATTGTATAGCGAGGTAAATTGGGGCTAGTCAACGACGTATTGAAAGACCGGATGGGGTCCGTGAATATGAATCGCAAATCGGCGCTTGGATTGACCTCTGTCATGAATTTCTGAGTGTTGGAATCGACATACATCATCTAAACGATTGCGGAACAACACCCTTTATATCATGCATCGAGTGATGTCTGTCGGATTGGGTTCAGTTCGCGCCCAATCAATTTGCCATCCAACTCTGGTTGGAAAATCTGGAAGCTGTTGGTATTGATCTGGGTTGAATATGGCAAAGCGGAGGATTTCATTTGGAAAAATCGGATGATCCGGCGAGAATTATTTATGTGGGATACAACTCTGGTAGTGGCCTCAACGATAAGAGTGATTGGATTTTCCTATGGCGCCTCTCCCAAAGATTGGCATCTATGGCTGTCTGACCCAACTGATTGTTTCGTGGGAGAATTTTGGGATATGATTGCGCGGCCAGTGGAAGTGATGCCCGGTTCTTGGCCGCAAGAATGAAATCTATAGGTATCGTGATAAACTGCACCCCCTTACATGTATCTAGCTAGCAATCGCAGAGCCGTCGAATTCGATATCGTCGTGGCGGGCTAGATCGACTAGGTTGAAGGCTGATTTGTTGCCCGTTGTTGTTAGGTTGAAGGAGATGGCTTGGTTGAAGATTTCGTCGAAGGCGGTTGGGAGGTAGTTGTAGGCTTTTGAGACTGCTGTGCGGAGGGTTGCGAGGTCGATTTCTTTTCCTGAGCGTTGGGAGGTAGTTGTGGTTTGCGAGGGCGTTTAGACCTGGGCAGGGGGAGCGGCCTGTTTCAAGTTGGTTTAGTATTTCTGTATGGGTGAGTGAGGTAGGGTTGGGTACTTGCTGGGGGGAACTTATTTGGGCTTACTAGGTAGCTCTATCAAATACTTTATGGTGGGAAGACACAGTTGGGTTTATACCCAGAATCGAATCACAAGATCCTTTCGTTCGAAATGTGTCCCTAGCAATGTTTAATCATCGTTTGTCTACGAAATATGATCATGTTTTATTTCCTTATCAGTAGAATGATTTCGACTATGATTAGTACCAGTCAGACCCTCTTCTATAATGGCAGGTGGTCAGTTACTGCCTCATTTGAGCACATGCCTAATTAGTGATGGAGCCTTTCTCACCTTTTACTTTGTTTACCTTCTTCCTCTTCCTTTCTTCTTCCTTCCACTACACCTCATCACCTTGATTAAGCCCTCAACAACATACCTGTCTCGTGTTGTCTCGTGCTGTCTCGTGCTGTCTCTTTCCTCTACTCTCCATCAGAACCAGCCCATGACGGGCGGTTCATCGAAACACCCACCAACAGACCCGACATCCGCGCCCAGTATGGATCAGTCGACTGGTAGCAAGCGTCGGTCGTCCTATGGCCTGCGACCGCCCAAGCCCGAGGAGAATAAGATGGAGCTGGGAGTACCTGACAGACCCTATATATGGTCGAAAGAAGCAACCAGGGAAATGATTACTGAGCCGAGGCCCGACAGACCCCATGGTCATAGCCTGCCCCTTGGGGAGCAACCGCTGAACGTTCCATTACGAGAGCTATCGGGCTGGAATTCGGCTTCCAAAATTGGGACCCAGTACGGCCATTTCCTCACCACAAAGATCCTCTGGAAGTATTCCCAGGTTGAAGACCTGGCAAACATGAATACTGCGGTCTGCGAGGCTCTGGATATCCCCAATTGGGCAAAAGCGACGGCTTATGAGTATGTCTCCGGTTATGAAGATTGGAGTCGGTTTATCGATCACATCGCCAAATATCCGATCGCAAAGCCTGGAAACCCCATTCTCATTGGAGCATTCTCGAATATTCGAGATCAGCAGTCGCGAATAGAAGGAGCTTGTGTTGAGTTGTTTGGAGACAGACCACCCTCCCCGATTGCCAAAAAGCGCAGAAGAGTCACCAACATGTCTTTCCCCGGCCAGCTCATGACGAGCGGCACGCCCAATGCCTCCCCCGACCAGCTCATGACGAGCGGCAGTACAACCCCCTTTACCGCGGAAAAACTGGAGCGGATCACAAGGAGATTACAAAACCTGACTCTAGAGAGCAGGGAAACCGATAATACTGGAGGTTTCACGGCGCTGGTGACTTCCATTGGAGTAAAGACGCCGTTTGGCAATTCCGAAGCCAAGAAGCGAACGCATGAAGCGAAGATCAATATGAGCTTCGTCAATTTTCTTTACACAATCTGCTTATTACTGCCGACCGAGTTGAAGTGGGACAGTATCCAGCATCATCTCAAATTGCATGTCGGTGAGGCTGAATACAAAGCAATCGTCGATGGTGGTCTGGTAGATCCCGATGCGGAAATGCAGGTCTTACTTGAAGTCAAGGCTATGCATCTGTCATCGAGTTCGGTAAAGGAAGTCTTGATGCAACAGGGACTTGAAATGCTAGCATGGATTACCACAACGCTCGGTATTCAAGGGTCAAAGGGACCAAGAGTTCAAATAATCGATTCACCGATCAGAAGGTAGGTTTGATCATGATCACTATACCAATGCTTGAGAAACATCGCTAATCAGTTGCGTATAGATGGGTGATGTTAGCACAATACGCTACACAGATATATTTTGTTGTCGCTGAGCTGCATGAAGAGTACATCGAGTACCTGGTTAAAGGCACACGCTCTAGGAACCCCTTCGATAGGAACGCACATCTAACAATGCGGCTACTGGGACCCTTCAGCATTTATTCCGCCGAAGAGATGCGGGCCTTTGGTTTTCTTGTTGTCGCGCTTACCGTTGTCCAGCACCGGGATTGGAAGAAGAGTAAGGAGGATTAGATAGGAAATGAAAGATATATTCTTCCTAACATAGACTCCAGGACCTTGAAATCAAAGATACATATTCCCCTAATTTGTTTGAGTAAACCCTCTTTGGAAAAAACTACAATTCCCCCTTCTGCCCAGAATCATCATGGGAGACAGTGGCAACCCCTGACCCTTGTCCCAAGGACCCAGTTGACGGGACTAGCTGAGTCAACGCCTGGCTGACGCATAAGCCACCGAGGAGACCATTAAGTCTTTCAAGTCGTGACCACGGCACACCTCCCCTCAGGCGGCTAGTTATCATCACGGCACGAACTGGCGGTTATCCAACTTCCGCAAAGAAATCACAAACTTATATGTTATCCCGGGAAACTGGTCCGTAGATCTCGCCCACCATCCACCTGAGCAGTTCATAGGCAATTTATCCTCGACACCACTGTATATTTTTCAGCTACATTACCGATTTTCTTTGATGCAATTACTGGTACTAAGGTGACAGGTATAATGTGAAAGCCATCACGAAAGAAGGATTCTTAACAGGGTATTCATTTTCTTAGAGCAACGTCAACCTTGAAAATAAGCAAACCAGGATATCCAGCAAAATCAGCCAAGCAAAATCATCCCAGCAAATCAATTGCCACAAGTCCTTGGAACATTTGCAACGGTGTTTCCTTGTGGAATAGGCCATGCCCATTTTAGAAGCAGGTTCAACTTCTCCAGAAAGTCTTTTCTGTCAACCATATCAAAGTATTTTTCCCCGTAAGCAGGCACGGCAATCATATGTCCTAGATCTAGGAGCTCCGAGAATTGAACATGAAGCTTGCCATCAAAATATGATTGGAACATACGGCATCCGCCAAATTTGTCCATCAGAAATACTAAATGCTAATGATATGTTAGTAAAAGACTAACGATACCCAAGAAGGAAAGACAAACCGGGAAAGTAAAGTAGCACTCGTCCGACCGATCCTCATCCGACCGACTTTCATCCGACCGATTCTTATACGACCTTTCCCGATCAACCTTGGTCATTTCTCGGTGGGTTAATGCGGCGATCGCAAAGAGCTCCATCGAGGAAGGCCGTTTATCACCACATTTCTCCTGGTTGCGGAACCCGACTATTGAGCGCTGGTGGCCCTTGTGCTCATGGCAGCTCAGTGAATCCAGAGGAAATTCCAGCTTCTCGGTATTTGTACATTCAAAGTCGAGAAACTTTCGGCAGACTGAGAGTAGTGCATCTCCAAGAAGAAAATGCGTGTCACTGGAGTGCAAGTTAGCATTTGAGAGATATGAGATACTTCATCCACTAACCGGTCTACTACCCATCCGCCATTGGGAATCCTAGAAGACTATTAGTAACAAGTTTATGAAGGCCAAGACGTATACAAACCCTTCATGGTGAAATTCCTTGAATGAAAAACCACTCCCTGTAAAGGTAAAATAGTTATATTGATCGGTCATCATATCTGGAAACATGACCATCTCGAATGACTCAAGAATCCATGGGTTGCGGAGAGAACCTGGCACTTCAGACCAGCTTGCAATCTCTAGGAAGGGTGAAGCTGCTAGATCTGAATCGAGAACATCTCGAAAATCAACCCGAGGTAGGAAGTAGCTTGTAACCGATGGCGAAGAAATTGTACCAGTGCGGATATCAAACTGATGAAAATCGACTCCGAGGTCTGAAAGCTGCTCGTCTGTCATAGGAAGCTTCCTATTTTCGCGAAGGGTATTGTAGATCCGTTCCATTGTTCGAAACTGGCTTTTAGCGCAGTTAGATCTTGGAGTGCAAGAGAAGTAGAGAGTAGAGAGGAGTGTAAGAATAACGATGGACGCAGTATGTTTGCCGCCTTCCAAACAGGTCATGTGAAATTCGGCTATCCAATCACGTTTTCCTGACCGATTTTTCTGAAAAGTTCAACTGGTATTGATGACGTTTTGGCCTGGAAGGACTAATAAAAGACTATGTATCGTAGGTTGCTACGTTGAGTGATTACCAAATCCACCTTGAAAGGTGTCGGAGCTGTGTCCAGCCCGGGAGGTGCCGCTTGTATACGGACCGTGGAACACTTCCATGGTTCTTCTCCATATCATATTCAATGCAGAAGTATCACCATTCCCCAAGAGTTTACGGGCCTTGCTTTCGTGCGTTTGCCTCTTCTTTTCCGTAGCACGCATCGTCGGTATCTTCTTGCACCTCGCTGTCGCTATCCATACTCCATTACTCGATCCCCCCTTCTCACGATTCCTTCTTTCGGAGCCCTCGCACATCTTCCATACCATTGTACAATCCTTTATCTGGCTCCACTAGAGACATCATGCAACCAAACAGGTTCTGCCTTTACCTCCGATGCAATCGATGGAACTATATCTTAATCTCTTCGGCTCCAGGTAACACTGTAAATGGTAGAATGTTGTGAATAGAATAGTATTCAGAGAAGACAAAGGAAGGGAACAGCATCCAAGATGCTATTCACCACCTATTCAGTGAATTATCTCACTTCTCATTCATGACATGGTATTGTATTCACTCCCTATTAGTGACTGACCTCTATTGAGTTACCTCTCACTTGTCATACTCATTGTTCGCAGCCTGCTATTCACCGTTGACAACTTTGGGTGCCTTGAGCTCAGTCTATAAAAGCCCCCGCTCCCACCATCCTTCCTCTCTTCTTCCTCTTCTTCTTTATCACTCTCAATGATCACTCTTCATCAACTCTTCAACTCAACTCTACCTACAGCTGACAGACCTTGTACGTACATACTCATTCCTTCTTGTCCACCCTGAACTCATGTACACTTCAACTCTTGTGACTCACTTGTCTCCCTGCCTTCGGTGAAGCTGCACAACAACAGCTGCAGTGGAGCGCATCTCAAGGACCACGGCTTCATTCAAGACCATCTCACTCCACATCAATTCCACATTCTCACAGCAAGAGTCTGGATCCAGTTCTGACACGTTTCATCTAGTTTTCAGCTCTTTTCACCTGAGTATCGCGATCCACCCCTCCACTCTCCGTGATCTGCAGTCGTCCGTGAAGGACGACTCTCAACAAACCTCAACACCTTTCATCCGATTACAATTTTCGTCTAAATAACCGACGATCCACTCTATTCAACGCAGCTTAAGGGAGCTTGCTTTCATGATGACCACCACATTCAACTTTTCTAACGAACTGAAGAGAGATGAGAGGTGGTATGATGGCTTCGAGCCACATAAAGTGGACATATCTTCCCTCAAACGGAAGAGTATGTTACAGCTTCGAGCTCGTGCCTGGACACTTCACCAGTACCAGATTTTCTCTCAGGATGTTGTCTGTGGACTCATGTTCTGGTATGCTGGCGGGAAAGAGCCCACCCACATTCATTCTCGTCCCGATGCGCAACTGAACTTTTTTATCTCTGGTGGTGTGGAGATTCCTCACTTGGGACTCAATTTGCGCCTGAGATACAAAGACGATCCGAAGTCGAAAAAAGATCAGTATCTGAAACTTGCCATCATATGGACCGCGTGGGACGGAAGTGACCTGCATCAGAGAGAGACAACAACCACCCCAGAACGGGCAAGCGGCCCCGGAACAGAGGACCATACCTTCTCCGCCAGACTGCGTCAAGTGAGTCTCACACCAATCAGCCTCACGGAAGCGCAGGCCAGCTCTTGCCAAGGAAATGCCGGCGCAGATGGATACCAGGCTCGCTGGGCATCCAAGGTTGTCCCCTACGTCTATGGGTTTGATGTAGCCAAGTCATCGCTGGAATGGTTTAATGAGGCGCAAAAGAAATCCATGGAACTCTTCATCAACGCTTCATACGGGGATCGTTTCAAGCTGTACACGCGGGTCCGGGCTGCTGCTCTTCGTGAAAACTGGAACACGCTTAAGTCTATGCCGATGCTAACCTACCCGCCGTTTCCACTCTATGATTGCCGTTGGCACACCCAGGCGAAGAGATTCGAGAGAATGGAAGAAATCCCTGACATTGACGACCTCCGTGTCCAAATTCACCATCGAAGACGAGAGCGAGACTGGTCTCACATTACCGCAGAGGGCCATTGCTTCACCGATAAGTTCGAAATACCTGGCCTTGACGCGGATAAACACATCACCTTTATCAACGAACGCGAGTATCAGGCAATCAAATCTATTGGGCTGTTACGGGAAGTTGCTGCAAATGAGCGTCGATATGATCACCAATTCAATCGCGATTACACTTTCGACATGATTCCGGCCTCTGAGGTTGAAATCGCAGCGACTTCATCATCGACTGAAACATACTATGTCGCATTCGAAATCCAGCCCCAACAAGGAGACAGTGACGTGGAGCAAACCCTGCAACTCCCAGATGTGGGAACGCCGGTGAGAGTCACACCAAAGGGACGCGACACAAAGCAAAGCAATAAGCAGATTTGGCCCTGGCCGAAGCCGAAACTCGCAAAGTCATCTGGAGCCCAGCCATCGGCCAGTGGAGAACGAACTTTGGTTGTCGGTATGAGCCGCAAGTCCCAGCAATCTTATTCATCCGGTGGTCCATCCAGCCAACACACTGCTATCGCTCGACAGGGCCAATCCTCCCCCGGTAAATCCCATTTCGGAAAGGCATCCAAAACCCCAATTTGGCACGGCCACGTCGTTTCCTCGTCCTTAGCAGACATAAAATCGCTCGGTGCGCCAACCAATCTTTTGTTTGCCAAGATCCACAAGCCTCACGATGAAATGTCTCGAGGTCGCGTTTTGAACATGACAGCCCGTGTTACCTTTGGACAGCCAAATTTACCGCGAGTGGCACCCAGGAAAGCAATTCAGAATGTCATGTGGGGCAATGAAGGCCTTGGTATTCCAACGTCTAGCAAGATGAAGGCGTTGTTTTTGGCGCATGAAAACCACGTCATGAAGTTCTTGCCGCCAGACAATGAAAACCTTGATGATACAAGAATCCCCAGCTTCCTCAGTTGGCTGAAGGATAGTCGAAATCCATTGCAAAAGAGAGCAATTCGAGAGGCTCTGTCTCCCCATGGAGGCTTCATGAAACTGATCACGGGACCGCCAGGAACAGGCAAAACGGCTGTCTCCACAGCCATCATCAGGTATTGCTACGTTACCCAAGCACCAATCCTAGTGATCTGTGGACAGAATCAAGGTCTCGATGTAGTAGCACAACGTTATTCGTCTCTTTACGAAAATGACAATGCCAATATCTCCCAAGTCTATCGACTGGGAACAGAGTTCGCTGAATCAGTGGATATGCATTTCAAAGAGGATCAGGAGCTCACAACGCATCGGGTGTCTGGTCTGCGTGAAAATTTCAAAAGAGCTGTTCATGAATTGAGCCGAGCAGACATCGCTGAAAGAATCGTTGGCAGTCTTGAAGCCTCCCTCACCGGCATGGGTGTAAACCTGCAGCACCTCTCCTTGGGCAGGTTCATCATGTCCCGCGTTAAGAACGAAATTAGTTTGCAGGGTTCGCCAGGGAGGGAAACAAATCAAGAGTCAGAACTGCTCATGGAATTTGCTTGCTGGCAACAAGTCATACGGATGATGGACAAGCTGCAGGTGGAGCCAATCGATCCAACAAGCACGAGCGCCCACAATTTCTCTGCTGAACAACGAGAGCTGCAAGCCGGCTTCCAAAAGCTGTGGGGAAAGCTCCAGGAGTTCTATCTTAAGAAGGCCCGTGTCGTCTTTTGTACCGCGAACACCGCGGCGCGACATATCCTTCGTGGGTTCCGCCCTCGCTTTGTTTTGATTGAGGAGGCTTCGCATATTTCAGAGACAACTTGCTTGGTCCCAATTATGGCTAACTACGTAGGCCTGGAGAGGGTCATTTTGAGTGGAGACACAGCGCAGCTACCACCGACTGTTATCTCCAGGAATGAAAACGAGTGCGGCCAGATCGAACAAGTCTCCCTTTTCGAGAGAATGATTCTCTCCGGACATCCCGACATACAACTGCGAACGCAGTACCGTATGATGGCTGGAATTTGCAAGTTCGTTAGCACGGAATTCTACAACAGTACTCTGGAGACCGTGGAGTCAGCTCCGAATAGAGCGACGTCAAAAACCCTCTCAAATTTCATGGCTACTCGATACAAGTGCTCGCCAGGTTCCTCGTTTTTCCTCTCTCTATCTGGCACAACAGTCGTCCGACGTCAGGGAGGAACCTCGGTCCTAAATCCCGAGTATGTGAGTCATATTGCTGACCTCGTTGATGCTCTGGCCAAGAAGGTTCCCAATCTCCCGCAGGAGGACATTCTGGTGCTCTCGTATTACAACGAGGAGCGCCGGGTCCTATCTGAGCTGCTTCAAAAGCTCGGCCACTCAAAGGTGAGTGTTAAAAGCGTGGACTCCTCACAGGGCTCCGAAAGCCCTGTGGTGATACTTTCAACTACTCGGCCAGGTGGGCAATGGGGTCTGGGGTTCATCACAGATCGGAAGAGAAGCTGTGTCGCATTGAGTCGTGCTCAAAGCTGTCTCATTGTCGTTGGATTTGAGAAGATGGGAATGGCCACGCAAGTTGGCTCAGGTCAGGGATTCCAGGTCTGGGAACGCCTTGTGAAGCAACACGAGCAGACTTCTACTTTGTGTCGCGTGAAGGGTAGTTCAGCCCTTCTCAAGCAGCAACTCGGGATCTCCGAAGGAAGTTCTGGATATGAGCGTGCTCTTCGTTGAAAAGGTCCGGGCGATGAGTCGTGGTGGCGCGATGGAAGGGTTAGCAGATGGGCTCGTTAGGTGAAAATGGATGAGGATGAATTTCGCGTTTTTTTATCTTTCAGAAAGCTTTTATTCTTAGTCACAGCTGGAGATGAATTATTTGCCAGTTTTTATCTATTCATATGCTCTATGTAGTCTGGCCCATTTCAAGCTTGAAGCTTCTCTATTTTACGCTACGACACCAAGGAACGTTCTGAACGGCGAGCGGCAAACATAGAGCCGTATGAACCTTTTTTCACCTCTGAATTATATATCTCGAAATCCACATTGCATTCAATTGCAAATCAACAGCGCCGGGAATACATTTTCATAATCAAAAGGTGCGAACATACTTCCTCAGTACTTGAACCCTGATAGAAACATTGATTACGAGTCTGGGTATATGCGATCCAATTCCAACTTGATCTCGAGTATGTCAGTTGTCAGTTGCTTGGTAACCAAAAGCATCAAACGGTCAGAAAATATGCTCCTGCAGGCGCGTGTAAGGAGCTTCGACTCTAGGGATCTCACTGAAAGAGTGGAAAAGAACGTAATCGACATCACTAGTCGAAGACATTATTCGTTCTTGGCGAAAGTGATAGGTTTGTGCCAGAAGCTCATTTTGTATAGTGGCTATATTTGTTTGATTATCAATGCAAGCCTGACAGACCGGAATCTGTCCCACACCCTTGTGGGAGATCCTCCTGTAGATTGATCTGAGCGAATCCTCGGGGTCACTGAAAACTACAAGAGTCTCTCAATCCGTCGGACACGATGGAAAAGATGAACTATCCGATTAATTAATTGTAACAAGGGTGATGGATTGATCAAAATAAAAGAACTACTGAAACAAATTGAGCGGGGCAAGGACCCACGCCCGGAGAACGAGAGCGGTGATCCCACTAAAATACATTTTCTTTTTCTGTTTTCTCTTTTCTCTACCCCTGCAAAGCCCTCTCTTTCTATATCGATGATGTAAGATCCATGCAATGAACATGAACGATCTCGCTTCATGGACGAAATCAGCTCCGGAGATAAACCTTAGCAGACTCTCCCCATATGGTGGCCCTCTTATAGAAGTGAAACCCGGGCGCATTCCCTTCCTTCAATCCATCAATAGCATCTGCCAGAGCATCGCAAAGCCCTTCGCTCTTTATTTCGGTGAGGGTATAAAGATAAGTCTCAAACGAGAAAAGTAGCGCGCGAGTTTCTGGTAGACGGTGCAGCATCTGTCGCTCACAACGAACACGAGCCTGGAAAGATTTAGTACGGCCATGCAATAGAGGGCTGGAATATTAGGCTCACGATTTCAATGCGAATGCCTTCAGTATCTCACCTCGCTCTTCGTGGGTCATTTGCATTCTGCTCATCTGATAATACCCATTTTTCAGTCGCGCACTTACAATAGCCTTGCGCGTTTTTGTCCGAAAAGCGGCCTCAATGCTTTTCGTAATGCCCTGGAAAGGGTATGCCACCAGTCTAAGACCCGCTTGAACCAAACACCCAAGTTAGTTTGATTCTGCTGCAAAAGTGACGACATTGCTTACTAGACGGGACTTTTGTGGCAAGTCCAATGGATCCCTTGGCGAACCCCTTGACAGCACCTATAGCACCTTCTTCCCTTGCTCCGTTGATAGGTTGTGTGATAAGTCTAGTGAAACCATCCGATATCCCATCAACGAAATTTCTACTAGTAAACATAGCCCTAGACATCCACTTCTGAATGGCGCCGTATTCCTTCGGTGTATCTCTATATAATCGAGGAACTTATCTAAATCCCTCTACTGCTGTATGTGGAATGTCGACTACTATCCCTTTGAAGTAGTGCCCGGTGAACTTTCTAAATCCTTTCATGGTCGCTCCTACTATACTGCCTGTAATAAGAAAGCCATTCCTATTTTAAGTAGACTCATTTTGAGTAGAGAGGGACTGGTCATCGTGCGAGCTTGCTTTATCTATGATAGATGCCCTTGTTGAAGAAGGATCTCGTGAAAGTGAGCTACCGGGGAATGCCGGAACTGGTAACCTTCTAGCTGACGGATTCGGGGAGCGACCACGTTTATATTCTTTGTATAAGTTATAGATTATATCGGCGGTGTTTTGTAGTATTATAGATCTAGTAGCTGTAGTCGCTACCAATATTACGGGGTCCTATCGGCGATATTCAATAATGATTGGGTTGACGAGATACCTAATTCGCTTAAAATTAGTATTACTATGGATTAGAGGCACTAGGAGTGCTTATAGCTATAGATTTTTCGAGTCTATTTTTAAATGCTCGATTAAAATATGCAAGGCTTCTTTAGATAGCCTTATGGACCTTTTACCTTTTTTATATATCCACACTACAAGCAACCAGGTGATTTCATCAGCTTGTATTATAGCAAGCCTATTGCAAGTGATACTGCACACTCTTCGAATAAAAAGGGCTAGTATAGCATCAAGCTCGACAAGGCCACCTCGATTGACCGTGTTGTGTTCATAGAGGATCAGACGAATGGCCAAGTGATTCGGTCATTCAAAGTACATGCGAAGATCGTTTACGGTCAAGATGCCAATAGTGCCACAGATGTACCTTTCAAGCTTGTTTCAAATGGAATAAGTATAGGCTATAAGAAGATTGATAGATTTGACAAGGCCATTTCGGGAACAGAAGTTTTGGTCAACACTACATATGTGGATACTCAAAATGGCGATTCGTTTCGCTTTATCTCTGTGATTGATTAGTCTGAAATGACACTTCAATAGACACGACCGGGTGATTATTTAAGTTCATTGAGGACTGTAATCCGAATCATCAAGTCCATAGAATTATTTCTTGGACACATGAAGAATACATATGTTTTTGACCTCAAGGTTTATAATCCCACTAAAATGTAGTGGCACTTGCGTATCAGCCATTGTTAGATAGTCCGCAATATTCACTAGGTCTGTAGGGTGCAAAGGTAGGTTGACAGAGGTTACAAGAACTTCATACGCCTCGCAACATAAGTTCCCCCACCCACAACGCCTGTAACGCCAGTGAAAGCAATCAAAGATCCATATCCACTCCCATATCCATACCCGGCGTTCCCCTCCCACGGCATTCCCTTGATAAGAGCCTCACTAAGGGGCCCGGAAACCAAATTCCCGACGCCTCTTCCGGCCGCGAGACATGCAAAGACCATGCTTGATTCAGCGGAGGGTTTGTGGCGCACTACCTCGCGCATAATACCAGGCCAGGTGCTGGTGTATGAGCCTGCGAAGAGACCGTATACGATTGAGAAGATGAACAGAGGAGCAAGGGACGTAGAGAACCCCCAGATAAGAAAGACGCCGATAGAGGATCCGACAGTTGAAATCAGGATGCAAAGCGTCACGTCCAGCTTGTCGATGATAGCGCCCATAAGCACGCAGCCGACAACGGAGGCTAAGTTGAAGAGTATAACAGTCAGTGCTTGGAGGGAGGTCGAGGCACCAAGCATGCCTGCGTAAGTTGGGAGGTAGATAGATGGTAAGAAAAACCCGAGCGCCTCGATAGTATTGCAAAACTCGAAGAGGGCAAACGTGGACGTAAACATGAACCGGAAGTTCGGGGGTGACGGACTGGGTTGGTTATCTGCAATCGGCACGCGCGGTTTGACGAAGTAGACCAGCGGCGCAGTGAGAATAAACAACACAACCGCGAAGCCACGCAAGGTAATTCGGAACCCGTACTTGCCCAGCAGCTGTTCCATGACAATAGGGAGGACGACACCGCCGATTCCAGTGCCGGCCCACATGACGCCGAAGGCGAGGCCCTTTCGTCGGTCGAACCACTCTTCCATGAGGAGGATGCAGGGGGCGTAGGCGATGCTGCCGCCGAGTGCATAGAAGATTCCTTGAGTTACGATGAGGTGATTGGTATTTGTGGCGAGGGAGCTTAGGCCAAGAGCGGCGCACATTAGTAACACACCTAGACCGCAGCCGAAGCGTTGATATTTGGGCCATTGTCTGTAGGCGGCGAAGACAAGAGGGAGGTCGAGATACATGATTCCCTGGCGTATAACTATAGGTTAGCTCGGGTTGGGTTGGAACATGAGATATTCAATTTTTACCATAGCGCAGGTTCCGACAACGGCGATATTACCGGAGTCCTTGAATTGGGGAATATCGCTGTAATACGCTTGGAAGACGCCATAGGTGAATGCAAATCCCCAGACGAGAGCCTCCATAACGAAGCACGCAGCGAGGAACAGCCAGGCATTCATTCCGCCATCGATGGGCGGGAGTTGCGTGCCATAGTCAACATTTGACACGTGAGTACCGTCAGCCGTCCCCTCTAGCGGAGCTTGAAGCCCCTTTTCAGTCTCGTTTGTTGAGGAGTATGAGCCGATTACTTCCTCCATTCTCAGAGCCAGGGTCGACGGCGACCGAAGAAAGAACAAGTAGGGATATATTCCCTAGGCGACGAAACAGAATCTGTGAACTGGTTCAAATGCTAGAAAATTCAATAATGCTTAGCTCACGATAAAACACATGTTGGAAGGAATCTTGGAAGGTTTCAGGAGCCAATTTAAGAAAGATAAGATGCCAAGCCGCATAGAGCAATCATCCGCAGGGCGTGGACAGGATCCATCATCCCGTGGTCGTGTCATTGACTGGACCAATCAGCGTTGGTTGGGAAGACGCATATGTTGTAGGTAATATGCAAAGGTACCTAGTTAGGTATCCACTAGTGATTAGTAACCATGGAAGACACCCGTGGACTCGGGGCCACATCCATGGCTAACTCCAGGTAGAGTTAACCCGTGGACATAGTAGCTCTATTAATAATCTCATATGGGAATGGTCTCCTCAAAGATTCGTAGGTAGGCAATTCCAATTTCTCCACAATCACAAAAGGAGGCCAGAAGAACTCATGTTTCTTATCTACCCAAAATGTGCTCCGCCAGAGATTAAAGAAAAATATCCCGCTTTCAGTAGTTCTTCGCTATCCTAAGCCCGCGCCAAATCTCAAGACCGAGATGTTTTTGTCTCATGTTCTCTGTCAACGATTCTTACTTGAATATTTGGCTTGACAAACCATCCACTACTAGTCGTCCACTGGCTGTCGCCGGTAGGGACAAAGTCAAACCGCCGCACGAGCTGCGGTAAAAGTTTTGTCATTTCGAGGAGTGAGATGTTCTTGCCGATGCATGTTCTTGCACCGGCACCAAACTGTAGACCGTATCAGAACGACTCCCATTTTTTTCACGTAATACCATCGTTTGATACCATCAGACAGCAAAAGAAGGGACGTACCGCCAAGAAATATCGATCTAAGAAGGCAAGTTGTTCTTTGCCAACCAACCAACGCTCAGGTCGAAACTCGTGTACATCTTTGCCCCAGATGGTTTCATCGCTATGGATCACCCATGCATTCACGCCCACCACCGTCTGTCAGCGATTGTATGGTTAGTAGTTGTCTCTGAATGGGGTTGGGCAGCTTGTCGGAGTTGCTTGGAACCTACACCTTGTGGGAAGTGTCTACCAGCGATCTGTGCGCCGCCCTCAGGAACCACTCGGCTGAGAATCTGGCCGACTGCTGGATGCAGCCTCAATGCTTCTTTAATGGTAGCTTGCAAGTATGAAAGCTTTTGACCTTCTTGGAAAGTAGCGGGGTCAGAAAGATTTCCTTGCCCCGTGGCCGTCTCAATCTCATCACGGAGCTTCTGTAAGCAATCAGGATGCTTCATGAGGAAGTAGATAATAGCACTCATGCTGATGCCAGTTGTGTCGGAGCCAGCGCCGATGTTGGCACCGATCACATTATTGATCGTGGTCTGATCCAGCTTGCGAGCGTTGTTCAATTCGACACACTTCGCCAGGAAGTCCTTGCGATCGCTGGTACTGACGCCCTTCATTCTGGCACCAATCTCACTCTCTATAACTCTTTGTATGACTCTCCAATGACTCTCGATTGGTACGAGGTTTTGAAACCAGTGGTACCATAGATGAATCTCAGGAACAAGCCCCACCATGGAACCGTAACTTATTGACCCGACATGAACAGCATGCAGAAGTCTGTCCTTGTCGTGGCCGACTTTAAGCAAGCCAAATGATCGCCCTAGGGTTATTTCACCAATTACATCGAATGCGTAAAACTGCATCCAGGTGAATAAATCGAACGCCTGACCGTGCTGGGCATGGTCGGCCAATGCGGCCATGAATTCGCCACCCACTTTGTCTACGAATGGCTCGTAGGACACCAAAGAGCTCATGGCGTACAAGTTAGAGGTCCTCTTGCGCTCTAGCGCATGTTTCTCATTGCTTGTCTCCGAAAAGACGTCCTTGTGGTCCATAGAAGATGAACCAAAGGGGGTGTAAAATTCAGATTTGCTGAACTTTGAACCGGGGCCGTAAATGGTGCGAATTGCCGTCGGGTCGCTAATGCTGTAACGATTAGGTGCCAGCCGGACAATAGGGCCTATAAGAATTTAGTTTATACAAATCTCTGTTGGGTGAGGCGACCTACCATATTGTTTATGCAAAGCAACTGTGACATGTTCCAATTGGCCTTGCCAGTTCTTGTACAGCTCCCACAAACGAGTATATCGCGCGAGTGTTGGGCCTTTGATATCCCGGAGAGTGCTGAAAAGACCCACAGGCAGATAATACAGGATCAAAAGGGCGCTTGCTGCGGCGATGAGCACCGGCACATCATATGGCAGGTATACGAGTTGGGAAATCATATTGCGAAAATTCCAGTGCCAGTGGAAACTCGGACGATAGAATACAATAGAACTGAGGTAAATCAGAATCATTATCTACATAATTAATTACCATCTACCGCAAGTGGTTTCCGATGATTCCGCGGTGAGGATGTACAAAAGGTGGAGATGCAGGACTCTACGGAACAGACCCGCGGAAAGCATCAACCTTGGAAACGACGTCGGAATATATTCGCAGACTTGAGACACCTACGAGCGCTCGGGTGTTCACGGAAATAACAGTCAGCTCATTCATTGAGCTTGACCTTCGTGTTCGATAAAGAGCATTATGTGTTTCCTAGCAATCCTGGAGGAACACCGAAGGCAAGATCGATGACGTCAAGTTTGGACTAGACAGATAGATTTAGGCGAGGGGGTTTTGTTTATATGCTCGTTAGATCTTCTCTTAGAAGCTAAAAACTTTTTATAAAAAAGATCAAATACATCCGTAAGCTGACATCGGACATGTCAATTTTTGAAGGGTGGAAGCCTTAGTTCATAACTGTTTCCTAGAATATCTCACCACCTGGCCTCAACATCTTTTCGAACAACGCCTGCCTGCTCAATAGGCACACATTCGACTGATTTGGGAGGGTTGAATTATCTCTATTTACATGAGATTTATAGTATGCATATAGCTAAGGCGAGGGTTCAGTATAAACGGTATTCACCTCTCTACCTGCCTATCCACTGCAGCATGCCCTCTACAGCCAGCTGAGTTGTCCCTAATTTGGGACATTTGAAGGTCATAAACTTATCTGCAAGGTGCCTAGGTGAGGTCTACATACAAAGGATACATAATTCCCCGGTCTGGTCAGACTGTATCCAAGCAGCTCCAAGAAAAATTCACAGGCCGAGTTTAGGTATGCCCTTGATGTTGCCGGGTTACAACATAGAATATGATAGTCACCGTAGCGAAGACACACAATAAAGCAGGAGAGGAAGAGGAATCAAGATCTGTTCGATCTACCTATTTATTGCCATGGAGCTCTCTTTATAGCTCCATGGAGACAAAGGGAGGTCTGACAAACTAGAGCAACCAAGCAATCAAAGCCTCGCTGCCTTGCTGACTTGCACCAACCGGCCTTATCGATCAACTTGCTCATAAACCATAAGGGTACCTACGTAATCATACGACGTCATTAGGTATGTAACTCCCCTTGTTTCCTTTTGTTTCTTTGCGTTGCTTTTCAAAGGTTCTCTTCCTCTATTCCCGTTCGTTCTTGTTTGCTTGGCTCTTAGCATAATAACGTTCTTTTAAAGGTAGAAAACTTCGTTGACACTTCCGAGAGAGGAGACTAAATTCCGTTCATCTGACAGAGAATCGAAGTCAGTGCTGATTCTTTTAGCTGATCAGTCGGTTGCCTGGGATTGGGCTTTGTGTGGGTGATTAGAATACCAGAGCTGGTCACTCATGAAAGGCGACTATTAGAACAAGTCCGTGGTGCATTCTGGATGGGCTCTTATCCACTATATACACTTCAAAAGCGGCCGACAAAGACTCTTTGATATTCGGTTCACTCCAGCCCAAAGCTTCTTTTGTCTCGACCCGTGTGGGGTACACGGGTATACGGGTAACGTCTTGCTCTGTTCCAGGATTGCTAGTTATATATATTGCGAGGGTCCAAGGCTGTTGGTAGATGAGGTCAGCGATAGCCACGTGAATCTGTTTATTTTCAAACTCAATACAAGTGGGGCCGTAGATGACCCCTATTTCTTCGTTCAAGCTGACCCCACTTTCGTTCTGCATAAAGATGACGAGCCTGGATTAGTTATAATATGTAAGGAGTGCGGGGAGTGGGTATCCGGCGCCACCCTTAAAAGCGGAAGAAGCGGGCTCATCCCCTCACCGTGGCTTAAGATTTCTTTTTCTGTCCTTCAATTTTATGGCAATATGAAAGTTGGCACATCTTCAGCTCCAACTCGGAGTAAAAGGTCGCCGGGCGCTCTTCGCGAGCCCCGGCCTCGGAAAAAGGGAGAAGTATGCAACAAGGGCCTGGTAGGTTCTGTCCCCTTCATGCATTATTAAAAGGCTAGGCTACTTACTCTCAATAGCTCCCTGTGCAAGGTACGAAAGGTTAAGTGCAGCGGCAACCAACCGTGCAGCCGGTGCGAGGAGCTGCATAGCAAATGTACCTACAACGAACCATTTCAGGCTGATATTGAGTATGCCCCTTGGATATGATGGGCTGTCATCCCAGTCGTTGATTCTGTAAACTAATCACCAGGCAGCAGCTTTGACCGATCCCCGGCCGACCAAGACCTTGAGGTCACGGTCGCGCGAATGAACAGGATCTGTGATCAGATGCAACAATCGATGGGCCGGTTTGGCCTAGCTTATCCGAGCGGGTCCTACCTACAACGAAGACAAGCGAACGACAACGTACCCCAGCCGAGTAAACCCCTCACCCCTACGGACTTCCGACACAACTTGAGTCTCACGCGAGATGCTATAAGCGCAAAGGGCCTGCCATCTCCTCTACACTCCCAATATGGCCCTCACTCTGTCACTAGAGACGCATTAAAATCCCCAGACGCTTTGATCAACTTAATGCAAGCTGCACGACCCGTTTTGGAACTCGGCCACGAGAAGGTCACTCAGGTTTTTACAATATTCAAGGACGAGATCTACCCTCTATATCCTTGCATCAGCTTAGAACTTGGCTATGAGGCTGTCAACGGTGTCTTTTCGCTTTTGAAAGATGCTTCATACGGGGTTACGTTGAACGTGGATATAATCGATGTCGAAATCATGAAAGCGGTTGTGGCAATCGTCTTGCTGGTTAGAGGTGACACAGAAAACCCACTGGCCTCTGATCTTGAAGCCCAGTTGGTGTGGGGTGTAGATTCGTGTTTCGATCAAGTGAAGCCCCAGGTTGAGGATATCGTCATAGCAACTTTGCTGGTAAGCTACTTAGCCCGTCTCCAGATACGCACGTCCTCTGCTGATAAATGGGGATTCCTGGTTCTCACACAGTCGATTTATTTATACCTCAAGCAAAGACCAGTCAAAGCATGGCGGTTAGCTGGAGTGGCCGCGAAGTTGTGTCTCGAGCTCGGTCTCCACCGAGAAACGTTCTTTGAAGATCTTAAAGTGCTCCCACAGCGGATTGTCGACTGGAAGCGTCTGTTCGCCTGTGTTTATCGTCTGGATAGGCAATGCAGTTTCTATTCGGGCCTACCGTGGACACTACACGACAGAGAGATCAATGTCTCTGCACTTATAGTAGTAAGGCTCTCCATTAGTATATTAGAGTATATGCAGCTAACATGTCCGGGTCTAGGAACCACAAGAGTCCTATATATCATCTATGATCTCCTTGGACAGAAATCTCTCTGAGATATGGACTCTCGTCAACGCTCCGTCATCTCAACCTAAAAGTAATAAAGAACAGATTGAGTTCCTCAACTTTCAACTACAAAAGCTTGTCGACAAGATGCCGACAGAAGAATTCAAGTCCCTAGAGCCAACGGTAGTTCCACCATCATGGCTACAGGCTGAACTGAAACAGTTTTACCGCCTTCGCGCGCACCACATCGGGATCCTCGCACATATTGGGACATCCGGCTCAATACGGGATTCTATATCTGACCCAAAGTTGACTAGAACTCTAGTGGCTGCAGCTGCACAATCGGTCGATCTGCACGTGGAAATGGTTAATACGGGCAAAATTAGCCCACTCGTGTTGCTCACGGCGATGAAACTGCTCCTGGGCTCTCTATCTATTATGCTGTTTGCTGTCTCGCACTATCCTGAGGAGTACGAATCGCTGTATAGCAAGCCCTTCCAAGCTGCTATTGATATTCTTAGTGACGTGCAGAACTACATCAAAGATCCGGACCTGAACATCTGGGGTACCTTGGAGGTATTGGAGAAGATTGTGGAAACGAGTCAGACGTCACAATCTCAGAGGTCAGCGCCGTTGATCGATCGCAAGAAAGCCACTAGCAACGTCTACCATGGAGAGGGCTTCGGTAAAGGGAGCTTGTTTGAGGAACTCCCTACGCCGGACTCGGAATTGTTCTCCATGTTAGGAGATTTCAATATGGCAGCAACTGATATATCACACATTGGCAATATATTTGGGTAATCGCAGCAGAAAGGGTTCAAACTGAACACCCGGTTCCTGCCCAGGTGCTTGTGCTATGTACATATTGATGATTAGTCTACGGAAGCTTGAATGTCACGAGGCAATTGATATTCTCCCTAATAAATGATATATGTACATGCGTACCTTTTTACAGTCTACTCCGTAGTACGGAAAGAGATGTCAATGTCCTTCTACCAACTGGTGAAGACGGGAGTGCTGACCGGTCGGGAAGCCGGCGGATATTCCGACTATGATTTGTGCACAACTTCAGCCGAGACACCCGTTTACCGTCGGACCTCCAGACGAAAGTGGTACTAAGGTGCATGTTCTAGCTCGGAGGAAAATCGAGAAGCTTCTTCCAAGAGGATATTTGTTTATACTAGAGGTATTTTGTGTAACAGGAAGTTGATCGTCCTTGGCTAACGAACTTTGTGACCTCGGGAGTTCCGAATGCCGCTTACTAAGAGGAACCAGTCGCCCGGGCGGGGCCCTGGGGATTGTTACCTAATTAGGTATGTAGCTGTATTGAGAGCATGCACCTTTTGTCTACGGAGGGTGTCTGGCCAGTTCCTTTTCACTTGGTACGACAGTCTAACACTTTTCTTGAATTGTCCACATCTGAATCATGTTTTCCACGCTCTGGATAACAGTAGATGTGGATTCTCATTTGACTTCTCACTTGCCCGCGCGGATATAACTATTGCTTTTCCAACATTGTTTCAGTACTTAGCTAATTCCGCGGGATATTCCACGATATTCGGCCCGTAGTTCGGGATCCCTTGGCTAGCGCTAACTAGATGTCCACCCGGGTACGGAGCTGGCCTCGTCCGCTCCGTGTTCATTCCCGTGAGATCCGACTTCTCAATGCTTTTCTGTATGGACCATATATATTAGAAGCCGACCCAAAACAAAGTATTCAAGTCAAACAACAACTTTTCCTTCAAAGAGTTACTGGTCAGCACCGTCAACATCAGCCATGAAGCGAGAACAAGACACCGGAATCTCCATTCTTGTTGTTGGAGGTGGCATTGCGGGTTTAACCTTTGCTATTGAGGCTCATCGGAAGGGCCACAGTGTCCGGATAATCGAACGGCGACCCCGCGGAGAGACTTTTGGTAAGCACAGAACAAACAAGAAGCGGTTGTCGACTTCCTCCCAGACTTGAGATGAATCACCAAAATATAAATTGAACGTACTGGCTGACCAAGCGGCACATCGACTCTTGATGCAGGCGAAATGATCGTGATCACGACTCCAGCTCTCCATACCCCAAAGAAATGGCCGGGCTTTATGGAGCGGGTGAGGCAAGAGTCCGTTGCTCCAGTGATCAATATGAAGAAATTCGACGGCACCCTGATCGGGACCTTCCCCATTGGTGACCCGAACAACCCATCCCTAGCTATCTACCGTTCAAAGCTGCATAATGTTCTCCACGACTATGTCTCGCAGCTCGGCATACCGATCGAATTCTCCGCGACCGCTTCGGATTTCTTTGAGGCAGAGGACCATGGTGGTGTGATCCTGTCCGACGGCCGCAGGCTCACAGCAGACGTAGTGGTGGCTGCCGATGGAGTCGGCACCAAATCTTGGGCATTGGTTGTCGGCAGTAAAGATGCCCCCATTAGCTCGGGATTCATCATGTATCGAGTCACCTTCCCCGCGGGACCGGCGCTCGAGAACCCAGTTATCGCGAAGGAGCTTCAAGGATTCAAGGACCGTGCATTCCTTCATGCCGGGCCCGGGGCGCACGTCGTTACTTGCAAGTCGGAAAATGAGATTTGTTGGCTGCTCACTCGCAGGGTATATATATCCACGCATCAAGCTTGATCTAATTCGATATTAATGTCATTTAGGAAGACGGAGGTGATGACGACGAAGACTGGGCCAAAGCCGCGTCAATTCAGAAGGCCCTCAAGGCCGTCGAGGGCTGGGAGCCGTTCATGACCGAGATCATTAATGCGACACCCAATGGCACCGTTCTTGAATGGAAGCTGGTTTGGCGTAACCCTCAACCGCGGTGGGCATCACCTGGCGGGCGCGTTGTCCAGATAGGCGATGCCGCACATCCATTTTTGCCTACCTCGGCTAGCGGCGGGACTATGGCCATGGAGGATGCGTATTCCCTGGCCGCCTGCTTACAACTTGCTGGGAAGAACGACGTGCCTGTCGCAACGAAGGTGCATAACCACTTGAGGTATGTAATGAAGCCGTGAAGTCTAAGCATTTGTGGCCAGTCCTGGATTAAATACGCACAGAAAGGGATTACCTAGGTAGATATTACAGAGGCTAATCATACACGCGCTGATGACAGGTTCGAACGAGTCTCTTGCGCTCAGAAGATGGGATTCAAGAACCGCGAGGTATTCCACAATACTGATTGGGATGCCGTCGCTAAGAATCCGGAGGTTATGGGCAAGATGGTCGGAAACTGGCTGGTGCATCACGACCCAGAGCAGTACGCGAATGAGAACTACGGCAAGTGTGCAGAGCACCTCCTCAGGGGTGCACCATTTGAGAACACAAACTCCGTCCCTGGCTACACGTACAAGCCGTGGACAGTCCAGGAACTCCTAGACGCTTCGGAGAGAGGCGAGGTTCTTCAAGATGAAGGAGACTGGTCCTAGATAGATAGTGAGCTTAGCACAATAACCAGGACACTACAATTGATAAAAATACCTCGGAATCGTTATACCGCATGATGCAGCATCTCGAATGCTACAGTGAAGTGGGAATAGGAGAATCCTTGCTTGGCAAACACCTTGTTCTGGGTTAAAACCTAGGATATTCCCAACCAGGTGTCGCGTTGAACCCTATTCGTGGCGTCCAGTGACTCCATTACTATCGCTGGGTAGGTCTAATACACCGGAAACCCGATGGAAATACACTCATATATTTTTAAAAGTAATGGAGTGGTAATCGAAAGGCTACGTTACACTTTAAACGTAGCAGAGTGTAGGTATCATTAAGTGTATCCTATGAGAGAGTGACATGCTACTATATAGATATGACCGGAGAGGCCTCCTTCAGAACATTGTTACTCCGAGGCTCGGATGACCTTCTTTAGCACACCGATGTTCACCGTCTCACTCGAGGAAGGACTAGTCTCCCATGGGGGAGAATGCAATTCTCTCCGTCAAACCTTTGTGGAAGCCTATCACCACCCTCATGGCGCATTGGGGGGTATAATCCCGGAAGTATTCACAGACCCAATCTCAAGAGTGATAGTTTGCCCCTTGCCAAACAGATATGCTGTTGGATATAGGGGGATGAGCACACTGTAGACTTTGCCCGAAACAACGGTCGATTTGGAAGCAATGGCCTGACTGAGAACACGCTCCTGTCTGGATTTATTTGCAGCTTCGTCGCGGTGAGAGAGGCGGAAATACCCCCTTGCGAAATTGTTCATTGGCTCACCGTGGTTGCCAAGAAGAGTAATGGTCTTTCCATTTCTGTCAATCGCACGAATATAGATGAACAGGTCCAGGTCCTTCGCTTTTGTGCTAACCCGAATTTGTATAGAAGTGCATGCCTCTGTGGTGAGGCTGTGACAAGAATAGGAAAAACCCACTAGCCCGAGCGAATTGCACAGCGCATATTCCGACGCTGCTAGAAGCTCCCCAGATAAGAAGCGCGTCGGCGGCTTTCTGCTTTCGGGGTTGTTAGCCAGATGCGTCTTGAGGGAGTGAAAATCTGAAAAGATTGTACAATGCATCAGCTGCAGTCATAGCGACCACGGGTAAGCAGGCGGCATGCTCCAGGGCGAGATTTGAAGGAACCGAGAAAGCCATCCGCTCAGGACAAATCATGTGGTTTTGGTGTGACCCGTACTTAAGCGGCCGGCCTAATCATGTCGGGGTATAACCAGTTACGGTTTCTCCAATTCCGAAAGCTGAACCAGCAGATGCCTGGATGACTTTCCCGCAGAAATCATACCCAAGGCAAGCAGGGTAGATGTCCAGGAAGTTGGCATGCTTGACGTCCGCTGGGTTTGCACCTGAGAAAAGTGTCTCGACCAAAAGTTCTCCATTGCCCGGTTTGGGCACTCCGATGTCCCGACGGACCCCAAAGGCTAGATTCTCATCGACATGGAGTGATGTGTTCGTGGTTTTATTATCAGTTCCAGGTGCATAGTGCTTTCAGCACCTAGCCGACTCCATTACAGACACTAATGGACATCAATGCAATATTTTTCCGTTCAACCTCGTCGAATATTTCAGAAGCCATCTGACAGTCGAATTCCATCTTGCCTTGACAGTCCATATTAGGCTCTCGGTCGGTCTCCGCTATTAGAAAAGCGCAGGTGGATTTTGAGCACCGCGAAGGATCTTGAATCAATCTGAAAGTCCGTTGGATTGCATTTGGGGAACATGCTGCCATTTTGGATCAAACTATGATGAGACAACTACGTAGTAGTGGATTTCGACAGTGACGTTTCTGAATATTTCGGGTACTTGCACGCTGAAACGAATCTATCTAACTATCTATCTATACTAAGGAATCACATTACCCGCGCTAACATTCGGATCTAGACCTGCAGTCATCATATCAAAGCCCAGGTCGCACCATGACACTTTCCTCTCAATATACGTACTCGAAATTCGGGTTTTGTTTATCAGTCAGATCAGCAAAGGCCGTGGAATCAGCCATAAGTTCAGCCTCGCCCCCTCTCTCCCGCAATTCGTCGCGCATCTCCTGCTTCCGTCGGTTCTCCCAGATAAAAACGTAGCGAAGCACAAAGAAAAGCATGAGCTCAAGGCAGTTGGCAACCAGCAGAGAGCCAATCCCCAGGGGGTATGCCGGCGCTTGCTCAGATTTGTAAAAGAAGGGACTAGCAATGTTGCCTATGCATGCTCCAAACCATATCATACCGGATACAATCATTTTCTTCGACTGTCCACCAGTGTTGGAGGTAATAAGGGAAAGAGATATCACGAAGGAAGCTTGATAAGACCCAGTGAGATAGCTAGATATTGGGGGATTAATCGGTGACTGATTTTTAAGCGCAAGCTTCAGTTAGATAGACTCACAAGCAGATCAGTCGGCCGACGTATGCATTATGGGGGGCAAGCAAGAAGCCGAGGGCGCCCGCAATAGTCGGGATCATGAACAGTGCGCAGACTAAGGTACGGCTATTCTTCGGCATGTATTGGTTGGCATATGCTCCAAGCACAATCCAAATGACCACGATTACTCCCTGGGGTATACCAAGAAGTGCCGTATTGAGTGTATCGAATCCGAGGCCTTGGATGACCAAAGTGGAAAAGTTGGATATTCCGCCGTTTGGAATGTTGGCAACAAAGCCTAAGATGGTGAATAGCCAAGTCTTATAATCAAGATATGCCTCTTTGACTTGACCCCAGTTAACCTTCCGTCCCTCGATACCGGTCTGATTTGATCGCAGTCGTGCAATCATCATGAGCTTCTCATCACGACTGAAGCCCCAGAATGTTGCTGGCGAGTTAGGCAACAGCAGACCCAGTGCAATTCCCCAGGCAGCGCAAACAGCGCCGATAATGAGAAATTCGTAGCGCCAGGATTGAAGACCACCTTTGATATTGCCGATTCCATAACCTAAACATCACAATAAGCGTTTACTACTCAATTTAGTACAATCATGAATGAAACATACCAATAAGACCGCCGCCGGCGACACCGATACCATTCCATAAATAGTATGCCGAGATACGCCAAGGTTGCTCGGCACGGGTGTAGTATGTGGAGACGACAAGCATAAACGCAGGATCAGCAATCGCCTCAAACGCGCCAGAAATGATCCGGAGTGCCGCAAGTGCGCCGAAGTTCTGCGATGCAGCCTCGCACATAAGAAGCACGCCCCACATGAAGATATTGAAGGCGAGATACCAAGCCATCCGGCTCCGTTGCATGAGGAGGTTAGACGGGATTGCCCAAACTAACCATCCAAAATAAAAGATACTTGACAACCACGAGTATTCTGTACCGGATAGATGGAGGTCCTCTTTGATGCCAAAGATTGCTGCGTAGGAAAGTGTCGTCTTGTCGACATACTATTAAAAACAAATGATGTTAGCTGTGCCCTAAACAGAACGAAGATGATACGACAAACATACATAAAAGAAGTAGCATATGCCAAGAAGTGGAATGAGGTGCAGGTCAAGCTTGCGTTTCAACCTCCTTTCTGCCTCTTTATCGATGGCCTCATCATTAGGATATCTCTGAATTGCTTCGAGATATAGTTCACTATCTTCTCCTTGGTTGATTTTGCCTGCCACCGACAACTTGAGGTTCTCCTCTATGTGCTGGACATCCTGTCCACTCTGCGGGTCCAGTACCTTTGGAAGGTTTTCTTTCTTGTCCTCCATACCGAAGCGCTGAGCCTTTTACTCAAGATCGGTGTTCATTGGTGTAATCAGTGGAAGGGGTACTGAAGAATAATCATCTAGCAGTAACAATATATAGGACGACCAGCACAATATGGAGCCCCCGCTTAGAAAGGTGGCCATCGGCAATCGAAGTTGGGCACAAGCCTCATTGGTGGAATAATCTTTGCGGGGATGTGGGATCAGCGCAAGGTTGGGGTCGAGTCATTGGGGCGACTGTGCTTCACTTTGTACACTGCAAGGAACTATCTCTGTGTGTAACATAGAGGGATTTGACAGCTTGCAGCTTTGATGAATTCCCCTGTGGTTATGCTAATCATGACAAATAATCATGATTATAAGAGCAGAATAGGAAAAAGGCGTTTTTCCGATAGGCTTTCAAGCCGTAGCGAAGTCGGACAATGTCCGAGTACTGATGCCAAAACGATTACAATACGAAAGCCAACGATGACATTCCTAGCTCGCGCTCGTCCCCAGATTCATCCGAGTACATATTGCAACTGTGCGCCCCGCTGGGGTATTTCAAAGATATTAGAATAGGCGTATGTTTTTCGATAAGTATATCTGTAGCATATGGAGGTGGGAAACGTGCACGCGCAGCCTTGAGTTGCCATAGGCGGCCACAATGTGATATAAATATCTTAATTCCATGTCTGCGGTTAGAACCTCCGCAATTTCTAGTTATGGGTGGGGTGTAGATATGTGTGGGGGAATTGCGTTGGAAAAAGGAACGTGGGGGCCGGGGAATTCCCCAGGTGACGGCCACTGCCGAAAAATGGTTATGATCGGGAATAATTGTCGAGCAACCGCCTCTTGCAGCCACAATATCCACAATGGACCTTTTCAGCAATTGGTGACAGAGATCGGCATATGAATTAGTCCTTCGGCGTTTGGGTGTCACCAATAGTCACATGAACCGGCGTCGATAGTATCAAGCGGTCCACCCGATACACCCTAAAATGGGTCAGAAAGCTCCAATAAAGCCACTGGGAAATTCAGCTGACCGAAGAAGTTGGCTTTCATCCAGGATGGATGGATCTTTGTCGTTAGTAAGCCAGCCACTACCCCTGCCCAGAGCCAGGGTGCCGGTCTTCGCCAAGAAAGCCAAGAAACCCAAAAATCCCAACCCCTTTAACCCAACACCCGGGGTTGGATTTCTTGGCGAGGACCGGGTAGAGGCTCATCTCATCCAGTCTTTCGGATTTTTGGATTTTTGGATGACCTCTCTATCAACTATATATAGTTAGTTGTATCTATATGATAGAAATTTAGATGATACACCGGCATGTGGTGATGTTATATTCGGGTTTAGTGGTCGAGATGATTCTAGTTTATATCGTTTGCAACAGCGATATCTGATACTGTTAGTAGACCGCTCAATTGCCACTCCCGCTGACAGCTGGGATGCGGGATGTGAAGGCACATGAGATGTATGTGGTAAGGTTGATCTTCGTGGATGGCAGATATTTGGTTGTGGAAGTCACATCTCCCTGAGCATCCAAAGATATCGAGTTACTACCCTGGTTGTTGAAAATAAAACTGACAAGGAGAGCGGAGCGCAGAGAATGCATTGTAGTCGGCTTCCTTTGATCTATGCGATGTGCTTCTTCAGTTGCTCAGTTAACGCCAGCTCTTGAATCGAATATTCAGCGTGATTTTAGACAGCTTGATTTGGGTGTTGCAAGATGTCATCCTTTCTTCTAGTGCAACCAACACTCAAAAGTCCATTCGGTTAAGATGTCTGGGACCCAGAGATCAGACCTGGCTTTTGTTGTTTGCTGTCTCCGAGCCTAGAAAAGGCTCATGGATCACGTGCCATTTTGGTTGTTTATGCCTGATCTGTCAGGCCACAGAATGGCTGCACGTGTTTGTTTGAGAGGGTGAAAGCATCTCTTCCTCTCCGCTTCCTCCTCTTGGTTCTTGCTCTCTGCACGCACTATGTTGTAGACACCACGTGCATCACTTTCAGAAATATGTGTTTCAGTAGAAGTTCATAATAAGCAATCACATGCGCAAATTAACAAATTTGACACTATATTCCCCGAAAAGCCAACGGATCGATCATGTTTTCACACGTGCACACTAAACCAGGTCGGCCTATAAGTTTCCTCCGACATCTAACCATCCGTCGCCGAAAGTTGGCCCATCTCCGAATTTTCGCTCTCTATTGTATCTACACTAATCCTACAAGGCTATAGTGGATATTTGTGCCAAACGAAAGTCGTGGATGCATGTGAAAATGCATAAAAACTATCTGCAGACTGAGCGACGTGCGTTGCCTTTTGGGCATGATTGGCCCTGATTGCATTTCATCTAACGCAACCTTGAAAATATGTTATGCTTACGGTGCCTGAGCCGAGACACGAAATTATATATAGAGCTGAATCATGGAGTGTTTGTGACATAGATTTAAGATTTCAGATTCTGTGAATCAATTGCATTATTTGGCTATGGGCGGAATTTTGTCGCTCAAATTGCTGCCCTTCGTGGCTAGCTGCGCCTTTGCTGGTTTCAAGTATCCAGAAATTCCTACAGACTTGACTACACCATTCCAGCAACGATTGACAGTCTATGGACCTGATGGTAAGAAAGCTGCTAGGTATAGTGAATTTGAATGAGGACTGACTTGTTCGTCTGTAGCTGTGTCTGTTGGTTGGAACACCTATGCAGAACTGAAACAGAGTTGCGTGTATTATGGCTTGTCAGATAGCAACCTGAATACCAAAGCTTGCTCATCCTCGTCGACCACCTACGATCCCTCCCGGACGTGGTCGAACGTCGCCGTCCTAACAGGCCTGACCCCCGCGACAACCTACTACTATAAGATCGAGTCCACCAACTCGACAATAGGCCATTTTCTCAGCCCTCGCAAGCCCGGAGATAAAACTGCCTTCAATATGGACGTGATCATTGATCTAGGTGTCTACGGCAAAGACGGCTTCACAAGCAAAAACACAAAAAAGGACACGATCCCAGTCATTGAGCCAGAATTAAATCACACCACAATTGGTCGCCTCGCGCAAACAGTAGACGACTACGAGCTTGTCATCCACCCTGGAGATTTCGCTTACGCCGACGACTGGTACCTCAAATTCTCAAACCTGCTCGATGGCAAAGAAGCCTATGAGTCCATTATCGAACAATTCTACGACCAACTCGCACCAATCGCAGGTCGCAAGCTCTACATGGCCAGTCCGGGAAACCACGAAGCAGACTGCTCAGAGATTCCATACTTGAATGGCCTCTGTCCAAAAGGCCAAAACAACTTCACTGAGTTCATGCATCGGTACGAGAAAACCATGCCCCGGTCTTTTATCTCCTCGTCATCCAACGCAAGAGCCAAAACCTTGGCGCAAACGGCCCGAAGCCTTTCAAACCCGCCCTTTTGGTATTCCTTCGAATACGGCATGGCCCATGTCGTGATGATCGACACCGAAACAGATTTCCCTAATGCACCAAGCGGCAAAGATGGCTCCGCCAAGCTGAACGGCGGGCCGTTTGGCAGTGCGAACCAGCAAATCGAGTTCCTCAAGGCTGATCTCGCTTCGGTCGACCGATCTGTCACGCCCTGGCTAATCGTCGCCGGGCACAGACCCTGGTACTCAACTGGTACATCTTCGAACGTTTGCGGTCCCTGCCAAGAGGCGTTCGAGGGCCTATTTTACCAGTACGGCGTTGACCTCGGTGTTTTTGGCCATGTGCATAACTCGCAGCGGTTTATGCCTGTTGTCAATGGTACCGCCGACCCCAATGGCATGCAGGATCCCAAGGCGCCCATGTATATTGTTGCTGGGGGTCCGGGTAATATTGAGGGCTTGAGCGCCGTTGGCAGTAAGCCTGCTTATACGGAGTTTGCGTATGCCGATGACTATAGCTACAGTACGCTTAGGTTCTTGGATGAGCAGCATTTGCAGGTCGATTTTGTGAGGTCTTCTACTGGTGAGATCTTGGATTCTAGCACTTTGTATAAGAAACATGCGACCGATTTTGTGGAGCAGTTATAAAGGTTTGAGGATAAAATATATATCGCATGTGACGAGCTAGTCTGTGTTAATGAAATCCTGTAATTTCTTTTTCATTAGGAAAATACGTAGTATGAAGACCTAATCCCGTAAAGAAGAGATAGAGTGCATTTTTATACGGAACCTAGTATGCAAAGAAAGGAAATGGAGAAAGAAATAAAGAAACCCTATCAATGCTAAAAATTCTCAGATGCCATCCAGTATCCACAAGGATCCACCCCATAAATTATTTATATACACCTTGGTCCGTATAACCCTATATTCATCAAGAATCTAACGGAACTAATTATTAAAGTATAACATCTCATTCTGGATATGTGGCTGTCATCGATGCGACACCTGACTCTTCCACTCCTTCGGGGGCGTTGTCGAACTACCCACGCCGGACCCTTCCTGGAAGGCCCATGGCTCACTCTGCACGACAGTCTCCGAGACAACAGTGATATCCTTGGAGGAAGGCTCGGACTGAGCGAGAATATGCTCATCGCTGCCCCATGCGGAACTCTGCATATGCGTCGGCGCAGCAGCGCTCGTCTTACTCTTCTTAGTATCGCCTTCGCCGTGGTTTGTCAAGGTCTTTAAACCTCGGCTGGAGAGCTGGTATGGCTGTCCTGATTTTTTCTCCGAGGAACTGAAGACGTGGGAGAGACCGATCTTCCTGAAGCCTTTGCGGATAAGTGGTTGAATGATGGGCAGGTTGGAGACAACGATTGAGACAAATGTCTCACGACAGGCCCATTTCGAGCCAGACAAGGCGCCATCAGGGCTGGACTATAGTACATGTGTCAGGTATATGGTAAATAATAGGCGTGTGTTTCTGTATAGGTATATTATTATTGCATGGGACTTACCTTCATAATCGTAGCGGCCCGAATAATTCCCGCTATCATGACAAATGTAGCGCCAGAAAATAGAGCCATAAGAGGTATCTTTCGTTTCAGGTTGAGGTTGACAGTCCAGAGAAGGGGGAGCGGGATTAAGAGAAGATAGATGTCAGTGACAATGTTGAGTACCACGACAACGAAAACATAAACACGGGAATTGGTTGGCTGACAGAGATCTGTGAAAATATAGTAAGATAAGAGCAGTATTATATCTGATGGCGGTGTAACTCACTGCCGGGGTCAGGGTAAATTTGCCAAAACGCATGGAAAGGCTGGCATGACAGCAAGATGGACAATGCTGTTGCGACGTATGTCACACCTAGAATGATATATCCCAGCCGAACTCGGGTGGGGGAGGTGTTGGAGGCCAGTCCTGTGATATGCTTAGCGCATTGGTTATTTATATCCAAGGTTATATGTGAAGCGCACGTCAATCGAGAGTAGAAGACTGCCAAGCTAAATTTGACCAACCAGAGAATAGCCACGTATAATGACCATCCAATGACCTGGATTTTGGATCCAGCAACACGGTTGGACCACTCAGTCGAATGAGGGTCGAGATTTGCTCGCTGCTCAGACGTCATGTAGCTATTAGTCATGCCCTGGAATTTGGCACCGACGAGGTACGCCGCTACTGTTTCAAGTATGAAGAGGATCTATCCAAGAGCATCATGTTAATTATACCTTCTTTCAATGGTGTTTACAGGACAGGCGAAAGAACATACTCCCGCCAATGGCATGAGATAATCATCAAGTTGGAAATTAGACGGCCCAACGAGCTTCCATCGTACTCCGACACGCACTAAGATTGTTATAAGAGCCAAGGACAACAAGGTCCATGCCTCGACATTAGCGGGCATTCTTGCGAGTCGTCGGTAGTCAGAAAAGCAGAGGACGAAACAACGGAAGATGAGGACGGGAGTTGGAGGGAATTAAAAAGAAAGGGCTCCAGCGAGACCGGCCCACTGGGAATCTCCGGGACGTAAAGATCTACAATGCACGGAGTAATGTTTATACAACTAACTAGTTTGGCAGGCTAACCACATAGTGCGAATGTCAACCCCCTGGAAGATCATCCATGTAAATTTGCGTCACCTCCACCAGCTCCACCGGCTCCACCCCGCCTAAGAGGGGCAGACCCCTGTAATTGGCGCGGGGCCGACGATCCGTATACCTAACACGGGAGGCATGTCCAGACCCACAGGCCATGCCTCGAAACCGTTACAGGCATTGAATATTGTGGGAATATGTTACGAGCTTACTTATCATTGGCCAATTCGTGAAGCAGCTTGGTCACGACGTTATACTTTGTAGAGCTTCAAGAATTCCATAAATTACCACATTAGGAATAGGGTCCCCCTATTGTTCTCCGCTGTTCTCCGCTGGAAATCACGTATTTATTCTTCCTTTCCTCCGAATAATTTCAAACCCAAATTTCTTTATTTCTTTATTAGTGCTAGTCTTTTTGGTGATTTCCAAGGTTCACTCCCATCCAACATCCACACCGTGTCACCAGGTCATTACGCACTATGTCCACCTTTGACTTTATTGTCGTCGGGAGTGAGTGACCTTGATTTGGCCCAAATTTCATTAGCCCTAGCCTTTAACATATCTCGTAGGTGGCCCGTCCGGCTGCGCCCTCGCCGCCGGCCTCGCTAATTCGACCGCAAAACCCCGCGTCCTCCTCCTCGAAGCAGGCGACAACAAGGAAAATCGCAACCTTCGTGTCGACGGCCAGCGATGGCTCACCTTCCAGGACCAGTCAATGAACTGGGGATTCAAGACTACTCCGCAGGCGGATTGCAACAACCGTGAGATCGACTACAGTCGCGGCCGGTGCATGGGCGGGTCAAGCTCAATCAATTTCGGCGTTTACAGTATCGGCGCACGCGACGATTACCAGGAGTGGGCGAGAATTGTTGGCGATGAGACTTTCGCGTGGGGAGGTGTTCAGCAAAGGTTTAAGGGTCTGGAGACGTTCCATGGGGAAATCCCCGAGGGCATAGATAGAAAGTATGTGGATCCGAAGATGGAGAATCATGGAAGTGAGGGCCCGTTGCATGTGGGCTTTGCGCGGGAGTGGGAGCGAGATTTAACAGACCTCTTGGATGTCTTCGAGCAGGCTGGGTTTCCGTTGAACCCAGATCATAATTCGGGGAATCCGATTGGAATGTCGGTGCTGATTAGCTCGGCGCATAAGGGGTTGCGCTCAACAGCGGGTGATCTGGTTAAAGAGAAGCTGGATAATTTGACTATTGTTACTGGGGCCCCTGTGCAGCGTGTCCTCCTGGAGGGGAAAAAGGCTGTTGGCGTTGAGTCGAATGGGAATAAATGTGAAGACGCGAGCCTACCCCTGCTGCGAGTGACCTAGTTACTAATAGTTGTGCACAGACTACGCCACAAAGGAAGTCGTCCTATCCGCCGGCGCGCTAAATGACCCCCGGATTCTGATGCACTCAGGCATAGGCCCCGCCGCCCAACTCCAGCAATACGAGATCCCCGTCGTCCACGATGTACCCGCCATCGGCCAGGGGCTCCGCGACCATTGCTTCGTGCCGATGGTGAACACCCGCACAGAAACTAGCACGGACCGAAAGGCCTTTTATGGTGACAAATCCGCCATGGACGCCGCGCAGAAGCAATGGGAAGAAGACGGGACAGGCCCTTGGGCGAAATTTGCCTGCGAGCTGGGCATCGGCTGGTTTAAGCTGACCGAGCGGCTCACTTCCTCGCCAGAGTTCAAGGCGCTCCCAGCAGACGAACAGAAGTATCTTCTACAAGAGACCGTGCCGCACTATGAGGTTCTCACCCATTTCCCCGTTCATTGGGTCATTCCGGATTTCCCGAACGAGGCTTTGAACTACTCCTGTCTGCTCGTCTTCTTGTTCAACGCGCAGACTCGCGGAGAGGTCACATTGCAATCATCAGATCCTGACTCTCCGCTCTCTTTCAACCCCAAGTTCCTGGCCCACCCGTTCGACCGCCGACTCGCGATCGAGGCCTTGCGCGACTCGTTCCGCGTCGCCAAGCACGAATCCTACACAAAGGATAACGTGGCAGAGCTCGCAATGCCCAAAGGCGAATCAGACGAGGATCTGCTGGAGTACTGGCGGCAGAACATCTCGTCCAGCTGGCACATGACAGGGACGGTGAAGATGGGCAGGAAAGGCGATGTGGACGCGGTTGTGGATCCGGATTTCAGGGTGACAGGTATTGAGAATCTGCGTGTCGCTGATATGTCGGTTGTGCCGGTGTTGGTGAATGCGCATGTGCAGGCCGTTGCGTATGTCACTGGTGCGATTTGTGCGGAAAAGTTAGTGAGAGAGTATAGCCTTGGTTAGATTCAAAAACACCTATCAGTGTTGGTGGACCCTAGTCAATACGGATTCCCACTCAGTATAAATTTTACATTGTGTATGGTATCCTTGTATCAAAGGTACACATGTTTTTCTCAACCCTCTGAAAGTGAAGTTTTAATTTTGTGGAAAGCCAAACTTGGAAAATGGTGTTTGTTCCAAGGTTCGTTCAAAGGTTGTTATCCGAGGTGGAGAACTTTCCAAAGTTCTGGGTGCCAATAAACTTAAAACTTTTGATTATTCCTATTGTTGTCACCAGTAATATATAATGGGGCAGCATAATACATACTAGATCATACTAGATACTAACCGCATATGTAGGTCGGTATATGTGGCGTGGCGTAGGGGATTATACCAATTGGGTAAGTGGTAGGAAGTTTACTTCGTATGCGTATGCACATCAAATCTCGATTTCAACGGGGGATCGTCGGAGAGCAAATTACGAAACTTAAAGGGGTTTCTAACTTGGCGAAGGGTCTTGGCATAGGGTTATATAATGTGTCATTTTTGCATTATATTCCTGGTTATACATAGCAAAATCCTTCGTACTGTTTACACTTTCTCCCACCTTTTCACGCCATCTAGCTAAAAAAACCAAGAAGGGGGAGAAGGTATCTAAAAAAAAGACATCTAAAAAGACCACCGAAAACATGACAAGGCCGAATAATAAGCGGCGGACTATTGTTGCAATCCGAGGTTCCGAGGTCGAATTATGTATTATCTAAGCAGATCAATCTACCCTAGGTTCGTGGTAGGAGCGCAAATTCATCAAAACTATCGACGTTTACCAGAAAGTGGGTTTGACTGTACCCACCTAGGTACATAGCGGGGCTAGCAATTTAGGCGATCTGAGAGTTCTCAATATGTACACTTATCAGCCAGCACAGTACATATCTTGTCGGCTTATTGTTAGAGCAGCGTTGCACTTAATTTAATATTAGCGCGTACCAGAGCAGCCTACGTTACCTACATTGTATAATTTAGACTGTGATAGAACCCATAAGTGTCGAATACTCCCGCCCAGGAACCAACTCAGGACCCATTGTGCGGCCTGCGTCACAAAGCCGCTAATGCATCCTAATAAAATAGTGTTATTTACCACTGTTCTAGTCACCTCCATTAAAATCTGAAACTACATCACATAGTAAATTTAAGAAAACTATTTCCTAGATGGATAAAGCACTGCTAACAAGTTAGCATCGTTATCAATTTCAAGTATTCACGACTATATGAAGTGGGTGTTTGGTGTTTATGTGATGCTGTACCTGGTTCTATATATTGGTGCCAGTCAGCAGTACATTTTGCAGCAGCGACTGCATCGCTCAAATGATCGTGTAGTACATATACAACAAGTCGGGTCACGATCACAGGCTATCACATGCTAGATGATCGTTCTTTGTTGGGTTGTTTGCTTAGTTTGTACTTGGTTAGTCATACAGATAGATGCCCGGACCCAGGTGTTTGATTGTTTCCAAGGTTTGACGAAGTGGCCTTCACCTTTGTATACCTTTGGCAGCTTCTGGCGACTTCCCAAAGCAGAAGACCAAGTGAATAAGTTATCAACATAAAAGAACCCAAATATTGCGTCAATTACTAAGTGTAATGCTAATGAGTATCGAGCTCCGCAGAATCATGGGCAGGAGCTGCAGGCAAGGTTAAACAAGGATGTTGTTGAGTCTGATGGGCCAGTCTCTTTCATCGACATCTCGAGGTTGGGAAGGTTGCTTACATGATTCACAATACTGCTGTTTTGGGTTCTCGTGCTGGTCAAGGCTCCGAGGCTGTGTCGCAGGGACATGATGTCCAAGAGTCGCCGAATAGCAAACGACCGAATGAAAACAACGTGCCTGATGAAGTCACCAAGAAATGAAGGCTGAAGGAGGACAAAGTGGAGAAGGCGGAGAGGCGAGAAAAATATGAGACTTGAGCACTGAGAAATGAGGAGTGTATACCTTGAAGGATTTCTTAGTTGGTATGTATACTGTGTTCAATATTCACTCTTGCAATTTCTTCGTCATTTATCTCTGCTATACCATTACTGCGCAAGCTAATGTTGAACTCTAGTCAAGCCTATCTCATTGTGCTCTCCGGGAACAATAAACCTGCATATAGATAAATAACCTATCACAGCTTCTTGGGCGCCTCAGACTTCACACCCAGCCCAGTGATAACCGAAGGCCGCGACTTCAACCTACTCAGCCATGCATGAACATTGGGAAATTCCTTCTCCAAATCAACTCTATCGCCCGCCGCCCACGGCACAACCTCAAACCACGAAACAAAAACAAGATCCGCATAACTGCATTTGTCATCCACCAGGTACTCGCGGCCCTGCAAGACTCCATTCAGCACACCTGAGACACGGCGAATCTCATTGATGTACCGATCAACAGCAGACTGCAGCTGTTCTTGATGGTGGATTTTGAACCACACAGCTTGACCAAAATATGGGCCCTGTCCCGATGCTTGGAAGTGGAGCCATTGTTTGGCATGGTAGGATTCCGGGGTATCAGCTTGGAAGCTGATCACCCTGTTCTTGTCGTATTTCTCGACCAAGTATTCGATAATTGCTCCAGATTCCCACAAAGTGATTCCCGTGTTAGGATCTTCAATCGCGGGAACTCGTCCGTTGGGGTTGATCTTTTCGTATGCGGGTTGTTTCATCTCCGGGAATTCGAGGAGCTTGATTTCGTACGGAATTTTGAGTTCTTCAAGGACCATCAGCACTTTTTTTCGGGTTGGGGCCAGCGTGGTGGCCGTAGAGGAGGATGGACTTCATATTGAGTGAGAAGAGGAGAATTGGTAGTAATCCGGTAGATGTAGTAGGCTGGTAGTTGGTGAGTTTTGAAATCTCAGCGATTCAGCGTGGTTAATTTATTCTTTTATTCTTATCCCGAATTCGCTTCGGTCTCGCTTTCGGGGTTGGATTATACAACAGACCGAAGCTGACAATAAACCATGGGCGATTCTAGCTCAGCTCCAACCATGGTACAGTTGAGGCGGTAGTAGTTGATAGGCCAGTTGCCTCCTGGTGGATCCTAAATCTGATTAGTGTTGAGATCCGAGCTGTCCACTGCCACACCTCGCTCTTCGGTCTATGCTGACTGTGTCATTACGCGATACGACTTACCTTCCCAGCACTCGCGACCTTGGCAACACCTTTCTCGTTTTTTACTTCCTCTACATATAACACCTTTCAAATATCCACGGTGACACATTCCACCCAAGTACTTCAAAAATTGATCATATCACCATGTCTACACATAACATCGCCTTCACTGCCCCCATCAACCCCGCTGGCGCGAGCCCAAAGCTCCACCAAGACCAAATTTGGGCGGGGCTTCGCCTAAAAGTCCGATCTGCAGAAACCTTCGTCCCGAAAGCCATCCAAGCCACCACTGTGATCTCCGACTCAATAGATCCAACCACGGGGAACGAAGTCACTGTTCGCGAGGTCATTTTCGTTGAAGATCAGCGCAAAGTCCAGGAGACAGTCACAGCGTACAAGCCTTCCAGGGCCGTCTTTGTCCAGCCTGATGGCAGCACCATTGTCAATATCGTTAGCGAGGGCGCTAACGGGGAGCTCTACATGACCTACACCTTTGAATGGAGACATCCAGGGGCCTCCAAGGAGGAACTCGCAACATTTTTGGAGAAGGAGAAGAATATGAGTAGGATGGCTGTGGAGGGGACGGTTACTGTTCTGCGGGAATTGGCCAAGAATGGGAAGATCTGAGGGTTAACAAATTACATTTGTATGCTTAGTGGAGAGTTTGTCAATAATACATCGATTCATATATTTGAGCTTTGGAAAGACTGACACCAGAAAACCGGTTGGGATTTAATTGTTTCCATGAATTATTGCTAGATACTAGCTCCAATGTGGTTTTTGCTTTTCCTTTGCTAATATGTTCTGTTGAAAGAGGAGTATATGTCTTCTTGCGAGGTAAGCCTAGATACCAACGCTAGTGGATCAAATTGCAATTCGGCATTGCTCGATTCTCCAATGTGATTATATGTTCTAAACGCATGTAGTATATGGCCAACCATATAGTGGACATCGACTCAAGTTAGAACCCAGCGACTTCATCTCCGATGAAGCATCCTGATAGTTACACGCCACTGTACCACAAAATTCAATGTGGGACCCCCGGCATTGTGGGGTCACCTCTAATCTCCAGTTATCTCGGCATTGGCTGCAGCGCCGACGGGACCGATCTGTCAGCCGGGGATCGCAAGTCGGCGCTCCGACTCTCCGAGTCGCGCCGTACCTTGCATAGTATTTTTTTTATAGCTATATTTAAATAAACAATGTTGAGGACATTTTCGGAGCTGTGAACCTAAATTCTACAAGATCTTCAATATGACTCCTATCACAGTTGGTATTGCCGGTATTACGGGCAAATTCGCCCGTTGCGTTGTTGGTCACCTTTTGAAGCACCCGAACGTCACTATCAAGGGATATTGTCGCGACCCAACTAAACTTCCCGCTGCCCTCCTTGCATCCCCGAGAATTAGCATCACCCAAGGCCAATCAGACGATAAAACGGCTTTGCAAACATTTGCTAAAGGAAACGATGTAGTGGTTTGCTGTTATCTCGGTGACCACAACCTCATGATCAACGGTCAAAAGTCGTTGATCGATGCTTGTGAGTCTGAGGGAGTCAGTCGCTACGTGGCAAGCGACTACAGCCTAGACTTCACGAAGCTAGAGCTTGGGCAGCTTCCCGCCAAGGACCCCATGAAGCATGTTCAAGAATATCTGAAGAGCAAGAACGTGCAAGGAGTCCATGTTTTGATTGGCATTTTCATGGAAACTTTCTTCACCACTTTCTTTAATGCCTGGAATGCCAAGGAATCCTCATTCTCCTACTGGGGCTCTGGTGAGGAAATGTGGGAGTCAACATCCTACGACAATGCGGCCCAGTTTGTCGCAGCTGTCGCCCAAGATCCTACTGCGATTGGTGTTCAGAGATGTGAGATACCCCTTCTCAATCTATGTACTTGGAATGAGATACTAACCTTTATAGTCCTCGGCGATCGTAAGAGCATTCAACAAATCGCTACGGCATTTGAAATCCAGTACAAGGTCAAGCCACAGTTGAACAGACTTGGATCTCTGGACGAGCTCTACACACATATGCAACAAGTCAGAGACAACGACCCAAACAACTTTATGGCGGCTTGGATTCCTCTGTAAGTTGTCAAATATGTGAACTCAAGCCTGAGAGATTCTAACATGCCTTGGATATTCTAGGTTCTATAAGTTTTACTGCACCAACGGACAGACTTATCTCACCCCAGATGTCGATGCTTCCAAATATTCCGAAGTCCCACGACTGACCTTTAACGACTTCTTCAAACACAATTCCCCAGACTCTCTTTCAACTGCAGCTTGGGGTGTTGGTTCGAACGTCTCGGCACAGTAATGGGGGCTGCACAATGAACGCTGCATTGTACAATTGGGTTCAGCACTGACGTAGACCTGAGAGACAACATGAAAATAAAATAGCTCCTACAATAGTCAGATTGAATAGTGGTAGTATAAAATTCCCACATAAGACTGAGCTCCTTTTAGTGTGCATTGACCCTTGCCACTTAGATATCTGTAGCGATGAAGTCACTTGCCCCGAATCCTTTCCTATATAAACAGACTTCGGTGCTCCCTAAGAAGTTCAATTTCTATTTACTTGTGACACGATTTCCAGGATGCCAAGATCAATTTCTGTTGAGCTACTAACTATGGGGAAAGAGAGGAAGAAGAATCATGATCTATTCAACCTATCTGAAGCAGGGGATTTATACCCTGCGAAACAAAGAAAGACAGGCTCAGTCGGCAAACAAATGGAGGCATCAATGAGATGACTAGACAAAAGCATCAACGGGATGACCGACATAGTCCAACAATTGCAATTATTGCCGGTGCAGGGCCAGGAACGGGCAGCGCCATTGCCCGCCGGGTATGCATACCGGCGGGGTAAATGTACTGTCTGTGCTGGGCCCAGCTGGGAATTGATCTTATATAAGCCTTATCTTCAATCCCACCTTTCCAAGGTTCCTCTGCTGTTGGTAGGTCCTTGGCTGCCTGCCTTGCGGGCGGTGATTGTTGGTACGACTGTCCGTCCGGGAAATTCTCTCGGGCGACGCTCATACCGAGCCACTGGCTGTAGCGACGGTCCAGTTGCTGCATGAAGTTGTCGACCGTTGTGGTCTCGGTGGGCTCTGGGATGTCGCGCTGTACGGCAGGATCGATCTTCACCCAGATCATGCGAAGTTGCTGCGTGGTGTCGCCGAAGCCTGCAGCCTGTGCCATTCGCAAGAAGTTTTGCGCCCACGCGGATGCTGGACGCGCGTGTCTCACGTCGATCCAGAAATAGGTGGCTTGCTGCAGTTGCACTGTGGCCGTGGTTGCGTGCGGTTTGAAACGTCTCTTAAGGGTTGCGAACCATCCTTCAGGGTGGTTCACGTCGACGCTGGAGACGGAGATGGTGCCGGTGATAAGCTTGGTCATGGTGTCGATGAATATGACGACGATGGTCACAGCGACCACGATTAAGGATGACCACAATGATCACGGTGACGATGAAGATAACCACGACGGTCTCGGTGACGACGACGATGAACATGTGGCTGCATAGACTGTGATTCGTGTGGAGACTTTTTCTGGGGCGCTTGTGCCCTTATGGTTCCGTTCTTCTTTTTTTCTTTTTTTGTATTTGAACGTTTTGTTGATCCAGTCCCTTCTGGGAAGCTCGTTCTACTCTGTCACAGAGTAAATAATGTAATATCGTGCTTTTTTATTGGTTCTGCATAGCTGTAAGCTCCTAAATAGCCGCAAGTGATCATAAAATGGTCATTAATATCTACCTTTTTCTTTGGCGCCCTTTCATGCATCTACCTCGAAAATCTCCTTAGCATCAAGACATCTCTTGCCTACTGCCTGGGATCATAGATAGACATGTTCAAAAACGGCGAGCAGCGGCTCTTTCACCGCGCATACCTCGCTGCAATGTGATGTGAATATGATTTATGACTGCATTGTTGGTGTGGCAATATATTAGGTATATATATATACATGCTATATAATTTAATACCTGCTCGTCTATAGATAAACACAATGATGATAATCCCTCTGCAGCCATGCCTCACTAACCGTTATCGATGCCCTGAAATCCACATCAGCACTAGTGGCCCCTCAAGCGCTTCTTCTCTGGTTGATCCGCTGCTTTCTCTGCTCTTTCGCCCTCTTCCCCAGTGTACACATCACGCTTGCGAGATTTGTTGAGTACCCGTGACTCCCTCACAATTGTTTCAAATTGTGTCTTTTCATCAATCAAGGCGTTGGCGTCCTCTGCAGTCATATTGTGCTGCTTGGAAGTCAAATGCGCAAGCATCTTAGACCGTCTGGCCCAGATGACTTTAGATTCGCAGCCGTCTATTATGCAAATCTGCTTGACCCATCGAAGTACGGACGGAAGCGATGGAAGATACCGACGTTGCTCTGTTTTGTCGGTAATATTGTGGGCAGAAGCCAGGTGATAGGACAGTGAACTTTGAGATTTGAAGCTCGTGGCGCTCTCGCATCCCGGATACAGACATGAGCTGGGCCAGCGGCCACTGTGACGGGCAATGCGGTGCTCCTCGTATCGGTGCTTTGTTGTATAGATGGTCAATGGGTCGCAGCCATGCTCACATGGCCTCGCCGCCCAGTCATGGGTGCCTTTTATGTGGACGTTCAGAGTTTTCTGGGATGTAAAAGTGCTGTGACAGCCTTCGCGCGGGCATTTGAAGTGGGAAGATCCATCCTGGCGCTCTCTTATAGTCTCAGCGAGAGCTTCGCTGCAGACATCTTGGTGCTGCCCGAGGGAACGCTTTTGGGTAGTCTGAAACGGACAATTTGGCGTCTTCTGGCAGCGGTAGATATAAGGGGTTGGGTCGTCCCGAGAATGGCCTCTGACTGAAACCAAACCTATTGTGTCATCGAAAGGTTTGCCCGATGAATAGGATGGCCACTTGCGTGCGAAGGTTGTGGAATTGACGACGTTGATTCGCGCGTAGTTGTCAATGAAGCTCTCAGCACTGGGGGCTTTCGTTCCGTCATCCGCACCGAGTAAAATCCGATCGCCCTCTTCTTCAATTGAGGTGATGTCGTTGTGGCCAATTGGGCCAGACAAAGTCGCTTCGCTAAGCTCATCGCCTTGTGTTGCGAATAACGTAGTATGCAGAAGGTGGAGATCCATAGCGGGCACTTGAATTTGTTCAAAAGAGTCATCTTCGAAAAGGGCTGGGTCGATGTTGGTATGGGTGGGAATTTCGGAATTGGTTGGGACCGAGACTGTCGATGGAGGCAACTGACGGGCATTGATAGCGCTGGCGGTTCTAGAAGCAAGGGTGACGAGATTTCTAGGTTCCGGCTTCTGTTGAAAGGGATTTTCGGGCTCGGCGTTCATCTCGAAACTCGCAAGGCGTTCGCGCCGGATGATTTTCCTGATGCGAATTTTATCGCTTGAGTCTTTGTACTTCTTCCCTTGTCCACCACTTGAAGGTTCGTTCCTCTCTTTCCATTCTCGGACCTCTTGATCAGTCACGGGAGCTTTGACTAGATCCATAGCCGATGTGGAGCTAAAACGTGGCTCTCGACGATGGGGTTTAGACTTGTTCGCTGCACGGGCATTGTATAGCTCTTGCGTGTGGCCCCCAACGTAATTTTCAGTAAGACCCTTACTGAACGACGTTGTACTGTGCTGCATGACCTGACGGTGTTCGTCGGTAACGTACCCGAAAGTTTCGTTGCTCTTTGGGAGGTGAGCGATGTCCCGTATAGCCCCAAGCCTTGTTGCATGTGTATAGACACGACACAAGATGTTCGATACCAGCCCCATTTGTTTGATTGTTGCAAGAAGCTGGCCGGGACGGGCGGGTTTAGCCAAGTCGCAGCGTATCGAGCTATCATGCGTGAAGGCTGGTAGCACGGGTAAGGTTGGCTGTGTCCATTCGATCAGTCGGTCCGGTCTGATAAATGCTCGGTCGAGGACCTCTGGTAGTGTATTTCCATACACTAGTCCGTTTCGTAAAGCGTGAACAAGAAGCCAAATAATTGGACAGACGTGCTGGCTTTCGGTCTCGTCCAGCGTTCTCAAATAGTGAACCACATCTGCATTGCGGACGTCTTTAAACCCTTTTGTGCTTTCCAGTGTGATAACGCCTCGAACATTGCGGAGGTTGGTAGTCTCCCCCTCAATGGTGAGCTGGATATGACGAAACAGCAAGCATTCGAGATTCTCGTATTTTGGGGAAAGCGCCAGATCTCCGGAGCGGCAACCAAGCGCACCGACTAGCGTGACTGCAAGGCACTTGGCGACGATGATGTCCCAGCTAACGCACCCCTTGTCCAGGTAGTGCTCAAGGAACGCTCGAACCATCCGGGATAGTGTAACAAAGCCCAACCAGGTACGCTTTCTCCAACTGCCTTTTGTCAGACGGCCGGCTTTGACGGCATCGTCGATGAAGGTCTGTAGTCGAAGTGAATCATGACGGGTGATCTTGAACCCATCGCTCTCGGCCCAGGTGAAGTGGCCATAGACCAGAAGTATTTTAACAGCGTTCGTAACCAGTTGGACGTTTGGACCTGGCTTGCCAGTATCAGATAGCTTCACAATGCCTACCATGAACGATTTGTTAGCTAAACGGACGGTAACGAGCGAGAATGGATTCATTCTTACTAATGATTGAATCAAAGAAGCGTATCAGGTCCTCTCCAGTAAAGGGAACGGAGGGATCCTGGCGCAGAGTGTGTTGGCGATAAGAATTGAAGCGCCTCACCCATAGATCCTGTTTCTCGCGGGTCCCTGGAGCTCCATGGCCGAATTGTAGCTGCTTCACTGTTCTTTTTGATGCAAGCCGATTTCGAGCTGAATTCTCTATTATTGAATCAATAGAATCCTGTCCGATGAGGTAGCTGCGTTTGTCATTCTCTGGGGACCCGAATTCGACATCAGAAGAGTTGAACTCGTCGTTCATGGTGATGATGGTTCCACTCCCTGAGGAGTGGGAGTAGTTCAAACAAATGCCTTGGTGTTAGGAGAGCTCCTAGTGTGTAGCGAATCAGACAGTAGGCAGCCACAGCTCATACACAGTGTGAGTACGTGACTGTTGTTCGCACCCAGTGGTAATGTAGTGGTCGTGTGGAGGGAGACGCTGAAAGCAGAGGGGAAGCGTAGGAGCTGAAAGCTATCTAGAGAAATTGGTGCTACCATGTCTACAGCGCGGCAACCATAGATTAGCCAGAGTGCCCTGCAATCGGTCTTACCGCTGCAACTACATAGCAACCAACCACTCTCGTTCTCTCAATTTTTATCAAACACCAGCTCTAGAGCTCCAGCATAACCACCAAGCGTCAATTCTCCCAGCAGCACCAGCTCCAGAGCTCCAGAATTACCCCGAAGCGAAAATTCTCAATGCCATATACCTCCTTTGCTGCACTTTACACTTCTACTTATCGCTCATGTTGTGCTTAGTGAAGAATGTGTTTCATTGCGTTTCAGCCATAGGGGCTCCATTTACACTGGCAGACGCCAGAAACCCTTTAAGAATAGAAAATGAAAACATAAAACGCGGTGGAACTCCTCAATTTCCTCCTGTAGATTGCTCACGGTGGTCAAGCTGGTCTGGCGACGTGCTGCAAGTCTCGGGTGACTACCGGTAGAACTGCCGAATGTGATCCTCCATGCGGGTAAGAATAGCCTCAATTTCCTCCTGTAGATTGTTCACGGTGGTCAAGCTGGTCTGGCGACGTGCTGCAAGTCTCGGGTGACTACCGGTAGAACTGCCGAATGTGATCCTCCATGCGGGTAAGAATAGCCTCAATTTCCTCCTGTAGATTGTTCACGGTGGCCAAGCTGGTCTGTACGGTCCGGCCCTGGGTCCTTCCCCGCTGGGCGACGCGCTGTAAGTCTCGGGTGTCCCTTTCGCGTAGGACGCGGCCTTGCTGAGCGACGAGGGCGGAAGTAGTGGTATTAAGGGTACTCCACGCGGTCGAATTCGACGTAACACTCTCTTGAACACTGTCGTTGCCTCGCTTGAGTAGGTTGAAGGCGGCACGTAATTCAACAATGTCCTGCGAAATTGTAGCGCGGTCTCGGTTGCTAGAGCCCCGGGAGCCTTGACCGAACTGTCTGGAGATAGTTCGTTGCGCGGACAGAGAGGATTCAACCTGGGCTTTAGAACATTCGTAATTGTCCCAGTAGCAGTTAGCACACTTCACATGGCCATCTGCAAGGTCAACGGTGACGCAGAAGGGGAAAACTCCCCTGTCCCGCTGGCAAGTGTCACACTCCACATCGGCAATCCGACCAACCATGAATATATACATGGCTTCGACGTGTTTGAGACTACTACCGAGTTCGAATTCGAGGGCTACCCCAGTCATAGGAACACCGTAACGAAGCATAGGCTCACGGCGGGGTTGGCGATCGACCAGCTCCCTAAGCAATGCTGACTTGATAAAACGACCTTCTACCGCGCAAGGAAATGCAAGTTTGACAAGATGGTCGGCCCAGTCGCCCGGGGGCTCCTCGCGAGTCCCGGTGATCGGGGCGGGAAGGGAACTGTCCTCACCGAGGCGGTGATACGCGGGACCGGGGGCCCGGCTAGAAATGTTAGTGTAGCTCCCTCATAACTAAGAAGAGGACCCTTACAAGGAATTATCCATTATTGAATAGTCGAAGATAGTAGGGGTGCTTTTGTTGAGGCGAGGGAGAGAACGGAGAAGAGAAAGAAAAAGAAGAAGAGAAAGGAAAGGAAGAAGAGAAAGGAGACCAGGATAGTGGTTTAGAACAACAATAGCAGTCATTCCATTCTTACATACACCAGCAGACCCACTGACCAAGAAGCTCAGTTTCCCGAGGTCACCCTTTTCTCGATATTATTTCGACGTTTAACAAACTAACATTATGCCTAACGTCTACACCCTTGACTACTCGATCAGACCAGAAACCTGCACCTTCAAGCGCGGTATGGAGGACAGGAGGACAGGCTGGCATAAACTGGGTGGTATGGTTTGGTCCTCTATATGCCCAGGATCTTACGTCCATATCTGATGGACTATCTATGTTGTTTGCTAGGCCCGTTCTTGGCCTATTATTATGTGTCTGTTATGTGTCTGTTATGTGTCTGTTATGTGTCTGTTATGTGTCTGTTATGTGTCTGTTATGTGTCTGTTATGTGTCTGTTATGTGTCTGTTATGTGTCTGTTATGGGGCTGCTATGGGGCTGCTATGGGGCTGCTATGGGGCTGCTATGGGGCTGTTATGTGTCTGTTATGGGGCTGCTATGGGGCTGCTATGGGGCTGCTATTGGGCTGCTATAGGCTGCTATGTATCGGCGTGTGTATCCCCTGTATCCTCTGTGGGCTGGCCAGATGTGTATATCTCACAGTGAGTGGCCTCCACCAGGTATACAAAATTTCCAGTGCTAATGAAAGGGTAGTCGCAAAAATGCATGTTTCAATTTGCAGATTATGTAAATAACTGCCACGATGATTCCTCAAGATTCCGATGATTCCTCAAGATTCTTCGTCCGGTACTTCTTGGCCTGCGCCTGGGGAAAATCTCCTTGCCATTGAGCAGCGACTTGGCTTGCACGGCGCTGTCAAGGCGATCGAAGTTGACAAATCCGCAGTTCTTGTGAGTTAGAACACGGGCCGACTCGAACTCGATCTTTCCGTACATGCCTAAGATGGCCTCCAGGGACTTAACAATAGTGGGTACCGGAATGATAACAATCCAAAGTGCCCGGGTAGGTCCATCCTGGTTGTTCTAATCTGCCATCCTGTCGGCGATCCATAGCAGGAATACCGTTACCGCCGAGATGCATCAGCTGAACTGCCTCGGACAAGCATGCTTTTGAAGGTGGCCCTCAGTGCCTTGCGCTCCTTCTGCGATGCCTTGCGCTCTTTCTGGAATGACTTGCGCTCCTTCTGCAGTGCCTTGCGCTCCTTCTTGAACGCCTTGCGGTCTCTCTTCATAGCCCGCATAATGTCTTGGAGGGCTTTCAGATCGTTATTCCCAGGTGTATTGGCCTCTGAAGCGTCGTTCACCCGTAGGTCTAGCACATTGTCCTGCTTAGTCGTGTTCACCTCTGAGGCATTATTCCCAGGTGTATTGGACTCCGGGGTGTCGTTGTCCCGCAGTTCCTGCATATTGTCCTGCTCAGAGGCATCATTCAAGCTGCATCTGTGGTTTTGTTCTCGCCAGTGGCAGCACGTGCAGTGCTGTTGTCCGGGCACCCAGACGCACGATACAAACTTTCCATCGCCCTGTGTGCAATTCACGCATTCCTCTCCCGGCTTCATCTTTTCCCCTACTGCGTGGGCCAGGAGGGCTTCGCCGTTTGCGAGCCTCTTTCCCACTTGTTGGTCGAAATGGGATCCATGCACGCATTTCATCTTTCCTCGTTTCATTGGTTGACGAAGGATTGGCTCTCTTGTCAATTCCATACCCCGGAGGGAGTATAGCAGGCTTGTTGGGTTTGCGGCTGCCTTTCTGGTTCTTGGCCATATGCATTGCTTCGCCCTGTTGGCCCAAAATCCGGGGGGGCCCTCCACATCTTGCTCCGTGCCATATACTGGGTCTTCTATCGTGGGGATCTCAAGCTTCTGAGCGAGGGTACCCTGGGCCTCGAGGCCTTGGTCTGAATGCCCCATTTCTGCCGAACGTTAGTGTTTTCACTTCAACTCACTGCCTGCAACTCCCCAACACTCACAGTGTATCCCCTTTGCGAGTTCCTCTAATGCGCGTATGAAGAATAGATATATGAAAGATGTGTCAATGAGTGAAAATGGGAAAAAGTATATGCATGATCTTTTAAAGAGTGAGAGTTAGAGAAGTTGAATAAACGATGTTCTGAAGGTAAAATGTGAGAATAGCTTCAAATTTGATATGGGTAAGTTCCAACTGATTGCTATTTCCTCACTTCAGTAAAAAATCATATATGTACGCTACATTCTTCTACTAATTCGTACTTTTTCGTTATCTACTTATCATCAGATGAAACCAGTTATGGCGCACTAGGGGTTAGAGACCGCCGCACCCTGGACCCAATCTTATAGCGCTTAGTGTTCAAAACACCTTTTTGGAAGGCGTTGATGCCTGAATGCCTTATTTTAGAACAGCAGAAAAATTAAAATAGAAAATAGACTAGTAATCGGGCCTAATTATTTTGTGCCGGCATGTAGTAAACCACCTGAAAAATGGAGATGCATGGATTCGTATGGGATGAAAAGGTTCGTTTTTTTTGGACTTGAAAACTACCCAGAAATGTGGAGATGCATGAATTTGTATGGTATCAAAAGCTTTATATTTACATACTGTATAGAACGATGTAGAAAGCGGTGCTAATCCAGGCATTTAGGCATCAAGTCACTTACTAGAAGGGGGCAACTCTCCAGGTAGCTACCTACATATGTACATATGTAAAATGATAAGAACAAGAATTTCAACCGACAACCTTAGTAACCATAATGTGCACTTTCGTGTGGGATTCGCCAAACCAATATGATATATGATTTTCCGGGTAAAATACTCGGTATTCCATTAGGCATATACTAGGATTCAGCCATGGTATTCGACAAAAACTTTAATTATGATCTATTACTATATAGTTACACCTACTAGGTACCCGGAGGGGGGGAGTTTCTGTTGGTTTAAACGGTATACGTGCGAAGGGAATGATATATGTATTTATTTTGAGAATAGGAAGAGAGAATACGGTAAATGCTGATGTATCTTCAGGTTGCAACCGAAAGGAAGTAAGAATAACCTCAAGTTCTGTAATTTCTGTCAAATTTGGAGCCCATGACCACGGTTTTTCTCACTCATGCAAATGGGTCCCATGCCTTAGTTGTCTATCTGGCAGTGGATGCAATTTACCGGCGCTCGTTCTTTACAGATGGACTGCAAATACCCAGAGACATCTTTGGCCTGTCTTTATAATACCATTGATGCCGACCTCGATAGTGATATGAACTTTGATTTGCTTCTCCTACTCGCAAGGTGGGATGGTGTCATGTTACAATTAACCTGAGTTGGGGACAGAGCGAAAGACATCTTACGAGAATAAAGCTAATTCTCATTTTCGCAGATCACACGATGATCTCATTGACTGCAGAGGAAGAACTTTTGGATCGCCCAGTCACTCGATGTCAGCTTCATTCGTTTCGTTTGGTCTCAGTGGATCCGCATAAGGCATCGACCGGATCTGCGCAAAACTGAGACAGCAAAGAGGTGATGGATCTGAAGTGTTCAAGATTCAGAACCAGCAATGTCTATTCGGCGCGGCAATTCCACCTCTTGAGTCCTCGAATTTTTGCATCCTCGATCTCCGGGTCTGTCCTATCCACTAAGCTAGGTCAAGCTTCCGCGAGTTCCTCCTCAATCTTCCAGTCGACAATGTCCAACACCGCTAGCATCACCAGCACTAGCAGCTCATCCACCTTCCCCGACCTGCTCATCCAGGAGCTCCCCATATATCGTGACCATATCAGTATTGGCAATCCCTTGTAGAGGGACTGGGCGCGGCCATCGAGCAAATCAAAAACAACCACACCTCATCCCACCAATCCGAAGCGAATACGTCCGCGTCAAGGACATCGACGAACTGCTTTTTCAGCCTCTGACGGATGATCAGGAGATCTTCTGAGTCATGAGGACCTCTGTTCAGTGTACTCAATGCCAAATTCTATAGAACTACGTCAAACGCCCAACACGAGAGCCGAAGAAGACTTGGGAAGAGTTGAAGCAGATTTGGGAAGACCTCCTGGGCACACCCCACACATTACTAATACTCTGGGGAAGGTCCAGTCTGGGTTGGGTTTTGGGTCGAAGGTTCCGACCCAAAATGGGTTCTGCGGAAGTCTACTCCCTACGTTGGTCACTAAATAAAACAAGAATGAACGAGAGTGGCACTCTAGCCTTGTCGAGAATGTCGTGGTCACAACTTGGAAGTTAAGATCTAGAGTGAAAACTAGGAATTCATATCAAAGGGTTCAATTGAAGACTAGAATACAGGGTAAAAGAAGAGCAATAGAAGAGGACTTAATGGGAGTGGCTTTCGGCAGCCGTAGACAGCTGAGTTGCCGTCCGGTGACCGGACCGGAACACCGTGTTACAACTTGGCAAACGTTGTGACCACAAAGGGAATAAGAAAAAGAAAATATAGTCTCGGCGCAATGCAGAGAGACCAGGCATACGAGCATAGCGATGAACTGGTAGAGCCGTTAATGATGAGCAAATACAGGAGCATAGCGACAAATGACTTCTTGCGTGGTTAGATCGGGTCCTAAAACCCACTCGTCTTTGAAAGCCCGGCCGCGGTTCTGCTGGTGGTTGAAGTTGTTGCCATCTGTGTCCTCGGGCTTATCCATCCTGGTCGGATCCTGTTTAACCCTCTTGCTTTCAAGTTGCCCCTCGTCACCATCCGCGGGTCGCTTCTCGCCTTGATGGTCTGGTAGGGGTCGACTGCTCCGGATGTTGACTGGGTTGTCTTCTGTCGGCCGGAAGTATAGATCACGAAGTGTCTGCAGTTGATTGACTGTAGCTTCGTCAAGGGAGGTGATCCTCGGACTCCCGAGGGCCATAATGCCTCGTCGCAACGTTGCAATTGGTGCCCCATGCCACTGTTTGGAAGTCGTAACGCCGAGATCCTCCGGAGAGATAAGGCCTGGGTGTAGGTAATCTTTAAGAAAAATTCGACGGTAGAGTCCACTAGTCGCACCTTCTAAGATCTTGTTGTTCTTCATCAAATGGTCCTTGTACATGACACTCGTTGGGACCTTTCGATCAAGAACGCTGCTAGTGGTAGATCTCCGCTTTCTATCATCAAGTTCAAAATCGATAAAGTACTTCAAGTCGGTCGGTATGAATATGAAACCTGGGTCGTGATCTCGATCAAATTGCGTGTGACAGCTTCCACAGAGCGGGATCCCATTTGCTGCCGATGTCAAGCTGAAGTCGATGAGGCCCGCGTTCAACCAAAGGTCCACCTATCCAAACATGGTTAGCCATATTCCATTCGAACCAGCAGCAATAGTATCACGCACCTGCTTGTCTTCTTTTCCGATCACATGGCAGATCTGAGGGTCTGTAGACTGACACACCCAGCAGGAATCTCCAGCGAGCCGTTTGATCTCAGTTTTTGTGGCGGTCGAAAAGACGTCAGATTTCGCACAAGACTCAGTTGATGCCAACGACATGGCAGAGGAAGATTTTGTGTGCCTAGATGCAAGAGACCTGGCGGTATGAGGGCGACGTGAGGATGAACTGAGCTCAGATGATTGTCTTCGGCCGCCTGGCGAGGGTGGCGGTGGCATTGCCTCACGCTCGGGACCTGGTTCAGTCATGTTTTGGTCAGTTGTGTTGTGTTTCATCGAGAGGGATGTGTTTGGGGTCACCTACACCAGAGAAAGGAAGTTGGAATGGTTTGGTACACAGGTCGGTCCTTCCTCGAAGCAAGTCATGATGGTGAGGTAGTCGCAGCTGAGGGACAGAACCACGGTTCCGAGGCTGAATATAGCCAAGGCAAAGTTCACGCTCATCTGTTGACGATGAACTCACATCAACTAGGCGTAAGGCGGCAAGAGATCACCATGGGGTCGATGCACAAGAATGTAACTACACAGTAGTTCGAACTCCACCATGTCGCGGGAGAAGGTACCTAGATAAGAGGGTTTTTGACCAGCAGATATTATATAATCATGGGGGTGTGGGCCAGGGGTGTAAAAACTTATGTCCAGTCACTGTACCTCGTTTGATGTACGAGGACGCCCAGTCCTCAAGGTGTCGGCAGGCCGGAGCGGTGGAACGAGGAAGTCATCACGTGACTTCGTTAGAGCCGACCAACAAGACTCCGAAGCTCATTCGAACTGCGTACCAGCTACGCCACAGATATAACCATTCCAATCCGCATCAAGACATCTTCGAACCATTGCTTCTGGCACGCATTCGGTTCTTCACAAGCCGGTACCACGCCTACCAAGGGCATCGAACACGGGACTTCTTGATCCTCCAGACTGGGCCTTTGAGACGACGTGTCAGCTGAAGAGGGCAGTCAAGGACTTCGTCCGCCTTACAGGCAGGCTGACGACCGGTCTCACAGACGGCTTCCCGGCATCCCTGACTACAGCGAACAGCGAAGGCCCGGCGCCTCGGACGCCGAAGCCGGCTACTCCAAGGCCAACAACACCGCCTTCAAAAATGTCGTTTCACACCTTCTCGTTAGTTGTTTTTGGAGGCCGGGTGTTCGACCCGGCTTGCAGAAGCTGATGCCGTGTGTACCCGCTTGGCCCCGCGGATCGAAAGATCGTCGACGATATGTTCGATCGACTCCACAGAGAGGGCAAATGGGTGGTCAACACGGCACGCACCTACCGGGTTCCCTGTTTTCGTCGTGCACCATAAAGTGGTCGCACCGGATGGGACTGTCGTCGACAAGACTCGGCCAGTCGTCGATATCTGGGGTCTGAGAAAAGCCTCTCAATTGGACATCTACCCAATGCGGACGCAAGACGAGATTGTTCGCATGTGCCAGGGCGCCAGGTTCATTTCTGTCCTGGATGCTAAGGGTTTTTTTCTACCAATGGCGTGTCAAACCTGAGCACGGCGAGCGCCTAGCGGTCATCTCGCACAGAGGTCAGGAGTATTTCAAGGTAGCGATCATGGGCTACTGCAACTCAGTCGCCTATGTCCAAAGACAGACGGACCTGATCCTAAAAGGCTTCTTTTCAATGGTGCCGCATATACCTCGACGACATTGTCGTCTGCTCCACGACCTTCGTCGACCACCTTTCGCATTTACATCTTTTGTTCCGACGGCTACAAGACTACGGTATCCGGCTGGAACCCAAAAAAACGTTACCCCCGGCACTACAACGGCCCCGCGTGACTTTACGCCCGGGCACGAACTACAATTCCATCTTCGGCCCACGACCGTTCTCCAGGTCTATCTTTGGGCCGCGACCGCCGTCCACGTTCGGCCAATACCGGGAGACCACCGACCCCTCTTCTCCGTCGCAGGCAGCGAGCGTTGAACCGCCCCTAGACGCTGACGACCACAGGCTCGTGCCAACAAATCAAACTCTTGACGACAACGAAACCCTAGCTCAGATCTTTCAGGAGAGCTGCAGCATCTACAAAGACGACGAAAGCATGACATCGTTACAACAGACGGCCCAAACGGCTCTGCCGTAGGCCGCAGACACCCAACATGCCGTGCAGGATGCACCGGCACAACAATCCAATCCCCTTCACCCCACCGTCGAAGACGTCACCGGACAACAGGGGCAAGCTACGCCGAGTGAGGTACCCTCCGAGAAATACCCACCCCACTCTACCCCCCAACTCTCGAAGGCTGTACGACGCCATACGCCGCCATGTTTCTCCACAACAGTTCGCCAACATCACGGCGGCCATGGCAGCTTCGCAGCCAGAGATAACGCAGACAGCCACCCAGGTGTTCCCATAACCGACAATTCAACCACAATCATACCGCGCGCAGCATGCCCTGCCACCCACGTCGGGGCCACAGACGTATACGGCGCCGACGGTTCCGCTGTGGGCCACGTCGTACCATGCCCCGGTAGCCGCGACTACCACCGGCATGGAAGATCCACCCAGTAATTAGCGTGCAACACTTGGAACCAGCCCCGTCCCCAGATCCGTTTGACCGCGAACCGGCGGATCTAGAGCCGGCGTACGACAAGTTCCCTGACGAGCAAGATCGTCACGACGTGGCCGCCGTCCTGGACATGCGCGTCCGTCATCTGGGACGGTATAGGACACTAGTGAAAGAATACCTAATCCAGTGGCAAGGAGAAGCACGTGGGTCAAGGAGCGGAACGTCATAGGCGCAGAGCAGAAGATAGCAGAGTTCGAGGAGCGTCGACGTACAATTGACACGGCGCAAGACCAAGCAAACCCGGCTTAATTGCCACCAGTCACCCCCATTATCCGCTTACTTAGAAATATCACTTAAGAAAACGATCTGCCCCAGAGACAACCGCGCCGGACGCTAAAAGACCTATCGCCGTCCAGCGATAATGACCAAGCGACCAACTGGACTGCGCCGACCTCTGAGGTCTGCCGCCTTATGGGCGGGTTCAGCGAGGATATCGTACTCATGTGCGATAACGTAGACGGCCTCTCCAGACGGCTACATTACATCAACAAGACCCAGGAACTTCTAAGCACTCCACGGGCCAGGCAGATCCTGCAGGTGGCAGACGAACCCGCCAGCCTACACGATGAATATGAAAACGCAGCCACCGCCATGAAGACACAGTTGCAGGAGAATGGCAACGACGTCGCTGGTTACATCCTAGGCAACATCTTGCGCTGCATTCAAAAGGACGCCGCCACCATCTTGGCCGGGCGCCAAACCGACCAATCCCCATCAACGACGCCAGTAGCAACCAAGCGCCCGACCACACAGTGACGGCACAGGACACAGCGGCACAGACCACCGAGTCCGCTACAACGCAGGAAGACGACAACCACACTGAGTTCGGCACAGACGAAGGGGGCCGCGAGCAGTCTTAGATCGATCGTCTTGGTACAGTTTTAAGATGGTGCTCTCGGACGCTGCGTCCCGGAGGATGGTTCTTACATGGTTCTTACACTTGCTATTACTTTTGCGCGAAAAGGGTTTACGAGCCTTTCTGTGCTGCCGGACGTTGCGTTCGACCGACACAGGTATGGCCTGGAAGACGGTTCTTTGCTAGCACCTTTATGGTTCGAAGCCTTTCTATGATCGCGGACGTCGCGTCCAACGAACATAGGTATGGCTTGAGGAGGACATTCACACTTACGTTTAACACATTTGCAATTACATTTCGCATGTACTTAGTTTTCACGGCCCACTTGCAACGCAGGCCGTCTATGAGCGTCGACCGAGGACGGTCGACACCTCAGGGTGTCGGCAGATGTCACTGTCAGGTGACTCTGCCACGTTGACGACCCCTGCTCATAGAACAGCCGTGGTAGACATAATGAATACATCATCTTTGCTTCCCCTTAGCTTTCAGCGCTTACAAGAAATGTGGAGATGCATGAATTTGTATGGTATCAAAAGTTTCATATTTACATTACACTGTATAGAACGGCGTAGAAAGCGGTGCTAATCCAGGCATTCAAGCATCAAGTCACTTACCAAAAGGAGGCAACTCTCTAGGTAGCTACCTAGATATGTACATATTGTAGTGGGGGACATAGTCCTCCCTCACTATGTATTGGCCTTGCCTGCCCTTCCTTTCTTTCCAAGGTTTTGAAGTTTGGTTATGTAAGTATCGATGTACAGAGGTTTAAAGTAGCAGATAGTTACAGATTGACAATACACACTCCTACACCCATCTGAATTCACTTCCTGGACTGCCGTCCCAGTTCTCTTTGTATGCTTTGGTTGGTATGAAGCTGAATTACGAGTGCTGAATCGACCCGTATGCCAGAGAGCATACTGCCTAGAGCGTTCCCCTCTTCAATATGTACATAACTAGTTATATAAAATGATAAGAACAAGAATTTCAACGGACAACTTTAGTAACCATAATGTGCACTTTTGTGTGGGATTCGCCAAACCAGTATGATATATGATTTCGGCTTCGCTGGCTAGGGGTAAATGATATGTACCATGGACCTTTTTCTCGCTCTCTGATAGCTTAGGTAACCTAGTGATCATCCATAGAATGATATTGATTAATCCCTCTAGCTTTTATAATGTCTTTATAGAATAGTTCCTAGTATCATGAATCTTACTAGTTTACTACCCAGTGGTACTACTTGCTCGATCGCAATCGTCTCTTGACCCTTTGGTTTCTCAAATTACGCAAAGCGGCGGCTCTGCCATGGGCGTCCCTACGGACGTCAGCAACTCTACAAGCATGACCTCGACAATCGACCAAATCAAGGCCAAGTTTGGTCCTGATTTCACAATCGCCGCGGCCATTTACAACGTGGCAAGCAAATTCACGAGAAAACCTTTCTTGGAACAAAGCCAGGAAGACTTTCTCGGGAGCCTTGAGCCATCTGTTAAGGGTGCTTTTAACTTCGCCCAGGCTACACTGCCCCTGATGCTCAATGCCGAAAAGGGACAGTCTCCGCCCACTCTCATTTTCACCGGTATCGGATACTTTTCCTAATTGATTTGACCAAACATTTTCTTACTAATTCTAATAGGCGCAACGGCTGCACTGAAAGGAGGATCCGGGCTTTCCGGCTTTGCTATGAGCAAGTTTGGAATCCGTGCTATGTCACAGTCTCTCGCGCGTGAATTCGGCCCGAAGGGTGTTCATGTCTCACATGCGATTATTGATGGCATCATTGACACCGAGAAGACCAAGGGCTATCTTAGTGATGTCCCAGATGGAAAAATCGATCCTGAATGGGTAAGTGAAATGGGATCTAAAGGCGACCAGTTCTCACACTAATCAACAATCACAGATTGCGGAATCTTACTGGTTTTTGCACTCACAGCCAAGGACTTCGTTTACTCATGAGATTGATCTCAGACCGTATGCAGAGACTTGGTGAGAAACTAAAGATTGATCAGGATGATTGTCTTTTATAACCAGTGCCTTTTAATTGAGAGTGATCTTTATAGTGTAACCAATCGAAAGCTTATGCAGCTAAAGCGAGATGTAGTGCCAAACTAGGAAATTGATTCAAAAATTAAAATACAAAATTATGATATCCTTACCTTAGTGAGAAACACAAGCGACATATCACCAACCAAGCCAGCGCCGACCACATTATCACTCGCAATTAATAGAACGGACATCTAGTTGGACAGATGTTCAACAGATAGACACGTTCCAATTACCTCTCCAAAATGCTGACAGACACTCATGCCTTGTTCTTATGCTCTCGGAAGAAATCCTCCACTTTAGTCCAAGTCAGGTCGGGGTATCGGTCATTATCGAGCGGGTCAAGTTTCCCGGCCCCAGAAAACATATTCGCCATGTACTGCATGCCCTGCCAAGCAGGGAATACATCATTCTCACCACCAAACAGACGCATAACCCGAATCATGAATTCCATGGATCCCACGGTCCCCATCCATGAGGGCTTATATTGCGTACCTTCGACATTGGTCTGCGCCTGGGCGATGTCCTTCACGTTGACGGTATCGCTAGCAATGCGAAGGAAATTGGGCGTGGGGTTGGGGTCTGCGGCCACAGCAGCTGTGTACGCAGCCGTGTCCACCATGGTAGTAAAATCGAGCAGCTGTGTCGTCTGCCCGATATATGCGACCTTACGGCTCTTATGATTGATCATGGGCCAGTCGCCGACCAAGAGATCCATGAAGCCGCCGTTGAGTATACTCGTCCATTTGATACCGGACTTCTTCAACTGGGCATGGAACTCGCGGCGGAGGTCGAGGTTGCGGTTGGATCCAGGCTTTGTCTTGGTGAAGTCAAGAGAAAAGTCCGAAGGGATGAATCTAGGCACCTTTGCGGCTACAGAGGCCTCGAGAAGTTTGCCCTGAACGCCGTGGATGACATCTCTCAATCCCTGGAGCGTAGACACGACACACATGGCTCCATTTAGTTCGCGGGTCAGAGCTGGGACCGCGGAGAGATCCACCGGGGCGATGGTCACGCCGGCGTCACGGAGCTTTTGGGTGCGGGAGGGATCGGTGTTGGGGCGGACGAGAGCTTTCACGGCCACACCTCGTTTGATCAGTGCCATTGCGACAAGCTGGCCTAGACCACCGGAGGCACCGGCGACGGCGACAAATGGCGAAGTCATTTTGGTTCTCTTTATCGATCAGCTAAGGAAAGCGCCTTTTTATCTGCATAAATAATTCTAAGCTACTCGATTACCACGCAAAATTTGCCTTCAAATTCTCAACTCCAAAGGGGCTCGCTAGCGACTTAGTCATGACGGTGGTTCGGGCCCGAGATGAACCCCGGGGACCCGAAGTGGCCACGCTCATAAATAGAGATCTTATTGAAGATAGAATATAGCGAGTCATGCAGAATCTGATTATGTCAACTCGGCCTATCGCCTTTATGCGATTACCGATTTACCAATTCCATTCTTGGTTCCTTTATCACACACCAAGAACCAGGATTCAAATCAGGTCTGGTATCACATCATTACAAAATAGAAATAAAAGAGGAAGAGTATCGACAGGAATTATCCCGACTATTTATCAACTCTCCCACTTCACAATGGCCAGTCACTCCTCCTCGGGTCTTCCGCCCCTAAGCGACCATGAATATAAGCTATACAACCGCATGGCGGATAATATGCAAGCATTGGTGCGTGCCCTGTCTACAGCGTTTATACTCTAAACGGTTGCGCTAATTAACTCCACAGCATCAGTGGTTTCGTGTGCGATGGAACATAATTTACGACGTGGCAGCATCATCACAACGCCCCGCTGGCATGTCTATCAAGAGCTACCTTAACATGTGTTTGGAATTTTGTGAAAATCTCGAGACACACCACAAGATTGAAGAGGTAATAACTCATAGAAAACAGTTCCTACTTGATGATACTTGGCTCGGTTGAGTAACAAATTTGCAGATCCGTGTCTTTCCATACCTCGCGACGCGCATGCCTGCTTTTGCCAACCGGGATCAATTGATTGAGCAGCATAAAGTCATTCATAAAGGCCTCGAAAGATTCGAGTCGCATGTTCGCAATTGCTTACAAGGTAATGCCGATCTACGGTGGAATGAGATTAAAGGGATCTTGGATGCGTTCGGAACGACACTCTGGGATCATTTGGACGATGAGGTCAGGGAATTGGGGGCTGAGCAGACTCGGAAGTACTGGTCAAAGGAGGAAATGAGTAGAATGCCGATGTGAATTATATTATCACCAAATATTAGAGATTCATAAATATTGAATTTGCACTCCAGCATTGAACAGAAACATCAAGGGATTATGCTAAGGGGAAGCTTTGCGTTATCTCATTGATCATATACAAGTTACCAGCTTTTCGTTCACATGGTGATAGGAGTGCTCGTTGTTCGGTGTTTACTTTGTACTGCACGATCTTATATACTATGTAACCGGCCCATACCGGCTCTCGTAATTTTGGTAGTGGCTTTTGTGGCGAGGGTCTGTAACTTTCGTAAGAGGATTACAAGAGCACAGACCTCAGACATTTAGTCGGGGCTCGGCATTACAGTTGAGGCCGATGTATTTATCGGAAGGCTGGGTCCACCGGGACCTTTACCATCAACATTAACAAACCTTTGCCCGTTGTATCTTATATTGTTCTACAATAATAAGTGGATTTAGAGGAAATTTCTCATGCCTCTTCCTATGAGAAATATCATGAAACCTATCCCAATTATAATGTGCGGCAAATCTGCGCATGTTGCCGTTGGTGTGAAGGAAGGCATCAGACCGGCATATGAAGGTGAGCTATTGACTCCAGATAGTTCTGTTTTGATCATTCCAATAGCTAACCAACTTAAAGCGCTCCATGTGGTTCAGTCTGTGGAAGCTGGGGTGAGGGACATTCCATCCCTTTTGGAAGGACTCGCTCCTCCATCCAAGGAGTGGGCAAACCTTGGAACTCAGGAGTACGGAAAAAAGTCGCAGCAGTCGTCGCTGGAGGTGGATACAACAATGAGGACTTTGAACGGCTACGAAAGGCTGGGGAGGGGAAAAGCAGTATACCGTGGCTGCGTCACGATATAAGCAAGGAGATTGACCCAAGGCAACCTAGGCCCAAAGTTGGGGTTGACTACGGCGAGCAGGTTGCGAAGAAAATTGTGAAGTGCTTACAAGACCTGGAAAAAGATAAAAAGATGAATAAGGATGGTGTATATTGGTTTTAGGCAATATTATACAACTCTTTCTTTCGAACAGAGCTGGATTCACCTCAGGTGAACACAATACATTCCGGCAGGCTTCCAAAATAATTCTCAAGCTGCCAACAGGATAGTTCTCCTTCTCCTCTCCGGCCTCTCGACTTAATGAAAAGTTTCCCCGCCACTCACATCGAAAATTTGTCCACTGATAAATGAAGCCTCGGGGCTGGAAACTAAGCAGAGAAGGCGTGCGCAATGTCGTCGGCAGCAGACGGCCACGGATCATGAAAAAAAAGTCTGGCTCCTTGCTTGAAGTACGATACGGGCCATTAGGAAACTTGAGGGCTGTGTTTATTAGCCTCAAGTGCCCACTGAAGGGGTAAACTGTATTATTTACTCGTTCCAGATTCTCCATGGATCATCTCCTCTTCGTATCGCGCGATAGCTCCAGTTATACCCCAGTTGAACAATTGATTGTAAAGCCACGGTTGGATGCAGTTTTGTATTGCTGTAGGCATAGTGAGCACTCTTAGCACATCCGCCGTGCTGTTGTACGTCTTTCTAGTAGTGCTAATTTTAGTGAGACGATACATAGAGGTAGTTATAGTTTCTAGGACTTACCGCGCAGAAACACCCTCGTCAAAGACCTCGAACGCAGTGTCTTCCTAGCCACGAGGGACGTCGTGGAAGACAAATTCGCGGTATTCCTGCACTTGGGCAATGGAAGCGAGGCAATCTTTGAAAGACTCAAGATCTTCGAAGTCTTCGCACGATTGCTGTGTGATCAACGAGGATGGCTGAGGAGGAGGGGTATCGTCTGACATGGTGAGGAGAGTAAAGGTGAACAGCAGCAGGGTTTTGTGAAGTGGAAAAGGACCCAGTTAGTCAAAAGGGAAAGAACGTCGTCAAACTGGAAAGAATGTGGACTCTGGAAACCTGAGGTAATGACTAGGGCCAGAATGAATCACAGCCCCCGATGCTTGGGTTATCAAGTTGAGGTGAGGTGTATAGGCAGGAGGTGTGGAAGGAAGAAACGAGACGATGCTGTAACTTGCTCCCCCCCTTCCGGGTACCTAGCAGGTGTAACTACATAGTAATAGATCATAATTAAATTAAAGTTTTTGTCGAATACCATGGCTAAATCCTAGTACATGCCCAATGGAATACCGAGTATTTTACCCGGAAAATCACATATCACCTTGGTTTGGCGAATCCCACACAAAGCGCACATTATGGTATTATGGTTACTAAGGTTGTCCGTTGAAATTCTTGTTCTAATCATTTTATATAGTTATGTACATATGTACATATGTAGGTAGCTACCTAGAGAGTTGCCCCCTTTTAGTAAGTGACTTGATGCCTGAATGCCTGGATTAGCACAGCTTTCTACTCCGTTCTATACAGTGTAATGTAAATATGAAGCTTTTGATACCATACGAATCCATGCATCTCCATTTTTCAGGTGGTTTACTACATGCCGGCACAAAATAACTAGGCCCGATTACTAGTCTAGTTTGATTTTTTCTCCCGTTCTAAAATAAGGCATTCGGGCATCAACACCTTCCTAAAAGGGGGTTTGAACCCTAAGCGCTATAAGATTGGGTCCAGGGTACGGCAGTCTCTAACCCCAGTGCGCCATAACTGATTTCATCTGATTATAAGTAGACAAGAGAAAAAAAGGGACGAATTGGTAGAAGAATGTAGCGTACATATATGATTTTTACTGAAGTGAGGAAATAGCAATCAGCTGGAACTTACCAGTATCAAATTTGAATCTATTCTCACATTTTACTTTCAGAACATCGTTTATACAACTTCTCTAACTCTCACTCTTTGAAAGGTCATGCATATACTTTCTCCCATTTTCACTCATATACGCTCAAAAAGAGGGTGTGATCCATCTGACTGGACTCCCGAATTCCACACCTGATCCGTTGTGATCAATCCCGGCTTCAACGGAAGTACCGCGCACCAAGCCTATGATAGCCGCCCTGGCTCAAGGAATGTGGACGACGAGGTGTGGATAATAGGTCTGTATCCAGATCTCTGTATATGAGGAAGGATAGCACGAGTGAGATGAAAGGCGGCGTCAAGATTTACCGACATCATGCGGCGATAGGTTTCGGTCGTCATGTCGTTGAAAAGATAGAACAGATAGATTCTAGCAATGTTGGCAAGGATGTCGATCTTTTGGAATTGACGATCTCTGCCGTAGGTTTTCTAGGTATAAATACCTATCCCCTCACCTTTCCTTTCCTTTCCTTTCTCTCTCCACTCTCTATGCTATCCGTCCGTCTTTTTCTTTTAGCGCGTAGCAGAACCCCTGCTAACAACCCGTTTCTAAGTGGGATTCATCCATATGATTACCTTTTGAATACTACTAAACACTAATAACCCTATAGAATCAAAGGTTAGTCCACCTCTTCTTTTCCCTCTTCTCTTCCCTTCCCGGTAAGATGAACGAGTAAGACCCTACTCGATTCCTATACGAGCTACACTAATACCTCGAGTAGAGCACCTGCTGTCCCTAGGCGACGTGGAACTCCCACCAGGCGAATGGGCCGAGTATGCTATCTCCCTTCTATGGGATGCCGCGAGACGCGGCACCTACGTCCGAACCGACCTCCTCGCAATCCTCCGTGGCCATGAACTTCAACGCGAGGTGGTGGTCTGAATGCCCCATTTCTGCCGAACGTTAGTGTTTTCACTTCAACTCACTGCCTGCAACTCCGTAACACTTACAGTGTATCCCCCTTGCGAGTTCCTCTAATGCGTGTATGAAGAATGGATATATGAATGATTCTACGACAGTCAACCAACAACTCGTCTTTAAACGACGTGATCTTCTTGGGCCAGGGTATGATAATCCCAACGGTTCCCTCTTCTTCGATCTTGATCTTTTACCAGACTTTGCAAGTCGTGCTCTTGAACGTATGAACCTTGTACCCGCCATTTAAAGGGGTTTCGGCTTCGCTGGCTAGGGATAAATGATGTGTACCATGGACTATTTTCTCGCTCTATTAGCTTAGGTGACCTAGTGGTTATCCACAGAATGATACCGATTAATCCCTCTGGCTTTATAATGTCTGTATAGAATATTTCCTGGTATCATTAATCTTGCTGGTATACTATACGTATTTTAGCGATGTTGCCCTGGCCATGTCCGAAAATCAAGTTATGGCCGCCTAAGGCGTCACTCACACCACTACGAGCAAAAAAGCTTGAAGATATCATGCCAGATTCTATTCTCTGCGAAACATCAAAGATAGATGACAATAGACAAGCGGCTAGTGGATTGGAAGACATGTTTAGGGGTATGAAGTATGGGTTGAATGAGACAACCGAACTTTGTTTCTTGATGAATAGCTAACCGCAATCACAGTTCCATGAAACGACTGCATTGTTAACAGATTTGTGGGTGACTGGGTTTATTAGATACGACAGGACTCGAGACTGCGACATGGATAATTGGAAAAGTCGGATGCAACCGAGAGAAATACATTCGGACGTAAAGATTCTAGTTCGTACAAAAAGGGTTCAGTTTGCTTAATTCACGTGACGGTAGTGAGGGTAGTAGGATGGACCGTCTTGCTACCATGCAACAAACCCACTAACTCCTGTAGGTGGGTTTGGTTGAGCGCGTAGTTTTGAGGATAGGCTGGATGTGATTGAGATAAATCAACCACACTAGGCTGGGCATAAAGTTTCTGCCCTGAAGCAAATTGAATTGGTGGTCGGGAGATAAGAGGCACCGAAACGGCCTCAGCCACGCTAGTTGAGCTGGTCCGATGTGTTTCTATGTCGTTAATCGAAGAATGACGGGCACGAATGTGTCGAGTGAGTGTCACTAACCTATTCAGCACTCAGTTGATACTTAGGTAGGAATGAGATTATTAGATAACACATACTTGCGACCAAACAACTTGCCACAGCTTTCCCAGGCGAACGGGTTCTCCCGGGCGTGAGAGCGCAGATGTCTCGTCAAATGTTCCTTTTTGGAAAACAGGTTAGAACACAATGAGCAGGCATGATTGCGTCTTGACTTTCCCATATCAGCCATAGAGGTGCGGTATGCAGCAGAGAAGGTGTTCACGATTTGGCCTTCGCATTTTGTCAGCCGCCGCTCTTCGGCATTCTGTTCTATGCCGAGCAACACACGCCTCAAGAAACTATTGTCTATTTTTGTTTTTCGTCTCGATATATATCCAGGTCAGTGAGCGTGAGCCACACAATTTCTCAATTTCTTTCTCTTTCAAGATGGCTGACAAGAAGCTAAAGGATAACCTGTCGCGTGTCAAAGCTCCGTCTCCTCTAGGCAAGTCGATCTTTGTCGGACTTCGTTTGACAGATGCAGTTTGGCAATACGCATTTCTCCATCGTGGTTGGGCATCTCGGCTAGTTAAACGACTTGGTGGAATGCTTCTACAGGTTCTGGATGCCTCTAGTGGCCGGCTGAACCCTTACTACCAGTCTTGTTGTCATTGCCCTCATCTCAGAGCAAGAGCTTTCTAGTGGACTAGGCCTCGGTATAGGGTCCTTCAACACCGTCTTCAACTCGACAAACATCCTTCTTTCCGTCTGGTCCCTCACCTCCCAATCGCCTTCCGATGGTTCCCTTCGTGTCCAGCTCACGGCCTCAGTAGCTATCGGCGTTTGCGCTTACACTATCGGTATCTTGACGGAGTTGGTATCCGAACTCCAGCCCCGTCCCTTCAAGAAAGACACTAGCAACAAAGGAAAGCCGTATAGAGGCGGACTGTTCTAGCTCGCGACAAATATCAACTACGGAGCCTATACATTGTGGCGTGCTGGATTTGCGCTGGCAACTGGAGGCTGGGCATGGGGACTATTTAACTTTTCCATTTTCTTCTATGACTTCGTTACTCGTGGAGTCCCAGTCCTCGACGAGTATTGCACTCAAAGAGTATACTTGTTTCCCCCCCCGGGGGGGTTAATCACCTTGTCCTCTGATTTACTTGCTTACCATCGGATTATTTGTACGGAGAGCCTTGGACAGAAATAAGAAATAAAAACACGCCTTCATTACCGCTTGTTGCCGGGGATATATTAAAGAATACAAAGAGGAACTGAGGACCAAATGGATCAAATGGATCAAGGTTGGTTGTGTATGCCCGGGGGGTATAAATGGGCCAATAGAGTCGAGGGGATTGGCCTGTCCAATGTTTACACAATGAATTTTGAATTATTTCAGTGCCATTCCTTTTTTTGTAGTACTCATGTATAACAATTCGATTATAGGTGATAACTACCAGTAGCCTATTGGGGGTCCGGGGTGAAGATCCCCGGGCTCTACCTAGGGCTCCGTGAATAATTACATAATCAAAGAACGGGCCCGCGGGCACAAAGCCGTGGACGTCATAAAACAAATTATTGCAAGGATTATATCTTGGCGTTTCAAACATCTTCAACTCTCTCCAGGGTCAAATCATGATGCTTACCAAATGGTCCAACCAGCCAATCCTGTGAACTCCAATCTTCCCCGCGAAGGAGTATCGACCTTACTCCATCGCAGTTGCAATGCCTGCAATCGTAGGAAGGTCCGATGCAACAAGAAATCTCCGTGCGATAACTGCGTGAGACTCGGATTTGAGTGTACATTTCCACCACCTGGACGCAAGGCCCGGACAAAACCAACAAAAACATCTAAGTCTGAGTTGATCTCGCGATTAAGCCTATTGGAGCAGGAAGTCCAGAAGCTCGGCGCGCAAAACGTTGGGGGTGATATCCCTGTGGACAACCTGGAATATCAGGACATCGAAGAGACCCCGGAGAGCAGCCACACTGCAACTTCAGGGCCATTGAAGGCCCCTGTGGATGTAGAAGCGGAGGCTGAAGAGGGGGTTGAAGAGGAGGGAACTGGGATCCATGGGGGTCATGCTTCACCAGCGCCGGCCCCCGGCACATTGGAAAACACATTGGGACACCAATTTGGACGGCTGGTCATCGACAGAAGCAGTGGGACAAGCCGATATGTTGACCATCGGGTTCTGACAGATCTGGGAGATCAGGTAAATTGTGCCCCTCTCTCCCTACGTATACCGTATCGAGGCTTTACAAACAACTTGCTGAGTTCCTTTCGTGATCGGCTCTGAAGATTAAGGAACTACGTGATGCTTTCGATTCCCCATCATCGCCCACACCATCGTTCGAGGAAGATACTTCATCTCCAGGTTCCACTGCGGCGTACTCGGAAACACATAGCCCTTTCATATTCGGTTATCGTTCTTCAGTTTCTTCGCTACTCGAATACCATCCGTCGCCAACCGTGAGCCATCTACTTTTGGAGGTATTCGAAGAGAACATAGCACCTATAATCTCAATCATTCACAAACCAGCTTTGAGGACCCTTATCCAAACATCATGCACAAATCCTGAGGAGCTTGATCGAAGCTCGGAAGCATTGGTCTTTTCTGTGTACTTCGCTGCAGCCTCGAGCATGACACCGGAACAATGTCTCTCCAAGTTAGCTGAAGATCACGCTGTCGTGGTCAAGCGATACCGCTTCACTGTTGAGCAGGCTCTAGCGCGCGCAGGCTTCTTCCATACTCACAAACTGCTTGTGTTGCAAGCAGCCGTCCTTTTCTTAACCTGTGCTTGTCATCCAAAAGACACACAATTCGTGTGGACCATGATAGCCGTGGTTACCCGGCTTGGGCTTGGTCTAGGGCTCCATCGTGACGGTAGTCACTTTGGCCTTAGTCCCTACGAAACAGAAATGCGGCGCCGAGTCTGGTGGTACATTTATCTATTAGATGTTCAATCATGCGAGTTTCAAGCAACGAGTCCCCAGATTCGAGAAGGGGACTACGACACGCGATTACCGTTGAATATAAACGATGATGACTTGTCTCCGGATATCGTGGATATTCCGCAAGAACGGACTGGCTTTACGGAAATGACATTAACCCTGGTCCGCTGTGAGATACTAATCTCCCGTCGCAAATCCATGCAAATGACAAGCCCAGGGCCTGATGGACCGAACATTTTGTTTAAGAACCGCAATCTTGCAATAGATGAGTCCAAGCGGCTCCTTGACGAACGATATCTCCAGTTTTGTGACCTCAGCATCCCTATTCATTGGGTGGCAGCAACGATTGCACGAGTTGCACTTGCAAGGCTATGGCTGGTTTCACATTTCTCGCTCCTGACCGCGCAAGGCTTCGAAGCAAACAAGTGGCCCGACCGATGCGAAATTCTTATCTTAACGGCCATCGAGGTCCTCGAGTTCGTCTATTTGCTTGAGACCAATGAGAACACCGCCAAATGGTCCTGGCTTTTCCAGGGGTATGTGCAATGGCAACTGTTTGCATTTGTTTTATCGGAACTCTGTGTACGCCAGGGCTCCTCGTTGTCCGATCGTGCGTGGACCGTTGTAAACCGGGTTTGGGAGCGGTGGAATCAGACAAGGACTCACAAAGGTGGGCTGATCATGCGACCACTCGAACGTCTGATGAAACGGGCTTCTGCGATGCGGACTCGTCAGCTAAATTTGGAGCTGGCTCCTTCTATTGGTCCCAACCCGACCGACATGGAAATCGCAGACTCGGTAATGATGGATCAATTAGACGACTTGCCTGGTGATTTTATGGCTGTGGATGCCGCATCCTTGGACATATTCAGGGACGTGGTGACTAATTTGGGGCTATGACACGGCGATGGGCAATCCACTGGCCGGAACATGGCTTGGTGTAAAGAAGGAAGGGATCCTTGGGGGACTACCGTATGCATGGGCGGAATCTAATGGATACCTAGAACTGGTTAGTTTGTGCCCGGTCCTTCGGGACTGTTCTGAGTCCCGACTATAATTAACGTGTATTGCCGATCCCGAGGCCCCGATCTCGGAGACTGATGCATCATGTACGGGGTTACTTCGTACATAGTTAACACTGCCAAGCTGCACATCTAGCCCATATACTAGATTTAGAAGCATTTATCCCACTAAAACACTATTACGTTAATAAAACTACAAGTAGCTATCTAGGTCTATCTAGAATGTCTTTCGTGGGCAGCGCGTAATTCACTGTTTTCGTTTGCCAAAATTGTGACTCCTTGTATTGCGGTGCTAGCAGCCTTTCACTGCCCGATTAAGCGCGCGAACGGACGGGCTTAGTAGACTCCTTGGTCTCTCACGAAGTAATGCTTTTGAAGATACTTACCGACGTTGCTGCTTTGGCGTTTGAGGTGTTAGTCGAAAACACCGTAATAGAGCGGATATCAAGAGGCTGTAGAGGAAATGATGAATATACGATTTGTAGACTGGAATTATATCGTTTTAATTGTAAAGTTGGTTGAATTTTGGTGTTACTTAATTGACTTCCGTGAGAGTATCAAACGTCGATACCCTCCCTCAAGCTTTTTGGGTCATCAAAGGTCTGTATGCTCGCACTCATCCTGAAGCGCTAGTCGATTGCTCCCCTAGTTCAGTCAATATATGACAATTGGCGCATGTCTCGCTACGCATATTTATACCGCGGAGATCTCTCTGCCTTGGTGCCTCGAATTCAAGGATCCAAGGCTGCCATATTATGGCCTGAGGCACCACACGTGCCGAGATAGCTAACGTAAATATATACGTCATCCTTGGGGCACGTGAAGAACTGAGATCTACGCTCGGTGCTCGGGACTGGCCTCAAGGCCGGGGGTGATGAAGCAACAACCACCCAGCTTCCCATCTTAGACAAATCAAATGCGAAATTGTCGCTGTAGTTTCGCTCCCGTGGGTTTTCTCACGAGGGGTGACAATATGACAGGCCTTACGATAACGCTATACGAGGGAGGTAACCGTGAACTTTTACAGGCCTTGCCACGTCCTCGGCCGTCCAGATCCCGATCGACCAATTCCTCAGCTTCAGGTTACTGCGGGGTCTTGCTAAGGTGGTCGGTTTCGAGCTGACGCCGAGCTTATTCACTGATATATTTGCCCGAGAGGGCTCATTCGCCTGTGGCCAAATTTAGCATTTGGAGCTGGACATTAAAATTATAAAAGCTTCCTCGATTCCTAGACTACCTGGACTATATCTTCAACTCACACTGACTGCTTTACTCTGCCTCATATCGCCCAAGTTTCTCTATCCTCTAAGCAAATTTATCAATTCTCCGCCATGTCTAAAGTCATCACTGTTTTCGGTGCCACCGGCAACCAGGGTGGTTCCGTGATCGACGCCATTCTCGCCGATACCCAGCTCTCGAAGGAATTCAAGATCCGGGGTATCACCCGCGACACCACCAAGAAAAAGGCACAAGACCTGGCCAAGCGCGGTGTTGATGTTGTCTCGGTAAGCTTGGATGTTTATTTTTATTTTTATTTTTTTATTCTTCGGTTCTTCCTTGCTCGTCATGTTGGAACATTTATCATGGGTATAGACTGACACTCAAACAGGCCGATCTGGGCTCTGTTGACTCTCTCACCGCGGCGCTGAAGGGATCCCACACTGTGTTCCTCGTCACCAACTACTGGGAGACCATGAACGCCGACATCGAGTACTCCCAAGGCAAGAATGTCACTGATGTCTCCAAGGCCGTTGGTGTTTCCCACCTGATCTTCTCATCTCTCCACCATGTCACGGAGGAGACCAAGGGTCGTCTCACCAATGTTCCTCACTTCGATAGCAAGGCCAATATCGAGAAGTACATTCGTGCTTCTGGCGTTGGATGCAGCTTTGTCCTTCCCGGTTACTACATGAGCAACTTCACCCAGATGCTCGTCCGTGCTGAGGATGGGTCGTACCAGCTCTTCTTCCCGGTTGGAAAGCAGGCCCAGTTCCCTCTCTTTGATGCTGCCCAGGATACAGGTACGACCTCTATTCACTCCCTTCCTCTTTGATATACATTAGCTCACATATCCCCTAGGTCTCTTCGTGAGAGCTGCCCTCAAGCACGGCAACCAGCTAAAGAACAAGCAGATCTTGGCCGCTGCCAAGTACTACACCCCGGAGGAGATCGTGGACACCTTCTCCAAGGTCACTGGCAAGAAGGCCGTCTTTATCCAAGTCTCTGCCGAGCAATACAAAGCCTCCCTACCTGCGGCTATAGCTGATGAGTACCTCGAGAACCAGCTGTTTGTGGAGGAGCCTGGTTACTACCTCGGGGAGCCCCTCGAGCCCAGCCTGAGCCTTCTCGATGCTAAGCCTACCACCTGGGAGGAGTTTGTGAAGAAGAACGTCTCCGCTTGGAAATAGGCCACCTGAAATCGGAATTTGATGTTAATCTGTATCTATCTATCGTTTAACTCAACGTCTTTGATGTGAATTTGCTCAAGTGTTAATTAAATATCAAGTCATGATTATTCAACGAATTTGAATTCGTCAAAAGAAGTACCACTGTATGATATGTAGTCACACAGATGCATATGCAAGGGCAAGAGTCACACTACACTATAAAAAGAAATGGAGGGGGAAAACATGACTCCAAATTACTCCAACATCCATCTTTCTATATGTGGTGTTGTTTCTTTCTCGGTAGTTGAAAACAACCATCAGCGTGGGACGCCTTATACGTCAAAACGCGATCGTACATCTACCTCTCTTGCACAAAGGCTAGAAACCAGTAATAGATGGCATTCATATCAATTGGACCGCCTTGCCCGATAACTCTACGACCTCGACGTATAGCCTTCGATACTAACTCTCATAAACGCGATCAATCAATGTGTTCATATTGATCCGTCCACAGGTGTCATGAAATTCATGACCAAGAGCCCACTTCCTGAGGATTGCCTCTTCACACCTCGACTATTCTCCTTCCTCTCAACCCCCCAAGGCATCGCGAGTAATTTTGACCCGGATACCAGGGCTCGATAGATCAGTCACACCGATGAAACAATCATGGGAGATTTCCACGTCTCGTTCCCAGATTGTGTCGTATAGCTCGAGTTCAAACCGCGTGATTAGATGGGCGATTGTCAGGTATAACTCCGCGTGTGCCAGGCTAATAATGTAGGTTAGTTATTATATACCATTATACACTGATCTCGCTTTCGGAAGAGAGATAAGAAGGGATGGAAAGAAGAAGGCGAAAGGAAAAGGAAAGGAAAGAAGGCGAAAGGAAAGGAAAGGAAAGGAAAGGAAAGGAAAGGAAAGGAAAGGAAAGGAAAGGAAAGGAAAGGAAAGGAAAGGAAAAACGTACTTGATTCCCAAACAAGATCTCGACCCCCGTCCCCATGCCATCAGATATCGCGGCTTCAGCTTGGGGTCATCAATCCATCGCTGTGGATTGAAGCGGAAGGGCTCAGGGAATATTTGAGGGTTTGTGTGGTGGAGGTAGAGGGATTGCATGACAGGTGTCTGATCATAATATCTTTTAGTAATGTTGCGTCTGGAGTAGAAAATGTATACTCACGCCCCGTGGAATCACCCATTGCTTGTAGACAAGTTCCTCTTCCGTTGCGATGCGTGGCATGCGGCTCGAGGCGCCATGAGCTAGTCTGAGACCCTCATTGATGACGGCCGACTGATAGAATAGCCAAACGTTAGTCCTCTAGCACAAATAGACGGCCAAGGTAAATTCATACAAAATAAGGCAAAGCCTCCAGTTCCGTCAGTGTAACAGGCGAATCAGCCGCCGGCATGACAGTACTCAACTCAGCGCGTAGCTTGTCCAAGACATCCTTGTTATGCAACAGATAATAGATCATTACAGCCAGGTTTCTGGCCGTAGTCTCGGTTCCAGCTCCAAGTGCGAGACCAGCCTCCGCATTGAGTCGCTCCGGCGTCTTCTCACTCGCCGGTAAGTCACTGTTCACAATATCCTGAAAGATAGTCCGCGAGTTAGCAGATAACAGACCCTCCTTTTTCGAATTGCCACCTTTCTTCCGACGTTCTTCCGTGGCAACCTGAATAATCTCAATCGGATACTGCAGTTTCTTGGTGAGATTCGCCGTCTCAGGACTAATCCACTTCACAACCTCCGGCGACAGATTATTCAACAGCGGATTCATGAACCAGCTAAACTGCCTTCCCATGGGTCTCATCAATCCCACTGTCCGGAATGCCTCAAGCCAATCTGAACCCCAGTCTTCGCGACCGAGATTACCTATGTCGCCGCCAAGCGCATACGACGAGATGACGTCCATGGTCAGCGCGGCCGTGGCATTGGTCAAATTGACCACCTCACCGCGGGCAAAAGAAGCTGCCAGCCGGCTCTCAAGGCGCTTGACTTTCTCAACTACCATACCTTCCAAGGACTGGATAGCACGCTTGCTGAAGAAGGGGTTTAGGGCTGCGCGTCGCACACGATGCAAGTCGTGGTCCATGGATTGTAGGAGCGACCAGCTCATAGTTCCAGTCTTGGATGCGTGCATGTACCAGGTGTCACGGTCGCGCTTGCGGCGACCACCGGCGTAAATGTCATCAAAGTAGTCTGGGTCATGGATGTGGATGTGGTTCGGGTTGATGCGCACAATAGGGCCTAGCCGTTCTTTTAGTACACGGATACACACTAATATATATATATATTGGTTCTCAACCGGTTCAAGGGAATTTACCGTAGATGTCATGAAGCTCCTTGATCTTCCAGAGGTAGCGATGCTTATATGGCCACAAGTCATAGTATGCCTCGTACCAGAAGCTGGCGGCCGCAAGCTTGGGGCCGGGAAACTTGGCCAGAGGGTGAAGGGTAAGACGATATACATAGAGCAGAATTGCATAGAATGTATATGAGACAAGGAAAAGGCCAATGGCACTCAACGTGGTGAGAGATCCAATTTGGCCCAGGAGGCTTGATTGGGGGGTGTCGTTCCCCATCCTGCTTAATCTTGTGGAGATATAAAGCTACCGTTCAGCTTCAACTCTAGTAGAATTATACTCTCATTATGGCCATTTAGTTGGCGATAGATAGTTCTTACTTGAGCATATCACTTCGCACTATCCCATATTCACCCAGAGCCATCATGCAATTTGTCAGATTGTGGGTTGATCAGCGCATCGGAAGCTACTGAAAGAAGCAGCTTCCGGGCTACGGCAGGGTTTGGCGTGCGAAATTTTGAGACAGGACATCTACCATATGCATCAAGTGTATTCAATTAATAATGTTCGTGCAGATATTGGGATGCAATTCTCATGAGCTGTCAATATGGTGAGGATATAACCGCCGTGGCTCAAAGCGTCCATAGATTCATGTCTAAAGCCTCAACATCCAATTAACTTATTACAACCTTCAAACTTGTTCATTGTATATATCTCGCATTTAGTTCTACAGTATCGGATTGACTTTCATGTTGCTGGTTATAGTAAAGGAATCTGTAACGATTGATATCATCTATATTGGTTTCCTCACTTGTTACTTGGCAATAGGAACTTTTATGAAATCAAATTTTTTTTCTTTAGATTTTTAACCCAATAAACCATGTGTGTAAGTGACTATTAAACGATTCAAGATATAAATAAACAAAAGAAACCCTCTAGAGAGCGTGGGCGGGATACAGACAAGCCATACAAACTCCGCCAACAACCATCAATGACTATCCAAAACCAATCTCAAGTCCAACAGTATGATCCAATATACTATGCCAAGCCTCAAGCCTCCACTGACGGTGACGCCGACGCCGACTCCTCCTTAGTCTCCTTCTCGTGCCCCCGAATTTTACGTCGCTCAACGGTCAGAGCACCAATGATACTAATGCAACATAAAGCCAGAGGCAACAACCACATATCCACCATTGCCTTATTAAAGGCATTGAGGATGGTGGTCTTGTCTGCCCCGTGTAGCCCCTTGGTCAGAGTGGTGACACCTCCGCTCATGATTTTACTGGTGTCGATACCGGAGACATGTGTCTTTTCGATGTTTCGGTCTAGATGATTGATGAAGAGGGATTGAGCAACAGCAGTGAGGATTGCACTGTCAAAAATATGTCAGTAATTTTATCCCTTTAACCATTTTCACCTTTCGGTTCATTTCTGTGGATAGATTCCAGCAACACTTACCCTGCCATAGTCTGAACAAACATCACAATACCTGATCCAATCGGAATATCCGCCAAATCAAGCACATTTTGGGCGACCATAACGGGCGTTTGAGCGGCAAGACCCATACCCAAGCCATAGATGATTTGGTACCCAATCCATTTTCCAGTGCCGATGTTAATCGAAAATGTGGTGAACAAACCTGCTCCGAGGGAGATGAACGTGGAGGAGAAAACAAGGAACGGCCAGATGTACCCCACCATTCCGATTAGAATACCACCAAGCAATGATGATACAGCATTGGCAATGACCAGAGGAAGGGTGTCCACACCAGAGCCGAAGGGACTCGTTCCTAGAGCTCCTTGGAACCAACTATAAATTCGTTAGCGAGTCTGTCCTCTTGCAACATGGAAGGCATGGAGTGGGCTGAAACATACATTGGAATGTAATAAAGCAGCAAGAATGAGGCACCACTTGAGCAGAAGCAGAAGAGACAAGCGGCGGCTACACTGCGTTGTTTGAGGACACGTGCAGGCAACATACTCCTTTCATCTTGCCAGAGCTCCAGAGCGATGAATGCAATTCCCAGTAAAGCAAAAATGACGAGCAGAGCGATGATCCTGCCACTATTCCAGGGGTAGGTAGCCCCACCCCATTGCAGCGCTAGAAGGAGACATATGACGCTTCCAGTGAGGGTAATGAGGCCGATGAAGTCGAATCCCTTGAAGAATTCAACCAGAGAAGGAGGCTTGGTCTGGGGCTTGGGCGGGCGCACAAACAGCAGGAAAATGCCATAACTGAACGCGCCAATTGGAAGATTAATGTAGAACTAGATCATTCGAGCTGGGTTAGCCTAGATTACAAAGCAAGTTGAATTCCCCCGAGGGGAAGATAATGGATGCAACTCACATTCCATCGCCAGGTGACATGCTCGGTGAATGCGCCACCAATCAATGGTCCAGTGGCATATCCAATGCCCATTGTGCCACCGATCAATCCCATGAACAAAGGGGCCTTTGACGGATGGGCAATGAAAGGCACAAGAGAAAAGGTGCCAACGAGCAAGCCCGAGCATCCAATTCCTGCCACAGCACGGCCGACAATCAGGGCTGGAGAGTTTGGAGCCGCGCCACAAATGGCCGAGCCAGCCAAGAAAAATACCATGGCCACTGTGTAGATATATTGAATGGGGTACCAAGTATAGAGCTTTCCATACAGCAACTGCGTGATGGACGTGGTCATAAAATACACACTACTGTACCAACCAATGTCTTTGATGGAATTGAACTGGTCGGAAATCACGGGGACTGCTGTTGCCAGGACGGTGCTGTCCTAAATATGAGGAATGTAAGGTCAGTTTATGACTCGTATACAAAAGAAATATATATGTAGGATGAGGATGAATGAATATACTCACCAAAGTAATAACAAAGATGATTAGGCATAATGAAAAAGTAACTAATGCAAATTTGAAAGGGCCTGGAAATTGCTGCTCCGGTGCAGCCTCAGCTTCAGTGCTTGTGTCTGCTGGGTTTTCAGACGCTTTGGAATCTGGAGCTGATGTGCTATCAGCACTATCAGCAGCGTTGAAGGGCGTCTTTTCAAGGACGTGGTCGTCAGGAGAAGCCATGGCAGGAGAGGTAACACTTGTCACAATCTTCAAATGACTAGGTAAAACTAAAACTTTTCATGGTGTAAACAGCAAAGGTCGAGCAAGAAACTTTCCTATGTACTCTGTACATTGCCAGGGGAGATTGGATTTATAATCGGAGCGCTTAGAAATCCACCCCAAAGAAAAAAAAGAAACAACGTGCAGGGGTCTTGCAAGGGTACAAAGGGTAGCAGCACGATAGAATATGTGAACGGAGGGTTTTGATTGGTTCAAGTCTAAAGTTGCCCATAGATGAATTTGCTTAGTAACTCCGGCTAAATCCATGGATTTTCGCGGGAGAAAAGCTTGGAAGTTCCACCGATCGGCGGAGGAACCGAGGTCAACTTACCTACACATGTAGTATGGAGTAACCTAGTCGAATAAAAGTCAAAACCAACTGTCAACCACTGCTAAAAAAAAAAAAGACAACTGGAGAAGATCGATGAGATTGGCTGAACAAGTGATACCTAATCTGACCATAAACATCCTTGTCACTTTCCCCCCCCCTTTTTAGCTGGACCACTATAGGCTGACCTGCAGCTGTTTAGTGGATCTCTAGGGCTGTAATTTCCTCCCGAGACTGCTTAGGTAAAGAGACTATAGCTGAAATGAGTTTAGTCTTGACCTGCGATTGACCCAAACGGGAACCTTCCGAGCTGATATACCTAGGTACCCACTAGGAAGGTTCCGAGCCTCAATAAGGTGAAACTGCAGGATAATGACACCTTGAAAGATATTGGAGAGGCCACCAATATTTCGTATATAGAGACAACGAGTATGAGAGATAGGATTATTAATGTCTATCATAAAAGTCTATGCCCAATCAACGAGAAGCAGGGAATAGAGTGGTGTGATTTAAGCAATTAACACAGAACGCACGATGACCATAGATTCTGGACCCGATGCGGCCCGACGCGACACGTATACCAATGGAAGGCACCAACCTAAGCCTGAGACAAGCACTATGCCGATCGCCATCATTGGCATGGCCTGCCGGTTGGGTGGAGACGCCAGCAGCCCGTCTAAGCTATGGGAGATGTGCACTTCGGCTCGAGATGCCTGGAGTCCTATCCCACAGGAGCGCTTCAACGCTAAAGCACTATACCATCCCAACAGGGAGCGAGTCGGTCGAGTAAGTCACTTTCCAGCTCCTTCTACTGTGTGTTCTTTAACAAATATTTTTTTTCCTAGAATCACGCGGTCGGCGGGTATTTTCTTAACGAAGATGTTGCCCTTTTTGATGCGGGATTCTTCAATTTCTCCGGGGATGTGGCTAGTGTAAGTCGAGTTCATCCGGACGGAAATCTATCCCGATTTCACTATGGAGGCTGATCAATGGGCTCGTAGGCAATGGATCCCCAGATTAGACTGCTACTTGAAACCGTTTACGAGACCTTGGAAGATGGTCAGTTTATTCCTGTCCCGATCGATTAATATCTCTACTCCGGGAAATTGTCCTAACCGAAGAATGCAAATGCATAGCCGGAATTCCATTGGAAAAGATCGCTAGCACAGACACATCGGTCTTCACCGGCTGCTACGGCAAAGACTATCATGACCTACACACAAGGGATCCGGAACAGTTCCCTGCCTCATTCCTAACGGGAAACGGTACGGCAGTTTTATCCAACCGGATCTCCCACTTCTTCGACTTGCAGGGTGCTAGCATGTCCATTGATACGGGCTGTTCAGCCGGCATGGTCGCATTGCACCAGGCGTGTCAGACGATCCGATCAGGACAGTCATCAATGTCTGTAGTAGGGGCAACCAGCACCATGCTGAACCCGGATCTCTTCGTTATTATGTCCACACTCGGGTAGGAACCTGCACCGTTTTGCCTCCATTGGTAATCTCCTTGCTAGAGATCTAACTAACGAACCTCATTAGGTTAATTGGCGCCGACGGGAAATGCTACGCCTGGGACTCACGTGCCGAGGGATACGGCCGAGGAGAGGGCGTAGCAGCATTTCTCCTGAAGCCTTTAGACGAGGCCCTTAAAGACGGCGACCACATTCATGCCGTGATTCGGGAAACAGGGTTAAATCAAGACGGTAAAACGACAACGATCACGTCACCGTCCGTGGAGTCCCAGGTGAAGTTAATTCGAGATTGCTATGAGCGTGCGGGATTAGACCTTTCGGATACAGGTTATGTTGAGGCACACATGACCGGTACTAAGACGGGAGATCTGGCGGAGGCGCAGGCACTCGCGAGGACGTTTGGCGCGAGTCGGGAGCCTGGAGATTCTGTTCTTGTTGGTTCAATCAAGACTAATATTGGCCATACGGAGCCAGTTAGTGGATTGGCAGCCTTGATTAAGGCGGTTTTTGCTGTGGAAACCGGGGTGGTGCCTCCTAACCTGAACTATGATAATCCCAATCCGACAATTCTCCTAAAAGAGTGGAATCTCCAGGTGAGTTTTCAATTCCAGATGATAGAAAGAATGATCCAAGCTCATGTTGTCGACAGGTACCTACTTCGCTTACTGCGTGGCCGAGTGACAAGCCTCGCCGAGCCTCCATCAACAATTTCGGATATGGAGGTAGTAACTCTCACGCGATTATCGAAAGAGCCCCAGCAGTGTCGCGCAAGTCCGACCGAAATGTGGTTGCCATCGCGAATGGTCACCATCACCAAAACGGCAACAATCACGCAGAAGAAGAAGACCCAGCAAGGATATATTTCTTGAGCGCAAAGGACTCCACTGCTGCTCAAGGAATGGCCAACCGATTCTCTGAGTACTTACGCGATGCCATCAAGAAAGGCAATGCACCATCTGCTGAGGATCTGGCATATACGCTAGCAAATCGGCGATCGCGTCTTCCCTGGACAACTGCAGTCAGTGCCAGGAGTCTGGAGGAATTAGCGGATCGTTGGGCCAATTCATCGGTCGCCGTTACTCAAAGCTCCAAGCACCCAAGACTGGGGTTTGTGTTTAACGGTCAAGGCGCGCAGTGGTTTGCCATGGGACGAGAGCTGATTGGGGCATATCCCGTGTTTCGAAGCAGCCTAGAAAAGGCGGATCAGTTGCTGCGAAGCTTGGGGGCGAGTTGGTCCCTACGCGGTAAGTGCTTCTGGCAATCGATGTTTCTGCTCTCGTGCTAACATAGAGGTATAAACTTACAGATGAGCTCATGCGTGACTCCAAGACGACCAGGGTGGGCGAAATCAATCTCAGTCAGCCGATCAGTGTGGCCCTGCAAATGTGCCTGGTCGACTTGCTGAAATCATGGGACATCACTCCTTCAGCGGTGACGAGTCATTCCAGTGGAGAGATTGCCGCTGCCTACGCCGTTGGACTTCTATCCTTCAGCGAAGCCCTGGCTGTGGTTTACTATCGCGGCGAGCTAGCCAAGAAGCATCAGAAGCTAGCATCAGTCAGCGGCGGGATGCTAGCCGCTGGCGTCAGTCGGGAGCGGGCAGAAAGCTACATCTCGAACACCAGTAGTGGCCGTGTTGTTGTCGCTTGTGTGAACAGCCCAGGCAGCGTGACATTGTCTGGCGATATGGACGGTATCGATGAGGTAGCTGCACTACTAGAAAAAGACGGGCTGTTTGCCAGAAAGCTCAAGGTACCTTTAGCCTATCACTCTCATCATATGCTCAGTATGGCCCAAGACTATACGGATGCTCTTGAGAAGACTCTGTCAACGGCCAATCCCACCTGGAACAAAGATATTCTGTTCGCATCCCCCGTCACGGGCAAGGTCGAAACGACGGCGGACGTCTTCACCCCCGAACATTGGGTCCGTAATTTAACGAGCCCAGTCCTATTTAGCCAAGCCTTCGAAGACATGTGCTTTTACCAAGAAACGCAAAGCCCAACCTCGCACTCACGAAATGTGGACATGGTCCTCGAGATTGGAGCCCACAGTACCCTCGAAGGACCAATCCGACAGATTCTCGGCGAAAGAAAACTGCCATATGCATCCTGTCTCAAACGATCAGTAAATGCGGTAGAAACCATGCAGAACTTGGCGGGCGAGCTACTGGGTGAAGGCTATGGCGTCTCATTGGAAGCTATTAACTTCCCACGCGGAGGCAGCGGTACCTTTGTTCCTGGTCTGCCAACGTATGCCTGGAATCACTCGACCAGATACTGGCTAGAGCCCAGAATCAATCGTGAAATTCGACAACAAAGTCTTCCGCCACATGAGCTACTTGGAACGATATTGCCTGGCTCCAATGGGCTGTATCCGACTTGGCGCAACTTCCTTCGCTTGTCGGATGTCGCATGGCTCGTCGATCATCAGCTGGACTCCAATATCGTTTTACCCGGTGCTGGCTACGTCGCCATGGCTATTGAGGCGATCCGGCTTCTTCAGAATTCAGACGGAGCCTCAGTGACTGGGTATCATGTTCGCGATGTCGACATCCTGAGTGCCTTGATCATCCCGGAGTCAGGGACGACCGGAGTCGAGATTCAATTCAGCCTACGGCCGTGTAGTGGCAAGGTCTCGCCCAGTAATGAGGGTTTCTACGAGTTTGAGCTCAGCTCACCAGGACCGCGAGACACCTGGATTGTGAACTGCCACGGCTATGTTTCCGTCGAGACCACCGAAGCACCTGCGCCCTTGAACCTCCCAGAAGAGGGCCTGTTCTTCCCCAATGGATCGAAGATTCAGAATATCGAAGCTAAAACTGTCTTTGCTGGGCTCCGTGAAATGGGATTATATCATGGCCCAATTTTCCAGAATCTATATGACAGCCGTGTCGCCGCCAAAAAGGCCGTGACGGACATGGTCATCGCGCCGGTGGCTTCCGAGGCAGATGAATATATTCTACACCCGACAACACTTGATTCAATCATTCAAGCGACCTACAACGGCTTGCCTAAGGCCTCTCGTCAAGGATTCATGGTGATTCCTCGAGCAATAAAATCCCTTTTTGTGCCCCGTGGATTTAAAAGGCACGGGGGTGACAGGCTTCAAGCTTTTAGTGAGCTTCAACAGTCAGCTAAGACCGGCTTCACATCTTCGGTGACAGTGCGCAGTATCGGTGATGCGGTGGCGACGTCAGCAATCCATATCGAAGGGTTCTTTGCTCAGGCGGTACCAAGAGGTATCATTGACGATTCCAAGGAGGAGACGCCATCCATCTGTTACAAGAGCGTATGGGAGCAAGATATTACACACGGTGTAAATTCTTCGAGCCGAGAAACTATGAAGATCGAACTAAGCGACCAAGAGCGGGACTTCGAGCGAAAGCTGATCCGCGCATCCTATCACTCAATCCACGACGCAGTCGCGGAACTCGAAGGCGAGGAGCAGAGTGGCTGGGAATGGCACCATAAGATCTATTACGGCTGGATGAAAGAGATCGTTGCACAGGCATCTCGTGGGGAACTGGCCCCTAATAGTGCACGGTGGGCAAAGAGCGGCAGGGGAATGAAGCTGAGACTCATCGATGAGTTAAACGCTGGTGATGCCTCTGGGAAGCTTGTCGTGCGTGTTGGTCAGAAGCTGGCTGATATTGTCCGTGGGCATATCACCCCGCTCGAGCTTATGATGGAGGGGGGCTTGTTAAATGAATATTATATGGCTCTCCCTCGCCTAGAGAACCGCAGCTATCACCATCTCGCACAGATCGTTCAGCTATATGCTGCCAAGGAGCCTGGGGCCAATATTCTGGAAATTGGTGCAGGCACCGGTGGTGCAACAGGGACAGTCCTTGGAGCATTTGAGGCAAAGAGCCACGGCCCCGGTACCCTGGTAGGCTCTTACACGTTCACCGATATTTCATCAGGTTTCTTTGAAGCAGCTCGGCGCAAGCTTGCCGCCTGGAGTGGCATATTAGATTTCAAGAAACTCAATATTGAGTCAGATCCCTTGGACCAGTCCTTTACCTCCGGAAGCTATGACCTTATTGTCGCATCGATGGTCCTTCACGCTACTAAGAGTCTCGACCGGACCATGTCCCATGTTCGGAGGTTGTTGAAGCCCACCGGCAAACTTCTGCTCATTGAGGCGACGCAGGACAGCCTGGACAGCCAACTTATCTTTGGAACGCTGCCTGGTTGGTGGTTGAGTGAAGAGCCCGACCGAAAAATGAGCCCCAATGCCTCCCTAGAGGTATGGGATACGGTGCTCAAGAGGACAGGCTTCTCAGGAGTTCAGTTTGAGATTGGCGATTGCGAAGAGAAGGAGTTCCAGTCCACCAGTATTATCCTCACAAGTGCTGTGCCAGACTCCAAATACCCTACTTCCATATCCATCATCCACAATGAGCAAAGCTCTGCAGACTGGCTCGATCGTTTGGGTCAAGCTATTCAAGCAGAAACACAGGTTAACCCCACAATCGAGACTATCGACGACATTAAACCAGACGGCAGTACGGTGTACATTGTTGCATCTGAGTTGTCTCGCTCTTTTGTGGAAAATATTAGCGAGAGTTCCTTTACGAATCTCCAGAAATTACTCGTCAACAGCCGAGGCACTTTATGGCTCACCCAGGGGAGTGTCGTAGATGCGGAGCAGCCACTTTTTGAACAAATATCCGGTCTCCTTCGAACTCTAAGACAGGAAGATTCAGGCTCGCGACATATCCGACTCGATTTTGAACTGGATGCAGAAGAGTTGACAGATAGCCATGTCCGCCACGTCGTCGAGGTTTTTCAACAGGGCTTTGATTTCAGCGTGGCTCCAACAGACCTTGAGTGGGAGTACGGAGTGAAGGATGGAGTTCGCTATGTTCCTCGCGTGTATCCGAATGGGGTACAAGATGCCGAGGTGCTGAAAGATTGGACAGTTCCAACACCGGTGTTGGCTTCCTTCCAGGCCCCTCAACGAACACTCGTCTGGAGCGCTGAGGCCTTGAGCGAGGCGCACTTTGCGGAAGTAGCAGATAACACAGACCTACCGGAAGGGATGGTGGAGGTAGAAGCCAAGGCATTTGGCCTCAACCACCGTGATATATCGTCGGCCGAGAATACTCTCGTCGGACATGATTTCGCAGGTATTGTCAAACGCCTGGGGCCTTCTGTTGAGAACAGTGATCTTCGAATTGGTGACCGTGTGGCAGGGATTGCCCAGGGAAGCTTTGCCAACAAAGCACAGGCGCTTTATACCAGTGTAGCCAAGATCCCCGAAAGCGTGGGATGGGCAGAAGCTGCTGCACTTCCGTCGCCTTTCATAGCGGCCTACTACGCACTGATCAGTCTTGCTGCTCTCCAGTCCGGGGAGTCTGTACTCATCCAGGATGCTGCCAGTGACGTTGGCCAGGCTGCGATAGTCGTCAGTCAAAAATTGGGCGCAACCATCTTTACACTCAGCAAGTCTTCGGCCGAGGCAGAACATCTCACCAAAACACACCATCTTGCGGCTGGCCACAACTTCTCCAAGGATGACACCGGTCTTTCTGCCATCATTGGGGCTCAAACCGACGGCTTGGGGGTACATGTTGTCTTCAACGCGCTATCGGGTCCTCTGGTGGATTCAACATGGGATTGCGTTCGTCGTTTTGGTCGATATGTCGACCTGAATGGCGGCTCCCCCCTTCATCCAAGGCCGCTCAAAAATGTGCTACCTACAGTACCTTCGATGTGCTTCAAGTACTTGAGTATCGAGGATCTGCAGCACAAGCAGCTCTCGTTGAAGGCATCCGCATCTCTCACGAGAGGACAGAAGTTCCCATATTACCCCTTGTTACTTGGCCAATCAGCGACCTTGATCGGGCATTGACTCGTCTCGAAAGCCAGGACCAATTAGGCAAGATAGTAGTTGTACCTGGCGAGAATGATCAGGTCAAGGTTAGTCTATCAGACTCTTCTATTTATGTTTATTGTCACAGGATACTAACACCACTCCTCAGATTCTTCCGAGACCGAATATATTCTCCCTTGACGACACAAATAGCACATACCTCATTGTGGGTGGTTTGGGTGGAATCGCCTACACGGTGGCCTCTTGGATGCTGCAGAAGGGGGCCAAACATTTGGTCATACTTTCTCGTCATGCCGCTCAGCATCCCAAGGCGGCTGAGCTTCAGGCCGTCGCAAAATCTCAAGGCAGTGCCTTACAAATCCGGAGTTGCGATGCGTCAAACGAGGGAGACCTATTGGCCCATCTGGCCGAAGTTTCTCAGAGCTTCCCCCCTATTAAAGGTGTAATCAACGGAGCCATGGTGCTTGAGGTAAATATCACCTCATATTATACTCTTGGCAAAACGCGTGCTAACTGAGCGAATAGGATTCCATCTGGGAACGCATGACACATACCCAATGGCAACGCGCTGTTGCGGCCAAGGTAGCCGTGACCACTAACCTTGACCGATCACTATCGAATCTGTCATTCTTCATCCTACTTTCATCTCTGACTGGTGTGATCGGGTCCGCTTCGCAAGCCAACTATGCAGCCGGAGGCGCCTTCCAAGACTCCCTGGCCCGCCACCGAACGGCCAACAGCCTCCCTGCCGTTGCCTTGGACCTCAGTGCCGTCGAGTCAGTCGGGTTTGTGGCGGAGACAGGAGATGATGCGCGACAACATATTGAGCGACTGGGCTCCGACTCAGTCAGCATCGAAACAGTGTTGCAATTGATCGAGGCCGCTATCCGGGATCCACTTCGCCAATCTCCCGCGGAGAGTCAAGTCATTGTGGGACTCACATTATGGGACCGTCTAGCTGAGGACACTGCCACGAGACGTGACCGACGATTCAGTACCCTGCGAGTGGGTAGTAAGCGGGCGACAGCAGATGCCGGGATTTCATCCGGTGATGAAGCTGGGGGGAGCAATTCCTCGGCAGCCTTGATTCGGAAACTGGCTGAAGGCAACCTAGCAGCCACAGAGGCACAAGGGCTCTTCCTTGATGTCATCGCTGGTAAGCTGGCTAGTATCTTCAACATCGATGCTGCAGGACTTGACCGAGAGGCTCCGCTGGCGCAGTTTGGTGTAGATTCTCTGGTGGCAGTGGACCTGCGCAATTGGCTCGGGACGTCGGTCAAGGCGAAGGTGTCAATCTTTGAAATTTTGCAGAGTCCGTCGTTGCGAGAGTTTGCGAGTTTCGTGGCGCAGCGCAGCGAATGGATGTCGCGAGGATGATTTATATGTGCATAGACCGCAGACTACTTTCCTGTTGCAAGGTTACCTAGGTGGAACCTCAATGAAGATAAAGTTTACACGAAAACTCTATTAAGTGGAGTTGGTCAACCTAAAATTTCGTATTTATATCCGGGGTGCAGACAATTTTTAGACCAATAATGAGTCAAAAATGAAGAGAACAATGTTTGTTTGGCGGCCTGTTTGTTGCTTCCTCGTGATCCAACCATCCCGCCACTATATGATTATTGTATAAATTCATGGTCTGGTTTCGCCTAAGCGAAGATTCTGCATAATGAGTTAGGTATATATCAATGTATATATATATGTATGTGTCTTCGAAAAACATGCTCCAACAGTCTACAAAATATCATCTACCCTCCGATGTCCCACGAATAGCCAAGCAAATCCTCGACGCCGTCTCCTCCGCCGCTGCCACCTGCTGCAATGCCAGCCGATTCGACGCCAGTTTATTTTTCATTAAATGCAATAACTGTCTTAGCTCAGTCAAATGCATTGCACCCAGCTCCTGGACCAATTTAAATCGTTTTTCGGAGGATTCGATGCGATATCGCCCGACCCAGATGGCCCCATCTAGTACCTCCCCCGTGGATCCATTCTCCCATCCCAGCGGCTCGGCCCTTGACGGAACCACCTCCCGCGGTTGACCCAGGCATAACCGGCCAATTTCTTCGGCGATAGTCACCAGTGACTGAGCGATAGTAGCTAGAAGAATGGAGTTCTGGGAGTCGGTGCTGCACCTCCCACATGAGATTGTCTCTTGGCACGTGCGAACAGCTGATCCTAGACATAGCAGCTGGATGTCGACACCGCCCGAGTCAACTTGTTGTACCCCAAGTTTCTCTAACAGCTCGACGAGGTTTGACAGGCAGTTGCATTCCCGCATTAAGCCCATGGATAGGCGCTCCCCTATTCCTGACCTGTCTGGAAACGCAGCTCCATCGGACAGGGTACGGGTGGGAGCAGGTCGGGGCGGCATAGTTGTCCCATTTGATAGGTGAGCCGGGTCGGTGAGAAAATTTGCATCACTTGTGGAAAGCTGCGATGATGAGGACAGAAATTGACTGTCTAGGGCGGGGTCCACGAGATAGGATGTTTTGTCTGGGGTAAGGTTGTCGCCGAGGTCGAAGAATTCCGATCCCTCGAGATTCATGAACATGCACGTGTCTATATCAAAAGGTGTGTCATAAGTCAAAGAATCTTGTTGCTGTGCAGAGGATGGCCGAGTTTGGAGGCCAGGCATTTGTTGGTCCTCTGAGCTGGTTCCGTTGACGGAACGAGACCGCAGACGAGACGGAGAGTCAGACGCGGAAGTAGAATCAGGTGGAGTCCACTGCTTGTTATTGCATGCCCTCTTGGGTTGGGTGCCATTGTTGCCAAAATTCATCGTGTAGGTGCATGGGATTGAGGACGCTCGACATCGATCACAAGCGCCACCTTCACCTTCCCCGCTGCATTTGAGCTATTCAACCCGATATCAGTCAGTCATCTTCTCTGGTGGAAATACGTATTCAGACACACCTTGCGTGAGCGACATATATCACAGGCTACGAGCGTATATCCGCGAGCATCTTGCCCGCGTCCGGCGGTGGAGAGACTGACGTGGTCGTAGTGGCTGGTCTGCTTATTCAATCGCATAGTGCCAAACATTCTCTTTCGCACTTCTCGTATCACTCTATTTCTTGTATTAAGACCAGTAAGCCGAGCCGATCAGGAACATGAAACGTGATGGATGAATAGAAGCTAGAGGCACTGGTGATCAATATATCTAGATTAGACTCCTGAGTAGCTTTCCCAGCCAAGTTGTGAGATCTATAACCTCTTATTAGACATAAGTCGCGGCTTCTGGTAATCTTGTACTTAAGCCGGGTGGAGGGAGATCTCCCGCCGAAAAAAACAGAAACTCGGGGGCCATAAATGCCGCTTTCCCATAGGCCATCGCCAGTACGATGTAGACTAGTCGCAAACTGATAACGTCGACGCCCACGGACCCAGAGGTAATCAGAGAGTAAGCACTAGATAAGCAGCTCCCGCAAGGACACCCGACTGTGGCTTTTTATGTTTTTCCCCAAGATGCATTGATTAATTCTTGTGGGTGGAGATTGGGGAAGGCCGGTACCACCTTTAAGATGAAATACAACCAAGACCCTATTTCCTGCAATGAGGAAAGGATGAATACGGGGGAGCATTTGTTTACGGAGTGGCTGTAGACACTAGCTCGAATATATCTCTTGAAGGTTGCATTCTAAGCCTTAGGGAGGCCTTGGCAATCACCTGCAGAATGAAGGGATTACTAATACGACATCTGCACCTGTGGGCACCTGCCGGTGCCTGGTGGGCACAGCCCCCAAGGATAGGAAGAGCCAATAGAAACTGCAGAAGTGTATCCAACAATTGTACAATGACAATAAGAAACTCTTAGGCTAACGGCAATAGGCTCTACAAAGTGCAGGAGGAGCCGTGCGCATATTCATCCATTTCGAGTAAAAGATTGGGAGGCAAATGTATGACCACGTTGTTACATACATTGCACCATCACCCCAGACTTTCTGCAGGGATTCAGTTCGGCTACAACCCCACAACCGGAGAACCTTTTGAAAGTCCTATAGGTTGATTATAGGATCCCTGCCTATTCGGAATGCCCCAATTAAGCAACATCCGAGGCGATTTGGTATGAATGCACTGGGTGCCATCGCTTTATTCACAGGAGGAGTGAAGAGTGAATTAATATCCCAGAGCATAATTGGTCACACCATCAACTATGGCGTCTTCGGCAAAACTCATTCACGTACCCCTCAGCCCACTCGACCACATCCCGCCTCAGAATTATGTGAAGATCGGCCTGTATCTGCCCCTCCGACCAAGTGTCCGTGCCGAGGATGCGTTTCACAATCTGCAAGATGGGTTGCACCGCAGCTTTATGCAGATTCCGTGGCTAGGCGGCAAAGTCTACTGGCAGCATCAGGATGCTCCCGGCTGGCGGCCTAGCCAGTTAGAGATCCGATACAACCCCATATCCCCAGATAGCCCGCGACCCTATCAACTCAAGCTTCACGTACTAGATGCTTCATACGAGGATCTGCAAGATCGGGGGTTTCCGACAGATGAATTCTCCGATGAAGATCTGCTCTGGGCTCCCTTCTTCGCTGACATCAACGCCGGCGCAGAGGTTTTCGTTGCGCAGGCCAACTTCATGGAAGATGGATGTCTACTCACCATGTCAACATGTCACCCATCTGCCGACGGCACCGCCATGATAACCATCCTGAAACTATGGGCGCAACACTGCCGTCGTCTTCAGGGAGAGACAGACGACGAACCGTTATTCGACATCACCCCGGAGAGCTCCGATCGCAACATTTTAGATCGACTGTGGAAACAGGAACAAAGCTCCCATTCGACGGAAGAAATGGACCCCGCAGCATGGCATATGGTGGGTCTGGACCATCCTAATGATGCCAAATCTATTTCGACTTCCTCCCCACCGCCCCCGGTGCCATCACCCGAGACCCCATCACGCGTCATGCGCTCAGCCGTCTTTTACATACCCGCGGAGCGCTTCACAGCCCTGCGCGCGCAATGCACCAAGGACAATGGCGGGGCGAGCGATCTCTCGAGCAACGATATTGTGACAGCTCTAATCTGGCGCAGCCTGATGACGGCGCGGCAAGCCGCGCGATCGAGCGAGGATATCACGAGCACGCTCGCAGAGCTCGAAATGACCGTCGACGGCCGTCCTGATTTCTCTCACTTCCTGCCCGAAACGTACCTGGGCAATGTGGTACTGATCAACCGGCCGACCTTACCGCTTGAGAAATTAATCGACCCATCCACGCCGCTAGGGACCGTAGCACAAACAATTCGAGACACTGCGCGCGTAATCCACCATGAGAATATGATGGACGCCTACTCCCTCCTTCGAGGGGTATCGGACTTCAGCGAGCGCAAGCTGCGGTTCACGACGGTTGAGGGCTCGTCGATGCTGATCACGTCGTTACTGGCGTTTCCTATCGAGGAGATCTGTTTTGGGGACCAATTCTTCGGACGTGGGGGTCGGCCCGAGGCCTTCAGGCCATTGATGAGTTCTTTTAATCATCTCTTCCGGATTAGTTTTATTTTGCCGAGGGCGAGAAATGGTGGGGTAGAGTTTGTAGTTAGCCTGTTTGACGAGGAGATGGGGGCATTGGAGGGAAATGAGGAGTTCTCAGAGTATGCGGTGCTGTTGTCGGATTGATTATTTTTTAACAGTGGCTTCAGATGAATGGTTACATCAAGGTATAAACTCGCCTAGTATGCCCTCTGGAATGTGCAGAACGTAGTCTGACACATGAGCCGATCTTCTCTATCTAATCAATCTTCTCGATCTAATCAATCTTCTATGGAGTAAACTAGTGTATGCTAGCAGAAAAGAATAGTATACCAACAATATCCTCCTCTATTGGTAAATGGAAATGCAAACTCAAGTCAAAAGCAATTCCATTGTCCATTCTACGCCCCCTTATCGGGCCAACTAGTCCGCCTGACAGCCCTCACATAAGAATTAATCGGCCTGACAACCAAAAATTCGGGATCATACATCATAGGTTCTTTTGAAACATCACAAATCTCATATCTCAGCACCAACAAAGCTAACACCAGCCTTGCCTCCACGTGGGCAATATTAAACCCGACGCATCCGCGTGGTCCCGCTGCAAAAGGTGTATATGCCAAGCGATGTTTCTTCACATCCGCCGCTAGCCAGCGGTCCGGATCAAAACGATCTGGATTATCCCAGTAGTCCTGGTGTCGGTGGATAGAAGGGAAAGTAGGGATAACGACTGAGTCAGCCGGGATCAGCCATCCGCCGGGGACTATGACGTCCTTTTTAGTATTGCGGGCTGTTTGAAAGGCGGGCCCGTGGAGGCGGAGACTTTCTTTGACGAAGCGGTCAAGGAACGGGAGGTTCATTAAGTTGTCGTAGGTCCATTTTGTGTCTTGGGTTACGTCGTGGTCGATAAGTTCCTGTAGGATTCTTTCTTGTATGCCGGGGTATTTGGTGAGGGCATAAAGAAGGAGGGAGAGCATGGAGGAGGAAGTGGTGAGTCCGGCGCCTAGGAGGCTGACGATGTTGGAGAGGAGGTATTTGTGGGGTAGCTTTTGGCCGGCATCGTCGATGGCGCGCTTGAGATAATCCGCTATACACGTGGACTCTAGTGCTGCTTGTGCAATGGGTAAATCTGGGGCATCAGGTAAGGGCCATGCGGCAGCGGCTTGGTCGATGAGTGCCCACAGACGCTCTTGAACAATGGATAGCCGGCGTGAGGAACTGAAAGGCAGGTACTTAAACCATGGAGGACTGAGAGAGGTCTGCTTCATCAGAGCTAGATACTCGCCCATTAGTCGGATTATCTCGTGCGGGTGTGTGTCGACAGTGTCAAAGTGGCCGACATCCTGACCTAGGATAACCTTGCAGACAATTTGGCCCCCTAGTTTGAACATGTACTGGTAGGTATGCCACGCTTGTTTGCGGTCATCCAGTTCATCAAAAACGGCAAAGGAGGCCTCAGCGGCACGTTGTAGCGTCGGGACGTAGTGCTTAGCCGCTTTAGTGGACATACTGGGAGGCACAAATCGGTGGGCCATTTTGAAGGCAGGAGCAGCAGTGTCGCAGGTGAAGAGTGCCGTGTTGTCGTTCATCCAAAAAAGCGGATGGTTGGAGTTAGACGTCTTCTTGGTGAAGAATTCATTTTCGCCTAGGACTATTTCTGAGACTCTCGGGTCATTGGTGAAGTAGACGGTCGTACCCATGTTGACCGTCTTGATCACGCTCCCATACCGCCGAAAGAGTCGATCATGGTTGCCGATGTGGTCAGGATGAATCTCGAAATAGCTTCCAACAAGGGGAATTTCAGGCGGGCTAAGAGGCTCCCGAATAAGGTGGCTATCGACGCGAACCCCTATTTTGGTCGTCGTCTGGCGGATCTCGTCGATGGTAGAGAGAAGGCCTGATTCGCCATGGAATGAAAGAGCTGTAGTTCAATATCTCAGCCTACTGTCTGTGGCTTCCTTGAATACCAGTATACTCTTACATTTGGAGTCTGCGATTGAGAACAATTTGGCAATACCATATCGCAACTCATCTAGAGTCTCCACCCCTGATACATCTACCGAGGACGGTATTTCCTCTGGCGAACGGCCCCCCAGGTAAATCGATTTGGCGGACATCGTGCATTCCAGTGCTAGGGATCAACTACAATCTGAAACAAGCACCAGATAATAATAGTCTGACGTGATAGTCGTATAAACTGCCCGGTTCTTTGATACGCAGTCTTCGGAGCCTTCCGCATTAGGGCACCGAGTATGGATCGGAACATGCCTGAATAATCCATAATCTATCCCACGCACCCATTGTATATCGACTTCTCTAGCCATCATTCTATGACAAAGCCCTAGCTTTGGAAAGCAGAATGACAGTGAATAACTTTAGCCTGGAGCAGATAGCCCAGCACAATACCCTAGAGGATGCGTGGGTCATCATCCACGGGAAGGGTCAGTCCATCATTCACTATTAGTTGTATGAGAGCTAACCGACTTACAAGTCTACGATGTCACGACCTATCTTGATGACCATCCTGGGGGTCGGAATGTTCTGACTGAGGTCGCTGGGACAGATGCAACGGATGACTTTGATTACGTGGATCATTCGGATGACGCCCTACGGAAAATGGAAACCTTTCAAGTCGGAATCCTCTCAGGCTGGACGAAGGTGAGCTTTTCTATTTTTTTTTTCAAGATTGGTACCTTTGAATTTCATGCTGAAGGTCTCGGCGGTAGACACCGAAACCCACCTTTGCCGAATCGCTGCCGGTCAGCGCGAAACCAACAGCGTCGAAGCCAACACGACGCGGTCCCATATTCACCTGGGCACTGGTATCCGTGTGTGGCTTGATACTACTAGGATATGAATGGCAATCTACTGCAGCGGGAATTTTGAATAACAACTATGGGTTTTGGTCCGGTGTTGCCGTGGCGTTGGTAGCCACGATGACCATTGGGGGAGCTGTGGTCCTTTCAGCAACAAAAAGGTTTTTTGACCATGGAAAAGGGGTATTTCAGTATAAACCGTACTATGACCAACCTTCTCTGCCATAGATATAATGCATATAACAAATGTTGATGACAATGTATCCAAAATTTAATCTGATTAATGAAATCATGTAATAAAATACGGACAGGGATTACATACATACATACACCTTGCCAAAAATAGTCACCTCCGACACATCGAAATGTTCCTGAGAAGTACATAAGACCCAGATTCCCGTTACTTCGACTGGAGGCCTTTTACCAAAGGGAAAAATCACTATGGCAAGCACCGGTTCTCATACATACTTCCTCGGCCTCGCCGCATATGGCTTCGATGCCTTGTGGGGCTCCATGATGCGCAATGGCGCCGTGCAAGCTATTGGAGCCATCAAATCAACGGGAATTCTTCCCAGCGGCGACAGTCTGGTTACCAATATGACGGGAGTTCCGTCGTTGGATGGGTTTCTTTTGTCTCCGGTAATCTTCTACGATACCCTGATGTATGAGAGGCATCCAGTGCATCGATCCCTACTGGTTTCTCTGTTCACCAGCATGCAAGCGACTGCCATAGGGATGTTGATTAATGGAATCAACATCGATAAAAATGTAAATATTTGGTCTTTGGTGTACGTATAGCTCAACTTGAAGCTCGGATTACCATTTCATTAAGTAATAGAACTAACTATACGGACTTTAGAGAGCACACAGCCTGGGGAATCTTCAATCAAGCCTATGGCGCTGCATTTGTTTACCCCTTGTATTGCCTTGCCACCGTTTACAAAGCCGTCCAGTCACCAACTGAAGGGGTAAACGAGAAGAAAGAGTCTGGAGAAAAACATTTGCCAGATATCGCCGACCGCGAAGCAATAGTATACACCAGCATTGCCATCGCCGCCGCACCCCTATGGCTTCTTTATCCAGCGTTTTTTCAGTGCAGTAGCATAACTCGCCAGCTCTTGATAGCCAGTTACCGTGTCTCTCCCGCTTTACTGGCTTCGCTACATCCTATTTTGGCCTTCATCCTACGTCGGCTATGGCCTGAGAAAACAGTTACAGCGGATAAGGCTCATTCTCAAAAATTGGTACAAGCTTCATTGCTAGTCGGGGCTACTACAGCGGCTCTGGGCCATCTATATGCTATACTGACAGGAATACTGTCCCATCGCGCATCCTTCGCTCAGGTATTCTTCCCGTGGGCAGCTGGGACTGGGCTAAAATGGAGCGCCCAGCAATTCCTACAAAAGGATATCTTTGTCATAATTGCCACTCTGGCCCCTTATTCAGCTCTCCTGCTACGTCCTAATAGTGGGAATGTTCCCACGGAGAAAGAATCGGCCCGCAAGAGGTGGACGGAGCGGATCTCCAACATGAACTTCATGCCGCGAGTGGTGGTTTTGACTGGGCTTGCATTCATTTTTTCTCCTGGGTTTGTATATAATTTGTCGATGGCGTAGTAGCAGAGTCTGTGAAATATCCTGAGCCTCCAAATAAATAGTTGTTGTGATATATATAGTCAACGGATGGGACTGAGAGGATCTAAATGCACGGAAATATTTGATGGAAATTTTCATTCCATAGACGTAAAGGCGAATTTAAATATATAATCGAAAGCAAAGATCGTTCAACTCATCTAAATCTTAAATCCAGCCCGATGCAGCGCCGTCCGATCCCTTCCTCGCTCGGCAGCCCACTCGATTGACACCGCTAGATCTTTTATCTCATTCACCTTCAAAGGCAGACTATGTCCACCCTGATGGCGGTGGGCGCGTAGCATTGACTCATCGCATAGTCCCTGAACGATTCGAGATTGATGCACCATCGATGTGTTATCTTTCCTTCCCGTCACATGTACTGTGGGAATGCTAATGCGGTCTTTAACCAGCATGGGATGAAAAAGCCGCGGGACAGAATCTACGTCGAGAGTCTTGAAAAAGTCCAACTCAATGGTCGGCTTTTTGATCCCGATCGCCTTGATCGCCAGATGAACGAGGGCGAGGTACTCGGCGAAGACGCGTTCGGTTGGTCCAACCAACTCGAAGTCGCATCGCGGAAAATCGGTTCTGAATGCGAACGGCGAGTGTTCCACCAGATTCCGAATCAAGCTCTCGAGGCAGCTAGGGTCGGCGGCGCATGCTCCCACAGAGGAAATTAGGACTGCGAAGCTAAACGCCGCGGGAAGATTGGGCTCTCGCGTCTGGCGGTCGATGATATACGCAGCGGCGATCGATGCCCCTTGACTAAAACCTAGAACTCCATCAAAGGGTCCATTTTCCTCGATAAAGTCATCTAAGTCCTCGAGGGCTTCTTGCATCTCGGCGGGTGAATAACCCGTCACATATGAGTAAAATGGACCAGAGAACCATTCGGGCATGCCTTGATTTACGTTAGCTTGTTGTTGAGGGGTATGAAACTGGAGCCTCAATAGTACATACCCGGTCCACGATTGCAGGATACTGCACCGTCGAAGAATGTGAATTGGTAGGTTTGTCCCAGTTGGCCGGCCAGCGGACTCAACTGTTCCTTGAGCATAGCTCCCGAAGAGCCCACCCCGTGTAGTGCAAGAATTCTCATTGGGAACGATTGTATACAGGCTAGTATGGGGAAGAGACTATCAAAAGCATAGAGTGTTATAATAACAGTGTGGGAAGGGAAGTGTGGGAAAACCTCAACCACAAAAGCGTATAATCAACCAGCACAGCCCCAACTGGTACCTAACATTGCCAGCGATAAGCGGAACATCAACTGGCTTATGCCGAAAATGGCGATATCTGTTACTTTCCAGAGCTAAATCTAGATAGTATGAGATTACCAGCACCAATCGGAACGTGCTGCAGGGGTATTGCTCAAACCTGGCCGATCGGATATTTCTAAATTGGGTAGCATCCGAACTAGCCCTAAGTCAGCCATCTACCTCGGTATAGGCTTATGTCGGTACAGTCATGATGGCTACATGCTAGCCAGTTATGAGGGTTACAAGAGCTCCGTATGACAGTCCAATATAGATTCCTGGTTAAGTAAAGTTATTCAGGAGTACCATTTCTTTTGCCGGGCAGCAATACTAAAGCATACATTTACCACGTGGAGCCTCACAACAGCCCCCCTGTCGCCAATAGAGCTTACATAACGACAAGTTGCATGCAAAGAATAGACATTCAGAATCATGATCTTGACGCCTATCTCATCGGAGAATGGCGGAGGTGATGATCCCATTGTCGTGGTGGGTACGGCGTGTCGTCTCCCTGGGGAGGCGACCTCCCTCCAAGCATTATGGGATATGATGAGCAATGAACGAACGGGTCATGTACCTGTTCCAGCTGAGCGATGGGATGCAGATGCCTGGTACCATCCAGATCCAGATCGAAAGGGCGCGGTATGTCTGCTACTAGCGTTTTTATACCACAATTTCATTGCGCACAAACTTATTGAGCTACCCGCATAGATCACATCAAAAGCCGGATTCTTTCTAAAAGAGGATATTGCAGCATTTGATGCACCATTCTTTTCTGTCACATCTAAAGAGGCAGAGGGAATGGACCCGGCTAAGCGACTTCTTTTAGAGGTATCATATGAGGCTTTAGAAAACGGTACGTGGATTTTATGAGAAGTATACCAAGACTTAAACTCGATTCCCTTCATACTAACTACCTACCATAGCTGGGATGCCGATGGAGAGGGTGGCTGGTTCGAGAACTGGCGTCTATGTTGGATGTATGACGAGTGACTACGAAGATATGTCCACTCATGACATTTATGACCTGGCACATAATGCCGCAGCTGGTGTTAGTGAGGCCATGACTGCCAACCGCGTCTCGTGGTTCTTCGACTTCCGCGGGCCTAGTCTTACTGTTGATACGGCATGTTCATCGAGTCTGTACGCACTGCACCTAGCGTGCCAGTCGTTGCAACTCGGTGAAACAGATATGGTATGCCGTCATCCCCAGAAACCTTCGTTTTGATCTAATTGGTTTTACAGAATCTGGTCGCAGGCGTAAACGTCATTTTATACCCCAATGCGATGAGCCAGCTAACGGCTATGCACATGCTTAGCCCCGAAGGACTCTCTCATTCATTTGACCACCGAGCTAATGGGTATGGTCGCGGCGAGGGAACAGGAGTCATAGTTCTCAAACGTCTTTCTGATGCGCTTCGAGATGGGGATGTAATTCGTGCCGTTATCCGGGCCTCGGCTACCAACGTTGACGGGCGAACACCGAGTGTCACGATGCCTAGCTCAGAAGCCCAAGAAGATTTGATTCGCACGACTTATAAGCGAGCCGGGCTTCCGATCAGCGAGACATCCTATGTTGAGCTTCATGGTACCGGTACGCCGGTAGGAGTATGTATCTCAGCCCAATCCGAAGGAACTAATTCCAATATGAAATGCTAATGTATGCAGGACCCCATCGAACTGTCTGCCATTGCAGCGACATTCGGCGCTTCTCGGAGTCAGCCCGTCTATGTGGGAAGTATCAAGCCAAATGTCGGCCACACTGAAGGCTGTGCAGGCATTGCTGGTGTGCTGCGTGCCATCGCCTCCTTGGAAAAGGGGGAAATCCTCCCCACCGCTGAGATTGAAAAAGTCAATCCACGGCTTACATTTGATGACTGGAATTTGGCCTTGCCCTCAAAAGTTTTGCCATGGCCTGCGGTAGGAACTCGTCGCGTTAGTGTCAATAGCTTTGGCTTCGGAGGAGCCAATGCACATGTTATCATGGACGATGCATACCATTACTTGAAAGAACACGACCTCACCGGATTTCATTCGACTACACTTCCAAAAACAGATGAACTGGAAGAGGCAAATGGCCAAGCTAGTGAAACAGCGGCCAAGAAGCTCCTGGTCGTCAGCTCTCGAGACCAACAGGGACTGCAGCGAATCGCAAAACAGTATGGAAGCCTGAATAAATATCAGCCATCTGTCGCAATTTCTGACCTAGCTCATACCTTCTCTAATAAACGCTCGTTCTTCGATTACCGATCTTTTGTCGCTGCGGACACATTACAAGAACTTTCTCTGCGACTGGAGCGGCCACTGCCGATATTTCGGCGCCCTACCAAGTTAAATGGTATTGTGTTTGTCTTCACGGGTCAGGGTGCCCAGTGGGCTGGCATGGGTAAAGAACTCATTGACTTCCCTGTCTTCGCCGAAAGTATTACCAAGAGCGGAGCTTATTTGACCTCCCTGGGCTGTTTATTTGATCTGCGGCAGGAACTACAAAACACATATGATAGCAAGATCGATTCTCCGGAATACAGCCAGCCTATTTGTTCAGCTGTTCAAATTGCCTTGGTAGACCTACTGCGAGACTGGTCTATTACACCTCGCGCGGTGATCGGGCATTCTAGTGGAGAGATTGGTAAGTCCGGACTTGCTCTTCTCGTCGACAATCTGCTAACAGAGACCTGCAGCGGCTTCATATGCGGCTGGAATCACTACTCACGAAGATGCAATTAAGGTCGCATATTTCCGTGGGATTTACTCCCTTCGCGTTGCAGAGAGCTCCCGACGAGGTGGCATGCTGGCTGCAGGAATCTCCGCCGAAGAGGCCCAAGAGTACCTGAAGGCAGTGCCAAAGGGAAGCGTGGTGACAGCATGTGTTAACAGTCCAAACAGTGTTACCCTCTCAGGGGACGTCGACCGAGTCACTGATCTGGAGAAGCTCATCTCCAATGAAGGGAAATTCGCCCGCAAGCTTCGCGTATCGACTGCCTACCACTCGCCCCATATGCAGAGTGTTGCGAGCGAATGTTTGGCTGCCATGGATAGATCAGGCTTTTCCAAGCCCCAGAAGTCTTCTGTATTGATGTTCTCATCGGTGACGGGAGCCCTCGTGGACCCTCAAACAGTGGATACCTCTTACTGGATTCGCAACATGTGCCAATCGGTCCTGTTCTCCCCGGCTCTAGATGCACTTCTCACATACTCGCCCAATCGACGAAGCACTCGTCGCTTGCCGTACAAGTGGAATTCTGTCCTGGAGATCGGCCCACATTCTGCGCTCAAAGCGCCCATCGTTCAGACCATGGAAGGAGTCGAGAAGAACCTTCCTGCAGATCTTCCCTATATTTCCATGCTCACACGAAAGGAGCATGCAATTGACACTGCACTCAAGGCCGCTGGAGGACTGTGGGCACTTGGAAATCCCATCTTGCTAAACCGAGTAAACCGGGAGGAGGGCGATGCCAACACTCAGACCTTAGTAAATCTTCCTCCATACCCCTGGAATCATGAGAACCGTTATTGGCATGAAGCGAGCAACACACGATCCGAACGACTCAAGAAACAACCTCGGTCGGACCTTCTCGGCGTCCCTGTCCCTAATCAGAACCCCTTTGAGCCGCAATGGAAAAATTATCTGCGTCTGCGGGAGAATCCTTGGATTTCTGACCACGCCATCACCGGAACAACATTGTATCCCGGGGCTGGAATGTTGATTATGGTCCTGGAAGCGGCTCAGCAGATCGTATCTAAGGGAACAAAAATTGAAGGAATTGAATTTATCGACGTTCATTTTGAGCGTGGGCTAGTCGTCCCAAGCGAGGGCGCTGTGGAGACACGCCTCAGCATCAATCTGTCCGAGGGTAACGATGAGAGCCACGGCTTTGCCATCTTCTCGGTCACGGGAAATTCTAGCTGGACCAAGCATTGCTATGGCTACTTCAGTATCCAGAAGAGCAGTGATGGCGTTCAAAGCGAATCAGCTACGCTAGACTGGGAGCGACGGCTCGGTCAGCTTCATGCCGTCAAGAAGGACGCATCGCAGACGGTCAACATCGATAAACTCTATCAAGATCTCCACAAAGTGGGTATGGAATACGGTGATACCTTCCGCAACCTGACCTCTTTGGCGGCCACTCCAGATGCGAGCCAATGCTACGGGACTGTGGTATGTCTTCATTTCTGTCAATCTGATACAGAGCAATTATCTGACTGGCCTGATAGAAAATCCCCGATACCAAGTCTGTAATGCCATTTGAATTCGAGTACCCTCATATCATCCACCCCGCTACATTGGACGCGATCTTCCATTTGATGGTCCATGTTGTGTCAGATGGAGGAACGTGGACGGATGCAGCCGTACCCTATAGACTGCAAAGGTTGTTCATTGCGACTGATCAGCCCCAAAATGCTGGCACTCTATTCTCGGGATACGCCGGTCGTCATAACAAGACTGACAACGGCCTCCTGGGTGCAGATCTAGTTGTGTCAGATGAATCTTGGCAGACACCCAAGATCATCGTGGATGGATTATTGATGAAGAAGGTCACTGCTTCTGGGCCAAGCTCTAGTGAAGCTAGAGAAAACGAAATTGCTAAGAGATGCACTGTTTTGACGTGGGAGCTGGACCCCACTAGTTTCGTTCACTCTCCTGACTCCTCTTCTCTCTCCATTGAGAACATCAACACATTGCAGGACTGGCTACAGATTGAATGCCACAAAACACCGGGACTGACAGTATTGATTGATGGCAACGCGCTGGGGCCAATACTGACGGATGAGCTGCTTCCTTTCATCTCCGGGGCCTCCCAATACCGCACTATATCACAGCTCACCATCACAGGATCGAACGAAGAGACCTTGGATCCCTGGCGCAAGGCCATTGCAGATGTTGAGGCTGATTCCCAAGTCACATTCCACGTTAGTGGGAAAGAATCTGGCTATTCTCTCGATGATGCCAAATTCCATTTGATCATCACCGCGTCAAGTGGACACTCGGCGGAGTCATCCGCTGCACCTTGGGTCCCTGCTCTCCAGCAAGAAGGTCGTTTGCTTATATTGTCTCAAGGGAAGCCTGATTTGGGTGCAGAGAAACCTGTGACCAACGGCTTCTCGTATCCAAAGGTCCAGGCTCGAAGCATATCATTGAAGGCAGGAACCATAGACATCATCGCCGTGCCGCGAGAACCCTGTCTTAACCGGGGAGGAGTCTGCCTACTTCTTCCGAGAACGTACATCGATTCCCAGGCTGCTTCTCTGGAAATAGAGCTGGAAAGAAGTCTTCTTAATCGCGGGATCTCTGTCCGAAAGGCGTTCGCAGACATGGCCGACGATCTCACTGATCAGCATATCATTTCCCTTCTAGACCTCGGTCAGCCTGCTGGGTTTTTGTCTCACTGGACAAAGGACGAATTTGAATCTTTCAAGACTCTGTTGAACACTGTCAAACATTTATGTTGGCTTTCCCGTGCGGGGCAGATGCTGTCGCCCGGTGAGGCTGGGCTTGGCAGTGCTCCCACGACTGGGTTCCTTCGCGTCCTGCGAAATGAACTGCCACAGGTCACCATCACACATGTGGATCTGACAACGAGTTTTAACTCATCCAAGGCTGAGGCAATCCTGAACCTCTGGATTCCTCTTTCGCTAGATGAAGCCGACTCCGCTGATCTGGAGTATGCTGAGTGCAAAGGAGAATTCTATATTCCCCGTACGGTACCTGCGCCATCGTTCGATTCGGAGATTGCCTTAGCGACAGGAGCTGCCCCTGCCGAACCCACATTACTTGGGAGCGCAGGCCATCTCCAGCTGGTAAATGAGGAGGGTGCTGCTCTTGTATGGAAGCTTTTGCCCGGGTCAGAGACCAAAATCTCAGCAGAAGAGGTGGACATTAAGGTGACCAATGTTTCCACCACCGTCGGTCGTTCTTTCACTATCTCCTCGCCGCAGGCGCTCTGGACTCAGACGACTGGCATTGTTTCTGCGTGCGGCTCGAGTGTTTCCGAGTTATCCCCGGGTGATCATGTCGTTGTCCTGGGACCATCAAACTGCCAGAATAAGCTGCGGGTGCATTGGTCCAAGGCCCACAAAGTGCCCGTGGGAGTCGCCCTTGATGCGGCGGCAACGACCATTTGGCTCTATGCGCTAGCTCTATACATTCTCGAGCATGTCGTCCGTCTTCAGGTCGGTGAGAACATCCTCGTTTGCGATGGCTTGACCCCCCTCACTCAAGCCTTGCTCTCACTATCCAGCACAACCGGCGCAAATATCTTCACTACGGTGTCGAGCCAAGCTGACAAGAAGATCATTGAAAGCCTGGGTATTCCTGTCAATGTTATCGTGGATTTCAATTCAACTGGAGTATCATCTTACCTCCTCCATGAAACCGGCGGTCGAGGAATCGATGCACTCATTGCTCCGGCACACATTGTCACCAAGGACCCATCAGCCTTTATGGCAGACTTCGGGCGAATTGCGACGATTATCGGAACAGGAGATGATCATGGCCTGCCGCGCAGTCTGGGAAGAAGGAACCTGACCTACTCGTTGGTGCAGCCAGCGCAGATCCTGGAAGAGCACCCGGAAACCGTTACGCGATTGTTGAGAAAACGCGCCAGTCTGTTGAATGCTGTTTTACCCGCCTCCAAGTTCACACCTGCCCTACAGGTATTCTCTGTATCTCAGCTCCCTGAAGCAGCAGAGCGATGTGGCAGCTCAAAGGAGGATGGTATCGTGTCTGTTGCGTTTGCTGATGATGCGTTGGTTCCCGTATTACCCCCTAAGCCACAGACACTAGAGCTCCCTGCAGATGGCACATATGTTCTAGCGGGAGGGTTAGGCTCGCTGGGCCTTCGAATCGCCAAGTTGATGGCCCAGCATGGAGCTCGCCATATCGTTCTTCTATCTCGCTCTGGAAAAAATCCCAAGTGGGATGGGGAGATTGCGGTTGTGGAATCGATTGGAGCGTCGGTGGAGGTGCTCAAGTGTGACGTTACCAAGGCGGATGAGGTAGAAGACGCAATGAACTCGTTATACCTGGTCGGCAGAAGGATCCGTGGCGTTGTGCAGTGTGCCATGGTCTTGCAGGTAAGTACTTCGATTTTTCCCGAGCCCGAAGAATAGGGACTTTCAACTTACCGTGGTCCAAAATTCAGGACAGTATATTCAGCACAATGACCCACGACCAGTGGCAGAAGGCATTCACCCCAAAGGTAGCAGGGACATGGCATCTTCACAATTCACTCACCACCACGATTGACTTCTTCATTCTCCTCTCATCGGTCGTATCGGTCATTGGCAACGTCTCACAAGCCAACTATGCTGCCGGAAACGCCTGGATGGACGCATTTGCCCACTACCGTCGCAGTCTAGGCAAAGCCGCCGTATCTTTGAACGTAGGTTTAGTGCGGGACTCGGACCACACGATTGACGGAACAAACATGGACTCGTACCTCGATCGCTTTGGTCACATGGCCAGTGTCAGCACGACACTGGATGAGCTAGATATTGGACTCTTGGCCTGTATGCGCGGTCATACGGCGGATGGTTCCCCCATCCCGCCTCAGGTGGTGTACGGCATGACAGATGTGCTGCGTCGCGAGGGACCGGTCGTGGACCAGTGGACTCGCGACCGTAAATTCGATCATCGCGTTTCCAGGCTCAATAGTTCCGCAGGGGCAGCCACGGGCGATGGCGCGTCCGGGGCTGAGGTGAAGGCAGCCCTGGGCAATGCAAAATCCGGACCAGAGGCAGGGCAAGTGGTGATAGATGCATTCAAGAGGCTCCTGGCTCCTGGGTTGGGAGTCCAGCCGGCTGCTATTGGTGATGATCAACCGATGTTTGAGCTAGGAGGTGAGTTCCATCCCAGCGTATGATCGATCCACTAGCGACGAGAAACCTAACCCATTTCGCACCCTTAGTTGATTCGTTTAAAGCGGTGGAAATCCGCAATCACGTCTTCCGGGAATTGAAGAGCGAGATATCGGTCTTTGAGATTCTCAGCTCCAAACCGTTGGAGGAGTTGTCCATCCTCATCGCCATGAGGAGTCAGCTGGTGACGGCCGAGGCAAAAGCAGCATAGGCCTTTTTAGTTGCCTGTTTTGCAGCCAATTTCAGGTCCAATAACAAAGTAAATTGTGTCAAAGAAGCCGTTTATGGCCAATCATTGATTGGGTGTTCATTTGTCTGGTTCGTAGAGTGGGTCTTGGGGACTTGTAGTCGCAATGTCATTTAATTGGCACAACCCCATTCTGACTTTGGTGTTGTATTGTTGACAGGCCCCTGCGCCTGTGCTAGAGCCGCAACAGCAAGGAAACATTGCCTCAATGGCACACCTGGTGTAGCCAGGAGATCGCCCAGGTCCGTCTTGAATTTCACTTCGCTGTTCACCAAGTCCACCCTGTGGGATCCTTGACCCAGTCCGTCTTCGGAGATGGCTTGGCCAAATGAAACAGAACGTAGGACTTGTCATGCCACTCTTCGTTTGTATCAGTACGGCCCGCGCCTCTAAAACCTGAGAAATGCCTAATTGTTGTCAGCTTATAGTGCTCGCTACTCAACAACGGATAGAGCGTACATATCCCCGGTGGCCTTGTCATAGATGATCTTCGACATGGTTGACATAAGCGGTAGGTAACCATACTTCTTCAGCGTTCTGGTTTTCATATCAATTAAGAGCACGCTAGGTGGAGAGTTCTGTAAACTTACGGGAAGGCTTCACGAAATTTAATGCGGATCGCTTGGCGTGACTCAAGATCTAGCTCCCAGAATTCCTCTGCGTTTAGAGGCTCCCCAGGGACTTTGTCCCAGACCACATAAGTGATATAACCTCCCGGAACGATACTGTCTTCGCCTTGCTCTCCCTCTTGGTAAGCAAGAAGGAGGCACAACGTCGCATCCCAATTTCTTGAGCTCTTTCAAGGCCGTCAACTCAACGTGTGACTGTGGCTTAGCAGCCTGCTTTCGTCGAATCTGAAGGGTTTGATATTGAGTTCCAACGACAGGAATTTGAAGATAAATCCGCATAAAAGCCTTCTTGCTAGGGTCTTCCTTGCGATGGCATAAAAACTTAGCGGCCGCGAACGGATGTCCAAGGCCATCAGTAACGTCCTCCTGCGTCATCCACTGAGGTCGTTCAGAGAGCTTCTTGTCGATCACCCAGGTTTGGCGGGGCAGGTGGAAAGGCGGCTCGGACGGTGGATCGAGAGTGACGTCCGTGCCTTCGAGGCCGCACAAGAACTCTGCAGTTTCGGGATTGTCCATGCTGGCTTGATGAGTTTTGAGTTTTGCGATGGATGAATACGTATTATTGGCGAATAAATGCCTAGTAAAGCTGTCGTTTGGATGGGAGTGAAGATGGTGAGAGTTGTTGATGGGAAAAGTGATTGCAAAACAGAAATGCAAAGCTTATTCGTCTTCCCGCCCTAGCCCCAACCTTGGAAAGGTGCGCTAATTATATAATAGCCTGTAGAGTATGACAATAGTATGACAGTACTATTGGATCTTTCTATTATATGAATATACGAATTGGTTGAAGATGACTATGATAATTATTATTTCTATATTTCCATTCTTTTGATTTCTCGATCTCAATATACATACAGCTCTCCATGCCGAGTGAAGCTGCGCCTTTGATTCATTGCAAGATAGCTCTCCCTGTGCGCAAGGAGAGCAAAAACACCACCTCAAAAAGCGGAAGGTCTGGGACGACTTCAAAAAAAACCATTGAATGTTAAGTTGAAATCTTAAACGTGACAAGGACGCCCTTGTGATCGGTGGGCCACTCGTTATCGAAGTGGTCCGGCTCGGGCTTAGGGTCGCCAACCATGTAAGTCTCAGACTTCTCGGGAGTCAGGTTTCCCTTATAGTAGACAAAGTCGAGGCGGTCCATAGGCTCCTTACGGCCATTGTAATCATCGTTGTTAAGATAGATGGGAGACCAAGTGTTGGCGGGGTCAGCGGCAGGATCTGGATGGAGCTCGCGGTAGGCGTCGGTCAAGCCGGCGTCAATAGGCACCTTGGAGGTGGGCCAGTCAAACTGCCCAATGCCGCAGTGAGAGGAATTTGTCGCATCGGTCCAGTCGAGGTGAGAGGGCGCATTGAAGTCGCCGGTAAGAAGCACGGGGACTTTGTCAGCGTTGTCGAGGGCGTCCGCCATAGCGCCGATAATGGCTTCAATCTGACGGATGCGGCTGGCCCTCTTCTCAGTGTCCATTATGGCGTCGGCGTCTTTTCCGTCGAAACAAGGATCATAAGGCCCATAGGGGTAGGCGTAAGGGTGGCAGTTGTGGATGATGACCTGATTATTGTCACCGTCGAGAGCAACTCGCACAGCAACACTGGTTTCGGTGACTGCGCCGTACTTTTCAGATATGGGATACCGGCTGATGATGCTGGAATCCCCGCCCTGCCACGATTGCCAACCAAGCGCGTCTGCAATCTGAGTTGCGTGGCCATGGGTGCTTTCTTGGAGACCGACGATGTCAGCACCAGAGTTGGCAATGGCTGAAATTTGCTTGCGGTTGTAGTCGTCGACCTTAGTGCCTCCGTACCAAAGATTCAGGGACAGAACTTTAAGCTCAGTGACAAGGGGTTTGCCAGAGGCAACTACTGGAACAGTGACGTCGACTGTGGCAGTAGATCCGTCAGAAGTAGCAGCCCTAATGGTGATCTTGAAGCTACCACTGCCGCTAGGGGTTCCGGAGATGATACCATTCTCGGATACACTGGCCCAGTCGGCGTCAGAGCTTTCCTTGCTGTACTTGGTGTTGGGGTTCGGGGCGTGGTGTAAAAGGCCGCTCACACGAGCTTCAAACTTCTCTCCCTCACGGGCATTCTGAGTCGTGAATTCTCCAACATTAAACGAGATAGGTCCGTCACCGGAAATAAAAACGTCAATGGGACCAGCAAGCACCGTGTACCCACTATCAACCAGGAAGTAGGCTTTATAGGCGCCCCAGTTGAGGTGGGCGTCATCAACTCGTTTGGTTTCTTCCGACTCCCGCATCCAGTCCCAATATATGGGGTCCTCTTTGCCAGGACCCTCGCCATAAATACTGTAAATACCGATCCAGTTATTCTCCGAGGGTCGATCGGTTTTATAGTGAAAGGTGAAGAAGGGACCATCGACAAGTTCGAAGGAGCTGCCGCGCCTTGAGAGGGCAGCTGAGGCAACGAGGGAAACCCCGGATAGAGCTGTGAAGAGGATAGATTGAAAAAGCATGGTCTTTCGTTTTCTGTGCGTGATAGAGGGACAACGATGGTAAAACAGGTTGTCTAGAAAGATGGGGTCTCACCCCTCTTAAGCAAAACAAGTAAATCGCTCGATGTACCCTGCCTCTCAGCGTCTAGATTTATGACGATGCGCTCAATCTTGTTCGCTTGTACAGCGAAGATGGCCAGGTTGGTGGCGAAAGGATCAGCGCCTGGTGCAGCCTTGAAGGAATCAGGAACAATGCAGCAGTCTGATGTTGTAGTACAACGTATGGATAAGGCAGAATTGTAAATACGTGACTTCCAGCGAAAATTGAGTAAGATGAAGCAGTCAGAGATATTGGGATCCGCAAAGACCCCAAAATATTACTTGTACATATGCAGCTGATGTGGGATTTTCACCTGTCTCTACAAAGTACTTAGCCCGAGTAGCTGTGGAGCCCAATGCCCGGTCTGTGGACAACTAAGATTGTTTAAAGATGGCTCGAAATATTATATATCTAGTACTTTGGGGCCAAAACCATCGAATATAAATCACAGATATACCGGTCTATTGAAGAGAAACCCTTTCACTCATTGCCCTCCATTCGTCAAAGGCCTTCTAGATACAATCATCATTCCAGGCAGTTGTTAACTTACTGGGATTTCTTTATTTACATATACATCATCGACGCGATCGCCCGGGCAACGGGAAGTGATTATGCGCTAAGGTGGCCCTAGGACCCAGTACTTGGCATTTATTGGGCGCCACAACTATTAAATAATCCACCTACATATCCATGGATGTACAAAAGTACTTTCTCCAAATAAAACACTGTGTCAAGGTCACATTATACTCTAAATAAAGCAAAAATAAGGTAAAGTATAGTAAAATACCACAAAACTATATAAAATTCCCAATTTGTAGGTAAAAGTGGGGCAACCAGATGGCGGTCAGATCTTTCAACAAATCAGAACAGAGTAAATGTCATAAATGTCACTCTCCCTGATTACCGAGTTCACGAAGTCTGCAACGAATTTGTATATGAAAGGAATATACACAAGTTCATTTTGAATTATTGCCCGTCTTTGACATATCCTGCAAAGATCTCTCCATATGGACCCATCCAATTCCCAGGGCTCAAATCAAACCCCATATCCATACGACACAAACCACATCAGTGAACTGCTTAAGCGCAAGCGCCGCACCCGCGGCATCAAGTCATGTTTCCCTTGTCGTCATAGGAAAGTCCGCTGTGATGGTAATATGCCATGCTCTAGTTGTGTGCAGCGTCATCACCCAGAGCTATGCTGTTTGCCTCCTAGCTCAGGGCATCAGCCGCCTGCTTCCGATGGGAGGGCTAGCCCTTTATATATGAATAGGGATGGGGATGAAGAAATGCAAGGAACTAGCACTAACAGGTATGATTCAACACTTTTTACCCTACAATTTCCGGGCTCTTGTATTGCTTTGCGGTGTCTTCGGACGCCATGGAGATACGATAATATCTGATACCTTCAAGGGCTTAGAACAATCACTGACAACGGAACCAACAGTATTTCCGGCGAAGGTCAATCAGTATATTTAAATGAAAATAACAATCATGCCCCGGGCATTGATCTTATTCTCAACCGACTTGAGAAGATGGATAAGCAGATCTCTTCCCTCAAGGAAGAGCTTCGACAGACCCGCTCAAGTGCTGGGTCAGGCACAATTTCCCAAGCCAACTCAGCATATGCTGCATCACCATTTATGGGGAAAGGCTCTACACTTGCTAAATATCCCGGAAAGCACTTTGTCGAAGACGCCACCGGCGCTACCATCTTCCTGGGCAGCCATTCGGATCCACCAGTCGCTCTGGGATGCCGACAAGCTGGGAGTGACCCAATGCTTAACGATGCAATGCTCTTGGACCAACTTGTTCCGCGGACATATCCGTTTACGAACCTGTGGAAGCAAGAGCCTGGGGCTGGTGAGATCTGTGAGACTTTGCCTGACGAGTCGGATATTATCCGGTATGTATTACGGCTGACGAATGAACGGTTATCATTGGCTGCTCACATAATACTGGAATAATTGCTTGGATATTTGTACTGATTGAATGGTCTCAGATATTGGCAAGTCTATCAAACCAACGTACACCCCTTTTACCCAGCGCTGGTGACCTACGAGCAATTCAATACCTCGCTATTTGCGTTCCTAAACAGGCGCACAGTGATATTGCTGGAAAATGAGACCTCAAGATTAGATGACGTGGATTCCTCATGGCTTGCACTACTTTTTGCTGTGCTTGCCTGTGGAGTGCAGTTCTCGAATGATCCCATCAAGGAACGGGATCTACGCTGCAAAGTGTTCAGTAAGTCCAACGCGAACCCTCTTTCTTCCACATATGCATCTAATTGTTTCAGTCTGCTCATCTTTCCAATGCCTCCGGGCCTCAAATTTCTTCAACAACACGAACATGAACCAGATCCAGGCCAAGGCGTTGATCGGAAATTGCCTGCGCAACAATCTCGATACAAACAGTGCCTGGATTTTGATGGGTATGTGTCTCATCCAGTCAGAACCAGATGACAGGACTAACTAGTTACAGGATCAACGATACGTCTTGCGCAGAGTATCGGACTACACGAAGAAACAGCTTCAGACACGCAAAGTTCCACCGTGGAACAATTCCAGCGACAACGCCTATGGTACGTGCTCAACATTTACCAAACTCGACACAATAACTCCCATTAACTCAAACTCCAGGTGGATGCTGTTATGGCAAGATACTTTCCTCTCATTCACCTACGATCGCCCACCAAACATAAACAAGCTAAGCAGCAGCATCCCCCATGACCCAGACGCAGGCCCGGGACGGTCCTTCGCAGAATGCGTCTGCGCCATATGCCAAGTCCTCCTTGAACGCGCACGACAAGACAACACCGAAACTCCCGCCAAAACTATATCCTTCAAAAGCCGAATGGCAGCTATATTCGAGGATGCCGCCCCATTCCTTCGCGACAAAGTCCACTGTCGCAGCCTGCAAGATCACCTCGAGCGTCTAGCCCTGAATATCCACATCTGCTACACAATCTGTCGTCTCTGCCGGCTGATTCTAGACACTAAATCCGATGAGGCTTATAGTCCGGCTGTGGATGTCGATTCTATCAAGGTGGAATGTATTGACTGTGCTTCTCAGGCTGTTGGGGGTTTCTTGGATATGCACCGTCTTGCGGCGACGGTGTGTCGCTCATGGGCGTTTGTTCATAATGCTGTTAGTTGTGCGCTCACGCTTCAGAGCTTGGTAGATTCTGGTCCGCAGCGCTCGCGTGCTGATGTGCTGGTTAACCGGTTGATTGACGTTTTAGAGCGCGAGGAACAGCAGTCTGTGTGGGAGGATACGGATACTAATGTAAGATACTTTGGTCCGTATTCTCGAGCTTTGAAGGCCTTGCGGGAGACTAGTGATGGCCAGTGAACATATGGGATATCATATACGAGGTAGCATGAGCGGGGGCTTGATCCAAGACGGAAGAATGTGACGAATACGAGAGGAAATACGAGAAAGATTTCTAATTTCTCTTATAATAAAGGAGTCTCATCAGCTGCATTAAATAGGCTACATTTTGTTTATTTTGTTTACAAATCCCGCAATGTCTAAACTCCGCTACTATATAATCGACGTCTTCTCATCCATTGCCTACCAAGGCAACCCCCTCGCAGTGGTAGACACCACATCCACTACTCTCACCTCGACTCAGATGAAACTGCTAGCAAGACAATTCAACCTATCCGAAACCACCTTCATCTGTCCCCCAGCAGACCCCAAAGCTACCTGGCGCCTGCGATCATTTCTACCCAATGAAGTAGAGGTTTTTGGGGCTGGTCACAACTCACTCGGTGCCTGGTGGTGGATTGCAGATTCAGGGCTTTTGGGAGACATCGCACAAGATACAAAATCCAGTCAGATCTACTTCCAACAACTAGGCAATAATGTTCTACCGGTTGAGATGTCGCGATCAAATCTAGGAGATCTTGTTGTCTCCATGCGCCAGGGTCAACCGCAGTTCTTGAATCAGCATACCAACCATCAATCCCTTGCTACATCTCTTGGAATCGACGCCTGTGATATTGGACTAAGATATTCCGATGTTATACTCGACCGGGCAATGGTGGTTACCACTTCACCTGCTCGTCATCTCTTGGTTCCAGTTCGAAGCCTTGATGTCCTGAAAAGTGTCAGCTTTACCGATAAAGAGGGGATTTCGAAGGAGCTTGCTAGTACTGAAAGCTATAACAGTGGGATATATGTGTTCACATCTGCAGAGAATGATTCCGAATCAAAGATACCGAGATTTGAGGCCCGTTTTTTCAGTCCGGGGATGTCAATGGAAGACCCGGCTACGGGTTCGGCTGCTGGGCCTTTGGCTGCTTACTTGTGGGCGAACAATGTCCTGACTTCTGTGGAGAATGGAGTATCTCGGGTTGAAGTTGTGCAGGGTGTACAGACTGGCAGGAGATGTTTCATGAACTTGAGTATTGAACCGAATAATGAAGATTCGGTTAGCATCACGATTTCCGGAACTGGTGTGCTGGTTGCCGATGGAAATATTATGATTCCTAGTTCTGAGGTTTCGTTTTGAGAGAGCCTTCGTTACGCAGTCATAAGATATCAAATGTTCAAAGTGTAAATTCTTCTATACATAGCATTACCTGCCATGTAATAATCTAATGAACAATAACCAATCCGTATCAACGCCAAACCAACCTAAATAATAGTGCTCCAACACTCTAAATAGTAGCAGTTCTCTTTTTAGCGCGAACATAGAAGTTCAAGGGCCGAATCAACTGGAACTCAGGATCATACTCGACAGCTTCAAGACCCTCGCGGGTAAACTCATAGCGCGAGACAAGCTCCGACAACAAGATTTTAACCTCAAGCAGCGCAAAGTTGAATCCAATACAGCCACGGGGCCCCGTACCGAAAGGAATGTAAGCGCAGCGATGCTTGTTCTTAGTCTCTTCGGCAGTCCAGCGATCCGGATCGAAGCGGAAGGGATCGCGCCAGACTTCAGGGTTAGTGTGGATACTGTACAGGTTGGGGACAATAACGCTGTCAGGAGGCAGGCGGTATCCACCGGGCAGGACAACGTCGGTTTTCGTCGTGCGGCCGGGCTGGAAGGAGGCATTGTGCAGGCGCTGTGTCTCCTTGACGAAACAGTCGAGGAAGGTCAGGCTGTGGGCAAACTCTGGTGTCCATTCGACGGTCTTGTCGGTGTTGGCGACGCCGCGCTCACACAGTTCCTCGTAGAGACGGTCTTGGGTGCCTTCGTAGCTGACCAGACAGTAAAGCAGCCATGACATCAAGGCAGAGGTGGTTGTGAAGCCGGCGCCGGTGACGATGAGCATGTTTGCGACGATCAGGTCTTCGGGGAACTTTTGGCCGGATTCGTCGACGGTGTTGAGCAGGTAGTCGACCACGCAAGAGGCTTCGACTGCGGCTTGGTTCATGGGCATGCCGTCAATGCCGGAGCCCTTGACGAGGTCGATCTTCCCCTGGAGGAGGGAGTAGATTGTGCGCTGGACAAGCTTTAGACGGGCGGGATCGCCGAAGGGAAGGTGGCGGTACCATTCACCTCGGGAGGTGATCTTCTTATTAAGAGACAGTAGACTGGCGATGTTGGTGACGATCGGGTGCAAAGAGGCGTCGACATCGGTGAAGTGTTCGAAGTCGGTTCCCAGAGAGAACTTTCCAATAGTTTGCGATGCAAGCTTCACCATGTACTGGTATACATTCCAGGACTTGCCGCGGGCATCGAGTTCATCGAAGACTGCGAAAGACTTGCGCACACACTCCTGCATCAACGGGATGTAGTGGCGCACTGCCTTGGGACCCATCGCTGGTGGTAAGAATTTGTGAGCCAAGCGCCAGTTCTCAGTCTCGGTATCTCCGATGAAGATTGCTGTGTTGTCCTTGACACCCCACAGAGGGTGGTTCTCGTTGATCTTCTTGGTCATGTAGACCGACTCGGTCAGGGCAACGGCTGCAACTTCGGGGCTATCGGTCAGATATGTTGTCTTGCCCATGTTGGTAGTCTTGATAACATGGCCGTATTTGCGGAAGAGTCGGTAGTGGTTGCCCAGATGGTCGGGGAAAACCTCGTAGAAGCTGCCCACGAGTGGGAGACCCTCGGGTCCTTGGGGGCTCTGAACTGCCTGGCCATCGACACGAAGACCGATAGGTGTGGTTCGTGATGAGGATGCGCTAAGGATTTCATCTACTGAGAAGAGTTCTTGTTCGTTTTCTCCGAGGTGGAAGGTCAAGCCTGATCACGTTAGCATAAGGAATGTCCAATATATTGACTCGCAACCCATACCAAGTGGTGCAGCGACATGAAAGGTAGCTCCTACAGCACGCTTGACCTCTTCAATCTTCCATTTGGAATCGAGAGTTACAGGCTGTGCTGTTGATACTTCATCTCCGATCAAGTAGAACACAGGATCTAGTGCGACAGGCATGATGAGTTTTAGTTAATATTTTAGAAGACAATTCATTCGAACATTATCATCTTAAATATCTTCACTCTCTTATAGGTAATATCCGAATTATCCAGTGGAACCTTGGATCTTCATTAGAATAAGACGATCTGCGGTAAATCCGACCTTCGGGCGAAGTTCGTACGAGAATGTCCGATATAGGGGATTGACATATTTTATATTGACATTATACTGACATAAATTTATATAAATGGTTTGGGGGACTTCAAGTTAAGCCTGTTAATTATCTCACAAAATGTGCACCCTTGAACAAGTTCAAAAACATAACAAGCCAGACGACGCCTGGATTGTTCTTCACAATAAAGTCTACGATGTCACCAAATACCTCGAAGACCACCCTGGTGGCAGGGCCATCTTGATTGAGGTCGCTGGCACAGATGCTACTGAGGCATTTGAAGAGACTGGTCACTCTGACGAGGCTCGTGACGAGTTGGTGCAATATCATGTTGGCGACCTGCCATCAGAGGTATGTGCTTCAAACCCTATCAGACCAACATATAGAGAACTGAACTAACCTGACTTGATTTAGGAACACGCCGAATCAATCGAGATCTACCGTCCCACCTTTGAACAAGTTGCGCAGACAGCCGTTGTATCTGTCAAGCCCTCTCCAGGCCGCGTTCCCTCGTTGGCCCTCTCATTGCTCAAACTTGGCATGACTGGCGCTTTAGGAGGCGTGGCTTTCGCCGGCTACAGCAACGGATGGGAACAATTTGCCCCGGTCTTCAAGAAGCTGTCGGAGAGTGCCTCAACTGTTATGGCCAACCGCCCCAACCCCTCCGGCCAGTTCTGGTCCGGATTCGGAATCGCCAGTGTCGCCCAGCTGTCCATCACCTTTGGAGTGGCGATGTGGATTTCATCCAAGTTGGACGTCCAGCAAGAGTTCACCCATCACTTGCCCCATCGCACATCTCGCTCCGACAGACTCATCTTCCGCAAGAAGGCCCCATCAACTATCAAGAAGGCTCCCACCAAGACCCTCTCCACAACCCCCCTCGACCCGCGGCAGTTCAAGAGCTTCCCTCTCACCCACAAAGAAGTCGTCTCCCCCAACGTTTATCGATTCACCTTCGGCCTCCCCAATAGAGACGATGTCCTCGGTCTCCCCACAGGCCAGCACATTGCCCTGCGCGCCACCATCAACGGAAAGAGTGTCTCCCGTTCTTATACACCCGTCTCCAACAACACCGATCTGGGCCGCATCGAGCTCCTCGTCAAGGTATACTCCCAAGGCCAGATGACCAAGTACCTTGAGCAAATGAACATCGGCGACACTATCGAGATCCGCGGGCCCAAGGGCGCAATGCAGTATACCACCTCCTACGCGAACCACATCGGTATGATTGCTGGTGGTACCGGTATTACCCCCATATACCAGCTGATCCGGGTGATCTGTGACGACAAATCCGATACTACCAAGATGAGCTTGCTGTATGCGAATAACACCGAGGAGGACATTTTGCTGCGCAAGGAGCTGGATGAGTTTGCTCGCGAGAATCCGGACAAGTTCTCTGTGCAGTATGTGCTCTCACAGGCTGGTGAGGATTGGACTGGTCATCGTGGCTTTGTCTCGCAGGATCTGATCCAGACTTACTTGGCGCCGGCTGGTAAGGACAATAAGATGTTGCTGTGCGGCCCGCCGCCTATGATTAATGCGATGAAGAAGACTCTCGCTGGGCTAGGCTGGAAGGATCCAAGTGCTGTTTCCAAGGCTACTGATCAGATATTCCTTTTTTAAAGGCTTTATGATAGTATCCGGCGTTGGGTGGGATCTAAATTGCATGAAAGTTTTGAATTCGATATAGACATAGAGATACAATATCAGCAATTAGTTACATCTTCAGTCTCTAGCTCACTTCTTTTGTATACATTTGGTGGTTTTGGGTGGCTAGATATCTTTATTACGGCCTGGTAGCACGCATCTTCACATCCAACGTGAAGATGTTACCAAGTATATCAAGTTTGATGCCTCACTTTGATCTCTTAAAAATGACGACGCCGTCTTCTCAACCCTCCGATATAAATCACATTCTTCCTCCGCGCTTCTAGAGGGATTACCCAACTGGATCGACTGATACTAAGTCACTAATAGTCAATATTATTAAGTGAAGTACAGGCTACGAAGTCTGGCTAGGGCCCTGGAGTTCCACCCGCGACAACAAGCCGAACATAATGCACTCTCAACCAATGCTCCATATCCTCCGTACAATTGCCCGTCCGATCAGTCGTAATGTTTTCAATAATGCCTAGCATTGTCGGCGCGAAGATGAAATGCGCGCACGTCCCGATCAGTCCCGCCAAAAACAACTTCCGACTGCCTTTCGAAATGGTCACATCGCTCACATTCAGTAGGGTGAGGACTGCCGTCGCCGTAGAGATGGTAACCATGTTCAACCCAATAAGAAGATAGATGTTCTGATCGAAGACGCGCTGGAACCAGCGTGGAAGCAAGGCATTAGATTTGGCGCGGATCGGGGGGTGGGTGAAGGCGGAGTAGAAGAAGAGGCTTCGCAGCCCGCATACATGAGGGGCCCCGTGCTGGTGACCAGCGGGGTCAGGAGGAGGAGTTTACGATAGTCTGTGAATAGTCCGGAGGCCACTTTCGAAGCTCTTGCTTGAACTTGAAAGGAAAGCAGTGGGTTTGGAGTGGGAGAGGGGGGTGGTATCATTGTTTTCTCTGGGGCCACCCTTTCTCCTTTTGATAGTTTGGTTTTGCAAATAGTAGGTATAGAGTTATCAATTTTAACAGCTAGTTTACACCGGACTGAACGGCAATAGTTCCTGTGTCCAACAAAATAAAGAATCCGCAGCATCTTCAAGCTTGTTTAGAATCAACGTTTTGCAAGTTCCTCCGAACTGTTTCCGACCTGTTTCCGGGATGATTCCGTCGCGAATCCGAGCCGAAAAGCGTTTCTCCATCCGAATTCCCTCCGATGTAGGTAAATCCCGAATGAATCTACTTCTCGAGGCATTTTATTGGCCTTGACAACACTACAACACTACAGCCGTGATATCCGCGAGTCTTTCTTTTCTTGGGAACTCATACCTATGATGCCGGCTTCCGGTAGCGGAGCCCTAACTTGTCCAATGGCCTTGGGATGGTATATTGCGACCCAAGTGTATAGAAAGCCTCCTCATGATTACCATCGTAAATTCCGATCCTAGATTGAAAAAGAAATATATAAAAGAGCCTCTACTCAACTGTTGCCCTGGTTATTTTGTCCTATATAAAGTCCACGCTTTTCCCCCTCTCCACGTCATATCTACATACCTTTGATATACCAACACCCATCTACATTGCCACCTCCCTCCCCTCATACCCCTACCTACCTACCTCCAATATGGGTGTTAAGCCCAGAACCGACCGCCCCGTCGCAGTCATCGGCGCCGGCGTCCTCGGCCGCCGCATTGGTTGTGTCTTCATCGCTGCTGGCTACCATGTCCACATCCGGGATACCTCGCCGGCGGCTCTCCGCGATGCAGCAGAGTACATCGATCACCACAAAGCCGAGTTCTCGTTGATGCCACGCATTCACAAGGCACGCGACGAAGATGATGAGGGAAAAGAGGACGACCCCAAGGGTGGGGCCTCCATTTCCCAGGTTGAACTCGAGTCGTATACGTCCGCGCCCTATAGTATCTGCAAGACGTTCACCAATCTCGAATCCGCTGTTTCCAATGCTTGGTTGATTGTCGAGGCTGTGCCTGAAGTCCTGCAGTTGAAGATCGATACTTTGGCGGCTTTGGATAAGTGCGCTCCGGCGGATTGTTACATCGGCTCCAACAGCTCCTCTATGAAAACAAACTTGATGCTTGTCAAGGTCTCCGCCAAGCGCCAACGCAAAGTCTTCAATATTCACTTCGCTATGCCTCCTTCTATCCGCATGGTCGAGCTCATGACCTGTGGTAAGACCGATCCCGCGATCTTCCCTTACCTGGAGACTGTGTTGGGCGAGTGTGGCATGCTGCCAGTGACAGCTCGCCGCGAATCGACCGGGTATGTATTATTCTTTCAAAAACAAAAAGAAAACCTCCTATATCAGCACATCAGACTGACTCGAGAACTATATAGATTCATCTTCAATCGCATTTGGGCAGCAGTCAAGCGCGAAATCATGCAAATTCTTGCCGAAGGCGTCAGCGACCCCAGCGAAATCGACCTACTCTGGGAACACATGTTCAAAAACGGCCCTCTCCCCTGCCAACTGATGGATCAAATCGGCCTCGACACCGTCGCCTACATCGAAGACAACTACATCCAAGAGAGGGGACTCCCCTCCACAGCCGTCGACTGGATACGCAAAGAATACATCGAGCAAGGCCGCCTTGGCAAGAAGAGTGAAAAGGGCGGCCTCTACCCCCACTCGCGAAATCCTCTTCCGCAGAAGCATCCCCAGCACACCCGCACAGCGCCGCAAAGGACATCTACCTGCTGGACGTCGGGCTCGGCGGAAATACCAAGGATGTCTCGCAGGTGCACTCGAACGGCAAAATCCTGCGCCTCAACCTCGCAACCCAGAAACTCACCCCCGTCGTCGTCGGTCAGAACCTGCCCGACGGCATCGACGTGTCACTGGAGACGCAGCGCGTCTTCTGGACGAATATGGGCCGCAGCACGGCCGCCTGTGATGGCTCCGTCTGGTCGGCTGAAATGGACGGCGGCGATATTGCCTGTCTTGTCCCCGTTGGAGAGGTACACACGCCCAAGCAGCTTGCGGTTAACGAGTTGCGGAAACAAATTTACTTCTGTGATCGTGAGGGTACAAGTGTGCATCGCTGTGATTATGACGGGAATAACCACGTTATTCTGGTACAGCGCCGTGTGGAGCCTGGCTCGAGTCTGTTGGAGCAGATGACGCTTTGGTGTGTGGGTATTGCTGTCGATGCTCAGCGCGGTCTCTTGTACTGGACACAGAAAGGACCTTGCAAGGGTGGTCGTGGTCAGATCTTCTGCGCTGGCTTGGATATTCCTGCCGGTGAGACTGCTGAGAATCGGACTGATATCCGGCGTCTGTGGAACAACCTCCCTGAGCCTATTGATATTGAGTTGGATGGCGACAGTCAGACTCTGTACTGGACAGATCGGGGTGAGCACCCTTTCGGTTGCACGCTAAACCGCGCGTATGTTGGTGGTGAAGAGATGGATATGGAAAAGGTTATTCTGGCGCGTCACTTCCACGAGCCTATTGGCTTGAAGTTGGATAAGGCGAACAACATTGTGTATGTGGCTGACCTAGGTGGTAGCCTGTACTCGGTGTCGTTGGAGGATGGACTTAAGACTGAGCTTGTGCGCAATGATGTTTGCTATACTGGGTTGACTCTTGTTTAGAGAAACATATATATGAATATAGAATAGATTTCATTTCGATCTACCCCCTGTTTCAATAACGGAGAGAACCCCCACGCAACATGGGGGTGAAACAAGCCAAGCAAGTAAGAAATACATGCATAGTACGTTGCATTTCTAATAATATATGCATGTAACCGCGATAAAAGTGGTGATCTCGTAGCTTTATGACGATGTGGCTGGGGAAGAATAAATACCCAATCCACTTAACCCTAATTAATTCCGAAGCCATGTATGTATGTAGTTTTAACTAGTCAACATGCACGATATAAGCAGAGATATGCACAATATGCATAGCTGAAACAGACTAAAGCAATACAACCTAAACGCAATGTCACCCTTTCGTCCCCTCTCTCCCCCTGATCCATTCCTGCACTGCCAGGGACTGCCGATCCCCCATCGCGTCTTTCCCGTACTTTGTACTCTTCTCCCCCCCCCCCCAAAATCTACGGAGTACATCCACTCCATCTACTACTACCTATATACAACTATCCATCCCACGCCAAATTGCATAGGTAGCAACACCTATCAACCCGCAAAATGCATCTCCAAACCCTCCTCCCCATCCTTTCCGCCTTAGGAACAACAACAGCAGCCATTGCCTCCAAACCAGCCCACCTCTGGGCAACCCACTACAATGGCAACGTCTACTCCCTAACGCTGAATAACAATGACCTCTCCCTATCGCAAACCCTCCACACCTGCGGCGACATGCCAAGCTGGCTAACCCTAGACACGAACACGCGCACCGTCTACTGCTCCGACGAGAGCGGCACTGCCGATGCTTCCACGCACGGCTCGCTGACAGCCCTGCATGTCAAACCAGACGGCACGCTGCGCGAAGACGCTGTCGCGAAGACTGTGGGTGGCGGCGTGAATAGTGTTATATATGAGTCGGATGCGGGGAAGAAATTTATTGCAATTGCGCATTAGTATGTTGATTGTTTCTTTCTTTCTCACCCACATTCCCACGGTCTTGGTCTTGCTTTGCGTTGATTATGGTTGTTCTGGATGTGGGCCTTATACTAACAATCCAACAGTGAAGGCTCGGCCATCTCAACCTTCGCCTTACCCATCAAACAAAACCAACCGGCCCTGCAAGCCTTCCATTTCAACTTGACCAGACCGGGCAAAGTCGCCCAGCAGGACTCGCCGCACCCGCACGAAGTCTTCCTCGACCCGACCGGCTCGTTCATTGTCAGTCCGGACTTAGGTGCGGACCTGCTGCGCGTGTACGCGATCGACGGCCCGTCGGGCAAGCTGTCAGAGTGTCCGAGCTTGAACATTACCTTCGGCAGTGGGCCGCGACACGGCGTGTTCTGGACGGATGGCACCGACCGTTCGGCCGGGGTGACGCATTCGCGGAAGATGGCGGCTGTCGGCGAGACAATGTTGTATCTTGCTAATGAGATCGGTGGCACGCTGATGGTGTTTGATGTCTCGTATTCGAGGTCTGGGTGTTTGTCTTTTGAGAAGACGCAGACTGTGGTGCCCTATCCCGGGGGTGTTATGCCTGAGGGTGCGACGCCGGCTGAAATTAGTAGAATTGGGGATGAGTTTTATGTCTCAATTCGGAGTGATCAGGGGTTCGAGCCGAGTGATTCCATGGTTGTGCTTGATCGGTCGCCGGCGGATGGGTCTGTTGAGTTGCGGGACTCGTCTTCTGCATTTGGCAAGGTGCCGCGGACTTTTGTGATTAATCGGGCCGGGGATCTGGTTGCTATTGGGAACCAGGCTTCTGCGACGGTTGCGATTGTGCGTCGGGATCCGAAGACAGGAAATTTGGGTGAGGAGGTTGCTTCTCTACAGGTTGGCGAGCCTGGGAAGGTGGGGACTGCGGAGGGTCTCAGCAGTGTCATCTGGGATGAGTAGATTGGTAGTTATATAAATCAAGAATTGGATGGTGTGGGAGGACACAGCTGCCTCCCACGACCACAGCTCTCCTCTATAAACAGCGCAGCAGAATGAAATCATTGCAGTACAAGTTCGCATCACATGAAAGACTTGAAAAAGCATCAAAAGCATATACCTCATGACCAAAAGATGTGTCCACATGAACCCAGAATGCGGAAAGAAAGAAAATGTAGACCTTTGAATGTTGAAGACCAGCTTCTTCGGGTTTTTTTGTTGACTGTCGGAAACCTGCACCGAAAAGACCTGGTCTGGAAAAAGCAACTCCTGCAACATCGTCTGATGGATCCTGCCAGCTCGTAGTGAAAAAAAAAAAAAAAAAAGAAAACCAGAAAACCAGAAAACCAGAAACCCAGAAACCCAGAAATGCCGATCGAATGATAAAGAATAAATGACAATATAGGAATGAACGTGTATCAAACATCAGTCGTAAAATGCGTAATGCCAAAATTGTAGGCGGTCTTATTGAAGTCGTTCACTTGATGTCGATTTGGAAGGCCTTCCATTTGCCTCCCACCGTTCGACATCGTGGACACCCGCGAGGACCAGGGTAACTTGTTGGTCCTTGTGACGGGGCGTTATTTAATGGCCCATTGCCTGGAGTTCGGAATGAGGCGGGCGGACTTGAAATGAACATGCCCACGCAGTCGCGGCAGACTCCACAGATGCACTCCGTACAGGCATAGCACTCATTCAGTGCGGAGGGTCGTTTGCACTGAGCGCAAAACACCTGAACCTCTTTGTTGCGGAAAGACGCCGGAGTAGGATTGGAGAATCGGTGGTGTTGGCGCTGGGACATGGACGGGATAAGATTCATAACTGGGCTGGAATCAGAGTTTATGGATGGCGCGACTCCCGAAACCGATGACGCAAAATTTCTGCCAGATGCTGAAGACATGGAATCGAGCGATGATTCAATAGATGGGAATGGTTCCAAGTCGCTCTCACGGCTGCGGTGGTTCTCGTATGGTGGCGGGGTCAATGATTTGTGCAAAGGCGAGGCGGCGTATGAATGCGGTGGAAATGGCCGATGTGAAGAGATAGGAGGCAATCCTCCAGATTGGAAAGCGGGTGGAAGCGAGGACCGATTTTTCACCCCAGAGGGAGCAGACGTCACGTTGGAAAGTAGTGGGGCAATCGTCGGAGACCGACCAGCCTTAAATTGGCCCATCAGCACCGAAAAAAAGTCCGGAATTGCGTTCAAACTCACCTCTGAATAGGGCTCATCGTCTACTTCGGTTGCCGACGTCGCGGCTTCAATCAAATCCTCCCAGCGCTTGCCTTGCGCCCAGGCCGCGGTTTGCGGCTCTGCTGAAAGGGCTTTGCGGTCACCGAGGCTTGGTCGCCGCCCGAATTCCTTTGACTTGGGCCGATCCTGCTTGGGCTTCCGGGCAGATTGGGTGATGGAGGATTTGCGTGGGCGGCAAAATTTGTCTCTCCGCTGGATTGGCGGTAATGTGGTTGAGCGACCGGGCGGGGAGTGATTGAGGATGGATGGAAGAAGCTCGCGAGGACGAGGCGTAAACGGCGGAAGAGATTCCTGCTTGAAATGGTCGCGGAGTGGGGGAAGTTCAATAGCTCCGCGCATGCGAGGATGACTCAAGTCGGTATCCGAATGGGTATCCTGGGGAAATGCGGGTCAGTGCCACTGTGGAGAGACTCAGGCTTCGAAGCCCACAACAGCCCGGAGCGACAAACCATGTCTGTATCCCAGTCCGAGGCCAGTCGATGGTGATGCAGTTGTGCCAGAGCAACCGCTGCAGTGGCTGCAGCTGGGTGGGGTTCATCCATAGCTCGAGGGGTAGCCGGGGAGCCGTCAGCGACATAGATGTCCCTTTCGGGCGCCACATCTGTGGGTAGCCGTCAGTATGTGTAGCGAGAAAGCAAGGCAAGAGAAAAGCAAAAGACTAACCATGAGGTCGCCGGGGTTGAGCGGGTTCGGGGGGTGACAGCTGCACCCGTTGCTCGAGCGGGGTGTTCACCATCATCAGGAAGCTCTCCTCGGTAGCCGGGAGCTTCGGGATGTAGTGATTCGGGTGCGCACGTCGAATGTGCTCCTGCATGGAGCGGTAGCGTTTTTCCTAGAGCACCAACCGGATTAGTTTATGTTGAACTCAAGAGTTGCACGGGTCATATAGCTTTCGCAGGCCAGGTGATAGGTGGGGTTCGGGGGAAATACTCACGCCTAGACATCTTTTGCGACAATTGGAACCATCGTTGTTCTTCAAGGGACAGACCACCTCATTATTGGCATCGGTTACCGAGAAAGAGCTAGTTAATGAGCTTCGAGGAGGCATGGTGCATATGTTCATCCGAGATCCCGAGGGTTGAGATAAAAAAAGGAGGGGCGAATAAAGAGATCAGCCAAGCACAGACAGGGTTTATGTGAACAATAGACAGAAATGCAGTTCAACATGCTCTGTGTGTAAAAGAGAAGAAGGGGAAGAATTGGAAAAAGGGAAAAAAAGGAAAGAGGGCGGCTCATACATTCAGAGTACTTCGAGGGCTTGTGGGTGAAAGTCACTGGGGGTATTACGGGTAATTACGCAGAGTTCGCCTTACTCGATTTTTTGCTCCGTACTTCTTTTTTTTTACTATGGGCTTTTTATTATTATTTCTTATTCTAAATTCCAGTTCTGGTAGTTCTATACATTCTAGTCAGGAACGGATTTATTCTGATCTACTTTATAAAGTCGTTACTCTACAGCTCGCATACGTGGCTATCGTCCCTATCGAGTATCGATAACCAAAAAGAGGGGCGTGCAGCTCTGAGCTTCCCTTGTAAGAAAAAACCCCCATTCTTGGAATGTTCCACGCTATTAAAATGAAATTTAAATGAAATTAAAGAGGGAAAATTGGGAGGGGAAAAAAAAAAAAAGGAAGAAACCGTACGGTATAGACTGGTATTTAAATACCGAATAGCACGGCTTTTCGGAAACCCCGGTGGAACACCGAGCTCTAACGATTTTCATTGCATTTTTACATTCTCTACATTTTTTCATGTGACATCTATGGATGTTTCTAATGTTTTATTCGGACAATTAATAAAAGATATCTATACAAAGATATAATTCACAGCTTCGGGCAAAAGGAAAGAAAAAAATGTGTCGCGATAGGCGCTATCAGCGGCCCCTCCGAAGCTCTCCCCAGCTCCTGAGCTTCATTCCAGAAGGGAGGGAAGCTCCGGGTGGCGAACTAGCGCCACGTTACAGTGTAATATTACGTTTGGTATTTTTCGTTTCCACGGTTTTATTTTCTTTCTAATTTTATACTATACTATTACTACTAATAGTATAAATAGTCTAAGATTGAACACAATGCAAGCAACTGAAGAAGCTGGAGGGGAGGTGTACTCACGATGTATGCTAAGCGCGTGACTCATATACCCTACCCTACCCTACCTAAGGATAACTTCTAGGCATAACTATTCACTAATGTACTATATATCTCTCGAGTATCATTCTATAAGTACCTGTCTCAGCTCCGACCTCCTCCGTTTACCCTTAGCTCTCTAATCGAATAAAGGCACAGGTTTCCAGATTAGTTTAATGCCTAAATACCAAAATACCCCCAATACCTTGTATAACCAACTGCCGATGAAGAACATCCCAAAGCAGCCTGATTGGCCCCAAAACTCCACTGAGTCACCAATTACCTCCATCCTCATTGGTTGCAACTCACACGCCATCCTGGTTCTGGGTGGCCGTGCAGGGGGGATCAACGGAAAAGTCTGAGATTTCAAGTTCAGGGTTTTGGTATGCTGTATGGTTTACGTTGTATAAGTACTATGTACTAGTAATATCTGCTAATAGTATGTAGACCTCGGGAATATACAAAATAGTACAATAAAGCCGTTATCAGACCTGTACAGTATATATCCATACACTGGAGATGTCAAGCATGTCACGCTCCACTTAATATAACAAGGTGGAGAGCTTGCGAGTCGAGACTTTATTCTGGACAGCTATTAACACAATGTATCTTCCTAGGTTATCTGCATCGCTTAGAATTCATGTAAGGTGCGTCTAGCTTTCATGCAGCTTATTATTATACTCCATTGTCCTACCTCTAATTCTATCCGATCTCTCGGATCTAACTATGACCATTGTACTCCACCTCGTAATCCTATTTCCATCCTTGTTTAGAAAGACCGCATTGATCCCTTCCTGCAGACCAGCATACCAGCTGCGTGTCAGCCATACAGGGTCCAACATCTTCATGGTAACCCATTATGTTGCCACTAAGGGGTGGCTGAGAGCTGACCAACTATAATTGTATACTCGTAAGTCCTGTTCGGGTCCCATGCTCGGCACCATCTGAAACCCTTGCCGCGCGATTTGCCTTCAAGGGATTCAACCTGAACAAATCGCTCAACCGCAGAAATGCAGAAACGCAGATACTAGCTTGGACTCAATGTACCCAATACTGGATAGAAAAGCGTAGCTCTCCAGCTAATACCAGCTAATACCGCTAAATACCATACATATCCAAGCATGGTCACATCTCACTTCGACCGTAAAAAACCCCCCAATCAATACTGGGGAGGTGTAGTACCACCACCACACCCCATCAAATCCACATCCTCCCCAGCAAAGAATAACAAAACTGCGTCAGCCGCAGCCTTAGCATCATCATCATCCTCCAACCCAGGAACCCCCGAGCGATAAATCTGCTCCAAATACTCTCCCACAACGGTCGCCGACCAACCCGCACGACGCCCAAACTCTTGCGCAAGCTCCCCATTAACAAAAGTATCGAATTCAAAGTGACCCTGGTACGTCAGGACCCGGCCAGGGTTATAAAGACCCTGAATTGCGCACTGCGCACTACTCCCGATACTAGACCACGGTGCCGGCAGCGAGACTCCCGCCTGGTTCGCGGCAGCTTCAGCCTCGGGCGTGGGCATCACCACGTCGCTGTGGATCAGCTGGATGCGGAATGGGCTCTGAGCTGTGGCGCGTGCGAGAGGCGGGAAGCGCGCGGTGAAGGAGGGATGGAGGGTGATGGGCTGGATGCCCATTTCATAGCCGGCGGGGGAGTGCGCGACGTGGAATGTTGATGTTGGTGCGGTGTTGGGGTTTGCGTTGGTGCTGAGGAGGGCTTGGGCGATTATCTGGTGCCCGAAACAGGAGCCGAAGATTTTTATGTTTGGGTAGTGGATGTGCACTGTTTGGAGGTAGGATTGCATTGCGTGAATCCAGGGTTGGTCTTCATAGGCTGAGGATGCTGAGCCCGTGATTAGGATTGCGTCTATTGGACTCAATGGTCCGCCGGCGTGAGGCTCGCCTGGGGACTGAGGTTTGGTTCGTAGGGTTTCCAGAGGAGGTAGGGACCCGCCTACGGCATCGAAGGCTGTTACATGGACAGCCAGCTGACCTTTTTGGAGGGTTTCTGGTGTTATGTTTAGGCGTTGAGCGGCTGCTTGCAGGAGGACGCGGAATTGAGAGCTGTATAGACCCCGCGCTCTGTATACTGAGAGGCAGGGGATGTCGGCATCTAACACGGCCACGTGGATCTTGTGTTGGGCCATGAGTTTAGGTATCGTCTATTCAAATGAACGCAATGTACCGAACGAGAGAATGTGATATGCGAGTCTACAAATATAAAAACCGAAAAACTTCGATGTCAAAGGGCGTAAGGTTCGCATCGCCACGCCCGATAAGGATTTGAGTAATCTAGTGGGGCTTCCCAAAGAGGAAACTGAATCCTTGTCTGCAGAAGACCTGATGAAGAATAGCATCAGGGACGACTTCAAAAGAGACAGAAGTCAGAAAATATTTAGGCTGAATGGAAAGCTTGAAGGAGACAGTGAAAAGGAGAGATAGTAAAAGAAAAGGAAAAATTTGTTGAAATAGTGCATCCAAAGACCATTAAGAGGTAAAATATCACGAAGTGCGAAAGCAAGAACAATCTTCATGCAATGTTCGAAGGTGGCTATATAAGGAGGTAATCATTTTAAGATATATTCATGGATATGGCGTGAATTATCAATTATGACAGAAGAGACCACCCGAGTGGTTAAGAATCAAGGAACGGATCTCTGACATGTGCTTCCCCAAGCCCTAAGACCAACTCATATTTAAGGTAAAACGTGAAGAGAACTTAAACCCTCTCGTCCGATAGATTATCTCATGTATGAGTCCCAAGGTCGATAGATGAGATCTGCCTGGAGCACTTCTTCTTTTGGATTTAAACAACCCGACCAGCCGGTTCATGCACGACTGCCGGTGCGATCGGCTGTAGTCAGAATATGTTGTGCCAGAGGATAATGGGATAACCTTAGTCTATCGGCCGAGACTGTGACTGGTTGGATGTTAGAGATGTGCATGATGTACTTTGTATATTAAGTATGTACTGTGTGAATAGCCTTAGGGGTAGGTACTAGAAGGCTCGTGTATCTCTTATTTCAACGTCAATTGCTATATTACTACTTCACTTCACAACTAGGAATTTAGCATATTCCCATCTTCTATATACTATTTATTTTCTTATTTCTCTTCAGCACAACATATATGTACTTCCGAAATATCTCGAAGCCAATTCGTGATCCCCCACTGCCATCACAACATCCAACCCCGCAAATTGCGCCATCCCGGCCCTTCAACCCCCAATCAGCTTCACTTCTTTAGTAGCGGCACTCATTCCGCTATACAAGAATACTCTTTGGATACTACCTAGGTATTTCGTAAAATTATCGGATCTCGTCACGCCATATAATCCACTACATTGCTCACCATTTACATAGAAGTGACAATATATAAATATAAACCAACGGCCCTGCATTTATTGCTTCATCCGTGCATATTTCCCTCTTTAATAACCATCATGGCTCCCGCTGCTACCTCCTCTCTCCCAACTGCCCCTCACGACCTTACAGGGCCCATTTCATGGGATCTATTCCCAGATGGACTAAAAACCACCGGCCAACATCCCCCACTATACGACCACATCATCCCCTTCGACAAGTTCCCTAAACAAATCACCGGCTCAACAGTCTGGAAGGCCGAGGACTACCGCGAGAACCCAGAAAAATGGACACACGTCTTCACCCAGGACCAGATCGATGAGCTGAGCTCGGCATCGGATGCTTTCCTCGCATCCAAGACCCCGCTGACCGGAATCTCAAAGGTGAGAACAATACAATCCATATCTAGAAACCTATAAAACCAAAACTAATCATATCTTCAATAGACCAACTTCCAACTCCCCAATCTAGCCGCCTACCTGCACGACCTGCGCTCAGACCTCATCGACGGCAAAGGCTTCATCCTCTTCAAGGGCTTCCCCGTCGAGAAATGGGGCAACCACAAGTCCGCCGTGGCATACATGGGTCTCGGCACATATCTCGGCTACTTCGTCAGCCAGAACAGCCGCGGCCACGTCCTCGGCCACGTCAAGGATCTCGGCGAGGACTCGACCCAGATTGACAAAGTGCGCATCTACCGCACCAATGCTCGGTTAGTTTGATAGTCTCAATCTCCAGTGAATGCGCATTCACAAGCAACGAACAATCAACTAATCCCCAAGCTCAGCCAATACTTCCATGCCGATGACTCCGACATCGTCGGCCTCCTCTGCATCGCCAAGGCCCTCGAAGGCGGCGAATCAGACCTCGTCTCCTCCCACAACGTCTACAACGCCCTCGCCACAGAACGCCCAGACGTCCTCAAGACCCTCACCGAACCAATCTGGTACTTCGACCGCAAGGGCGAGACAAGCAAGGGACAGGAAGATTACATCCGCACCAGCGTGATATACCTCGAGCGCGGCGAGAACGCCCGTGTCTACACAAAGTATGTCTCACCAGCCCGATCCATAGCCACCCCCACCCATAATCTCCATTCCAGTGTCTGACAATAATACCAGATGGGACCCATACTACGTCCGCTCCCTCAGCCGCTTCAGCGATGCAGGAATTATCCCCCCGCTGTCAGAGGCGCAACAAGAAGCCCTGCGCGTGCTGGAAGAAACCTGTGTACGCTTGTCGCTGCACATGATCCTCGATATTGGTGATATTCAGTTCTTGTCAAATGCGCACGTCCTGCATGCCCGCACCGCATACACGGATCATGCGCCCCCTGCCCCGCGTCGCCATCTTATGCGTCTTTGGCTGGCGACGCCTGAGAATGAGGGTGGCTGGAAGTTGCCGTTCTGGGATAGTAATGAGAAGAAGAGGGGTGGGATTCAGGTTGATGATCAGGCTCCTGTTGCGCTTTTGGATGCGGAATGAGGTTTAGTCTAGTCTGGTTGGTTGCGGGGTTTATAGATTTGAATGATACCTTTTGTCTTTTTTTTCCCTTTTTTCTCTGGGTTACTTGAGGATTGGTGGGTCTTTCCCATATCATCGCGGTATAAAAGTAGTTTCAATAGTATTTAAAGTACTCTCAAGGTAAGAGCCTTCACTCCTAATAACCAGGTCCAATTCGACGCCTCTACCGTTCTTCTAGTCTTGCCTTTTCTTTGTTTCTTGTGATACCTCCTATCCTATTGCTACTGTAAGAATAGTCGGCCGCGTACGCAATAGTAACCTAATTCATTTGACTTGATATGATTTTAGAGCCCTTATATTTGAGAGAATTCTGAGATATCTCTTATCTAGGAAAAGCAAGAAACCGAAGAACAAAAGGCACATGAATGTGGTTTAATGGCAGACCACCCCAGGGCAAGCCCAACGTCTGTTCTGGATTGGTCGAAGAAAGAGCCCTGGAGCACTGGAGAGGATATTAGTAGCTACCTGGGCACTTCTTGGAGGCTCGACAGTCCCCAGATTATCGTCTCTTGTTCTTATTTTGGGTTCCTTAAACCACTGGGTATAAATACCCACCTGTCCGAAAATCCAGCTCCTGTACTTCGACTTCGACCTATTATCAAGCTATTCTTCTTCTTTTACTACCTCGGCTTAATGGTCTCTACGCACTCCGTCTATACCATTTACTGGTGTCAGTCTCGCAAGAATGTGGACAACCACGTGGAATGTCCACCACCGTCCAGACCGTCACCATCCAACAGACAGCGATTAGGACCACACACCATACGCTTCCTACAGCTACAGAAGTTCCCTTTTATGAGTTTGAGTGCTATGCTCATTTTCAAACTTGCCAAGAAGAAGGCCACACTAGAGGAGGTGGCATAAGTTCAGAAGGTTGTACGCCAGGCTTGGCCAGTCCGTTCTAGTCCCTAGCAGCGGGGCCTACGACACCGCCACGAGTACTAATGCCCTAGAGGTGTCCCGCCTGGTTAGTCGCACTCGATGTAACCACGCCGCTAATATCAGGAACATTGTCGAATCATTCCACGATCTCACCTCAAGAACCAACTCGAGACCTACGTGGAAGCATCTTAACCTCCGCTCAGTCTCAACGAAGATACGAAGGTGACCACGTTGATCGGCAATTCGTATAGGTGCTTCACTGGGCCGACGACCTCGCCGAACCAGAAGCCGCGGTACGGTAGGGCGTTGCCCTTTCTTCCGGTTTACGGTGAGTACTACTTACTTCGCGGCACGTACCTATGCCATTATCTCTGGCAGCTCAACAGAAAGACTAAGCTTCAAAGAGAACGACCCCACGACAGTGTCCCTATGGAGGCCTAAGAATCGTCGCCTCGATGACGCAGGCGTTATTTACGCCCTGTTGACGGTCCCCGCAAGGTATAGAACCTCCGTTGTATGGATTTACCTAATTGAGCTAATGAATCATTCATAAATCATATTCTTGTAAGGGTATTTTGTACATCTGTTCCAGCAACGCCAAAGGAAGAAAAAAAACCCCTCTCACTCGACAGACGCCCCGTAGCCGATGCTAATGCACGATCTTGTAATTACCCCCGTTAACAATCTCTAACTTGCCCTTCGAAACCATACCACCTAAAAACTCGCGCAGCTCCTCGTTGCTGAACGGGAACCCGCCAGGAACGGCTATCTTCAGCATCATGACAATGCGATTCAGAGCCATAGGTCCTTGATTCGTGAGCATGCCCACAATAAACTGCCAATGCACATTCATTTTCTCCATGGCAGCTGCCTCGGCGGATTCCTTTGCTGCTGCGGCGGCTGCTGCTTCAGCCGCTGCCGCTGCGTTGGCCGTGTCGCCTGCTTCGCTGTCCGAGGCGTCACTGTCCTCGCCGGCTCCGTGCGCATGGTGTCCCTCGTCCTCTGTGGGGAGGATTTCCAACACGCGGAAGGTGTCGCGTTGTACTTCGGTGAGAATGCGTTTGCTGACCCAGAAGAGACAGGCGCTGCGTACGAGGGGAGGTGTCATCTCGAGCTCGTCGGCGAGTTCCGGGATTGTTCTTGTGGCGGGTTCGCTCGAGTCGGACTGGAAGGCATAGATTACGGTTGCTTGCCAGGTTGTCACTTCGTCTTTGAAGGTGTGGTTCTCTAACTCCAGCTCGACGGTGACCTGACCCAGGCCGTTGCGCCACATGAGCTTGCGTGAGTCCTTGCGCTTTTCGAAGCAGGTCGCGTACCGCTCTTGTAGTTTGGTGATTTCATCGGGGACCTTGAATTCTTGTTCTTGGAACTCCGGCCAGAAGAAGCGTGACAGAATTTTGGCGTGGAGTTTTCCGACGCCTGCTTGCTTCCGATATCCGGACAATATCTGATCATTCCGCACGGTGAGGTCGAGACGTCGCGAGTCGGAGATATCTTTCAGCATCACCTCACATGCCTGTAGTGCCGAATCACCGAATCGGACCTTCAGGAGCTCTAGTACTGTAATTTCTTGGTCGTAGTTCTGGCGTTTCTGGATGAGGCGGTCTGCGAGAAGAGTCTGCATTTCCTTCACGAAAGTCTCCTTCGAGTCGAATAAGCTAATCAGACTGTCAATGACATCTGCGCTCTTCGACTTTTTGTAGTCGGGAGCGGCATCAACTGGATCGGGCAACCAGTACAAATCGTCATAGTCTAGCTCGCTCCTATTGTTTTGCATGGAATGCTGATGGACCTTGGTCAGCTCTGCCGCCAGCTCTGCCAAGGTGTCGCCACTAGCTGTCGGTCCATCGGCTGTCGCGGGGTCCGCCAATAGACCACTAACAATCACCTTGATGGTGTCCTCGCGGTCTCTCAAGTATCGCCGGATTGGTCGAGCGATTCGATCCAGCAGAACACCCTTGGGGTCCAATATATGGAATGCTCGAATGATCGAGATGTAAACCTGCAAGATCTCGACGGTAGAAGCACCGGGATGCAACAACCGCTGGAGCAAGTTTATAGAAAAGAAATGCGTCACATACAATCGTGCTATAGACGAGTTGTTTGTGAAACGTCGCAGATCCTCCACCGCTCCGCTGCTTGCAGGCCAATCAACAACCACATCGAAGAGTTCGCTGACTCGAAGCTTTCCCAGCCGGGCAATACCCATCACTCGCCACTTTTCCACGTCGCGAAAGCTCACTTCCATAGCCCCAGATTGAGTTCCAGCGGGGTCAGAATGGATGATGGCCAGAACCTGCACAGCGAGCCGTGCATAGACATTTTCAACCCATTGTTCCAGGTGTTGCGGCGCGGTCGAGGGTGACTCCCATTCACCAGCATACGCGGCACGAATGAAGTCTCCCATCATGATGTTCATCACGTTGGCGAACACCTTCTGGGCCTGGTCGCCGCCAAGCCCGACAAGCTGCAGGCCGTTGAGAAACGCTAAAAGTCGATCCCGTGCAATGGTCACACAGCCATCTTCGCCTTCGACCATCATGTGTGCCTGGGCTTCGGGTGATTCTTGTCTCCAGTCTTTGTACGAGACAGAGTATGCCCTTTCCATCTCTGTTCCGTCGAGACTCATTCTGTCCGCATCGAAATCTTCGTCCAGGGTATCAATACCTAAGATAATCACAGCATCTTGCGTAAGCTCTCTGGCAAGAAGCGGTGAAATCTTCTTCCATGGTAGACTGTATTGGACCACCGTATGAAAGGCACGCTGTAGTTGAGCCAAGAGGCCTCCTTGGTGGGGAGTAGTTATCAATGGAAGTAGGTGGTGTACGACGGGGGCGAGATAAATTCGACGCGCAAGCTGTAAGCAGTCCACGATTGTCCGGAGCAGACCTTCTTCCCCGGGGGACTTTAACAACTAAAAGGCCGTTAGCACGGACAGACAACCAAATCCAAACGACGTACAGCGTCCATACCTTAGATAGCCCAGTCCGAAGATTGACCAGAAAATGCCTCCGAATATCATTCCCATACCATTCAAACAATGTCCAGGGAGAAGTTCGCATAAGATACTCTAGCGCCTCGGCCGTCTCCTTCGACGGAGGGCTAAGCCGGTTCCATTCTTTCAATGCCTGACTCCCGTCGGTGTTCCGGAAGTTGTAAAGCAACTCGAAGCCCAGATTGGGCACAGATAGAAACTCTTTCGCCGTCTGCCGCGCCTGGTTTAATGTGTCTTCTTCTGGAGATGCAGCGTCCGTCGACCCCCCAATCGTCGCGAATGAGGTTGATTGCGAGTCTGCTTTGAAGGTTGACGAGGAGTCGGTTGATTCTTGGAACGATGCGACTGGTGTCTGCTCGCGTTGGAAATCCCAGGTCGACTTCGGGTGAGCTTCGAGAGACGCGGGGGAGAAGACGGAGCCGCAGACGCGCCTACGTCCCACATTGAGGGGTACGGTTGAGAGCATTTTGATCAAGGGACATCGGGCATTGTGAGATACAGCTAGTGTTTTTTTTTTGGTTGCTGCTTGGGTCGTGTTCGATGGTTGCCTCTGTTATGTTGCGACGGAGTTCAATGTTTGGATTGGAGGCAGATCACGTGGGTGTTTTGCTCAAGCTTCAGCTCCACCGGTTCTGTTTACTTTGTTTTATACAGTCGATGGGAGTTGTTTTGGATGTTATTGTTAATGAATGTATTCAGAGAGAAGGAGGATATTAAGCTCCTGCCAGAATCAAAACCAAGCGCGAGCTGCTGTAAACTGCACAATCTACATAGTATGGGGTATCGCTCCGAAACAAACAGACAAGAGGGCATTGCGTATATACGAATCCAAATCCGAAATCAAATCCAGGTCCCAGTCAAGGCATGCAAAAGGTCGACACAGAGTTTGCATCACCATAAACGCGTCCTACGCATTCGTTGAGGAGTCCGGGACCTGGTGAGCATGCAATGTGCAACCGTGTTCCACCGACAGTGTAGATATTTCGAAGCAAGGTGTGTGTATCCTTGAGTGCCAAGTATCCCTCAAGATTTAGTATCATCAACCTTCTCCCACTCGCTATCAGTGCTCCCATACCCAGACCCCTCACCACCAGTGCTGGGTCGCTTCTTAGGATCGCGTGCCGTGGGCAGCAACTCGGACGTTGCACTCCCGGTCGCGACAGCAGCAGACTTGTCATCTGTCTTCTTGGTGACGAGAGTTTCAGTCTCCGTTTCGCTGCCGGCGCTTTCTCTGACAGCGGGACTCTTCCGCGTCTTTGCGTCATCCTCCTCTTGTTTTTGTTTTTCCTTCTCAGCTTCCTGCGCCTGTTGGGCAAGTTGCACCTCGGCAGCGAACCAGTTGATGGACCACCATAGTCCAGCACTGATGATAGATAGGGCGACGAAGTGGAGGCTGTAGGTGGCTAAGAGGAGGGCGAGGAAGATAAGCTGGAGTGCGGCGAAGGTGACGTTGGTCGCGATCAGGAGGGTCGGGGTGGGTCCGGGGGTGAAGATGCTGGACCACAGGTCTTCCATGAAGGAAGCCATTTTCAAAATGAAGTGGGAAATCTGTAGGTTGCAGGTTGAGAGTGGGCGGGGGTACCGGGAACTGGAATCCGTGGGGGGAAAATGGTTACCGGAATGGACACCGCTCAGGTTGGGAAAGTGGATGAAAGGTGGACAACGAATTCCGATTTTTATCAAAAGGTGGAATTTTTTGGAAAATCTATCCGTTCTCCCCCGTGGGGAATCTGGTCTGAATATGTCTGGATATTATCTAGAATGTATTCTACCTATCTTTATTCTTAATTCAGTCAGATGAAGGGATCAGGCCTATGTCTTACACTATACTATAACATGACTACCATCACGGGATAAGATCGGCTCACAGTCACTTGACTTTCCGAAGGCATGTCCGGCCCGAAAATGATAGAGTTCGACTATACCTAGGTACATATGTAACTTCGTATGTTCCAAGGTTGTACTTGGCACCACTGTGATAGGTGATGGGTGAATCCCTGTGAGTGTTTGAACTAGCTATATCAATAGACACAATATAGAAAGGACATAAGCTTATTTCAACTCTGAATAAAGTGAACATGTCTAGGGCTCAAAGCAAAAGTACAATATTACACGGATGAGCCTGTCTTTCATGACTTGATCTATGCCTATTTCGTATGCAAAAGATACCCGGTCTGGCCAGACACAAGATTGCTCTAAGAACCTTATCTCTCAAAGGCCGAGTACAGACCCAAGAGGAAGTTGAAACGTCCCTGAACAATGCCAATAGCCGCTGCCAATTGAAGACGTGCTATTATGTGTCTTCTCCGTGTTTTCCCCACAATCGCAATAGCGCCGATCCTCCCCAAACCCGCCAACCGAACCGTCTACTCCGTCATCTACCCCGACTTGTATCCCACGCCTTTGCCTCATTGGCTTTCCGGACCGGGGACCCCCCGACTTCCTACTGGACCCGATCCACGGAGGGAACAAACCTTGTATACTATCCCGGCTAGGTTACTAGGGAAAATGGGTATAAATATCCCCGGAGTGCCTCCGAGGTAGAGTTGGAATATCAGAGCGTTTTGCCGCTTCGATCAACAAAATCATCTTCTAGTTTCTTCAACTTGTCTCCAAATCTTCTTTCAAAATGGCTGACGATATCCCCGTAACGAAAGAACTATCCCATGATCCAGTGGTAGAAGGCTTCTCTCACCATGCCGACAATATTGCCTCAGACCGCGAGCCCTATGGCCCACCCGGTCTGCGTGGCCTAGCAGCTAACCCATTCGTGGTCCTGTGTGCCGCCTGCTCAACGCTGGGTGGTTTGCTCTTTGGTTACGACCAAGGTGTTGTGTCGGTGATTCTGGTCATGGACCAGTTCTTGACGGAATTCCCGCAGATAGACGAGGGGAACCCAGGCTCGGGCTTTGCGAAAGGATTGTTGACGGCGATGATTGAGCTGGGCGCTTTGATTGGTGCTCTCAACCAGGGCTGGATTGCGGATAAGATCTCGCGACGGTATTCAATTCTCGTCGCGGTTGCTATCTTCACTCTTGGCTCTGTGCTTCAGACTGCTGCCTATGGTTATCCTATGTTGACGGTGGCACGGCTGATTGGTGGTGTCGGAATCGGAATGTTGTCGATGGTTGCACCACTGTACATCTCCGAAATCAGTATGTCTTCCTTTTCGGAGGGGGGTTTTTTTTCCTTCCTCACACATGTGATATCAATGCTTATTCCATCTCCTATTAGGTCCCCCCGAATGCCGTGGAACCCTGTTGGTTATGGAAGAATGGTGTATCGTCCTCGGTATTGTGATTGCCTTTTGGATTACTTATGGCACACGGTACATGGTCGGTGAATGGGCCTGGCGCCTCCCTTTCCTGCTCCAATTGATCCCGGGTTTTGTCCTCGCTGCCGGTGTATACGCTCTTCCATTCTCGCCCCGTTGGCTAGCTTCAAAAGGTCGCGATGAGGAAGCTCTTGACAGTCTTTGCAGACTCCGTTCTCTGCCAGCCTCCGACAGACGCGTTCGCCAGGAACTTATGGATATCCAGGCCGAAGTGCGCTTCCACCAGCAAATGAACAGGGAAAATCACCCAGATTTGCAAGGTGGTGGCACAAAGAACTCCATTCTGCAGGAGCTTTCATCGTGGGCTGATTGCTTCAGGAAGGGCTGCTGGCGTCGGACTCACATCGGTATTGGACTGGGATTCTTCCAACAGGTGAGCTATTTATATGTGGAGATAATCGACGTATGCTAATAATATGGATAGTTCATCGGTATCAACGCTCTTATTTACTACTCTCCAACCCTCTTTGCGACGATGGGTCTCGACAAGAGCATGCAACTTATCATGTCCGGCGTTCTCAACATTGTCCAGTTAGTGGGTGTTACTACCAGTATCTGGACCATGGACGTTGTCGGTCGTCGCAAGTTGCTTCTAGGTGGTGCAGCCCTCATGGCTTTATCCCACATTATTATTGCTGCTTTGGTCGGGATTTACTCGGATGATTGGCCGTCCCACAAAGCAGAAGGGTGGACCAGTGTGGCCTTCCTACTATTCTACATGCTTTCCTTTGGGGCTACCTGGGGTCCTATCCCATGGGCTATGCCTTCTGGTACGTCTCTTTCTCCTTCTATCCTGTTAATAAGCCATCAATCTGACATTTTCAGAAATCTTCCCTTCTTCCCTTCGTGCCAAGGGTGTTGCTCTTTCAACTTGCTCCAACTGGCTCAACAACTTCATCATTGTAAGATTCTCGTTACCATTATTTGGTCGCTCGATGTGTCAAGCATACTAATTACCTCTGTAGGGTCTCATCACCCCGCCTCTCGTCCAAGACACTGGCTACGGTGCTTACGTCTTCTTCGCCGTCTTTTGCTTGCTCGCCGGAGTGTGGACTTACTTCTTTGTGCCAGAAACCAAGGGCCGAACCCTCGAGCAGATGGACCATGTGTTCAAAGACAATTCTAGCGAAGAAGAAAAGGCCAAGAGGCGCGTGATCGAGAACGAGCTGATTCGTGCCCAATATGAGAATGTGCATCGAGAGTTTGCATAAACCAATCTGTCTCACCATAAATATTTCAATTGAACACTAGCGCACTCTCTTCAATACCCATTGTTTCATATTACTTAGCATAAACAAGGAAATCCTACGATATTATGATTACATGTGTGGAAAGCAAATAAATCATCAACCCGACACTTGCCCAGCGTGGCCGATACCTGAACCGAATCGGTGAAAGCTTAAACTTCGTTGCAAGAACGCTACATCGTGGCATACAGTACCTATATGCAGGTATATATGGTTATATTCTGGGGAATTGTCTACAAAGAGAAGTATACTTACAGTGCTGTACCTCACCACATAAAGCGCTTCTATGCATCTGTACCCCTGTAGACCTTTAGTGGCGTCTACCATTATTTCCAGTATCTGTAGCACAATGTACCACTCTCGGTGTTAAGCAATCTCTCAAGTGTAGCATTAGGAGCAAGCTTGCCAATGTTGACCTCGAAGTCAAGGGACATGCGATTTATAACCGTCTTTTTGTCGGTGGGACCGCATTAGGTCATGTCATTGTCATTGAGATCAAAGGCTAGTTGTGCCAAGTATACTTTATCACATTACTATTTGCAGCAGCACTAGAGCTGGACGTTCTACATATTGTATATACCCCCATCGCTACCACGCTACCACTTTGACCCACTTAGTGGCCCCACTCAACACAACCTTAAACTCAAAAAAAAAAAAGTGTCATTCCAAGGTTGACAAACAACTTTAGTGCTAAGCTAAACAGCCATGGTATCTCCCAAGGTCGTAGGTGCAAACTCTCTGTTCCCCCTTAAACGCCGCAAATGGTCCGAACGACTCCTGATATAAGAATGCAAGCCAAGATAAGATCACAAAACACCATGACGCGCCTTGAAAATTGATACCTTTTCATCGTAAAATAGAATCTCCTGTAGCCGGTACCGAATCGGCGAAGCACCCTGTTCTTCGTCGGGTTCGGTGTCATAGTCGCCCGGGTCACTGGAAAGGAGGTCTGTGTCAGCGGCCCCCGAGGCATCGTCGGAATCATCGCTGTCTTCTTCAGATTCGTGGTTGGGGTTGGCCCACACTTCATCCTCATCTTCGCTGTGTGCCGGGGAATGATCAAGCGCCGGATTGTCGTCGAAATCTAGTGGGTTATCGTCATGTCTTGCTTCAAGGATTTGGTAGCATTTGATGTGGAGACCAATGTAGGCGATCTTCAGATCTGGACGTATGCTGACGATGTCCAAAACTTGCAGCGCAAGCTCTTTCAAGTCGCGGTGAACGGTATGGTGAATGTGTGGTAGATACAAAGCACGAAGCTGGGGCATATTCGGCAATCTCTGGAGGAAGAAATGCTGCGGAGTCATCATTAGTACAAGGAGATATGGTCGAAAATATCCAATGCTGGTGGTTAATCTCTTACCCAATCGCGATAATGCATCGCCATTCCCAGCTCTTTCAACTGCGGCATCTTTCCACTTGTGACAAATGATACCATGTCGTGGTTGAACATCCACTTGTGCCATCGCGTGCGCGAATATCCGGCGCCAATTATACGGTCAGTAGCGTCAATCAGCACCTTTCGCAGACTCTGCCTGTGCTTTCGCAGAATGTGCTTGTAAATAGCGTCGATATGCACGGCAGATTCATGACCTGGGGCTTCATGCAAATAAACACTCTCCAGGGTATTCGGAGCGAGCGCATCCTTGATAAACAGTATAAGATAAGGCGAGACAGTGTCCGTGCGAATATGTTTCAAATTTAGTGAATATTCAACTGAGCTGGCGCTTGCTCGACGTTCTGCATCCTGTGGACGTTTTGCCGGCATCGCAGGAGGAGCATACTTCCGACGGAGAGCCCTCCAAAGCTTTTCATGATCCTCGCATCGCATGATGGTGAGAGTAGTCAATCCAGTCCAGTCAACAGCCGGTAGTAGTGTTGGCACAGAAAGAGGTACACGTTCCAGCTCGAGTATTTTGAGGTAAAGTATCTCACCGTCGGGTTTATAGGAGGGTGGCTGTGAGCGGGCACTCCGGTTGGGCACTCCAGAGCTTGGTGGGGACTTTTTGTCCTTGGTGGTGCTAAGAGGCTGCTGCTCGCCACTTGGAGTCAATGGAGCCGCGCTTTCGGTAGAGTTTGGTGACTTGTTTATCGAACCCTCAGATGGCATCGACTTATCTTCAAGGGAGGCAGTTATAGCATTGTCCTGGTTTTTGTCAAGATGCGGCCGTGTCAAGATGCCAAGTACACCATCCGCTCTAGGCCAACTCGTTGAGCCATCAGAGTCCTTCCCACACAGCAGCCACGGACTCATATGGGCCTTTTCAGCAATACCAATTCGGAGTTCGGACAGACGGGGACGTGACCGCTCAATGAGAAGTGCCAGCTCCTCCACATAAGCGGGTTCATCTATGTCAAGAACAGCTACGCTCTTAAGCGGAGGCAGTACTGACAAGGAAGGATGTTCCACATGTTTGTATTTCTGGAAGAGCCTCGTTGCCGCCGCTGACGAACTGCGTAAAGCATTCTCCGAATTGTCATGCCAGCGCACCCAAATGCGCTCCAGGCGACAATCATGTCCTGGCCGATCTGCCAACGACGCAAGCGCCAGCCAAATTTCGCGGACCACTCCAGTCGGCATGTCCCAAACAAAGGCTTCGAGATTCACCATCCGTGCAACTGCTAAGGCGACCAGCGTCCCAAGCATCTTACCCACTTCTTTGGTCACCGAGTATTCTTGTACCCAGCTGAGCGGGCCATTTCCAATAGAGAATGTGCGGGTATACTGTGCATAATGATTGCCTCGTCGCGACCGGAAGCGCACTCCGTTGTTCCCAGGGTCCGGGTCCGGCTGATGATGGAGGTTATCGCAACCACAGTTCGCACAACTATTTTTGATTTGGCCAGACTGAAACAGCGGCAGACGATTGAATACATCCTCGCCCATGACCAATGTGGACAGACCATAAGACAGAGCATCCACCCCCGAGTAGTCATCTGTTGATGGGTTCAGCGACTCGGGCCAGACGATGTCGAAACGGGAGTACATGTGCGGAATGGCTAGGGAATGAAGAGCTGAGCATGTAAGAGCGAGCGAGGTCAGGTCAGTCGTATGGGTCACCTATTGTATACCAGAACTGTTAGCTATCTATTCACGATCTGCGGGGAAGACCGGTGTTACCTCTTTGATGATCTCCTTCAAAATGTCCAAAGGTAAGTCCAGCAGCTGCAGAGGGTTGTTGGCCATTTCCGGTTCTGGGGGGGTTTGATTTGGGCCTTCTGTGCGGGGAGTTGTTGGAGTCGCGTCCTGTTCGAAGGATTGATTCAAGCCCTCTTGCTCCAAGCGCAACTTCCCCAAAGCCAGTGTCAGATTCTGCTTAGCAGCACCTTCAAGCTCCCTTGAAGCAGTGCTTGGGCTGGAAACAAAGTCCTCTTCATCCGACGACAAGGCAAGATCGGCGTTAGGCTTATCAGCCCAATCCAAGCTGGCGCCTGCCATTAGACAAGTGGGGATTGTAAGATCACGGGAGTAGTAAGGCACGATGGGTTGGCGAAGAACATCTCCAGCTAGAAGCTGAAGAGAAACACACCCCGGCAGTTCCTTTGTTCAGATATGTTTGTTTTGCACGAAGACAGTCAAAGATGATAATAAAGAGAATCTGGGGTAGCCACACATGGAGCTCCCGGGTGATCATCTGGTCCATTATGTAAGCATTTGCCTCCACCTGGGTCAGACGTGAAGTTAAAGAATAACTGACCCTTTCATAAATTACATTTAATACAGACCCTCGCAAGCGATGGTCTGTAATTTTGGTAAATTTTGGTACAAAAATGTAAGGGCCGGTTATATGCTATATTGAACTATATTGGCTATGAATTGCAACTGAAATACCGAAAAAGGAACAAAGTTGTATTCTGTTTTCTAACTGTAAGCAAAAATTATAGAATTGCATTAAACAATTTTTTTTTCCAAAAACAACAGTATCATAGTCAGTCTATAACTGCCACCGACTTGAGCGAGAGATGACTCTAGTCACCAACTCGTCCAACTCTTCCCAGATTAATTGCAGCGCTGACACATGCCAGGTGGCTGAAAGCCTGTGGGGAGTTGCCCATCTGCTCACCAGAAATGGCAACTTCTTCAGAAAACATGCCCAGGTGATTCGCGTAGGACAGGATGTTATCAAAGTGCGAAAGTGCGAGTTTCCAGATGTTTGGAATAGGCACATCATATTTGGCAGCCTGGATTTCCAATTCCAGTCCAGGTCAGTATAGTTCAATGTTTCTTATTTGGGGTTGGTTCCATAAAACATACACGAGCCATGGCTTCGACAAGCCAGAAGGTTACCATGATGAAGGCACCCTCACCTCCTGCCATACCTGTGCAGAGTATCAGGACTCATTCCAGAGTTATAGTAAAAAGAGATACCTACCGTCGTTGGCTTTCTCGTGGTCATATCGGAACACCATCTTAGCGCTGGATAGACCCTCCTTCTCGGGGCTTTGCAAAATTCTCTTCAGCGTGCTGATGAATCGCGGATCATTGGGCGCAACGAAGAATACCAAGGGCGCAATCAAGATGGACGCATCCAAGACCTCGCGACTCTCATAACTCTGGCAGAAATGGCCACGCTCTTCGTTGTACCCCTTGGTCATGATTTCATCGTACATCTCGTCACGGACCCTAATCCATTCAAAGCGATCCGGGCATGGCAAGCTAGCACGCTTCTCCGCAAGGCGGATTCCGCGATCCAGGGCCACCCACATCATGATCTTCGAATAGATAAAGTTTTGGATCTGGCCACGCGATTCCCAAATGGACATATCCTTCTGGTTCCGAACACCGACGACGTAGTTGATCATACGCCGGATAGAGTTCCATTGGTCATAGGTGATGGGATTTCCGTGCTTGTTGTACAGGTAGATACTGTCCAACAATTCACCATATATGTCCAGCTGCGTGTGGAAGACGGCAGCATTGCCGATGCGAACAGGCTTGCTGCCTTTGTACCCATCGAGGTGGTCCAGTTCCACCTCGGGGATGTCGTACTCGCCCCGGATAGTGAACATCAGCGGCAAGAAGGGTTTCTTGCTGTTGGGGTCAATGTCTCGCGAAGCATGCGGGAAGACCCGCTCGAAGATGAAGTTGACATACGCCTCCGCTTCTTGGCTGTAGCCCATTTTGAGAAAGACATACAGCGTGAAGGCTGTGTCACGCACCCAGGAATACCGATAATCCCAGTTCCTGGCGCCTCCCACATTTTCTGGGAGCGAGAAGGTGGGCGCCGCGACGATTGCACCCGTCGGTTTGTAGGTCAACAGCTTCAGAATGAGGAGACTGCGCTCGACTGTCTCTCGGTAATGACCACGGAAGGCACACTTGCGTGTCCAATCGGTCCAATAGTCAGAAGTTTCCTCCTCCATTTTCAAGAGGTAGGCTGCCATGGTGGCTGAGCTGGGGACAGCTTTCTCGGGACTGTGCAACACCAGATGAATTGTCTGACCCTCCGACAGACGGATCCAGGCCACGAATCCGCGGCCACGGAGGCCGTCTCGTTCTTCCAGTCTCAAAGACGCCGAGGGGAAACCAAGCTTATCTGGCTCCCGTGAATCGGCAAAGATCTCGAGTTGCAGCCGCTCTGACTCACTCTCGAAGTGGATAGTCTGCAGCCGGTGCTTGAACAAGTCGTCTTCCAGCTTTGCACGGGTGTTGTGCGATTCTCGTGCATAATTAAAAGCTGGGAACAGCTGCACTTGCACTTCCATCGAGCCACGGCTACACTCCAGCTTTCTCACCAGGCCCGAGTGCTGCAGTCCCGACTTGAAGCGATTGGTCCCCGGTTCATTGCAAGGACAGTATCCCGACAACAACCGGGACGACTGAGCACCCTTTTTAGGCGTGACGGGAAAGTAGTCCAGCAATGTCGCGACGCCATCCTCGTTGGTCCACCTGGTTTCAAGCAAGTTCGAGTATGGAAGATACCGCTGCTTGCTGTGAGCATCTACCACCGTCTTGTAGGGCTTCACGGAGAAAAACCCTCCTTTCTTGTCGTCCAGCAGGCTACAGAAAATGGTAGGAGAGTCAAAGACTGGCCAGCACATGTAATCCAAACTACCGGCCTTGCTAATCAGGGCACAGGTGTGCATGTCTCCGATCAGGCCGTAGTCCTCAATAGCATTGTACGCAGGTTCACTCATGGTGGCAACGCGATTGAACCAGCAAGAAATCCGATGCAAGTTCAGAATACCAGTGAAGCTTTTGATGAAGATCAAATGCTATTTTGCAGCATCAAACCAAAGAAGATGGAAGAGAAGAAGGTGGTGAAGAAGAAAAAAATTGAACCCAGATGAGGTAGATGCAATACCTCCCATTGTCACTCATCATCGGAACTTATGGGAGACACCACGACATGATGATGATAATGGTTGGATCTGAGGTCATGGCTATGCCGGGTGGATTTAGGGCTTCTTCTTCATGGGAGATAAACTTGATGAGCTCGACCAGAGACAGATTATCGTTTTCCCAAATAGACTCATCTTGAGACTAGTGAGAATCTGGCCTTTTCTGTCAACAACAGGCCCATATCAATCTCAGGTCACCGAGCCAAGTGAAATGATTAAGGGAGGTTGGACTTCCATACACTGCTCGGAGTCAAGGTCGGAGGTTTCAGTCCACCAATGAGAATCAAAACCAGAGAAGATTCCTTAGCCTTCTCAAACTGCTCAAACCAGTCAATATCGGAAATATTGAAATCCTGAAATCCTGAAATCTCGAAATTATTCCACATATCTTTTTCCCCTTGACCCCGGATCGACCGGACAGCGGAGACCGGTATTAAAATGTGTAACCAATGAGAGTGTTGTTGAAGGGGAAAGGCGAGAAAGGAGAAGAAGAGACCTGAAGGGAAATGAGAAACATCACCGCCCTTCAATTTCCCCAATTTTTGCCATTTCTCTGAATTCCTTTGGACTCATTTTTTGACCTGTTCTCTCATTTTCATTCCTTTTTATTTCATTTTCTTGTTTTGAGCTTTCACTTGGATTTTCCAAGTTAGACTTACTATCAGACTCCTCCCGTCTTTGTTTCTTTGTCAGCATATTCCGCTGCCCAGCTGCCAACTCCCGAGGCTTTTTGCCCTCGTGCACTGTTGTGTGACACTCTTATTCCATCCACGTTAATGGAGATACATCTCAGCTCCGCTCTTTTACTTTCTACCTCGTAACTGTCCCAGTTATTAGAATGGGGCTCTCCGCCGGCACCCACCACCGTCGGCGAAGCTCCATGCTTACCGGGACAGGGCGGGCCTCACAACCAATTTCGACAGAGCGCAATGACACACTCTGGTCGCATGGAGATGGAGGAAATAACAAACGCGAGGAACAAGAACCTCTGACTGCCGAAGATGACACCGATGCGTCCGATATCTTATCCGCTACAGAGACTCTGGAGCTGGACCCGATGAGTTCGGATGATGACCAATATGACGAGGAAACCGGACTCACAACACATCAAAAGCGTCAGCGACGTCGACGGCGAAAGCAGCGCCGCAAGTTGGACGCTCGAATCGCAGACGTCAAGGGCCAAGGTTCTATTCGCGAGATTCTGTCGGACAGAAACGTGGTCAAGAAGCTGCTAATCAACGGCGGGCTGATCTTGCTATGGTATCTCTTCTCGCTGTCCATTTCAATAGTGAGTGGTTCTTTGGCAGTGGTTTTGCAAGTCGAGAAGGAACTGACAATTGTCGTGTTTGCAGTACAACAAATGGATGTTCTCCGAGAGCGATATCGTCTTTCCTTTCCCTCTTTTCACAACGAGCTTGCACATGGCTGTCCAATTCTCTCTCTCCGTTATAATACTCTGGATCTTTCCATCGCTCCGTCCACGACAACCGCCAGGGTCTGCGGCTACATCTCCCATTAATGGCCCCGAAGAACCACAACCTCTCATGTCCAAATTGTTCTACTTCACTCGCCTCGTGCCGTGTGGTGCAGCCACCTCCCTTGACGTTGGACTCGGAAATATGTCCTTGAAGTTCATCTCTCTTACTTTCTTAACCATGTGCAAATCGTCTGCACTTGCCTTCGTCCTGTTATTTGCTTTCCTTTTCCGTCTCGAAACACCTTCAACAAAATTAATCATCATCATTGCCACAATGACAATAGGTGTCGTGATGATGGTCGCTGGAGAGACAGCTTTCAATGCGCTTGGCTTCGCACTCGTCATTGCGTCAGCGTTCTTTTCGGGCTTCCGATGGGGTCTAACACAAATTCTATTGCTTCGCCACCCGGCTACTTCAAATCCATTCTCAACTCTCTTTCTCCTGACTCCTATCATGTTTTTCTCGCTCATCACCATCGCGCTATCTATCGAGGGTCCTCGTGAGATTTACCAAGGATATCTCGCGCTCGCCAACAAACATGGGAACTTATTTGGCTCGTTCCTTCTGATTTTCCCTGGAGTACTTGCATTCTGCATGATTTCCTCCGAGTTTGCGCTTCTAAAGCGTTCCTCGGTTGTCACACTGAGTATCTGCGGTATCTTCAAGGAAGTAGTGACAATCAGCGCAGCAGGCATTATCTTCCACGATAAGCTCACAGCGGTCAATGTGACCGGTTTGATCGTCACTATCAGCAGCATCGCTGCGTACAACTACATGAAAATTGCAGGAATGCGCAGCGAGCTACCGGAAGATGATTCATGGAGTCGCGAGTCGAGTCCTACATCTGACACCGATGAAGGTGAGCATAGCAGTGGCGATCCGGAGGATTATCGTCGAGTTGCCCATCAGGACTCCAGCATCATTAGCCCTGCACCGGGTGGTTACCTCAACGATGATCCCCAATCATCATCGTCCGGTGACCAACGGCGCTCCTTCCGAGTGCGCTCCAGTGGTGCCAGGCGCGGTCTCTCAATTTCGACTTCTATCATTCTAGAAGATGATGGCCTGCCTTCTCCTCTTAAATCAGCACCTGCAACGATCACTACAATGGCTGAGGCAGGGTTCCCTCACTTACATGCCCCTGATCGCGAAGCATCCCCGGGCGTGCAATCGAGCTCGTCTGTTTCGCCCATTCGGAGCCAAAATTTCACCTAGCACTAACATTTCACACTCATTCTTAACTACTCCTCTCTTATCTTCATTTACCTATATTGCACATGCATGTAATGATTTGTTTTCACGTCGCCTATACTCTCTTCGATCTTGGATGGTCTGTGACCTACTCGAAAAGAACCTAGTGTGGCTGTTGGAATCGCATGTCTACTCTCACAGATATGAATTGGTCGAACTCTCGATTGACCAGAACACAATTTCTTATTTCTGTTTGCATGAAAGGGTTGTTCGGATTTTGGCTTTGGCTTATCTGATACCATCAATTGAATTTCTTACTTTCCACAGCTATATAAAGGTTGCATCTTTGCTGGTTTTTATTTGAGACCTTCAAGTGTTGTAGTGATTTTGTACTTCATTATTATTTAGTCCAAAGAATGATGTAGAAAGTACAAAGAAACCCAGCAAGTATTCCTCATCACATTGGCAAACCTATGCTCTGAGCTCAAGAAATAATACATGTCTACTCCTTCGCAGCGCCACCCTTCATCATGTCCATAAGACTCTTCTGTCCCTTGGCCTTTCCAGGTCCCTTCGCTTTCTTTTTCTCGTCCGCCTCGAGCTTACGATCATACTGATCCTGGTGTTTCTCGCGCTCTGCACGACCCTCCTCCGAAAGGCGAGCCTCAAGAGCTCGGAATTCTTCTCCCTCAGGGTCCATACCAATCAGCGACTCAAGTAGTTTGATCTCACCCGCCCACACACCCGGATCGGGAACAGCAGCTGCACCCGCACCAGCAGGTCTCTTGGGACCCTTCTTTGGTTTTTTCTTCTTTTCAGACTCGCTCTCACTGCCATCAGCTGTATCGTCTCCAGTAGCTTCTTTCTGCCCCGGGACACGGTCAATAGGCGTCTCAAGGACCATAGGCAGCCCTTCAAACCGCGACTCGTTCATGACATTGTGGAACGCGCGCAGACCGAGGAACCCCGTGCCGATATTGGCGTGCAGGTCGCGCTTGCTTCCGCGCGGTGCTTTTGAGTCATTGAGGTGCAGAGCTCGGAGGAACTGGATTCCGATTAGTTCGTCGAATTCGTCGAGGAAGGCTTTGAATCCGGCTGGGGATGTCAGGTCGTAGCCGGCGGCAAAGCTGTGGCAGGTGTCGACGCAGATGCCAATGCGGGAGTGATGCTCTTTCGGAATTAGAGCTAGCAAGTCACGGAATTCGGACAGTGCACCGCCAATTGAGTTGCCGTGGCCGCACATTGTTTCCAGGACGGGAATTACGGTCGTCGTTTCATTGATGGCCTGAACTAACATCTCTGCCAGGCGGGAAAGTGCTTCGGGCAGAGGTGTCTGATTGGTACTTCCGGGGCTTGGGGGTGTTAGTATGAGCTGAGGTGGTTGGCAGACGGTCGACTCACTGGAAGTTGTAAAGTGTAATTCCAAGTGCCTCGCACCGGCGCAGATCATCCAGGAAGGAAGTGTATGCTTGCTTGGATTTGACTTTATCGTTTTGAGCCAGATTGACAAGGTATGAGCCATGAGGAAGAACGTGTCTGGGTAGCAGATGTTAGTGATCCATTCGGGTCCAATCAAATAGGGTCATATTCACTTGGCTGCATCATAACCCTTTTCTGCGCAAAGTTTACGGAATTGATCACAATGGTCGTCCTGGAGAGCTGGGTTGTCCCATTTGCGCTGAGACTTCAAGAACAAGGCGAATGCATTTCCTCTAATTGTAATATTAGAATCAATTTCAAACATGGATGAAATTGGAATACCCTCAAACTTACCCAATATTCTCGGTATTATGTATGGAATTAAAGATACCTGCTCGATAAGCATTGAGTTATTATCGAATGGAGAGGATGAGTTATCCAGAACACTGACCTTTTGCAGCACTGACGTGAGCGCCAACGAACATACGGAGACCCTTAGTCCGCGGTGCCAAAGGCATACTCTCGAGTTCTTGGTCTTTCTTAGACTTTCTCGCCGTTTTAGGTTTGACGCCTTCGTTGGACTTCTTAACTGGTCCCTTCTTTTTCTTCTCCTTGGCAGTATCAACCAGGGGTTTGTCGTCAGCCTCTTTTTTCACTGCAGGAGTAGATTCTTCAGCCTCTGACTCTGAGGCTTCTGGAGAAGAGAGTTCTTTCAAATTCGTAGTGGATTTCTGTCGTTTGGATCGTCTGGGTGGCGAGAGCTCAGATGTTCCATTGCTGAGGTTCCGTTTATGGTTGACTTTGGATCCAGAGTCTTCGCACGTTGGCGAGTCAGATTCTTGGCAACACATAGCACTGAAAGTGTCACAGTGTACAAAGTCTCTTGAGCTGGGCGGGTACCCTGATCGAAGACCTGAAGAAGTTGATATTGCCAAGTTTCGTGGATCAAGTTGGGACCCAACACACTCTAAAGACTCACGATGACCGAAATACAGATGAAGTCTGTGATCCTGGAACAAATTAGAGCTTGTAGAATAGCTTAACTTGAGTATTCTATGCTCCGATGCTGTCAGTAGAGTATAACGCAAGGAATCCATGGAAGTACTTACCACGTGACTGTCCCCCTGGCAACAGTCATGTGATGTTTATCGATAACCAAAGAATCTCCTTGCAGCCCCGCCAGAGTTATTGCTTGCCCTCTTTGAACTTTTGGTCGTGGACAGAATCTGGGATCTGTGTGATCTCATCTCATCTGTCATTGTCGCTAACATGGCAGCCTCTGACGAGTTGGTCGATTTCGATATCATCGAAGCACAAAAGGAAAACGTCCAATCACTCCCTGGTGGCCGATCAGCCAGAGAACTCGCCCGGATATTTTCAGCCGGCAGCAACGGCGACAAGATCCCCTCGCCATCGCCAAATGGCACCAGGACCATCAACGATGCTATGCGCCAAGAATTCGAAAGTGAATTGCAGTCGATAGGAGAATCGGACGATCCACTCGATGTTTATGATCGTTATGTCAAATGGACCCTGAACGCATATCCGTCCGCACAAGCGACCACAGAATCCGGTCTTCTCCCCTTATTGGAACGGGCAACGAAGTCATTCCTTTCGTCCTCACACTACAGAAATGACCCTCGGTATCTACGATTATGGCTTCATTATGTGCGACTCTTCTCCGATGCCCCACGCGAAACATTTGCATTCCTTGCGCGTCATCAAATCGGTGAAAGCCTGGCTCTTTTCTATGAGGAATTTGCCGGGTGGCTAGAGGGTGCTGGTCGGTGGTCACAAGCTGATGAGGTGTACAGGCTCGGTATGGATCGTGAGGCGCGACCAGTCGAGAGATTGGCACGGAAGTACAGCGAGTTTCAATTCCGATACGACCAGCGTCCACAAGATACCGGGCCCTCGTCGCCTGCTTTGCCGACTGTCCGTCCCGCGCTGGCCGCCAAGATGAACCCGTTCGCGCCATCAGATGACTCTGCTGACCCGCAAGGTCCACGGCCCTCGCCTCAGACGGGTGGTCCCGCTAAAACCAAGTCCGGAAAGCCTAAGATGGCTATCTTCTCAGATGCTGACTCTGCTGCGCCGGGTCCCGCAACTGGCGGGTCGACAAAAGGATGGGAAAGCATTGGATCGATTCGGGACCGCAAGAAGGAGAATGAAGTGGAGGCAAAGCCATGGGCAGGAGAAACCTTAAAGGTTGGGAAGAAAGCAGCGCCAACACAAAAGATGGCTATCTTCAGGGACGAGGTGAGTTCCCATTTCAGGGTGCCCTTTCCCTCTTCAGACCTCCACATATTTACGATCACAGGACTAATTGCTGGCATGAACCTATGGTGTTTTATTATGTATTCAGTCCAATCCAGATCTTCCTTCCAAAGAACCAATGCCACCCAAAGAAGTACCCGAACATCACGTAAGGGAAGCAATTAACCCGCGGACCGGCCGACGCGAACGTGTATTTGTCGACTTGGAATCTGTATACCCTGACCGCGCCAACCCTGCGCATGAGATGAGTTTCGAAGAGCTCAGGGCGGTCAAGCGTGGCTGGATGGGCAAGAATTGGCGGCAACAAAAGGAGCCCTTGCAACAGATCTCTGGGAATGCAGGCAGTATCGAGTCCCTGCTAGGGAAATCTCATTCGCCAGAGGAATTGCCAGAGCATTTAGGCCAAAATCTCACCACAGCTAGTCACGCTCAATCTCAACATCAAGACGAAGGCCATGGAGGCAAATCTGGCAAAGCGAGTCGTACCAAAATCAAAGGGGAAACAACACAGACACAAACAGGTGAGTTGTATCAGTTTTTCATTTTTGGGCAGATTAAACTCACACCTGTGTAGTCAAAATGAAGTTTGACTCCCCGTCCAATAATAAAAAGGTCCGGCGAAAGAGTACTCGGGAACCGACCATGACCATGCACACTCGTGCAGCGACGGATGAGATCTATAGCATTTTCAATCAGCCATTGAAGGCAGAGACCGAAGATGACGCAGATAGCTTCTGCGGTAGCGATTACGAAGATGACGACTGCGCCAGTACTGAGGATAGTACAGGCACAGGGCACATATCAGCGGCCTCGAGCGACTTTGGAGACGAGGAGACCCAAACGTTCCACAAATCCTACGATGACACCGACTATGCCAACACCACACGAGCTGAGAGCGTCGATGGCGATGGCAGCGATTGGACGGAGTTCAACCCAGATCGTGATATCCCGGATATTGAAAATGCTGAAGTCACCTCACATTCTGTCGTTAGTAATGGAGAGGAAGGTAGCTCGACACAAGGAACACCGGAGAGGAAAGTATTCATACCAGAAATGCCCGAGGACTATGCTCCTCCATGGGGGACCTACCGTGACCCTGCGATCATGGCCCAGAACCGCCTTCCCTTTATGACACCTATCGTGGAGCGAACGGAATCCATTCCTTCTCTGACAGCCGCTCGAAACAGCATTTATAACGCGAAAACACCTTCGAAGCCTCGATCACCGGCTGGTAACCTTTTGCTTTCCAGTCCACTGGGGACAAATACGCCATACCAAGGAGATCATACTATTGCGTCTACGGCTGATGTACCATTCAGTCCCGTGGCCTTCAAGGCCCTCGCGCCCAAGCTCCGGAGACGGGAACCGATAATTAGGGATGCGCAGTGCAATCCGACTGACAAGGGCATTCGCAACACAATTCTCAATTCCCTGGAAAAACCACTTGCGACGTACACGGGTTATCATGGTCATGTTGATGATAGCAACTATGCTTCGATGATCCAGAAATTCGTCAAAACTAACACCAGACGATCAAAGAGTGGCGGGGATGACGCATCTGACACTCCTATCCTCGAATTTCCAGGAGCGGAGCGAAGCTACATTATCAGACGTGAGCTAGGAGCCGGTGCATATGCCCCCGTTTATCTCGCCGAGAGTGTCGACAGTCTTGAATCCTACGACTCCGACTCCGATGATAGCACAAGCCCTAACGGCAAAACTTCCCAACTGAGAAAGTCAAACGCTTATGAGACTCCCCGGTTCCCCTTCGAAGCAGTCAAGGTCGAAAATGGACCATCAAGCGCGTGGGAGTTTTACATGATTCGCACAGCTTATAGCCGTCTACGACAATCTACGGATCATTCTCGCGCCACCGATAGCATTGTTCGCGCACACGAACTGCATGTCCATCAACGTGAAAGTTTCCTGGTGGAAGATTATCGAGGACAAGGCACCATACTCGACCTCGTCAACATCGTCCGCAATGAAGCCATCAACCCCAACCATACTTCTGAAGGCGGTCTCGAGGAGGCCCTAGCAATGTTCTTCTCCGTCGAGCTATTCCGCACTGTCGAAGCACTCCACGCCAACGGCGTCCTCCACGGTGACATCAAAGCCGACAACTGCCTCGTCCGCCTAGACGACCACAATCCCAATGAACCACCCTCCAAGGCCCTCTCCCTGCTCGACCTTGATGCCGATGAAAGCGCCTTCGATCCCCGCGAAAGCATCCACTACTCCCCAAGCGGCTCCCACGGCTGGCAACAAAAGGGCCTAGCCCTGATCGACTTCGGCCGCAGCATCGACATGCAAGCCTTCTCGCCAGCCGTGCAATTCATCGCTGACTGGGAAACCGGTGCGCACGAGTGCAACGAGATCCGCGAGATGCGCCCCTGGACCCACCATATCGATCTATACGGTATTGCCGGCGTGATCCATGTCCTGTTATTCGGCAAATACATCGAATCCACCGCCATCGACGGCAACAACGAAAACGCATCATCCCGCACCTATCGCATCCGCGAGTCTCTGAAACGATACTGGGACCGTGAACTCTGGGCGGGTGTCTTCGATCTCTTGCTGAACCCCGGCGCCGAGCGCTGGCAGCGCATCGAGCGCGAGAACGGAGTCGATGCAGGTCTGTCATCTGCGCCTATTCTACCTGTCTTGCATTCCATGCGGCATGTTCGCCGCGGCATGGAGGAGTGGCTCCTTGCCAATGCCGAGAAAAAGGGTCTTGCTCTTCAAATTCGGAAAATTGAAGTTCTGCTTGCTGAGCGGAAGAAGAAATTGGAGAAGTGATTGTTTTTTTCCGCTTCTTGTTGTGTTGAATTCCCCATTGCAGATATCTTTATAACTTATACCCCCCATCTTCTTCTCATGTTAGCTGTTGCTTGTTACTCTTCTTCTGGTTTACTATTGTTTGTTGATATGTTTGTCTGATCTGTAGATAATATCTGATATTGATTCTTTATTACATTAAGGCTAGCTATTCATTGATTATCCAAGGATCTTGAGTTCGTCTTGCTCACTTCTGTTGGAAACTTGCGCAAGTAATGTAAGTATAACAAACCAAGGGTGAACGGACGAAACTAGAGCTTACCTAGCTAGTATAGATGGGACCTAAGGCCGGTCAAGCCTGGTATAAAAGAGCAAGCATAATTCGTATGTGTTTCAAGCGAGAGGCGGTCTATCCACTGCCAAGTGCACATTGAGAATCTGTGATAAAAGTGCAGCCCGGCAAGAATTAGGGGATCTGCTCGAGTAGCCAGGTACAAAGTCACGAGGTAATCGGTAACCTACAACCGAAAAAACAAGATGAAAATGGAAAAGATGATAATTCAATTGGCGGATCAGTTCGATCAAACAAAGCCATTGCTCTAAAAGATCAACCCTCGCAGAAGAAAGATAAATCAGGAAAAAAATAGATAAAACGGCCAAACTCTCACAAGCTCCAGAGGAAGATCACAAAGATCCAGCAAAAAAAGGCTCTGAAAAAAAAAAGACAGACATCCATACGCCATGAGACGCAGAAGAGGCAAGAAAAAAGACCGGAGAAAAAGACACGCGATTATCCGGATGCAAACCCAATAAGGCTCGCCACAAGGGGAATCATGGAGCGCGAGCTGAATCAAATCGAGAATCGAAAGCATGGGGTAAATCGTGAATCACCAATCAAGAAGTGCAATTATCCGGGAAATCAGCTTCAAGATTGAGATCATGAGATGCGAATTAAGAAGAAATGGGGATCGCTGGCAAAAGAAAACCAAACACCTCGCTTGCGTATCAGGGATGTCGTTGGTCAACTGCAATATTCATGCGCGTTCGTTTCGTTTCAGTTCGTCTATGTACTTGCATATGTATCGTTGCACATTCGCTTTTAGGGGGGTTTGCCATCTATGTTGACTGACGAGGGTCAACATAGAGGCAGGGAGTCGTTTCCATGTGTGACGGGTAATTCGAAAGGCGACCACTGTCAGGTCGGGTCGCATCTCCAAAATAACATGATCGGAAAGGCATGTTGTACCATGTAGGAGATGCAGTGGATGAACGACTAGACAAGGTCTGAGAAAAGAAGATAAAAGAGATATGTAAGGAACGTGGGCCGCAAAAATAGCGAACGGTTGCTGATTGCTGACAGCAGATGTGGGTTTTCGGTTGTTTTCAACTTTTTTTTGTGTGTTTGGGTTATTTTGTTCGAGGTGAAAGCCCCGTTGGAAGAAAAGGAAATGAGGTTGGGAGTGAATGAATGATGAAACTGTGCTAGTTTCACGAGTAAAAGGTGCGAAACACAACCACACACACATACAAGGTGGTTGTTGTTACGAGACAAACGAGGTCAATGTTCGTAGGCAGGTAACCAACAGCCAGATGCCGATGTACTGTGCGGGTTTCGACCAAATGAAAAGCGGAAAGACCCATCACTTTTTTTGGATTTTTTTGTCGTTAGGTGGTTCGGTATTGCGATTTTTTGAGGGTTGAGCGTGAGGGAAACGTTCAAACGTATCGTTACAGTCGTGGATGGTGTAGCTGTCGTTAAAAGGCTGGAAATGCAAGGGCCGTACCAGGGCCCTGTCGGTATCTCGTTCAAGTCATAATGCAAAGGGGATAAAATCTCGCAAAGAAATCGACGCCACGATGAAACGGATACTTGGAAATTCGACAGCAAAAAAAGGCTGCAACTTAGTTGCGTGTGAATGGCATATTCAAGATTTGCCGGCGGATGCGCTCAGCATCAGAAAGGCCATCTTCTGACGCATTGTATGGCAAAGTACCCAGGGCTTTATCGTGTACTTGAGCCGGAGAAACCTGCATGGGAGAAGTATTGTCATCGGGTCCGACATATGAAGGGCCACCGCTCGAGAATGGATCAGACAGTGAAAGTGCTTGTCTAGTGACCCGCTTCGGGGCTTCGCGACGCTTGTGTCCTCCTTCGATCCGGAAGGGTGAGCCAAGGCGTTTAATGTTTTCACCCAGGTCTAACAATGGGTTCATGGGGGGTTTCAAAACAGGTGTAGTCTCCTCGGGTTCAATTGGGCCCGAGTTGAGGGACGAGGGCGGAGAGAAAAGTTGATCCATATCTCTGGGATTGACAGCGCTAGTAGTAGCTCCACGATTGCGAATGCGGATTCGACCATGGCCCATGTCTTGGAACTTATTGTCACGAACATAGTCCTCCAAGCGACGTTCAACTTCTTGATCGGAAGGATTCTTGTGCTCCCTAGATACGCTCGCGAATACATCGTCAGTATCGGGCAAAGACTGGTCGAAGTATGTGTTGCGTCGGGCACGATAACCCGGAACATGAACGGTCTCACGTCGAGCATTGGGATCATGGACCTGGCGATTTAATCCACCGGGGCCCCAAGTGCTGTACACGAATGGAGATCCCAAACGAGGAATGCTAGGGGCAGATTCGACACGAAGATGCTGACTAGGAGTCTTGGCCACTGGTGGCTCGACATGAGCAGACACGGGGTTGTTAAACCAGTCCGTAGTCGACGGCAAGTCTTGTGTAACCCGAGAAAGTGGAGTCGGCTCGGAGGAGGTGACAAGAGAAACGCCGAGGTCACGAGTAGTGTAGGCCGAGTTATCAGCAAAGTCTTTAACGCGGGTATCGGTAGGAGGGCCGAACATCTCGGTAACAGGCTCGGGAGTGCGAGACTGCATGATGCGCTGATAGTGGGGAGAAATTGAGAATTTGCGTCGACATAGCATCTTGAGGCGTCGTCGAGTCTTGGAGTCAGACTTGGGCCAGGCTGGTTGCAACTCTTCGTCCATGGCCTTGGGTGTAGAAATTTCAACAGGATCAACAGACTTCATCGAGACAGATTCAATAATGCGACTGCTCTTTTGCCCCCATGTCTTCTTGGCGCGTCGCGCAACACGCGAGGTGACTCCCAGAGAGGGGGATACTGCCAGGGGTCATCTTGAATGGGGTCATAGTAGGGTCTTGAAGGTAGATTTGATAGGTATTCCATAAGTGGGTATCCATCTCGCGGGTCCAGGACTTCTTGGACACTTTGACATTCGCCGACTGCTTCTGGGGTCGCGAAGGCGACTCAATCTCGGGTTCTTTGGACATCTCTAAAGGGAAGTACGAGTCAAACAGGTCGCTCTCGACACTAGTGAAACTTCCTACAGACGGTCGCGATGCGAACGTTTCAATGGATTCAATCGAAGAATTTGAGAGACTCGAGCAGGCCGAGTCTGGGCGCCTGATGTTGTTTGGGCCAGGCGTCTGGTCCCACGATGGCCATGGGTTGCCAGTGTCGCAGGTGTCAAAAGGCGTGCCGCGGATCTGCGCAGGTGGCGTCTTAAAATCCATTCGCACGCGAGGAGGCGCAAGATATCCCTCATCGTTGGCAAAATCACGAAATAAAGGCGCTTCGAAGTTGGTAGTCGATTGGGGCACTTCAATTGAAGGCAGAGGAACATCGGAGCCATGGAATTGGAACATATCCATGTCCATGCGAGCGCAAACATTGGTACCAGCGCGAGCCCGAACTCTGGGTAGACGGCCGCTGGAGATTGAGTGGCGAGGTGGAGGAGGCACATTCATAGAGGTACTAGGGCGCTCGGGAGTCTTAGGTTCATTGTCACCGAGGGAGAAGGTAAAGTTCTTCGGCAGAGTGCGCGAAAGTTGACGTTGAGCCATACTGGCGATCTTGCGGTCTTGCGAACCGCAGAATGTGGATCAATGCGACTTCTGGAAGGAAATTGAGGACGTGTCGGGGGAAGTTGAGAGAGTAGATGAGTTCGGCGCGGCTTCGAGTCGAAGCGCGCAGCGTCGCGTCAATGTCGTGAATCGTGAAGGGGAGAAAAAGGAAAAGATGCAAGAGCAATAGATGCAGGAGTAACGTGAAAATAGAAGGAAAAAAACCGAGGTCTCGGTGTGCGTGATGTGCTTCCTGAGGAATGCGGCAACTTGAAATCGGGGATCACCAGATCACATCTGCGGCTCCATCCCGTCCGAGTAGTAGGGAATGAAGGATTTCGTCATTACCCGGAAAAAAATAACACAAAAGAAAAGAATCTCCTCAAACGGAGAAAGGTGCGAGAAAATATCTCGCGATAATGGTGGAAAAGGGTTGGTAGAGAGAGAGAAGGAAGAAGAGGAAGAAGATGGGGGGTTTGGGCGTAGGGTGAGGCGGGAGGAGTACTTGGTACCTGTGTTCCCCGTGATGGACTGCCCACTGGACTTGGTACCCGGTACTTGTGGACTTTGGTTAACGGCCCACTGTGAAAATCTTATGCGTTGTTCACTAAAACTTCTTAACATGAAGTCTTTCAATTGATTCTAATTTCTTCCTTTTCTTTACAGAAGGATGTTTTGTTTAGATTTTCTTGAGTCTTTCCTATATAGAATGGCTGTGGACACATCTGGGCCTTGCTTGATGCATGCAACTGTGGACAAATAATTTGGCCGGGCTTTGGAGAGAACCACCTTGGGAGGTAAGGACACCTTGAGCAAGTAACCAGTGCTTTTTGCTCTAGCTTTGCTCTCGGCTTCGAAGGTACAAGGTAGGCTGTAAGCTGTAAGCTGTACTCTGTACTCTGTACCCTGTGTTGTACCTAGGCCTCATAAAAGAGGGGGCTGGTGTTTGGGATCAGGTACCATGTACGGAGTACTCCGTATGGTAGATCGGTTCTCCATCTTCAAGACATCGTCTCCAGCCGTTCACTCCATACCTGCAAGGGCTCGTACAGAACAGAACGGAGAACGGCCAGGCTGCGTATAGAAGTGCAGCTGATGGTCGTCTGCACTGATATTCTTCAGCTCATTTTTCTTTTTTTTAACTTCCAATCATGCTTGGAGTGGCTCGGGCCTCGGAAAGTAAAAGACCTTCTCTTTTTCCCTTTCAACGTGAATTGGTTTGTTGCGTTCAAAGAAACCCGGGAAAACCATATTGGTACGGGTACCTGGTGTACCGTAGATCAGCGGTCACATTTTCTCATTGTGCGGTCTGGATCTCTGGAGCCCTGGAGCCCGAGCTACCCAACGAGAGACAGGGCCAAAGGACCCATATAACCCCATTGGGACGGGGGTGGTGGAGGCGTTGCGGTTAGAGAAGCTTCACGTTCATCTTTCCCCACTGACGCCCGACGCGTCCAACACACGTGTTGAAAATTACGGTATACTTACTGTATACTTACCAGTCACGTGGTTTTCCAACATTTGAACCCTAAAAGGGGCCATCTACTTCCTTTATATCATTACTACGGAGTATATGTATAACTTACGCACCCTTGAACATTCTGCATTGAAACATGTGATTGTTGCTGAATCCTCTGATTCAGGGATCCATTCTCAACAGATTTAGTAACAAAGATCTCATCTCGCTTACAATGAATAGCCACAGTATACCCGCAGAACTGTGGGCCAGATGCCAATCAACTCCACTTTCGAACAGCCGAGTATTGCCTATCTACTTCGAAGACTTGGACTTGACCTTTTTCAATGACTCGATAATATTCCAGGGGCACTCAATAAAAAGTAAGAAAGTCCAGCTTGTGCCACACCTCATAAATAACATCATTTCCATATTGATTAAAACACACAAAACCTAGCGATATCCAATAGTTATGTATAGAACGACAGTGGGAAGAAGCCCCTACTTAGAGCCATCCACTACTCTCCTAGGAAACTTAGGTCAACATCCGACTCACGCGATCGGAACAGAACCTGAACTCGTGGGTCGGTGATAGACTCAACACCATTCTCAATGTTCGGAGGTCGACCGCCGCTCTGCAGTTTCCAATCGTACTTCAGGAGCAAATGAAGAAGCATAATTTTGGTTTCATTGGCAGCGAAGAACCGGCCAGGGCAGGCGTGAACACCATGGCCGAAGACGAAGTGCTCGCTTGTCGTCGCGACAAACTGATGCCTATGTTCGTTGCCGGGCTGCTTGCGTTTGTTGTAAAACCGGTAACCATCATAAGTGGCAGCATTAGGGTAGACACTGTCATCTTCCAATGTTTTCGTAGAAACAAACATGTTGGCGCCTTTGGGGATCACAGTCCCATCGGAGAGCACAATCTGCTTAAGGGCGAGGCGGTTCATGGAAGCTATTGTGGAGTGTCAACAAGTCATTCTTTCGCAAAAAGAGGTTTGAACGAATAAGCGTCGAATGAACATTCAAAGATATCGAAAGATATGGAAAGCATGCGGATAACTTACTCAATGAGAGTGGGTTAGTACGCTGCGATTCCTTCATCACACTGTCCATCAACTTCAACTTGAGCAAACTAGTCTTCTTCAGAACTTCATCCTCGGCAGCAACCGCACGAATCTCATCACGCAGCGGCTGGATGTACTCCGGATACGCCGCGAGGTCATACATGACGTTAGTTAACAAGTTCGACGTGGTATGAATGGCCGCCAGCGCCAATCCAACCTGAGCACAAGACTGGTCAAATGTCAGGTTATTCCGGGCTTCGGCGGTCTCGCGATACCAGTCCAAAGCGTCAGGTCCACGAGGTGGATCATCTGCAGGGAGTTTTCCCGCGCGAATCAACGCCCGCCTATCTATCTCGCGGCTGATTATGGAGCGAGCCATTTCCAAGTGCGTGCGTAGCTTTTGGGTAGAGGGCAAGAACCAGTGTACGACCGGATGGAGAATGGATGGCCATTCTCGTAGATCGCGCATAGCCATAAACGCATCGATGGCATAGTTCACGGAAACGTCGATCCACTCATCATCGTGGGAGATGGTCTCTCCAACAAATATCAGAGAAGACAGGCGGGCTACCATGTACGGGACCTTTTGCGCGAGGTGGTAGGGCTTCCATTCTGCCAAGAGAGGAGGCGTCAGTGAGAGGGTTGCAAATGGGGTGCTTTAGCATACCATCGGTGGGGGGCAAGGATTCCTTCAATATCGAACTTGACTCCTTTGAGAGCCGAAGTGAAATGGACCCTGTTCAAATGTAAAAGGTAAGTCAATTCTGTCTCTCAGGTGAGATATATCAAAACATGCATACCAAGAGCCTGGGTCAAACTGGTCCGCACAATCTCCACGGTAGCTTTTAAAGCAGTGCCATTATGAAATGGTTCAAACCCAGCAATTCGATTCTCAAAAAATGTCTACTAGCAAGTTAGCCATGGTCACGAATTATTTCCGGTTTCATAACCTGCCTTTTTGATGGAGTCATCAAAACTCAGATCTGGGTTGTTCTTGATTTCATCGACAAACTTCGGGTGCAATACAACTATCGGGCTTGTGGCTCCGATGATCTGGAAGACATTGACTCCCTACAAAGGCCTGTTAGTATATTTGAGGGTATATGATGCTGTCATCTATTCCTGTTAAGACTCACCTTTGCAAAGCCTTCAGCAATTAGCCCACGACATGACCGAGTAAAGCGTTGCCGGGCCTTTTTGTTGGTAAAATCCCCCCACGTCTTCCCAACCAAAGGAATGTCTCTATGGGGAATCTCGTTTGCTATGTCTGCCCAAACACTTGTTATGAACACCGCCACTAGGGCGATGCACACACTCTGTACAACATAGGGACTGTTGAGCAATTCAGTGATGACTGCCATAGTAAATGTCAAGACTGAAAAGGGGGAAAAGGGAGGACAATAGAAGCGACACCCCAGGTTTCTACAACATAAGACCTGATATTCTCCGAGGACTTTCTCATTTATAATAGTTCCCGAGCCATCAGCCAGTCAGGGAAAGTCCATTTTTCTCCCAACCGACCTTGGACTAGATATTCAGACCAGGGGGGCCCACATAAGTATCAAATGCTGCCAAGTTGAACCGAAGCGAGCCAAAGCCAAGCAACGTTGGAAAGCGACAGGTCCAATAAAATCTACAACACTGACCAACTATTTTCACCAGAACGTCAAAGCTCCAAAAAAAAGGTATTCTTGGCCCACATCGATGTATAGTTACCTAGCCTAAATGCGAGAACGAGAGCCAAATTAAGCGATCCTTACCCGAACAGGCAATTCTTGAATGGGGTCTCTATTCCGTCTGGATCCACTTGCATATGCAGATGTTTTCCAATCTATAAGCGTGCCAATGATAATAGAAGGCTTGCAAAACCTGCAAGTTGAACGGTAGAATCGTTAGAGTGGAAACCAGCTCTGTACTCCGTGGTACAAGAATAAGAAAGTCTCGGTAACCCAGCACTAGAAGAGAAATCTCTTTTGGAGATCGGACAAGCAACACTAACAAAGATCTAACGAAGATCTAACAAGCTAATGAGCTAATGACCTACAACATATGATAAGCCTAAAACATGAAGTCCTAACTGGCTGCCACTGATATAGCTTAACGGAATTAGGCTAGTAGAATCCATGGGTTGCATTTCGCCAAGACCCCGCATTCATCTCAGTGTCTTCCAAGGTTAAACTTCCCCGCTTCAAAGTCGTCTTCTTCTCAACTTTCACATCGAGAACCGTGAATATGGGTGACTCCGGCACCGCTGCTCCGTATATACTCCCCACCCCTGTCGGCAACAGCCCGCCACAGCCCTCGGCCTCGCTTAAAGAGATATCCGTCCTGATAACAGGCTTTGGTGTAAGTGATCTGCACTTCGGATGCTGCTCGTATCCGACCCGAAACTAACAGTGTAACCAGCCCTTCAAGACCAACCTCGTGAATGCGTCATACCTGATCGCTTCATCTCTTCCATCGTCTTTTCTTTTCCCGTCGCCTAAGGACCATGACTCGGACCCGCGTCGAGTCTCACTCCATGTGCATCCCACTCCAATTCCAGTAGCATATTCCACTGTTCGAGAGGCTCTTCCTTTAATTCTGGAGGAGTTTGCTGCCTCTCATGGTGGTCGCAGACCTGATCTCATTATTCATATCGGCATCGCAGCTCCGCGGCAATATTACTCCGTCGAAAGTTTGGCTCACCGAGATGACTATAACATCACCGATGTCGATGGTCGCCCCGGCTATGTGGACGGCGAGAAGCGATGGAAAGGGTTGGGTTTGCCGCCGATTCTGACCCCAGGTCGTGCTACAGATGATCCCTCCTCTGCTTCGCCTTACCAACCCGACGACCAGTTCCTGGAGACGTGGCGCTCGTTTGCTCCCGAGTCGGATCTCCGGATTTCCAAGGACGCGGGTCACTACCTGTGTGACTTCATTTTCTACACCAGCCTGTCCTTGGCCCAATTACAGGGCCAGGACCGCAATGTCCTGTTTCTCCATGTCCCTGGGGCGTCTGAGGATGCGAATATTGAGCAAGGCCGGGTTGTCACACTCGCCCTAATTAAGGCAATGGTCGCGTGTTGGTTTGATAAGAAGCATTCGACATAACCAGATTGCAGCATCGCAGTCCCTTTTGTCTTTGACATATACCCCTTCAGGGGTCTACCTAGGTGCATGTTGTTGGTTGTTTTTAAAAGCCAGTATTTGGCTTCAACGGTTGCTTTTCCTGGACTTACATGCATTATCAGTTCCTTGCCATCTCGTTTATTGCATATTTACGCGCGCACGGTGTTTGCGGGCGGCATTCCCCAGATACAATGTGTCTAATTTAGTTCTATCATACCTAAGGCAGCTACCATATATGAATAATAGGATAAGGCCATATCAACAGAACACTATAATAACAAACTGAAGGTACCACATCTCCCTGACCTAAGCACCTCACAAAATGCTGTAACATCATATGAAAGGCGGCACCCCTTGGCAAAAACAGACTTGTCACCTCGGTAGCCTGTATAACCCTAACACCCTCCCAAACCAAACAGCAAGCATGCTCCAGTCGCACAACATGGCGTCGGCGGTAATATTAGGCCTCATACTCCTAATTCCAATTATCCTGATTCTTCGCTTCACAGGATGGCCCAAATCAGTCCAATCGCCAACCAAACTTCGCCTATGGCGCCAGCGCCCCAAACAATCCAGCGAGATCGTCTCGTTGCGCATGTACCCCATAAAATCCTGCCGAGGCCTAGAAGTCCAATCAACAGTCCTAAAACAGCACGGTCTTGACCTCGACCGCCGCTGGATGCTCATCGACGCATCCTCAAATACTTTCCTAACAATCCGCCAAATCCCCGACATGACTTGCATCCGCACCGCCCTAAGTGCTGACGGCGACGAGTTGGTCGTGAGTATCCCAAAACCTGGACCCAATGAACCTACCCAAGATCAAGACCAAGCGCATCAATTCCACACAATCCGGATCCCTTCCCATCCATCCCCACAATGGCTAGCGAAAAATACAAATATGGGCCCCGTCCACATCTGGGGCACGGAGACAGACGGGTACAGGTACAGCGATGAAATCAACGCCCCTTTCTCCGCCTTCCTGCGCTGCGACGTCGCCCTCGTCTACAAGGGCCCGACCCCGCGCGTACTGAAGGGTAACGGTGCCCCCCGCCGTCTAGGCCGCGTCCAGACGACTGGATTTCCAGACGTGCATCCGGTACTGATTGCGTCGGAGTCTTCGCTAGCAGAGCTCAATGTTCGTCTGGGAAGGGTGGGCATGGACCCGATTACTGTCGAGCGGTTCCGTCCGAATATCGTTGTTCGCGGCGGGGCGCCGTGGAGTGAGGATACGTGGAAGTTGGTTCGCATTACTGGTCGGAAGGCTGGCGGTGTTCTTGGTGATTCTGCTGGTGATGGCAAGGCTGTTATTCAGTCTCCGCTTGATCTGGATATTGTGGCTCGCTGTGCGCGCTGCCAGGTGCCTAATGTTGATCCAGATACCGCGCTCAAGCATAAGAAGCAGCCGTGGGATACGCTTGTTTCGTACCGTAGGGTTGATGAGGGGATGAAGTACAAGCCTTGTTTCGGGATGTTGAGTGCGCCGCGTAATGAGGGGGCTATTGAGGTTGGCATGAAGTTGGAGGTTTTGGAGGAGACGACTGAGCATCGATACATTACTGGTTCCTAGGGGAGTTTTTTATGATTCGTTGTGATCTGAGGTAGCATGTAGAAATAGAATAGGGCATTGTAAGTTCAAAAGTTGAAATGGCAAAACATGACATATTTTTAATCCCCCCGGTCTTCGTGATATATCTTGGAGTATATCCATGGGCACATCTTTTCTAGGCTTGGTAATGGATGTCCTTTTATTTGAATACGACTCTCCAAGCTGATGTTTAGTTGATACATATATTCGACGATAGATCCTGATATAAACATCGGGGAGGTAGTGATTTGATGGTGGACCACATAGAACCCCTGAATAAACATGATAATGACATTGACATTGAAAACTAGGGACAGATAATACTCGCAATCTCTATACAAAAGAACCCAACCTCACTTCAACTGTTTGCTCGCAGAGACACACCAGTTATTCCACTCTGAAAAGAATGACGGCTGCACATGACACTTAGTGCTCATGAGCTGATCCTTGCGAGTGGCAGCGTAAACATCCACAACGCCCGCAATAGCATCCTTATCATGCGCAACAAGCACTTTAGTAACAAGCAAACTAGCCTGGCTGCAAGCATTCGCATGACCCATAGGTCCACTGTGGCTAGCCTCCTTATGAACAGACCGGAGCAGCTCCCAGAGCGCCTCCGCCTGCGCATCGTCCTCGATCTTCGGGAGCGAATTGCCCTTGCACACCTTCGTATACTCGCGCAGCACTCCGTTGGCCTTGGTGGCGATCTGCTTCACGCTGGTCCGGCGAGATAGTCGGAGCAACGGCAGGAGGATATCTAGCGCGAGCGGGCGGGTGTGGCTCTTCTTCACGAAAATCTCTAGCAGGTCCAGGACGCGGTTCTTGAAGTTCACCATGTTCTCGCGTGCGTCTTTCTTGTCTTTGCGGTGGGAGGTTTCTTGGCGACGCGCGCGGAATACTTGCACCAATTTGTCGTCTAGCTCGTCCATCTCGTCGTCGTTCATGTCGGCGTCCGAGTCGGACTCGTCTTCGTCTGCGCGGTGTGTGCCGAGAGCTGCGGCTAGTTTTGCTTCGAAGGCGGCGACTTCCTTTGCGTCTTCTTCGTTGTCTTCTTCTTCTTCTTCTTCCTCCTCGTCGTCGTCAGAGTCGGAGCCGGAGCCGCCGGCTTCGATGACCTCGACATCGCTGTCGAGCTCATCCTCGTCGACATCCATCATCTCGTCATCGTCACCTTCTCCTTCTTCCTCGCCTTCATCGTCTTGCTCTTCGAACATCTCTTGCTGTCCAGCGAGACTCTCCTTGGCCTCCAGAATCTGGGTCTAGTTAGAAAATGTATGTTTGACAGAAGTTGAGGCTACATACCGAGGTCAAAGATTCCAATCCATTCTCGGTGATCTGGTTAGCAAATGCGCCAAAGACCTGCTCACTCATACGACGGAACAGCTGCGATTGCTTGGATGCGAAACTGAGAAGGATCTCAACCAACGCATCCGAGGCGTCGCCGGCGTCTTCCGTCTTGGTTTCCTTGTCACCCAGGAACTTGGTATAACAGAACTCCAGCTCATCAAGCATGGATACCGCGTCTGCGTCTCCGTTGTACACCTGCATGATAGTCATAGAGTAAAGCAGCTTGAATGCGGCCATGCCCTTCTCCTTCTTCTCCTATGTCATAGTCAGTATAAGTGGTCAAAAGGCCTACGAGGGGAGAAATCATACCCTGCTGGACAACTTCTTCAGAGATTTGAAAGCAGCCTTCACGGATTCCGACAGCTTCTCATCGATAGCGATGATGAACTTGCCGAATTCGCCAGACTTGGCTGCATCGCGAATTTGCTTCACCACGGCATACGGGAGTGTAGCGGCGAACTTTTGGTTGGAAATAAGGCTGTTCAAGCAGGAGTTGATTCGATTGCGCAGGAGTTCTTGTGTCGCCGATGAGAGAGGAGGCTCAGGGGCAGTGGAGCCCTTGCCGGCATCCATGAAGTACGCAAAGCGCACGAAGATGGACAGAATCTGCTCAAGGCTCGCTTGGAGGTCTTCGGCATCGTCTTCGCTGGCAGAAGCCTTGGAGCGTACAATTGTCAAAAGGAGACCAGCGACGAATTGACGGTTGGATGCGGCGGTTTTCTCCTCGGTTGTGCCGGGATTTTGAATAAGTCGTTCGAAGAATGGGACAATCTCTTCCAATGCCTCGTGGTTGGCTTCGGCAACAATCTTCTCGACCGTCTTGGTCTTTGTAGCCTGGTCGAAGTTCAGCGTGCCGCTGGTTCCCATCAAGCCACGGATGGCCGCCGCTGCGAATTCAGGCTCCTTGGAGACACGGGCCTGAATTGCCTTGGCCACCTTAACGGCCATTCGGTGCAAGTACCGGTCCTCCACGGCGAGCTGGTTCGTCAAGCATCGCATAAGATTCTTGGTGAAAATCTGAGAGGCCTGCTGTGACCCGCCATCGTTGAGAATTCTGTTGAAAAGAAGGAAGCCCCAGTATTTACGCTCGTCCGAGGACACAGCAGCAAACAATCCATCTGTAAAGAGTTTTTTTGTCAGTTCCATTTGTTCCACGTATAATTGCACCGCTGGATAGGTACTCACTGTCCACAACCTCAGTCCAGAAATCAGCGAAGGTCATACGAGATTTCTTCGACTTGTCCTTCGCCTCAACACTGGTACGGGACAGAACCGCATCCCAGGCGAAGTGAAGCTTGTTGTTCCAGACACCAGAGGACTTCGCAGTGTTCACCTTAGTCTCGCCTTCGCTGGGCGCAGCACCCGATTCCTTCATGATCTTCGACATGCTGCTGCGCTCCTTCGTGTCCAGGGGATCGTCATGCTTCCAGACCTTGCTCGGGAAGGTGGCATTGGGGAACATATCCTTCGCCGCCAACCAGATAGCAACACCCTCGGGCGACCGGGCGAGGTCGCGCACGCAGAGCTGTTCCAGCGCAGACTGGATGTACTTGGGTTCCATCTTGCGCGCGGCCAGGTCATAGACACACTGGTAGATAATCCATCCACACTCTTCGCGGATCCATGGCTTCTTCTGTGCGAGCTCGAAGACAAGATCGACGACCTGGGTCCATTGCTCGAAGGGCACGGTGGGCTGGAATAGAACGGAGGATTTAATGATCGCTTCAGCGCCGAAAAGACGGCCAAAAAGGTGGTCGCGTTGTTCCTATATGAAACGAAAGAATATCCAAATTAGCGCATGCGACGTTTTAAATCATGTGTGGCCACCAACCTGTCCCGACTCACTGCCGTAGGAACTCGACTGAGACTCCCAGAGGTTCAGAGCATCGGAGAAGCCGAAGCGCGATGTCTCTCTCGGCGTTGAGAAGACCTGACTCAGAATCTCTGTCAAGGCAATTGAGAATCCGATTCGAGCAGCTTTGCGGCTACTGCAGAGACCGCGGAAGAGTCTTGACAGCACCTTCTGGATCTGTTCATCGGCAGGGTTCTGGTCCGGAGTAAATTGCGACACTAGGGCTTGGGCAGCCTTGAGTCGGATGTCATCCTTTTCGCTAGCAAGATCCTCGTAAAGTTCCACCAGCTTCACGTCGACATTGTGAGGTTCGCGGCGGCGCTTCTTTGAACCGGCGAAGGGGGGGGCCCATTGCTGAGTCCGGGGGTTTTTTGAGATGGCGGATAGGTGCGAGGTTCAATTAACGATCGAATTATCCGCTCTGAGGCCTTGACAATGGAGATCTGCAAACCAAAGGCACGTTTAACACTCCTTGCGGCCGTTCCAGTTGCTTAGAAAAATTCATGCTTTAGCCTATTTAGGACTAGTGTGTACCGATAAGCCGATAAGAATTTTGATGCTCCAACCTTGGAAGAGACCGGGGTTGAACGGGCAAACGACCTCTTTAAACGTGCATATTTACTAAAGTCTTTAAAAGGATATCTAGAACTCATGATTTATTGAGCATGTTAGGAAACCAAGAGTGGTGGTGCGAAGGTATGTAGAAAGGTTCTAGGGTATATATAGATTGTACCATCTGACCCATTCTCAGCAAGACCAACATCTGCTCACAGCATCCTGGAGGAAGATTCAAAACCACCAATTCAAATGCTACCTCCCCAGCCTACGATCCTAGCCAAGTAAAAAAAACCAGCCCCCAAAGCCACAAGACCTAGACTGTCTCCAAGTATACGGAGTACTCCGTAGCTCAAACGTACTTTGTAGCCCCTGGAAGCCGCAGCAAAGATACCTCAAAAACCACGCAACAGATCGGGCATGGCAACATGCAACCAGCGTTTCAATAGACAAAATAGCATGATGTATTCGAAGCTGTCAGAGAAACCGGGATCAAAAAGAAGTCCGGACTGATTCAGGGGTAATGACGAATCCCAAAAACGAGATCACCAAAGTTCCAGGCCATCAACCTCAAACCAGCCCAGACGCAGAACTATCGTGTTGTCAAAGGCAACCGGGAAACCAGCACCCATTTATACAATCGCATGTCGCCGAGGAAAACCCGCTAATTGCGCTGGATCCGAGCTTCAGGATCCGGGCTCCGCTTGAGCTGATTTCGCGGATGCACCGACCCGCCTCGGGCTGATCTGTATACGAGTATACCGGACAAAGCGACAGTATTGGTAGGTCGGGTCGATAGGGAAAGCAGGAACCATGCATCAAACTATCAATTTGGCTTGGGCGAGGCCATTTGACATCTGACAGGATCAATATTATGGAGTGGGGAGAAAATTACCTCTGTATCAGAATTGATGTGTTGGAATGGATGGGGGATCGTCTGCCGTGGATCTGCATGGTTTAAGTAGTTTTTAGTTTTAGGTAGTCGTCGTGCTAGTAACATGTGGAATGGATTTCGTGGGAATTGCGCAGGTGGTTTTGATGTAGGCGGATGGATCTCGGAGTGATAATATATGGAGTCCGGCGTCTTGGTGGGCCTGGGAGTCCTGGCAACCGTTGTGATAGATGGAGAGTCGGGTGTCAGATTTTGCGTTTTTTTTCAGGGGCTTCGTGGGTTGCCTGATTATGCAACTGCCACCATATTATACGGCTTTGTGTGATGGCGTTGTGA